CCAAATCCTAACCCTAACCCTAACCCTAACCCTAACCCTAACCCTAACCCTAACCCTAACCCTAACCCTAACCCTAACCCTAACCCTAACCCTAACCCTAACCCTAACCTAACCCTAACCCTAACCCTAACCCTAAAGCAAAATTGCGGGGTAAAAAATTGTGAGGGTAAAATTGCGGGGTAAAATAATCAAAATTTCAATTCGCGATTCTTGATGCTTTATTAAAAATTTATACATCATTCTTCTACATCTTTTATATCATATATGAACAATGGATATATGTAGACTTTCATTCTAATGGCTTTTTTTATTCATTTTATAACATTCCTATAACCATCACTCCCAATAATATTATTTTTACTATCTCTGGAACTCTCATTTTCATCCCCTCATTTGATTTCACTTCTTCTTCTTTCTCTTCCTCTTTTTGTGTTTCTGTTTCTTTACTTGAATCACTCGTACATCTCGTAGGTTTGCATTTTCGCATCGACGTCAATGTCGCCGTAGATGTCACTGTAGATGTACTTGTCATCGTACTCGTATGCAACGATGTACTCGTCACCCATGTATCTGTCGTCCGAACTAATGTACATTCTTCCGTTACCTTCCCTCCATCTACCGACTCTGTCGTCGTTGCCGTCGTTGTCGTCGTCGTTGTCCTTGTTGTTGTCGTCGTTGTCGTTGTCGTTGTTGTCGTCGTCGTCGTTGTCGTTGCTGTCGTCGTCGTTGTCTGTGTCGCCGTTGATGTCACCGTATGATGCGGTGTAACTTTTAATCCTTCTATTCCTTCACACAACTCATCTATTTCTGTACAGGCCGCTTCACACTCCGGGCAATCCTTTCTAAAACCACAATCTACTTGCAAACCTTTGCATTCCTCTTTCAATTCTAAATACAATTCGAATGCTCTTGCTGTTGCATCAAATGCGTTTGTTTCTGCTTTTGATGCCCCTCCATATACAAATGTTCTTCGAACAAGTGTAAGTTTTGTTGTTGCATTTATTGCACTTCCTGATGTGTTTGTCATTCCACCTGATGTACCCAGAGTTCCACTTGTGTTTGTCGCTCTATATTGTGTAGGATCTGATCCTCTTAAACTTTTTGGTTGTGGTAATACTTGTGTTGATCCTGATGATCTTACTGGCTGTAGCGTTGGTGCAGCAGCATTGCTATTCTGTAGACTTGGCGCTGCACCTTGCCCGTCTTTCTTAGGTCTTGATAATAGTAATTTAGCTAGCCTCATAGAATCTTCTGCCTCCTGTTTCAGGTTTTCGTATTTATCCTTTTTCTCCTTCAATTCACTTTTTGCTTTCTCTAGATCACTTTTTAAAGTAGGACATTTCTCTTTTAGTTTTTTAACTAATTTATCGCAAACTTCTTTTTTGACATCTTTAGTTGAATTATTTTTATCTTTACATAGACTAATCAGTGTTTGATTTTTTCCTTTTTCCCAGTCTGTGCAATACTTTCCTAATGCTTTTTTACATTCATCTTCCGTACTTAAACTACCTTTCAATTCATACGTCAACTCATTTTCCAATTGCAACTTCTTCCAAAATGGATCACATTTCTCTTTAAGTTGTAAACAGAGTCCCTTTTCAGTGGGATTTTCAAAATTTTTTTTCAATCTATCTGGACAATTTTCCATATATTGATGACAATATGGATTCCATAACATGCAAATTTCTTTAACAAATGTTTCATTTCCTTCTTCAATATTCTTTAGAATATTTTTTTTTTTCATATTAGTTTTAAGCACAAGACACTCAAAATCTGTTTTTTCTACTAGTAATTCACATGTTTCTTCTGGTAAAGCACACGAAACATTAAACTCATTCTTTCCTCTTCTAAATAATTCCTTACATTTTTCCTTTAATCCTGCCTTACAATTTTCTTGAGTTTTTAATAGATCATCTTCTCTTTTTAATAATCTTTTTCTTAATTCTTCTGTAACTCTTAAATATTCACACCGCCTATTCAATGTATTACATTTCAGATTATTGAAATATGGAATACTTTTAAAATCATGACACTCCTTCTCCAATTCAACACAATCTTCCTCTTCTGGAAAATCTCTTCTTGAATTTAAAAGTACATCTAATTCTTTCGAATGAATAGTAATATCATCAAAAAGTTTAAAACACAGTTCATTTGGTTGAAGACAATTTTGAAGGTATTTCATATTCTTCTTAAGCTTTATACAACCATCTATTGCTGATTTTTGACATTCATTATAATCAAAACTAAATTTTAAATTACCAAGAAACTGTTTCAATTCTTCCCGAAAGTATTTATTGAACATCCTATCTTGTCCCTTTTTATAGCATGCTGCTCTTAGATTTTTACATGCTTTATCAATTTTATTGTCACAAGCTGTTTTTAAATAAAAGCATTCCGATTCTAACTCTATACAATCTTTTCTACTAAGAAATTCTGGAAGTTTTTTCCATGAAAAAATTTCTGAATCTTTATTTTCATATTCCGTAGACAAACCCTTCATATAGAGTTTTAATTTAAGAGTCATACATCTGTCTTTCATATCTATTAATTTTTTGCATTCGACTAGATTTTGTTTATTGCATAATTCTTCAAATTTATAATTCAGGTACTTAGAAGTATTACATTTGCTTAATGCTTTAGCGCATTTTTTTTCTAGATCCGTATCATTTTCGTCATAACTTAAGATTAGCAATATATATTTTAAAATATCTTTTGTTTTTCTTAATGTATCCACTTCTAATTTATCAATAATAATTCCTTTAGTTTCCAGTTTTTTATAAAGATCTTTCAGTCCAATCTTCTCCGACAATGATGGATCTTGTCTAACTGGAGTAAAATCTGATCCTGGAGCTTTGTATGTAACATCTTTTCCCTTACATTGATTCTTAACCTGATCACATTTTGTATTCTTACAACTTTGTTCATAAAAATAACAATTTTCAAGCCTTTCATAACACTTTCCCTGTAATTGATTATCATTGAGTTCTGTATTTAAAAGATTGCAAATATCTTCCTGTCTCTTTTTAAGATTTTTACAAGTATAGTCCAGATTAAGACATAATAACATTAATTCATTACTGAATCTACTTAATCTTAGACAAACTAATTGTATATTTTGTTTGCATATATTTTCATCATCAACTGTTCCATTAATAGCTCTAAAAAGAATTTCTTCTGCTACTTCTTGACGCTTTTTTTTATAACATTTATCTCTCAACTCGCTACATTTATCTTTAACATTTTTCTGATCTACATCTTCTAAAAATATACATATATCCTCATATTTCCTACAATTTTTATTATCTATGGATTTTTTTAGTAATTCATCAAGTTTTGCTTTTAGTTCGTTTAATTCCTTTTCAACTTTCTGTTTCAGGCCTTTGCATTTTTCTTCTTGTTTTCCATTTTCACAAAATCCTTTAACTTTAGGATCCACATTTTCTAATTTATCATCTATTTTCTTCAATTCGGTACAATATTCTCTGAGCTTTTCCTTGCATTTAGCATCATCAGTATAATCACTTTTCACAATTAAACCCAAGACGTGTTCCTCCTTAATCTCATAATTTCCTAGTGTTTTCTCTTCTGCTTTCCTCTTAACAGGCTGTGCCATAACCGCCCTTTCCTGGGTAATTTCCTCAACCCATTGGTTATCTTGAGGATAGTCTTCAGGAAAAAAAATTTCATAATCATCTTTTCTAAAATAATCAACTCCCGGATAATTTTCAAAATAGTCCATATTAGAATCCTTATTGAATCTTCTATTCCAAGTATCTTTAGAACCCCTTATCTTTCTCAATCTTAATGGTCTTTCATTTTTAAATAACTCTATCACTTGATGTTCTGGAAAAAATAAGTAAAGGCTCAAAAAAGGAAAATATAATGTTATGTTAGATGAATAAGGTATAAAATCTAAATTAAAAAGCAATAAAGTGATAAAAAGATTTCACATGAACAGTTAAAATTAACTAAAATATCATTTTTATTTCACTTTGAATGCTTTTTAGTTAAATCTGGTTTAAATACTCCTCTTTTTAGAAAAAAAATGAAAATGGGAAAATGAATCACAACTACTTAAATTTTTTAAAAAGCTTACCTTGTTCATTTATGTCCGATATCATTGCATTTTCTAGAGCGGCTACCAAAATACAACCTAAATATGCAAAAAACGTAAATGATGCACTTTTCATTGATTATATATCAAAAAGAAATAGAAAAACAAGAAAAGTAATATCCCAGTTGTCAGAATAAATGTTAAGTAAAGGAGAAATACTGGTCGTAAACTGCAAGCTTTATTGGAGTGATAATTATCGAAATATCAAAAACTTTATATTAACCCTAATCCAGATAAGAATTAATAGAAATAAATTAAAATTGATATTTGTAATATAAGGTTTAGTTTATAGTATAAAATTTAATTTATATAAAAAATAAAACTAGAAAAAATAATAAAATATGTATTTATTTTAGGATTCCAAAAGCTATTTTTATCTATAATATTTACTCCATAATGATTTACGAATAGGACCTGAAGATAAGGACATGTTAGCTTTAAAATATGTTATATCCTCAATTAAAGTGTAAGACTTAAGGATTTCTTTTTTTTCATTGTTATACAGGTGTTGAAGAAATTGAAATGTCTCATTAAGAAAAGATTCTGCTGTATCATTATCTTTATTCTTGATTAAATGTCCAAACAAATTAGCTCGAAAACTCGAAACATTATGAGAAAGTAATACATATTCATGAAGTTCCTCCTCTGAAATTTTTTCTCCTTTAGAAGCTAAATACTTAGAAAGTTTACTAATTGGCATATCAAAAACATTATAAATATCAGAGTTAATCTGAGAATATGCATAATATGAAATTCGCTTTTTAGAAGCACGGAGTTCTTTTAATAGTTCTATAATATCTTGGAGTTTTATAGATTCAATAGGGTCATCAGGTTTATCTATGAAAAATGTTATATAAAAATAATTTTAAGAAAAAATTACCATATTCAAAAACATAAGTACCCTCAATTATGCTAATCCAACTACGAGAAGTTTCAGAGGAAATTTCGATAGGAGTACGTTTAAACATGACATTATACGCATCTAAATAGTAATCAAATTCCTTAGGCGTTATATTAAGGAGTATATCAAGAGAATTATCAAAAAATGCATCAAATCGAGAGTGTAACACATGTGGCTGTCTTTCGCTTTGAATTAAAAAAGAGATTCTATGAAATTAAGTATAATATATAAATAAAATAAAAAAATACCCTAGAATGGTTTTCGAAATTCTTACATTAGAAGTCACATAATAACCTAATTGCTCCTTTGTTCTCATTTGGCTAAAGAAAAAACCACGCAGGATCGTGAATAATAAATAAAGCATCTGTACCCTTTTCATGTTATTGGATTCAGCGACTTGAAGATACACAAGCAATGCAGATTTTCTTTCTTTATTATACATTTTTTGAGTATAATAATAATCAGAACCTAAGATGTTATGTTATTATATATAATAATACAAATAATTTTAGTAACCGCTATCTAGATCTATTGCACGGTTATTAATATATTGGGAAGGTGTTAAAGGATGCGCATGAAACACTGCTTCCATCATATAAAAAACGTGCAATGCATCCTATAAGTTCAATAATATAATTTTATTAAAAATTCTACTTACTTGTGGAGGAACATTTCCTGTTATTAAAACATCAATATGAAGATTGGACAGAAAATCATAAAAAAAAGCAGCAATATCAGGATGAAAAAATTCTATATATAATGTTAGAGACTATGTTCCATAAAAAATAATAGAGTACGTTCTGACAATAGTACCAAATTAACTAAAGGTGTTTTTTCTGAAAAGAGAATATCGTCAATTTCACTATCTACAATTGTACCAGGTTCCCCTATAGATCTATGTGCAACACTAGTAAAAATAACCGATTTCAGACGTCCGAACTCTTGAGCAGTAATAGATAGATCTTTAAAAAGAGCTATAATTTTAGAAAAGATTTCCATAATTTTATCCGAGAATCCATAAATGTATATCAGAACTCCTTGTGTTACAGTTGTAATACTAAAATCTAAGCCAGCCATGGTAGTATAGAAAGAACTATATGACAAAGACGTATATAAGTGGACTTGTAGAAATCTATTATTTATAAGAAATAATTTAATATTATTTGAGCATATACCTTAATTTATAAAGATTTGTTGGACTTGAACTAATAAACTGACTAGACAAAATAAGATTAATAGTATAATTAATTCTATAATATTACCTTCTTAATAAAACACGTATAATCCCATATGGGCAGTAAAAAAAACTGCCATGTTTATACCAAAGAGTGGTAATAGGTGACGCTCTTAAAATATCCGGTTTAGATAGAGTCTAATAATCATCAGAAATAATATAATGATATTATATTAGTTTACTTCATTTAATTTTTCCATAGTAATCTGAATATTAGTAGAAATATAAACATTCTTAGGAGGATATTGTAGTTTAGTAGGCAAAGGATTTTTAAGGCTCTAATATAATTAATAGTAATTAACAAAACATTTTATTACCTCTATAAATTTTTCACTATAATGCTCTTTCAGGTAAGGTATACCATAAAAAGGCTCAGTTTCATTAAATTTCTTATTCATATTTACAAAAGAGATAAAATTATGAGGGTTCAAATAAGAAAAAAAATCAAGAATTTCCTCTTTGTCATATTCCTTTAGATAAAATCTATTTAATACATGTTTACGAGGAAAAGATTCAGACAACAAAGTCACGGATAGATCCTCAGCATAATTAAAAGGTGTACCTTTAAAAGAATAAAGAAATTCATTCCTTTGAGCTTTCCTTATTTCTTCAAAAACTTCTTCATTTGGCCCGGTGTCTAGATAAATCTTTTTAGAATAATTTTTTATTTAAAATAATAAAAAACCTTTGAAGAATTGTAAACATTTGAAAAACTCTCCAATCACCTCCGTGTACAGTGCTAAGTAAGGCTAGTTAAGCATTCCATTTAGAATTAGAAAAAAATACCTTTTCCCAAAGGTAAGAGTACGAAATTCACAAAGAGGAGGTTGAAGGACTGAGAATATGGCATAAGTGAAAGTCTATAAAAATATTAAGAGAACTATATGAAAAAAGAAAGTGTTTACTCGATGCTTGAAGCTAATGACAGTCTCGAAAAATAATACAAAGGACTCTTATGCCCTGGATAAGCTAATAATACTATTAAAAATAAAAATATCATGATTAAATGACCAACTAAAAACATAATCTAGATAATGATAAGGGATAGATTTATAGTGAATTCCAGAGCTTGGGACGAAAAAAACCAGAGACAAGGCAGGAGACATATCAGGATAACCAAACCAAAAATGATGCTACATATAAATAATTAGATTTAAAAAAAATCCTATCTCACCTTAGGTAGAAAAGAAAATGGATTTATATCCTTATCAACTCTTACACCTCTATCTGGAATCTGACCAAATGTACTTTGTGCCCATTCTTGATAAACATCAAGTGATTCTATAGATATATTTATTAAAAAGGCTTATGAACAGAATCTACTTCCATACCGTTTCCGTATATGGCCAACTTCATATCATGAGGACGATAATATTTATTAAAAAAATCATGAAGAGCCTGTTTAGTGCTCAAATTCCTGGCTCTAGGTCCGGAAAATAATGTTTGACGATTGCCTGTAGTAAACCTTGGAAAAAAACTGGAATTACCAAACATGTGGCAAAGAATCTGATATCTAGCTCTAACATAACGAGTACTATACATTTCAAATTCTATATTTATTAATGTCATTTGTATAGCTATTTAAAAAATACCCGAGTTAACAGAATGCGTTTCGCGTTCTATTGCGTCTTCTAAGAATAAGGGTTCAATAAAAAAATTAGCCATTCTATCAAGTTGTTCATAATGATATCTTGGACTAACATCACTCATATAGGATGTACGATCAAGAGATGTATATGCATTGTAAGCACCACCGTGACTATGAAGAAAACGATTATAACTATCTTTCCCGGGATACTATCTATGTTAAAAATGATAATAAATTAATATCAATATAATAATACTTTTTTTGTGCCCATAAAAAGCAAATGTTCACATAAATGCGCCAATCCTGGAAATTCTTTCTAATATGCAATATAAGGCCTTTATAAATCAAAAAGCTTCTATAAGCTTACAGGATCGTATCTATGTCCTATACGAATAGATAGAGCTGTGGATGATACTTGTGCATGGGGATCGCTGACCAATATAGCTTCTAGACCATTTTTCAGCTTAATAACTCTATATTCAGAGTCATCTATGAGAGATTTTTCAAAATCCGTTTCAATAACTTTTATGTGTGAAGGATCATAATTAGAGTTTGAATCTTTTGCCGTATTATTTAAACCAGGAAGTTTATTGGATTTTGTATATTGAGTTATAAACGTAAAGGATAGAAGCAATAAGGAAGAGAACCTCATATCTTTCTAAAGAAAGTGTTAAAAAAAAAAAGTAAATATCCGCCTAAGATATTAATATTTTTTATAAATACGTTAAAATTATCTGATATTTCGGAAAATAGCGATAAAATATTTTTTATAATTTAATATTTTATTTAATTAATTTAATTTATTTATTGCAACTATTTAACTTGAAAATGTTTTCTTTATAAAATACTATTTGAAAATAATCAATGACAAATATGTTTTGTTCATTTTTGATAGTATTTTTAAAAAAATGTAATAACTTAATACAATTAAATTTATTATATTATTTTTATAGCATTTCATAACAACTATATTCACTGTTTATCTTTTCTGTAATTATTTTTCTTAATATTAAAATATTTTTTTTAACATTAAATTTTTTTTTCGAATTTCTTAAATATTGGATATAATTTAAGGCTCGTCAAAAATTTATTTTTTCTATATAAATAAGTTAATAAATATATCATGAGGTTATTTTAAAAAAATTGGGTTTTTTGATTTTTGAATCTAATGTTTATATAAATTTTATAAAAATATATTAATTTAAAATATACTTGAAAATTTTGCTAAAAAATATCATAATGGTTTTAGAAAAAATTGTATTGGAAATTATAAGTATAAACATTTAAAATTCTAATAGAAAAAATAATTTTAGTCTAAAGTCATGTAAAATCTTTTAATACGAACATTATTTTGGAAAAAATATTAAAATTAGAATCTAATTTTTAAAAAAATTATATCAAAAAAAAAAAGAGCTATATAGCATATTATCTCTGTTTCCTACGTTTTGTTTATAAATAAATATCGAAATTATCATTTTTTAAAAAAAAAATTCCCGCAATTTATAAAACAAAATATATTAATTATAGATCTAAAGAAAAATTGTAATATTATATAAAATATAATGATCCGTATATATGGAAATGTATATATGTTTTAGAAATTCATGGATTATTTGGTTTCATAAGAAAAATAGCTTAACCAAAAAAAGTTTTAAAAAAATTTAAGATTCATTTTCATTTGAAATATATTTTTTAATTTATTTAGAAATAATTATCTAAATTCAAATTTAGAAAAAGTTCTATTGCCATCATGTTGGAGAGTAAGTTGTTGAAATCTATTTTTAGAATTAATTTATAATCACTACATAACACTATTTTACTGTTCAGAATTTTTGTGATAATATATTCCTGATATATTTCCCATAGATTGCTGAAAACATATGTAATAACTAGAGAGGAATATAAGAATGCTAATAAAATATTAAAAAAATCTTACAAGCCTGCATAGCTTATTCCATTAAGAGCTATACCATAATCCGATACTTGTTCATTGTCATTTTTAGAAACTATATACATTTCCTTCCATCTCATGAAAACATGATCTTTAAATAATTCGTATTTACATTTAAAATCCGGCTTTTTAATATTTTTTGCAAATGGTCTAAAAGCTTGAAATCTTATCCAATGCTGAAGATCTATTTTCTCAGTAGAACCCCATTCCGGACGTTTAGTAATAAACCCATATTTTGGCCCAATGATTTCTCCTTCAAAATACGTTGTTAAAGATGAATTGTCTTTAGTTAAGCCTTGAATATGAAGGTATCCACATAAAAAAGAATCTTTAGGATTTACATGTTGAAAATTTACAGATACTTCATATAAAGCTTTACCTGATTGTTGTGTACCTCTAATAGTTATTAATATACATCTAAAATTAATAATATTCACTTACATAAAATAAGCTCCAGAGCGTAAAAAAGATGTTTGTAATGTTAATAACTATAAGTTTATAATTAATTACCATAATATATAAAAATAATAAATATTATACCCTCATTTTTGATAGTTCTTTCTCAAATGATGGCTGAACTTGTGATATATTTTTCATCGATATTCTTTCTTTCACAACTTTATTATCTTCTGCCCGTTCCATCAATTGAACTTGGTCTGAAAATTTATTTAGATAGTTCATAACATTCAAGTGCACTGGTAATATTATATCTTTGATGTACCCAAATAATTAATAACTCTATTTAAATATGAATTACTCTGATATTAGAGTCTTTGATATCTGTGAAAAAGTATTAATATTAATTCTAAAGAAATATTTTTAAAATTTATTAGGAATTATTTTAATATAATTTAAAAAGATAAAGCTTTTTTGTTTTTAAAATTTAAAAATAAATATAAACAAATAAATCAGGGATTTAAGATAATGTTAAATTATTGTTAATAAATCATATAATTATTCGCTTTTGTTTGTTTTAAAATGATTATTATTAATATAAATATAAATTCATTTAGTTTTTTTTAAATATAAATATGTATATATATAGATAAATATATAAATTGAAAAAATAAAATAACATATTTAATTTTTAAAAGAAAAAATGAAAATATAATGTTATTTTTCTTATAGATATTTTTTTATTATGATCTTGGTAAAATAATTTCGAACAAAAATTAATTCTAAAAATATAATTTATTATTTTTATTTAATATAAAATTAGTTTAAAATTCTATGACTAATGAACATGATTCTTCTAATGAATTGCATCTTTCTCCTGCATCAATTTCTTCTAAGAAAAAGAGTGTAACAGTTTCCATAGATGCAAGTTTTACCTTTATTAAATCCTATTAAAATTAATCATATTGTAGGATTTAAATCTTCCAAGGTCCGTTGTCTTAAGATTAGCAAAAAAAGTGCTTCCAGAACATACAAGCATTCAAAAAGATGCAATAACTGCTTTAATAAGAGGATCGTCTGTTTTTATTAACTATCTTTCTGCTGCGTTCTTTTTTAATGATATTTATTGTTTTTATCTAATAATTATAGTGCGTTTGATCTTTCTAAACTCTCTTCAAGAAAAGTAATCCTTCCTTCCGATGTTCTAAAAGCAATGGAGAACATTGAATTTAGTTCATTTATTCCTAGAATGACTGAAGAACTTGAATGTGATAATTATTTCTACTTTTTTATAGATTAATAAGAGCTTTTAGTATATGAAGAAATTCTTAAGGAAAAAAAAAATATTATAGAATTACATAAAAATTCATCTATTTTTATGGAAAGTAAAGATGAACATATTATCAAAAAGATAAAAATTGATGATAACGAGATTCTTGAAAAAACAATTAGAAGTGATGTAAATAAGAACAACGAATATGATAACCATACTATTGATGGCGAGGACTACTCCAAGGTTGAAGAAATAGATAAAAATTAATTAAAATATTTATATAAATAAATAGTAAAAATTTTTTAGATGATTATAGAAAATATATATAAATGAAAGAGATAATTCTAAGATTTTAGACAAATGTAATAATTAAAATATGATATTTGAGATACAAAAGCAAATTAACATATTAATTTTAAAAATTTCATGAGATGAAAATATATTAAAAATATTAATTTTTAGTTGTCTTTAACATTTATTTTTATAATTAATGATTGTAATTAAAATATAAGTATAATATAGATAAATATATTCTTTTTAATTTTATTTTGGCAAAATTATGATATAGTATTTTAAAGAATTCAAATTTTCAATTTAATATTATTTTGAAATGTAAGAATTTACTTTTATAACATTGATTTATGATTATATAATAAAAATTAATCATAAATTATAATTTCATTTAGATAATTTTCTTAAAAAAAAATTTAATTTTGATATTTTAATTTAGATAACCTGGAAACATCGTTTTTTATTTAAAACTGTTAAAATCATAAAAATTAAAACATATAACAATTTTTATTTTATTAATTTGAATGTTTAAAAAATTATTATAAAAAAACAAACTATTTAAAAATAAATATTATTATATAATAGTTTTTAATTATTTTTATAAAAATAAATTTAAAGGTTTAAAAATATTTAAAAATTTAAAAAATACAATATAAACATGAATATAATATATTTTTACTATAAAAATAAAGCTTAGAATTAAAAAATGCCTAAAAATTCTATTAATATTTAAGATTTCTTAATTTTTAGAATAAAAAATCATTTTAATAGAAATAAAATAAATATTAGTAAGAGTAATATAAAATTAAAATCTATTTTTTATATTTTTTGGGTTTAAAGATTTTTTAAATGATATTTTTTTTAAAATATTTACTTTAAAAAATATTTTATAAATTTCTTATTTTTATAATTTAAATAATTTTAAAAATAACTTACAACTAATGAATTATATATATATATAATAGATAGATATATAATAGATAGATATAAAACTCAAATATTTATTTATAAATGCAGAGAAATTTATATATTTGATATAAAACTGTTTGTTTTAATAATTTCTTGATTTTCTTGTCTATTTAAAAGTACTGCTTTAAAGATATTTTTATAGAAATATGCATCAATGTTTTTTATTCTTTTTTTAATTTGTATAGATTGCCTTACAGTTAGTTAAATTAGAATATTTTTATTTGTTTTTTTTTAACAAATTTTTTTTCTATAGTTTTTAAACTCCTATTTCTTATAATTTGGCTTCCTTATAGAAGGATTAGCTTTTTTCATAATAATTTCATTATAAACTCATTATTTAAGTCTTAGTTCTCCGCTTCAAATTGATATAACATTATTATTCTTTAAACTTTTGTAATATCTTTAAACAATATTTTTTCAATGTAATAACATTTCTGTCACATATAAACTTGTAAGTTTCATCAATTATGTTTCTTTCTATATATTATTTTTCCGAAGATAATAATTTTCTACTGAAATACATTATATATAAATGAATTCTTTATTGAGTAAAAATAGTAGTTGGACCTTGTTTATAGTTTTTTTTATAAATTAAAGTCTATTTTAAAGATATTAACAGATCGTTTTTTTATTTTTTAATGTATTTCTTATTTAGCTCTTTAATAGTTGATTTTTTTACTATTTAAATAACAAAATTATAAATCTAAACGTTTAATTTTTAAAAAAATACTATAATTTATTCAATTTATAGGGTGCTATTTTAAAGATAAATATAAAAAGATAATATTTTTAATATAAAATTCTAAAAAACATCAAGCTTTTAGTTTTCTTTCGTTTATTAGACAAAATATCCAGTTTTTATAATTAAAGATGACTTTTTTAGATATTGATAATTTAAAATATCAAATTTGAATTTTTGTATATATCTATCTTACTAAAAAGTAATCTTATTATAATATAAAACATAATAAATAGAAATATTTCAAATTAATAATAACAAAGAATATATTTGATATTTATATATTTATTTCTAAATGAAATTTTTATTTTTATGATAAATTTATTATCAAAAATATTAATAATTATTTAATTTTGATGTTATAAATTTAATTTATGAATTAATAAAAAATAAAAATCAAAAATTTAAATCATATATATTGACTTTTTTATCTAAAAAAAGGCTATTATAATATTTTTATTTATGACACCAAATTTTAAGCAGTTATAAAATTTAAAAACAAATACACTAAACAAAATAAGAAAAATATCAAAAATTATATATATATAATAATTTTTTTGAGATAGCTTTATTAAGAAAAATAACTAAAGTTTTAAAAATCGAATTATATTATAAAAACTTAAAATATTTTAAACAAACATTCATAAAAATTAATATATAAAACATAATAGCAAAAAATATATATTAATAAATTGAAATTAAGAAAATAAATAGTATTTAATAGTATTATTTTTTCTAATTTTTTCTATATTTTATTATATATAGTATTATAATATTAAATTTTTTACCGAGTATATTACTTTTCAATAATGAATAAATCATTTCAAAAAAAAACGAAATAATATATGTTTTAGCGGACACATTTCTATAATGGGGATGTCTAAATTTCTGTATTTATTTTTTATTTTTGCTTTTTTGTCATCAATTCGAGCAACTTTTTATGAAAATGATAAAATTACTTTTCATATTCCTTTAATTGGTGTTCCATTAAAAGAATCGATTTTTTTTCACAAACCTATTTCTTATCAAAATAGTTTGATTTATTTAGCAACAGAAAAAAATATTCTTGCTGCTATTAACAGTAAAGATGGTAGTTTAGGTAATCTCTTTTTGGAAGATTTAAATAGTTTTCCTTATCATATATCTTTAGTTTGGAGACAAAAATATGCGGAGAATGATCCTATCAATGCGATTAAACCATTAGATTCAAGTAATCATGTGAAATTTTATAAAAAAAATATAACTTAATACATAGAAATTATTTCTCTTTCTAATTCGTCAAACGTTAGAGCATGGAATGCATTAACCGGCTTCTTAATTTGGGAAGAAACACTTCAGAATTTTTTTTTAGATAATAGATATGTTATTAAAATTTTTGAAAATAATATAACATCAAATAAAGATATTATACTTTTGACATCAAATACGATATATTTTTTAGATAGTAACACGGGATCTCAAATCTGGTGTTACGGAAAGAACGTGTATTTATATTTTTTCCTCTTAAAAAGCTAATTTTATAGAGAGAGACTACCAATATTTTTGTCAATATCCAATTCATTTGTATATGTTGTCGAATCGAGAGTATCATCAAATACATATTTTATATCAGTTTCAAAATTGGATGGAAAAACTGGGAATAAGATAGCATCAAATTATCTATTTTCAATATCAAAACTTGATGATATTATCTATGTAGGAAGTTCTCCTTTACCTATAATAGTATGGAGAAATTCTAGTATTTCTAGCTCTCTCTCTATATATGATTTTGATCGAAATATTACTCATATTATAAATATAGAAGTATATTTTTATATTTATGTTTTCAAGTTAATCTGTTTAGATACCCTTTAGTTCCGTTAAATTATATTCATCTGAGCATTCTAATGTGATTTCTCCGTCTATTTTGCTTCATTTCACTTCTAATTCTTATCAAAAGACATGGGCAAGTGTTTTTTCTTTTAAATCAAATTCTTCGATTTTAAAATTGTATGAAATATCATCAATATCAGCTACATCATGTTTCTTTGCTACAATTTATGCATTTAATATTTTTTATATTCATTCATATATCAATAAGTTCGGTTCTATAACTATAGATACATATGGAGATAAAAACAATTCTATTTTAAATACATGGAATATATCTCAAAATCAATCCCATTCTCATCTTGAACAAATTATATCAAATTTTTTTCAAAAAAAAGATAATTCAACTATGATAAAATCAGTTGTAGTAATGTCAGATGGAGTAATTTATATGGTGAAAGAATCTTCTATTTTATGGCATCGCGAAGAATCTTTGTCTTATTCAATTCACGCAGAATTCTTTCAGCTTCCTCAAAAACATATAGTTTTAATAGAAAATGATTCTTTAAAGAAATCAAATTTTTTGCCTTCTATTTATATAAAAAGAATTATTAGGCATTTTAATAAATTAAAAGAAATTATAAAATATATAGTTTCATCTATTAGAAAAAAGCTTTCAAAGAAATATAAAGATACATCAAATATACAAAAAACTAGACTACGAAAAAACGTATTTGGTTTAAAGCAAATTATTATTGTCATTACCTCTAAAGGAAAGATATTAGCGTTGGATCCTTTTTTTTCTGGTATAATTATATGGTCAAATAATTTAGGAAACAAATTTGATTATAAAGGCTTATGGATTATTAAAAAAAGTAAAACATTAAATGACATTCCTGTTATTGCAGTTCTTGGGAGAAGTTTTCAAGATATGCACTTTTGGAGAATAAATGGCCTAACTGGAGAAATAATAAATTTTAAAAAGGTTGATAATGACATTAAGAATTCTTTTATCTTAGATCATATTTCAACAAATGACTCCAATGAAAATATTATAGTTGGAATAACAGAAGACAAAAAGGTTAATATTTTAATTCTTTTTCACTGGTTATTTAACTATTAAAAAGGTTAAGCTTTTATACGATACTTCAAAAGCTCTTCCTATTTCTATGTTAGAAAATTTATCTAATATATATTTTTCTACTAAGAATCTAAATACCTTAGAAGGATATTTTCTGGATTTTAAGGCAGAATATTCTTTAAAATACTATAATATTTTTAATTTTATTAGAATTTATATGCTAACGTTACATGGACTATTGATTTTCCTTCTTCTGAATCCATCATTTCTCTATCATTTAGAAATAAAAATGAAAAAATAGCATCTATTGGACGTGTTCTTGGGGATCGCTCTGTGTTATACAAGTATTTAAATTCTCACTTTTTAGCAGTTGCAACGGGAAACGAAGAAGATTCAAAATTGAACATTTATTTAATAGATATGGTTAAAGGAATGATATTACATACTAATCATTATAATAGTGTTGATATTTCAAAGGGAGTAGAAATATTATTAACAGAAAATTGGATAGTATATCAGTTTTGGATAGAAAAACCTACAAAAGGGTATCAAATTGTTATTTCAGAATTATATGAAAGTGAAACAAGAAATAAGAGAAATAAGGGGTATTTTTTTTCTATAATAATTCTCTTTTAAAATTAGTTAGAGAAAATTCTACTTCAATTTATAATATTCCTTTGCCCTTTGTAATATCTCAAGCATATCTTTATCCACGTCGAATCCATGCATTCACTAGTGTATTAACACGATATGGAATTACATCACGAGATATTATTTCTTATATCGACTCTAACCAAATTATTATAATTCCTAAAAAACTACTTGATCCTCAAAGACCAATTTTGACGAGCAATAAAATCCCATCGGAATCAATTAAAGGGCTAATTCCATATGACGTAAATTTATTCATAGATTCAAAAATTATAATCAGTTGTAAGAATGAGGTATATATATAGAAGCTATATTATTCTTTATAATTATAATAGGTTTATGGAATAAAAAATATATTGTCTAGCCCAACATTACTAGAAAGTACATCATTAATATTGGCGTATGGCCATGATATTTTCTTTACATATGTTACTCCAAGTAATTCTTTTGATGTTCTCAATCCTAGTTTCAATAAATTTCAGTTATTGTTAACTATTTTTTTACTTATTGTTGGACTTTTTTTATTAAGATCAATAGTAAGTTCTAATCTTATCTAAAAATTCAATCTTATAAGGTATAAGATAAAAGTTAAATTATTAAAAAAGAAATGGTTAGTAATATAAAAAATTAAATTGCATTGTTTTATCTATTTTTAACATATTTCTTTCAATAATACATATATATATATGTATATAACCTTTTATTGATTTTTTTTCATAACCTTTTTATTTAAACTTATATCAAAAAGCCAAATAAAACAAAAAAAAAGAAATGAGAATATTGTTGTAGTAGCTCCTACATAATAAGGAAATGCCACGAAAAGGTATCGCGGGAACTAGTGATATTAAATATTAATATATATCAATGTCAACTAACCTCATCATGTCTATAATGCCTGATAGTTACAGTAGATCGTTCTTCTATATATGATAAACCAGGTCTTTTGTAATTTACTTTGAAATGAAAGACACCATAATGATCAGGTAAAGAAAAAGTGGTAGAGTAAATAGATGAGTTTGGGATTCTAGATGTTTCTTTAAGAACTGTTCTTATATAAGGATCTAGCATAATGAGCTCTAACTGAATATCTGAAACAACAAAAGGTATCCATAAACCGTTTTTGTATTGCGAGAGTGTGATTTCAAATGTCTAGTATATTTTCCCTTCAGTTATACTTTCTATTTAATCATACATACCACATTGTCCTTTACTTTATAAATATTAGGTGGATTTGTATCTAATGTTTTATGTGCAAGATTGTGTTTTATTGAAACCACTTTTAATACACTTTTTTCTTGAAAAAGCCACTCAGTAATATCCTCTGCAAATTTCTGATTCCCAAATTTTAGATTTTTTTTAAAATATGAATTAAAAAAACTAAAAATGTCAATTCAAAATAAATATCAACATAATTTTTATACTTATTAGAAAACATTTCGATACTCCCTGTAACTATAATTCGCGCATTATTTCTTGCTTGGAAACCTGTTATAAGATATGTTTGGCTACCTGCTACCCATGGCTTTTTTACAAAATTAGATTCATCTTTTGTATTATAACTATATGCTGTTCTTCCAGTAGTAAGAATAGGGACAATAAGTTGCCCATTTCCTAAAAAATGGGAAATCCCTCGATAAAGTATTGGAGGTCCTTTAATAACTTCGTCACTTAATACATAGTTGTTTTTTTTAAAATTGTCAATAAGAAGCAAAGAATGTTTCTGAGAATCAGATTTATCATATGAAAAATGGTCTACAACAAGAGTATCTTGTTCTGCTAAGTAAATCCCCAATTCAGATGTGAAATTACGAATATTTTTCGGTGCAGTAGACAAAGTAGCAATTAAAATATTTCCACCCTGATCAATAAACTCATAAATTTTGGAATTGGGTAAATAGTATTCAATTTCTTTAAAATATTAGCTTATACGGATCTTTATTTTAATATAAAAGCTTATCTACTGATATTTTTTTCCTTCGTCAAAAATAAAATAAGATGATCATAAATACGTTTTTCATATTTAAAAAGAGATATACTATCTATCTCAGGATCCTTAAATGTTAGATTGTACCCCCGTACTTAATATCTTAATATTTTTTTTTTAATAATATATTACATACTTTTAAAAGAATCAAAAAAAAGCGAAAAATCATTATAAGATATATCTGAATTATGAACAATCAGCAACTTATCTCCCGTAAAAGATTTTCCTAAAATTAGCTTAATTCCAAAAACTAATATTAATCCAAAAAATATCCTAATAAATTTATAAAGGTTCATTTTTTTAAAAAGTTTTAAAACGAAGTTAAAAACTTAAGATTATTTCATAAAACTACATAAACTTCTAGATATAGAGGAAAAATAATTAGAGAAAAAAATGATGAATTCAGAGGAGTTTCATTATGTTTGCTGTAAAAAAAGGAAAAAAAAAGAAAAAAAGAACGTAAAATGTCTTTTTTCTGAATATAAAAAACAGACAGAAAAATTAATTGAATCAAGTTTTTATTGTTTTGCTTCGGGTATTATTTTTCTTAATTTAATAATTCTCCTTATTTATATGTGCTGGATTCTATTTCTAGAATAATATCTTTAAAACTAGATAAGATTTCTCGTTTAGTAATGTTGGGATTGGGAAGTTTTCAGAATAATTCGCGAAGTTTGACTCAGCTTTGTTTTGGAATTGAAATATCAAAAAATCTTGGTATTTTTTTTTATTATATTTGTTTTATTGTTGAAAAAATAGGATTTAAAGGAAAATTGGAAGCATATGATCCTGTTTTCACCTTTTTAGATTGCCAGTTTTTAAAAGAACTTAATATTGACTTTGATTTAGAAAATTCATCAGTAAATCTTTCTTTTAATAATATAATGTTGTAATTTTTTTAGGATCTTTATGATGCAAAACAGCCTGTTATATTTTATATGCCGCACTGTCCTATATCAATGTATGAAACATTGTTTAAGAAAAACTGGACATTAAAGAGGCTTTGTAATATCTTCTTAATAGGAAATTCTTTAAAAACATATGATTTAACTATGTAATTATATATATATATATATATATATCCTAATTATATTTCAAGGGAACTCGCGAAAAAGAAGAAATATCCATTTGTTTTTAAAGCATGTTGTATGTCTAAATCTATTGTCCATATATTAGCTAAACTCTTTAGTGATATTTGAGTCAATTTTGTTTTCAAAAGCTTTTGAGCAACCTGAAACATTTAATGATCTTGCCTTTCAATGGTGTGAAGAAATTGTTGCTGAAAAATTCTTAGTTTAAATAACAATGAATATAAAATATAAGATATTAAACAAATTCTAGAGCTGTGCATACAAATTAAATATTTAAACAACTGATTTAATTTTAATTAAATTCCACATTTTTAAGTTAAATGATAGTGAATTGTCGAATTTGTGTTCTATAAATTAAATTAAATAAATAAATTATATGATATGTTTTGTTTTCAAAAACATTATGATGTCATTTTAAAAACCAATATTGATTTATCATCACCACCACTTATAATTGTTTTCCCATCTAAGCTAGAACACATACATAAAATAGAATCGCGATGTCCAAAACATTGTTTTAAGCATTTTCCGGTTCTTACATCCCATCTTCGAATTGTTCGATCAGTTGATGCAGTAATGAGGTAAGGTGTATTAGAGATAAAAGTAAGAGAAATAACTGCACCCTAAGAAATATTAATAGAATAGACAATATATATACAAATTACATCATGAGCCAATACATTTCTTAATTTATATGTAAAAGTGTCATATAATGCTACTGTACCATCGATACTAGCACATGCTATTATTGGAAGTCTAATATAAAAAATTATTCCAGAATTTTAATTATTTAAAGAAAAATACACATCGCAATATGAAATACTTTCAATACTTTCTTTTTGTTCGTTAAGGTTTTCTAAAAGAGCGCCACTAATAAGACTTATTATTTTTACTTTTCCACTAATTCCTCCCACTGCCACTACTGTGCCTTCTTTATTATACGCTAAACATGTAAGTCCCCCACAGTCAAATCTCGAATCACTTGATGTTATTTTGTGAATTATTGATGCATTTTTGGGGTCCCATATAATTAGCGAACCATCTTCTGATGCCGTAACTATTTTTTTCCCATCAGGAGTAAAAGATCCCGCATTTACTGGTTTTTTGTGGAAGCTAAATAGTTGCAGCACATTTCCAGAAGGAACTATATATCTTTATCAACGTTAAACTCTCTTTTTCTGGAAAAAAATACTTTTCCACATCCAAACATTTGCATCATTCGAACCGGAAAGAAGAATGTTGCCTTTTGGGTGCCATTGGACCCACTAAATGATTGATTTAGTTTTTAAGAAACTACTGGAACATATTTACAAGAATTTCATCGCCTCCTTCTAATGTTGTAACAAGTTCTCCGTTATTTTTATACCTCCAAATTAAAATTTGCCCATCCATACCACCTGTAGCAACATACTCTCCATCATATGAAAATGATGATACTGTAACCGAATCCTTATGTCCTAAAAATATCAATTATTTCTTCATAATAATATTTAAAAATTATTAACCAGTTAATTTACACAATCTTTCTCTTGTCGATATACGCCAAATATATGCCACATCATCCCCTCCTCCACTTACAATAATGTCTTCGTCTACTGGACTCATATCTAGGCAATATACGCTTTCCTTATGATCATAAAATCCACCTGAACTATCATCTATTAAATCTTTTTCATTTTCTATCTCTATTTCTGTGCTAATTTCACTATCATTGTCAGACATAGAAAGGTCTTCGCCTTTATTATCTATTTCTCCCTGACTTTCCTGTGAAAACTCATGGTCTGAATCATTTTTATATAACATATGTTTTTTTTGATATATTTTAAGGTCGGTTTTTAACTTTTTTTGAATTTTTTACTAAAAAAACAATTTATAAACTTTAATAAGAAATTTAGTCCTTACATAATAAATAAAGAGTTTTGCTTAATAATTGATTTTAATTTATGATTTTAAAGATATTAAGAAAAAGACAAGCAAATACTATGTCAAGGTTAGAAAATGTTTCTTTATGTATTTTAAAGAAAATTCGACATTTTTATACTGAGAAAGCATGCAATGAGAACGCAAAGTTAGGATCTAAGAAAGAAAATAGGAATCTAAAAAGCAATGATAAAAAAAAAATTCAAAATAAAAAGAGATTTTCTGAACAATCCGATTATATTAAATGGCTTGTAGATCCAATGGAAGGTGGTCAATATATAAAACCATTATCTAAAGCTGGTACGAATTTTATTCATCAAAAAGAATATCCATATCCTTTGAATCCTAAATTTAAACCACAGCCTCCATTAAGTCTTGAAGCAAGAAGAAATATTGGAGAGAAATGGAAACAAGGAAAAAGTCTAAGAGAAATTTCTGATATGTTTGGTATAAGCGTTATACGTGTAGAAGCAGTTCTTCGTCTTCTTGAACTTGAATCTAAATGGCGTCAAGAGGTAAAGGCTTTTGTTATTTTATTTTCTTTATTTAATCTGCTGAAATCTATTGTTAATATCTTTTTGAAACATATGTTTATTATTTATATAATTGATTAGTTTTTAAAGACAATTTTGTTATAATTTTCTTGTAATTATTTGAATTTTTTTAAAATTTTTTTCATTTACAATACTAATATATCCTCAGGAAAGAACCCTTGATTCATATGCTCAAACTATGCATCACATGCTTGGTTCTGCTACAAATCAGTCATTTAATGAGCCTCCGTTTTTTGTTTTTACTCCTTCTGAAACTCAAAATTTCACTTTAATACATGAAAATTCTGAATTTACTTCAAAAGATGCTGCTGATGAATTACAAAGATGTCTATATTCTGATTTTAAAGAGAAAGTAATACAATTTCAGTCGAATACCTTTTTGCATAACAAACATGATATTTCAAATAAAGAACTAAAATTACAAAAAGAAATAATCAATTCAATTTCAGAAAAAAATAGATTTGATTTAAAAGTTGTTGATTCCTATACGGGTAATATTTGGTTACTATCTAAAGGTCTTTTGAAACAAATTAAAATTAAATAATTTTAAGAAAAAAGTAATAATATATATTAGCTACTAAAGAAATAACAATTATCTATAATATAAATAATATTTTAGATATATATAGTATTTTTTACAGTAAACTATTTAATAATGAAAAATCGGGGTATTTTATTTTAGGGTTTCCAAATTATTTTAATGTTAAATTATTGACATTTAATTCTATAAATAATGCCGTCAATTACATCGTTTTGGTCAGGTTCTATAAAATATATAGTTAGTTTTTTTCTTGATTTAAAAGTCTTTTTAATATATTGATATGTTTATTAGTATCAGACAGCCGAAGAAAAACCTCATATTTTCTATTCTTTCTTACTTGGATCTTTAGGTATACAAAATATTATTTATTTTGTTATATTTATATTTAGTAGGCCCAATTATATTTTTTCTTGTTCCTCCTATACGAAAAAAACTAGGCTATGTTCCACCTGAACCTATCCCTAGAACCTATCAGCGTAAATTTAACAAAGTATAAATTCTATACTGTTTTTAATAAATCCTTAGTACCAAAAAGAAAACGGGAAATTCTTGAAGGATATGATAATTAAATGAGTTTTATTTAAATTTTCATATTTTTAAATATATACATAATACACATAAATAGGATGTCTCTGATATTAAGAAATTCATATAAATAATATTTTAAATCTTTTTAGAAAAATTCTAAATTGCGTGGAATTTTAATTTTATTTTATAATTAAAATAGGAATATTAAATTCAAAAAGCTATCCCTAAAAATTGTCTTTTGTTTATCCATTTTGATAAGATGTTGAAATGTATATCAGAGGAAATCTTTATTTTCTTTTTTTAGAAGTGGTTAACGTGTCATCGAATTATTCTTTATCTAATAATTCATGTCAATTTACTTATAGAAATATTAAATCAATTAAATACTATAATGGGCCTTTTGTCTTGAATGTTTTTGCATCTTTCTTTTTCTTCTGGTAAAGTAATAAATGAGAATTATAAGATTTTATATCATCGTCCAACTCTTTTTGAGCATCTTCCATGCATTTTTTTACTTCATTAGCTACCCGCATACCATCTATTATAAGAGAATTGACTAAACTACGAATACCATTTGACTTAATATCATTTTTATTTATTTGAGTTATTACTAATAAAGAAGAAAATTTAACGGCGAAGAAATTTTCCAGTAATTCATCAACCAGTATTATCATTCTAAATATTGGAAGAGTAATATATAATTTTTCCGTAAGATTTAATGCCAAATTATTAGAAACATCTGATTTACTTAAATTAGGCATTGAAGTATTTTCAATGAACATGTCACTTTTTTCTGCATATTCAAAACAGTTTTTTATAAAATTACTAATGCTTTTTAAATAAGTATCATCAGTTTCTTTTTGCATAAAAAATAAAAAACATTCACTCATTTTTAAAATTTCGTCTTTTGTTATTTTCCCGTCATTATCTGAATCATATAATTCAAAAAAATATGCTATTGCATGCATTAAATCAAGAAATTTGAATTCGGCAATCCCTGATATAATATCTTGTAAATTTGCTAGTCCTGATAAAGATTTGTCCCATTTTAAAAATAAAGATTTTATAAAAGTTTCATAAACATGATTAGATTCATTAATGTCGTGTTTTTCCGTATCCGATAGATCAGTTATCTTATCTTTTTGTGGCCAATTAGTAATTCCGGATATGAATATTTTAAATGCATTATAATCCATATATGCCTTTACAGGACCGAGACCAATTCTTCTTTGAAATAATGCAGAATAAAATCTATCATAAATGATGCTAATCTCGGCTGAAGTTAAATGTCCAGTGTTATGCAAGTTTCGTAACTGGGTTCTTTTTGCAAACCCTTCAATATTATTTAATACTTCATTTTTATATTTTTGTCGTTGTTTGTTAATTAATTCTACCGTTATAATATTAAATTCCTTTAATGCACATATCATTAATTCTTGGAAATGTGTAACACTTTTATACTTTAGATTTGACGAATTAGGATATGCAGATTTGTCTAAAGTATGAAAATATTTTTTTAAGATAGAAATAAATGAACCGTCATCATTAACAGTTAAAAGTTTTTCCCCATTTAATCTAAGAATGGCTATTTAAGTTTAGACTAAACTTTTATAATATAGGTTATCTACCTAAACCAATTTGAAATAATATTTTTGGACCCTCAAGAAAAAAACAATCTAAAATACGAAGTACAAAAGCTAAAGGTATACAATTTATATATAAAGAAAGAAACCAAGGCAAACTTATTAAACTAAGTTGAACGTCTGACTTTGAAAAATGCATCCACAAAATAGGCATAGTTTTCTCCAGAAGCGACTCAAAAACACGTTGATCCAATAATGTCCCATACATAGTTGTACTATAAGAGTGTTAAAAATACTTGTAAAGTTAAATATGCAAATCACCTATAATATCCTGGTAATAAATTGTCACAGAGTGCGTTTAGGAGCCAATAAGCCTGTTCCTCTGTAGTATAGCTAATATAGATTAATAGTTTATTAAATAATAAAAAGTATACATTAAAAATGTAGCAACTATAATATTCATTGCTTGGCAATATCCGAGTTCTGGATTTTTCCAGGAATATGTTGTAAGAACTCTACGTAAAGCATCTTTTCCTTCATCTGTCTGATAAGCAGGATATTCAGGAAGACTTCTGTTTAAATCTTTTTCTATTTCTTCCATGCTAGGATTTGTTTGTCCTTGATATTTTTCCTGTAGTTTTTGATATTCGTTGACATGAAGCCATCTCATTAACATACTCCCAGAACATAGCTCCCATATTTCTCCTCTAAGGTTATTTGGTAAGCCGATTTGAATAAGTTTATAAAAATCTGGAAAGCGTATAAGAGTTAAATTTCTACCATATAATTGCAAATATCCCTTCCAAAGACGCATTTTATTTACATCTTTATGCCTAATACTGTCAAATATACTTTTATAGATAATAAAAATGACTTTTTATGGCTTCCTGGGTATCCAAAATTGGGATTAGACCCAAGTCCTGTAGATAGTGGGAAATTTTGATACAATTTTTTATCCATAAGCATGTGTTCAGAAAAGCATGACAATAGAAATGGCTTAAGCATTTTTATAGAAACTATACTTGATTTCAATCTTTCTTTAAGGTAATTACAAAATGCTTAATAAGTTAAAAACGAAATATAAAATTCGAACCAACCTTCAGAATTATGATGAACTCCAATAAAAGAAATAACAACCTTCATCATATGCCAAGTAAAAATCGTCAAAATGAATATATAATCATTAGTTCTTATTCTTTCAACTTTTCGAATTGTAGAAAAAGGAAATGCAAAGCTGCAGGATTTTTTATCATTACTTATAAAGCAAAGATATGATGTTGAAGCATATATCTTCCCTTGATACATGTTTTTATTCCCCGTATCTGGAACCGTAATTTCTCCTGTTAATTCATATTGTAATTGTTCATTCTCTGGTAATCGAAACAAATTTCTAAATTTCTCGTTTTGAGAAAAAGACAAATCTACCATTAAAAGATTTGCTTTTTTTTTAATCTTATCAATAGCGCTGAGCATTATTTTTAATTTTATTGATTTCTTGATCCTTTGAATCTTTATATTTTTTTTATCACTTGAAAAGTATTAAGTTTAATTATTAAATTTTAAAGCTTATATAGTTTCTATAAAGATATATAACCCCCTAAATATGTGTGATATTTCTTGAAAATGTACCAATACAAAGACATTCTTATTGAATTTATAGAAAATTGGCGTTTTTTCATAAGATTCGGTTCTGACGTTTATATCAAAAAGTATAATTTGATAAAAAAAATAACTTCCACAATATGGTTTTTGGGTTTTAATGTTTTCTAATAAAGTTTTATTTATAAGTTATTTCTTATTTTAAAGATTAAAAATCTTAAGTTATCTTAAAATTTAAAAAAATATAACAATATAAGCTTAATATATTTATTAATAGAAAAAGGTAGTGTCTGTTGTTTTCTATATATTTTATATACTTATTTAAATATTAAATGTTTTTTAAACGTGCTCGAATATGATATGGATTAAAATTATTGGAAAAATAGATGTCATTGTGTCTAAAAAATTAGGAGAATTAGTATTTTTAATGATTCATAGACTTTAAAAAGTTTTATTAAGTTAGAAGAATTGAATTTTATGTCTGAATCAATGGAATGGAAACAAATACAATCTTTGATATAATTTTTGATCGTTTTGACTTGGATAAAATAGGAAAAGTAGAATCATATAATTAATATTTTTGGACTGATTTTAGAAGGTTTCAATACGTAAATTTATTGATTTTATGAATGAATTAGAAAAGTTAAGACGTAATGATTCAGAGCCCATTTTTGATGATATTAGTCGAAAACAAGTGGAAGAGTTTATTTCTGAAAATCAAAGTCTTGAAGTTAATAGAAATGACCTTTTTGTTTTTATAGAATCGTTGATAGGGAAAAAAATGGAGTTGATTGCTGAAGAATCATTAATTTCTTGTAAAAAAAGTGTTATAAATACTGATTTATCATCACGTTCACGGTCTGCTCCTTTAGAAGTATCAGCATTACAACACCAGAAGCCCCGTTGTTTTAGCTCTAAAGACTATATAGAATTATCAAATATTAAAGAAAAAAGTTCATTAAATAATGACTCTATAATGCCAGTAATTTTTCAAGATGTGTATTGTATAAATACTGACGTATATAGGAATCTTTTAATGTAAAAAATCATTTTTTTATAAATTATTTTATTTCTTACATAATTATAAATTTATAGATATCTCCTGTATCTCATTCTACACCTAATAAAAGACAACTTAATGACATATCTTTTTCTGGATTTCTTAAACCCTCTAGTCAGAATTTACTTAGTGATATATATAGGGATAATTTTGTAGGTTCAGATTTTGTTTTGCCAAAGATAGACGATAGTCTTGAAAAAGAAATTGTTCTTGAAGGATTTGGAAGTTCCCCGTCTTCGGTTTTACGCAAAGATATTTCTGAATCTTCTTTTGAAAAATCTCCTCAAGCTTTGCAAAAGGACGAGAATATACTTTTCTTAACTGATTTAGTCAGGAAATATAAAGATTCTGAACGACAAACTAATGCTTTAATAATCAGACATGAGCAACATATAGATGAATTGGAATCCAAAATTGAGAGCGTATGTTTAGAGCTCAAGGATAAAAAAAAAGAATTATTTGAAACCAGTTCAAGAGAAAAAAATCTTTTTAACCAGGTTTCAGTTCTTGAAAAAGAATTAGAAAAGCAACAAAAAGAATTACGTTCATGGGAAGATAAATATCTAAATATGAAGACAAATTGTGAAGAACAATTGAATGAAGTAGAACGTGTAAAAAACACAATTAAAGAAAAAGAGAAAGAGATTGAAAAATCTCAGCAATTAATTAAAGATTTAAGAGAAGGAAAAGATTCTGTAAGTAATTAATCGTTTTAGATTTTTATTTAAGCAATTTAGTTGGAAGTTGAACGTTATTTTTTCTCTGATAAAATTTCCGCTCTAAAAGAACAGTATCAAGAATTAGAATTAAAAAATCAGGAATTAAACGAGTATAAATTTGAAAATATACGTTTAAACGAAATAATAGAAAAACTTAATTCTGAATTAGATGAAATTAAAAGAAATAAATTGAAGGAAGATTTATTAGAATATACTACGACAAATATAGAAAGAGTAAATCCTATGGTTTTTTTTATATATACTGTTTACTTTTTAAAATTATTAATATTAATATAGAATTTAGAAAACGAGCTTTTGTCAACGCTTCAAAATGATAAAATAGAAGCAGGTATTTTGATAAAATTTATCTACACATGATTTATAAAAGACCAAAATTTAGTATTAAATGCTCGGCAACCTTTTATAGATACATTTGAGACATTGAATAAAGGTGTACAAGTAAATACTCTACAAGAAACAAATATAGATCTTGAGCATGAAAACAATAACTGTTTAAATTTAAATGGTAATTTAAAAAAAAAAAAAAGAAATAATTGATTTTTTAAAGTTTCTTCTAAGACGGAGTATATAAATGATAAAAGTCTTCAAAATTTTCAAGAAATTAATAATCAATACGATTTACTTTCCCGTGAAATAAATACTCAAAATCATTTGATTGAAAAATTATTTCAGCATAGATTTAAAATTTTTAAAAAAAATGAGTCGAAAAACAATTTAAAAATTAATAATTTTTTGTTTTTTATCTTATTTTTTAAGTCTTTAAATTGGATTATTTTGGTTCTGTGTATTTGCATTATACTTTCTATTGGCGCTTGGATGACTAATCAAAATTGGTTTGTATTGTTTAGAGAAAAGCCTCAGGGTATTACATATGCTGAATTGAATGCATGGAAACGAGCAAATTCTTTGGATTATAAGTTATATCAAAATGGAATTATAGGCTCTGGAAGGCTATGGTTAGAAGGAAATTGGAGATGGATTAATTGTTTAGAATGGTGGATAGATAATTTATTAAGAGATGTTAATATACAATGGCCTAGTTAATAAAAGAATTTTATGAAAGTATTTTTAATAATATATTTCATTTGATATATTGTGTTTATAATTAAAATTATAAAGATATTTTCATATTGTTTTAATTTTTCATAATTTATTTCTTTAATATAGATTGAATAAACATTGTATATTATCTATTTTTTAGTATATTATATGTAATTTATATTTAAATATATTTACTTTGAAAATATTTTTTTGATTTTCTTTATATAAAAATGTTTTAAATTCGTTTTTTTTTAATATTTAGAATTTTAATTTTTACTCTTTTATTAATTTATTTTTATATTAAAAATTTATAAGATCTGTTTAAAATATATTTTCATTATGAATTATTAAAAAGCTTAATTCTAAAAATTCAAAAGCACCAAAAAAAATTGAAAATCTCATTCATAGATAATGAAGCTAAATTTTGACAGGAGTTCAATGAATAATAAAGAATAATTTTTAGGATTTATTTAATATAATTAAAAATGCTATTACTATTTAAAAATTGAAATCATATATCAGTAAATTTAATGATGAGGTCACTCTTAAAAATTTATTAAAAAGTAAATTTTAATGGTTATATTTTAAAAGAAATGTATAACTTCTATTGCTTATTAAAAGATAGTATAATCTTATAATAATTTTTTATAAGTATGATATTTGGTTTAGCATGTAGAAATTTTGTAATCTATAGATGTTTGATATCTATGATTTATTTATATTATTCTTTAAGGAAATATTTAAATATGTTATTTTATTTTTCATATTTAATATAGCTTCTAAATGAAATTTTTCTTAAAAACATTAGTTAAGAATTAGGTTTATTTAATAGATTTTTCTATTTATTTTAATATATCAAATATATAGATTCATATATGATAAGGAATTTTGAAAAATAATTAACGAATAGTTGATTGTACCAAATACTAATATTAAAAAACTAAATGTTAAATTATAATAATTATAAAACAAAGAATTTAATATCTTACGGTTTTTTAATATTTTATAGATATTACTAAAAATTCATAAATTTACATAGTATACTTATTAGTATTCATAAGTATATTACAAAATGTTTTATTGATTATAATACAAAATAAAATTAAAACCCAAACAAAAAAATGATGTATTTTAAAATTTAAACTAAAAAACAATAATATTTAAAGTATTTTCTAATTTTAGAAATTTCAATTTCTAAAATTAAAAAAATCCTAAAAGGAAATATATATTTTTAAAAAAACAAAGGCAGATTCTTTTCATCTTTTTTTCTTCTTTCTAAATGCATAGAATTACGAATTTCTCTTCTCCATTCATCAATACCTCCATAATTAAAATTAACTGCTTTTTCTAATCCTGATGGCGATCTTACATTATGATAAGTTTTTGAATATAACATTTCTTCAAGTTTAGAAGATGGGGAATTATATGGAATAGCGTGAGGTGAATGAGATGTATGAGTCGACAAAGACGAAGGATTTTGATGATAATAATATAATAAATTTGAAGAATTTGTTACTTCTTGTTCTTGATATGGAAGTGTGCAATGAGATCGATATAAATTAGAATTTAATTTTGGTGAGGGAGATAAGTCATCTGTAAAAAGTCTCACAGGTCCTGCATTATCACGATGATCTATAGAACCAATAGAAGTATCGCAGGACATGCAAAATGATGGTGAAGCAATATCATTTTCAATAGTAGTAATGAAAACATTATTGTTATTTTCTTCTGGTAAAATTGTCAAGCTTTTTCTATCATCTGATAATGGTTGATTTTCTTTTCCATTCTGAGTTTCTAAAATTTCCAAAGAAGCTATTTTTTTTTTAAGTTGAGAAAATTCTGTATTTTCATCCATTTTTGAAAGAGGCTGATTAACATTTGTTAATGTATTTTTAGTACATACAGCAAGTGGAGAAACTTGTTCATTTTTAGATAACTCTTTTAAAGTAAATGAACTACAAAAGTTTTCTTTATATTGAGAGCTAGAGGGAACTGGTCGTTGAAAAAGCAAGTTTTTAGCTAAAAATGTACGTTTAAGATGTAAAACAAATCTTCCTGCTGCTGACCTTTTTTTAGATGGTGAACGAAAAGAAAATGTACTAAATTTGTTTCGACGAAGCGCCTGAAAACGCGAACATTCTTGATTATCATGAACAAATAATGGTACTGATAATCTTTGCTTTGGAATACGATAATGACTATCTGGTATTGATGCATATCCCATCATGCCTGTTATTACAGACCCTCTATCCATAGATCTCAATGAAACAACATCTGCTTGTGTATCATCATTCCATATTTTTGATTCTTCTATTGGTAAATGAACATTCAATTGCTTTAACATTGCTAAGCGGGCTGCATGAAGTGCAGCAGGCTGTGACTCCGAAATTGCGCCTCCTACTGATTTCGGCCGCATATTAGGTGCTATAAATATATCTTTTTATAAGAAATATCCTGTTATTATAAGATTTATTTTTTCTTTGACCGCCTGCAGTCGTGCTTGGTTTATTTCGATAATCATAAACATCAAACAAAATGGAAATCGAGTTGAATAATAAAAAAATAAAGGCATAAAATATTTTATATAAAGATAAGCTCTGGAATTATACTTAAATCATTAAGAAAAATTTAAAAATATTTAAAAATGAAGAAGATATTTATATATATAATAAATAATTAAAAATATATTATTTTAAGGTATAAGTAATACGTTGTGATTGTTTTTAAATATATAGTAAATGTATTTATTAAAGTGAACAAGTTATTAATTTGTTTAAAGATTGAATATTAAATTTTTGATCAAGTTAATGAAAAAACATTGGGATAATTTATATTCTTTTAAAATAGTATTATTCATATTCGTTTAATAGAAGCCATTTAAATCTTAATTATTATTTATTATTTATGATTTTTATATTGTAATATGTTATTAATTCTTTTTTCAATATTTATCTATTTTTTTTATAAAAGAATATTTTAAAAATATAATCCAAATCTATTTTACATTCAAATAAATTATAAAAGACTAGAATATATAAGGGATATTTAATTTTTCAAAAAATATAGTTAAACTGTTCTCATAATATTTAAAAAATAAAAAAATAGTCATTTAATCTTATATAATTTCAATGAAAAATTAAAATTTTAAAATTCAATAATAATGTTTTACATTTTTTTTTCAAAAAAATATAAAATTAATCCTTTTTATTTAAATAATTTCATATAATACTTTAAATATAATTATTTAAAAAGATTTTTAAAAAATAAATATATATATTTTTAGATGTTAATTTTTTTATTTTAAAACAATCCTATAATTTACAATCATTTTTAAAATATTATTTAGTCTAATATGTAAATACATTACTTAGAAAACTACCGGTCTGAAATTCCTAAATCAAAAAAAGATTAATTCATTTAATTATTTCTTGAAAAAAAGCTTTTTAAATAATAGAATAAAATATAAAAATATGTTCTAAAATTAATATCCAGAAACATTTTTTTCTATTCTATATAAAATCGATATATAAGCAATCAACATATTGATCAATATTTCAGTCTATATATTACTTATATATTCTTTGTGAAAATAATCTTAAAATTTATTTATATTTTATATTATATCCTATTTTTTTAAATCAAATATTTTATCAAAAACTATATATTAAAAAAAACCAATATTTTGTAAATTACTTTATAAATATTTTTTACCCATCACTAATATGGACAATGTACCAAAGTGGTTACTGGGTTGCACTCGAATCGTACGTATATACGTACGCGTGATGCAATGGGCTTTGCCCGCGTAGGTTCAAATCCTGCCATTGTCGATTTTTTTTAATATTTAAAAAAACTTTAAAAAAGTAGTTTTTATATTATCTTTAAATAAAATAAATAGTCATATTATAAAATCTTTGAATAGAAAATTAAACACTCTTTTAAAACTATAAAGAACATAATTTACTAATTATCTATGATTTGTACTTGAAAGCGATTATACACACCAGTGGTTTAGCGGTAAAATCTTCGCTTCCCATTCGGATTTTAGCGAAGGCCCCGGGTTCGACTCCCGGCTGGTGTATAATCATTCTTTTCCAGTGATGTTACTTTATTCTTGAAACTTTATTAAGATAGTTTTTCTATTTAATTTTTTTCTAATAAAAGTGATTTATCAAATATATATATAATTACTTCCATTTGTCTAATATTATATTATAATTAGACATTAGCAATTTTGTAATGATTTTCACCTTTTTAATAATAATATTTGACAATTAACTTTTAAATTAAAATCAAGATTATGTTTAAGACTTTAAATATCATACACAGCTATATAATAATTTTATATTTATTTAAACCCAATTTAGTATATTGATTTTTATACTTTAAGTATTATTATTGTTTTTTAAATATTTTGTTTTCAAAAACTTACTAAAATTAAATAATTAATATATTAAAAATAAAAAAATATAAAATATAATATAAATATACCCCCCCCCCCCTAAGTTCTTTATATAACAAAAAATTGAGAAAAAGATAAAATCAAATAAGCCAAAAAATATTTAAAAAATCCTAAAAGATAAAATATCTAACGTGCAAAACTATAAATAATTTATTTTAATAATTCTTTATAAAAGTATATATTCAATATAATATTCAAAAAAAATATATAAAGAGCTATAAAAAATTGAAGATCTTAAAAAAACTTAAATTAACAGATAGCAAATTATACTGTTAATGCGCGACTTAATGTCAAACCAAATAAAGATCGTTTTGATAAATAATTAAAATGAAGAATAGGTAGGCCTTCATCTGGATCTTGAGTATTACACCCTGAATGATATAACAAATGTCGATTGTAGAAATGAAAACGATTATTCAAGGCTGCTATTATATAATTAAAGGAGTTTTTATGGAAAATCTTCTTAATAAAAAAACAGAATATTATAAATATTACCATAATTAAAAAGAAAATTTGAAAAATGTATGTATAAGATGTGCTTAACAGACATTTTGGATCCAAAACTCGGTCTATAATAAGAATTTGACCATGAAATGTTGTTTTTCCTTCACCAAGTATATTGATTTGCTGATAACAATTCTTAGACGAATAAAAATTAATATTATATAAAGAACCATCAATCTTTACTGCTCCAATTTTTATTCCATCTTTATGTAAACTTGGACGAGGATACACATCCTTTAGAAAATCTGAATTGTTTAATTGAGGGGGTAACAAATGCAATTTCACAATTTCTTGTAAAGTTGAATTATCACGAACCATATTTTTAATGGTTCTCCATGCACTATCAATAGGCGCTAAAATGGTAAATTTTTCTTGAGGATTTAGTAAATAAAAAAGATCACTTGATTCAATTGTTTGAGGAAACAGAGAAACATGTTTGGTTGAAAACAAGTGTTGAGGTGTAATATTTAATGTCGATGGAATAAATACCTTAGAAACGGTATGAGCCACACCATTTTCCAAAAGAATATCATGTTCTTCAATCTGAAATTTACAAGATTTATTTTTTGATATAATAGAAAATCCAGTAGGATATTTTTGAATAGTCGCTGAAGCACCACCAAGAGTAAATATTGTTTTATTTAACAATAAAAGCTCATCAAAATACAAAACTTCGTTAAAAATAGTATTAATTAAAACTTCTTTAAGTATATCTTTAGATGAATCTAATGTTAAATAATCCTTAACTAATCCTAAATCTTTCCAAGCAGAATTCGTAGGCACAAAATATGTAAGAGATTCTTTATTGCGTAGCAGTATATCCATTTTTGTATTATATAAATATTCCATGCTTATAGATATATGGAATATAGGAGCAGCCGTTGCTGGAAATGAAAAAGGAGGAACAAGTTCCGAATCAATTCGATAAATTTTAGTTTTACCAATTACAACTAGTACTAATTCAGCATATTTTTATTATAATAAAAAAGTATTACGTGATTTTCCTAAAATCATAGATCGATCATTTAACCATATTTCGCCATTTTTCCGTGATATCTTAATTTTTTGATTTTTTCCTCCAAGTAATTTTTCTTTCATTTTCGTTGTCAAAAGTTTCTGGCCTTCCAATGTATCTATGTCAAACCAATTATATATAAAATGGTATTTAATTTCTTGTATACATCGTATTTTTTTCATATCTATATCAAAATAAAACGAAGAATCAATGGGCGCTAGTATCACTTGTTCTATAGATTTGTTATTAACTAAATCTATCAACCCCGTAACGAGAATTTCATCTGCAAATTTTGTTGTATCAGTGCCATAAAGATATTTAATAGGAGTAAATTCCAGATATCCAGGAAACATAAGATTATCTATTTTATGAATTACTCCTATGAAATTAAATATTTTTTATATTATTTAATATTCATACCATTTTTTGTAATAATATCATATTGAACAATTTTGTATTCATTTACATAAAACCCTGTCCTATTTTTAACTATATTTAGCAATCCATTTGCATCAGATTTAGCTTTTAAACATTAGTCGTAAAAAAATAAAAAAAAAAAAAATTACATGCAATTTTATCAATAACATCGCATTTATAAATGACATTATTTGTTTGTAAATGATTAAGGATAAGCATCTTTAAGTCAGAAATACCATATCTAGATCTAAGATATGTGTATTCTATACTATTCAATCTCTTAAACGTCTCTATTAGTAGGAGCATACATTGTTATTTTTTACATGATTTAAAATCCCATAATCTATTAATTTCATAAATGTCGTCAAATCTGGATCAACAGATAAAACTGAATCTATTTTTAAATTAGATAACAAATGATTTGAAATTTACTAGATACACATATTTTCCGGAGGAATCATTATTTTGTCAGTTACTTGAATTATACCTATAATAAAAATATAAAAAAATATTTAAAACGAAACATCATATACCATTGCGTATTGAATAATCTCCTTTAATAATAGAAACTCCACCTATATTTATTTTTTTATGTCCCTCAAAGTCGACAATTTCTTTTACTTTTACACCTACACCATCTTTCTGCTCATAATTATACATATGAGACCGAAAAACATATTCATTGATTACATCTTTTGTTAATAATATACCATCAAGAATATGATATTTTAATATTTCCGGCGTCAATTTGGTTTTATTATCAAACGCTTTTTCGCCAGGTGCAATAAATGTAATATTTTTTAGAGAATTTAAGTAATTAATCAACCTTTTTTTCTGTAATTCCTTAATTAAAGGTTTAAATTCACTTGATGACGATAAAAAATCAATAACAGAAATAGATGTTTCAATTACTTTATATTGTTGTTTTTTAGCTCTAGTATTAAGTGATAATGCCTTAATGTCTTTATTCCCTATAAAACTACTCATTTACCATATAAATACATAAAGAATGTCCCGTTTTTATTCTTTTTACATTATAAAATATAGTTAGTTATTAAATCATTTAAATCCCTTTTAAAATTTAAAAAAAATCTAATTAAATTATTTATATATTTTCGAAAAAATTTAGATTAATCAAGTCTTAATGTTCTTTATACTAAGTAGCTTCAGGTTTAATTTTTTGAAATATTTTTATATAAAATTTATTCGCAGTTAAAAAAATTAATATTCATTTTTAAAGGCTGGAATGGATGGATTTAGAAAAAAGTACTATATTATTTCCTCATGAAATTAAGAAAAAAATATACATTGTAAACTTATATACATATTTGTTTATTTATTAATATTTTTAAAGTTGCCTGATGCTTCTAATGATTTAACCTCAGTAACGTTTCAAATCATTAAAGAAGATCATACTTTAGCAAATGCTCTTAGATATATAATTATGAAGAAGTATTAAACAATTTTTATATATTTTAATCTTAATAACAAAGTCCTGATGTTGAATTTTGTGGGTATTCTATTCCTCATCCATCTGAACCTAAACTTAATTTTCGAATTCAAACATATAGTATTTTCTTATATTAAATTTAAATCTTTAATAATCGTTTTTTAGGAAAAGTTTCTGCTGTTGATGTTTTTCTTAAAGGACTGGATGATTTAATAGCTCTTTGTGATCATGTTGCAGATACTTTTCAAAAAGAAATAAGATTTAGCAATAGTAAAGAATATAAAAGAGTAAATTAATATATATATATATATTAGTGTTATTTCTATTATTTTTTAAAACTACTGTAAAACATTTATAAATTTTAAAATACGTTAAAAAATATATTATAAATAATAAATAAATCGGTATATTTTATTCAAACAAGTTTTTTCGTTTTGAGCCTTTTCATCTTTATTAAAGGATTTTTTACGCAAATCTATATTTTATGGATTTTCAAATAAAATATCAAGCTTATGTGCCTTTTAATAGGCTAATACTTGTTTTAATTGATGCTTTCGAGGGCTTTATTAATTATATAATGAAATATTTATATTAATGATACAGTGATTTTATTTTTTCAAATAAATTTTCCATGATTTTACAAAGAATTTTATATTTTTATTTTAAAATAAAATAAGTAATTATAAATTTAATTTCATCTGGAAAAGTATATCTATATACTGCCTATGCATCATTACAGACAGTAGCTCTTCTTTGTACTAAAGCATTAACAACAAACTTCTGTTTTTTTGGACACTTAATATTGTAGAATTAAATACACTTTCTACACTCATAAATCAAAATAGTTAACCTGTATAATTTGTTTCAAAAAGAAGCATTGCTATGTATGGTAACAATCCATAGATAAAGCTTTTTCCAGGTTAGTTTTTTTAGATCAGAAGGTACTTTAGTTTTTATATTATAGTAATTAGTTGATTTTTTTTGTCTTTTTAGTTTTTTTTTTAGGATTTTACTGAGGCAAATTTTAATATATCAAGAAATCTTTATTTAGAGATACAAAAAATGAATGGGATGTTCCTATTTTATATTATCTTGGATTAGATCATATTGGAAATTTGGTAGTGCCTAATAGATATATTATTTTATTCTATATAGATGATTAAAAAGGTTTTTAAAAACCCTCATATGTTTCCAAAACATATTAAAGTAGATCATATTATTAAAAATATTTATGAATTTATCAAAAAACAAGATAGGAATTCTGAATTTTATACTTTTATGGTACTTTGTGGCGACAATGGAATGAACCACGTCTAAATATATACTAATATTTCTATTTATCTAGGTTTATAAGGTAGCAAATTATGGAGGCTCTTCAGCAGGTAAAACTTTAACTATACATGTTTTTCTTTATTCCAATTATTTTAGGATTATAACTCAATAAACTTTTTATATCATCATTTTTCTTGAAGATTTTTAAATAATGTTACTTTATAGAATAATGAATATCAATATTGTTTTTCTGACTAATAATTAGATATTGTACCGACTAGAACTTTTTTATTGGGATTTAATATTTCAAAAAATAGTTTAGAAGTTGTATTACCTGAATTATTGGATTTGTGGTAAGGTAATAATTTATTATTTTATTTTTTTTTTGAAAAATTATATAATGGATGCTACTGATCAATTAAAAATTTTAAAAACAAATTATAATCAAGTTTCTGAAATTCTGAAAACAGTTTGTAGTTTTCTAAATATCGGAAAATCAATCATGCTCATATATTGATAACAATATAAAGAAACTATCTTATATTAAAAACAAATAAAATATTTAGAAGACTAAGAGTTGATTTAAAATATTTAAAAGAGCGGCATTTAGATGTTTAACCTTTAATATTTCATGTTAAAAACTAGATATAATAAGTATTTAAAAACAACACAGACAATTCTTCCTAGAATGTTGTCAAACTATAATACAAATTGTATAATTCTTGGAATAATTATATTTATTTTTTCAGTTTTTATCTCTTTTTTATAATTTAAAAAAAATGTCATATTTATCAATCATTTAGTTATATTAGGAATGATATTTGGGATTACTTTTGGAATAAAATGGTGTTCTTAAATCGACAATTGGATAATCTCTGAATATTTTGATTTGATAATATTTTCTCATTTAACATTTTTTATTATTTTTGCAGGTATAACTATTTTTCATTATCATCAAGAAATTTTAATGGTAATCATAATTTCTTTTACTAAACTTCAATAAATAATCTAGACATTTTTGCTTTAATGACTGGTCTGTATCCTTTACTAGCTATATTTTTAATTACTAAAATTTCATGATCAATATTTACCTCTTCATTATATTTCATCTTCAATTAGATATCATTGTTTTTTATGATTTCAATATAGAGCTTATATCATTAATAGGCTTAATTTTTCAACATTATTTTCTTTTTACTTTAAAAAAATCAAATTCTATTTCTTTTATCCACTTATCAAATCTATATATTGGTATTAAAAATCATAACCTCATACTTTACTAGTACTTTAGCAAATCTATTCAATTAATTAGGTCCTTATTTGAATTTTTTGTTTTATTAATAATTTTTTATTCAGCTTTTCAAACATTTCTTATCTCATATCTTGCACAATTATCTATTTATATGGTCTGTTTTTCTCATAAAATACTTTATCATACTATTTAGTTAATTTTACATAATTTTAATTGCACTTTATTTGGATATTTAATATTGGTTATTAAGTATTTGAAAAGTAAGACTTATGCTTTAGCACTAATTTAAATTAATTTTTAAAACTGCTAAACATTTCAATTATTCTATATACAAATTTATTAGCGTAGTTTATAAATATAGATCTTATATATATAAAATATGTTTCAGATAAAATATAGCATAATAAAATTCTTATTTTATATATCTTTAATTTTTTTATAAATATTTTGCTTATAAAAAGTTTTCAGCTGCAATTTAAAAAAAGATATAAAAATAATGAAATTGCTTATAATTGGGAATGGAGGTATTAGATATTCTTAATATAATACTATTCATAATATTTTAGGAAGAGAACATGCACTTTCATGGAGATTATCAAAATCTCCACGGGTTGAGAAGATATTTGTTGCACCAGGTTAAAACAGATAAATATAGTTATGTATCTGATTTAAGTTATATAGGAAATGGAGGAACAAATGGTTTATATGGGATTGTAGAAAATGTAGAGATTGGTCCTTTAGAATTCGAAAAATTAGTGAAATTTGCAGTTAGCAATGATATTGATCTTGTTATACCAGGAACAGAAGTACCATTAGTCGCAGGTGCAGAAGAATACTTTAGAAAAGGTATTTTTCTATGTTTATTAGTCTTTAAATGTTTAATTATAATAGCTGGAATTTACTTTTTTGGACCATCAAAGAAAGCCGCGCAAATGGAAGGATCAAAAGCATTTTCTAAAGATTTTATGAAACGGCATAATATACCAACTGCTAAATATAAGGTAAAGGAATATTATTCTATATTTGATATGAAATAATTTTTTATAGAACTTTACTTCATATGAACTTGCAAAAGAATATATATTACAAGTAGATTATGATGTGGTTATTAAAGCATCTGGATTGGCTTCAGGAAAAGGTGTAATTGTTCCAGAATCTAAATCGCATGCTCTTACTTCCCTTCATGAAATTATGGAAAACAAAATTTTTGGTATAGCTGGTGATGAAGTGGTTATTGAGGAACGTTTAATTGGAGAAGAATTAAGTATTCTTGCTTTTTCTGATGGGTATACTATAAAGCTTTTGCCTCCTGCAAGAGATTATAAACGTCTATATGATGGAGATAAAGGACCAAATACAGGTGGAATGGGTTGCTATTCTCCATCTATTTCAACCCTATCTTTATTAGAACAAATTCGTAAGGAAATTTTGCAAGAAACTATTGATGGAATGAGGAAAGAAGGTGTTTAAGGTCTTTGTAGCTTAAAAATAATGTTTGTTTAAATACATTAGGTTTTCCATTTGTTGGTCTTTTATTTACAGGTATTATGTTGACTTCAGATGGTCCAAAGGTTTTGGAATATAATGTGCGTTTTGGTGATCCAGAGACCCAAACAGTCTTGCCATTACTTCATGAAGATACAGATCTTTTGGAAATAATTTTGGCATGCATTGAGCGAAGACTTGATTTTGTTCAACTTCATATTAATCCACTTTTTTCTGTTTGTATTGTTCTTGCTGCAAAAGGCTATCCTTATTCTTATGAAAAGGAGAAATTAATAGATATCGGTACTATTGGAGATGGTTAGACATTATTAATTAATTTTATTTATATTAATTTTATTTTTAGAAGCCATTGTTTTTCATTCAGGAACAGCTATTTCTGAATCAAAAGAACTTGTTACTACTGGAGGAAGAATCTTATCAATATCTGCTACAGGAATAACACTAGAAGAAGCAGCCAAAAATGCTTATAAAAATATTAAATCTATTTTTTTTGAAAATATGTTTAATCGTAATGATATTGCTTATAAGTTATTGACTAAGAATGATAAAAGACCTCTTTTAAATGTATCTAGGGAATGTGATACGAACAAAAAAAAATTGAAAGATATTGTTACATATTTATCGTCTGGTGTTTCCATTGATACTAGTAATAATTTTTTAAGTATAATTAAATCGAAAATTCAAACTACTAAACGCCTCGGTTCTGATGCTATAATTGGAGGATTTGGGGGTATTTTTGATTTAAAAAAATTAAATTATAAAGATCCTTTATTAGTTAGTACAATAGATGGAATCGGAACAAAAATAAAAATAGCTCAAGCTATAAATAGACATGACATAATTGGTATTTATCTAGTTTTTAACTCTTTTTACTAAATTATATAGGAATTGACCTTGTTGCTATGAATGTTAATGATTTAATTGTCCAAGGAGCAGAACCATTGTTTTTTCTTGATTATTATGCTTGTAGAAAACTTGATATTAGCAATGCTACATCATTTATTGACGGTATTTGTAACGGTTGTATAATGGCTGGATGTGCACTTATTGGTGGAGAAACAGCAGAAATGCCTGGAATATATTATAATAAAGATTTTGATAGTGCAGGAGCAGCTATCGGTATTGTAGAAAGAAAAAACCTTCTACCTTCTTTTGAGATAATGAAATCTGGAGACATCGTTTTGGGGTTAGGTTCAAGTGGACTACATTCAAACGGATTTTCTTTAATAAGAAAAATAATTGAGAAATCTGGATTATATTATAATGATCCAGCACCATGGGACCCTTCAACAACAATAGGTCTAAGTCTTCTTACGCCAACTAGAATATATGTTAAATCTCTTTTAAATTTAGTAAAAAAAGGCGTTATTAAAGGAATGGCGCATATCACTGGCGGTGGATTTATAGAAAATATTCCAAGAATTCTTCCAGATAATCTCATGTGCGAAATAGATGCAACATCTTGGGAACTACCAAAAGTTTTTTCCTGGCTTAAAAAAGCTGGAAATGTTCCTATTAATGACCTTTCAAGAACTCTTAATATGGGTATAGGAATGGTGATAATTGTAGATATCATGAACGTATCAGAAGTATTGACAGAATTAAAAAATATGGGTGAAAATGTGTATAATATTGGAAACATATTAAATAGAACATCGCAACACCCAAAATGTTTATTAAAAAATTTAGATGCATGGGAATAAGAAAATATAGCCTTTATATACAATAAATATACTGTCGAATAAAAGTATACTCATAAACGTGTGTCAATTGTTTTATGAATTAATCAATTTAATCTGAAATGTACAACCAGGAAAATTAGTTGTATCTGCAATTACAGTGCATTGTTCCCCTAAATTAGTTAAAATTCCCCGAAGCATGCCACATGGAAACCAAAGAAACTAATATAATAAATTAAAATTAGGACATAACATATTTTTTTACGAACAATTTGCGCTTTATTAATTGCATCCTGCCCTCCTATTTTTGTTGACATCCGTAAAAACCAAGAAAAAGAGTAGTCAGTTAAGACATAAACACCCTACAATGAGCATAAATAAGACTTACAAAATATGAAAAACTACTTTATGATTTGTTTTGAGATTATCTATTTGTTTTTTAAAAAGTAACATCCATATATCTTTACAAATGAATTTAATCATATCAAGAGGTTCCATAAAACGTGACTTATTTTGCGAAAATCTAAAAAATTAATATATAACTTTTTTTTTATTGACAAACCGTTCAACAAGTCTTTGTCCCACTTTAAAACCTAACAATTCTAATCTACCATAAATAGCTTCGCGTTCATCATCTTCATGCTGTATGGCTACTAAACTAGATGCCTCAAAACTTAAATCTCTACGAACTTGAGGGGAAGACATTGTAGTTAATGTTAGCCGTTTCATTATAGGAATCATTTCAATCAAAAGTAAATCCATACATGATGAACTAACAAATATAGCATGAGGATCGACCTGCATTATTTCTTAGGCAAATTATGTATTATTTCCGGCAAAAAATAAGATTTCTTAATGTTATGAATTAGATTTTTTTTAACGTTGAAAAATCGACAAGTTTAAATATTAAAGCCGAGAAAATTATAAAAACATATATTAAATGTAATATAAATCGATGTATTTATGTTGTTAAAACCGTATATAAAGTTATGAATGTGTAGAATGAATATCAATACAATTATTCTCCCGAAATTCTTCTTGCCAAGCACATGAATTATCTTTGTTACTCCAAAGATCATTAGAAAATGGTCCTAAAAATGCAGACGAATTATTAATGTCTTTTGTGTTATTGTCAGCTAAAGACTTATATAATACAGTGGAATGCTCAGACTCTAATGTAGATAATTTCACTGAATTATTTAAAGATTGATCGACAGGTATAATATCTGTAGAGATAGGATGACCAGATTCAGATACATTTGAATCAAAAAAACAAGCTTTCGGTAGATGAGAAATAGATGCTAAATTTAAATGAAATTTCGGAAACTGAAAATCAGAAGATAATGTTTCTGATTGTGTATCAACAGAATTGTTACGACATTTTTTATGTAATGGAGATTGCATAGGACTTTCGTCGTCGCTATCGAGTGTTAGATCGATTACTGTAGGTTCTGATCGCTTATATAGTGATTTAGATGATGATAAAACTGAATGATTTTGTTCAAGAGATGTTTCATGATTGTTTGGATCCATATAAAACGTGTTATGCTTTTTAGAAATATCTTCATTATTATTAGAGTCGCTTAATTCATTGCCAATATTTGACTTCGTAATAAACCAGGTTCCATTAAGATCTATTGTAACAGATTCTACTGATAAAGAAACAGAATTTAAGATTTCTAAAGTGTAGCTGTAATACTTAAATATAAATCAATCATACTTAATAAATGTACCTATCAATAGCAAGATCATCTATTGCATGAATCGGCTTATTGCATATTGGACATTGCCAAGTAGGTGTTTGTTCATTTAATGTAAGAAATGAATAGGCATCAAAACATTGTACATGATTGCAATATATTGATCTGCATGGTAATTCAATACGAGTATAAGAAATGGGATCTTTAAGAGAAATATCATAAGAAGTGGCTATAATATCTCCATCTTCCGAATCTTTTTTTACTTTAAAAATTATTATATGAAAAAGTAATATAAAGAAAAATACTTGTATCTAATATCGTCTGTTTTGATAGACATCTCCCTGCTTTAATGTGCTGAATAATATCACAAATAGTATATTTTTGTACCAAATATACACCAAATGAATATCTCTATTTAGTAAATAAATAATAAAACATTAAATTCAAAAACCTTTTCAGTATTTGCATATATTATTTCAATTTTATTGACTAGTTTTGAATCCAAAAATAATAAACTTGTAACATCAACAGGTGGTGCAGTACCTGGCTTTTTTTTTAATCCTCGTGTATTAGCGCTAAGATGTTTCCCATTTACTTTCAAATCCATATGAACAGGAAATTCAATCAATGCTAAACCAAATGCAGCAGAATCTGTTGCTGTACAAAAAAGGTAAACTCGATAACTTTCATTCGATGCTAATTTTTCAACCGCTTTTAATGAAAGTCGTACTGATGCTGTTATAATATTCCGTAACATTGCTATCTTATCGTTAAATGTGTTTATATATGAGTCCCATCCGCTTACGTGGACAAATAATAGGACTATTAATATTTTCAAGAATATTATAGAAAGGACTGGGTTTAAAATTAATTCTTTGAAAAACTGCAGTGATATAAGAACATTCTTTTTCATATAAATTCAAAATAATAGTCTAACCATTAATTGTCGGTAAAGAAAGTGCTGGTTCAGAAATCGGTAATTCCAAAGGTGTAGAAGACATAATTGGTAAACTAGAATAAAATCTCAATAAAAGGAAAAAAATAACTAATTTCAACTTCTTAGAAGTATAAGAAACAACATATGAGGGTATTGGATGAAGATGAATCCCCATAATACTATTTTTAAGACGTTCATATTGAACAATATCTTTTGTCTCAACAACTTTATCTAAGAATTCCCGAATACGAGTAATTAAAATATATTTCTTTCCAGATATTGGAAGTCCATATTCCTTAAGAATAGCCCTTAATGTTGTTACTAAAAGTCTGTTTTCCAGATGATGAATAATTAACTAAAAATCATTAATTAGCCATCAAAAATTATCATTTTCTTCTCTCTTTTTTCCTACTGGATAGTTCTGAAATGGAGGGGAATACTGCATCTTTAAACTATGAAAATCCCTTATAAAATACTTATTTTTCCGAATTTTTAATACATCTTAAATATAGACGTCTTCGTTAAAAATCTACCTAATTTAAACTTCATAAAAAATATTATTTTTATTTATATTTATATATAAATATATAAATATATAAATAGTAACAAGAGAGATTTGGTATAGATGTATATTTGTTATAATATTGTTTTTTTTTGAAAAAAAACGACATATTTATGAGCTAAAACGGATATTTTTGGATATCCTTTTAGTGATAGTGTAAAAATGGCAAAATCTATTAGATCTAATAAGAAAAGACTATATAGAGCAGAAAAACGTAGGAGTATCTTTGAACCTATCTATGCAGCTCGTGTCAAGAGGCTTTCTTCTCGTTTAAAAAAACTTTTTAGTGAAAATGTAGATGATTTAGATAAAATGATTATTGACCAGGATCAAAACAACAATATGAATAGGAATTCTAAAGGTATCTATATTTTTTATGTTTTTTTGTTTAAAATAATATTTAATATTTTTATAAGATATTATAAATATGAATATAGATGAAACACAAATATCATCTACAAAGCTCCAAAATGAAGATCAGTCACAAGTAAAACATGCAGTAGTTGGTTTAAAAAAAAAGAAATTTCGGAAAATCAAAATTCATAAAAAAAAAACGGTTTTTTGGCACATGTTTCTCTAATTTACGAAAAAAAAAAGCGTTAAATTATGTTAAATTGTAATAAAATGTACCATATATTGTTTATATTTTTATACTTTTATTATTGGCTTTAGAAATTAAATGATTTTTAAGTTTTTTTATAAGAATTTATTTATTTCTAAATCACATTATCAATAATATTCTTAAAAAAGAATAGATCTATATATAACGCATTATTTCATAGCTAATTAGAGGAGAACTTTGAAACATACTTTTAAATATTTATTAAAATTTAAACGTTTATTTTAAACTTTATATTCATACAAGCTTAAATTGTTTCGTTCCTATAACAAATAAAAAGCAATGATTACATAATCTTAAAATTTATAAAAAAAAGGCTGTATAATGCAATAATCATACAATTCTGAGTATTTTAAGAAAAGCCAATGAAAAAAGCATATATCCATCTAAAAACACTATTTTAATGCTTCAATACTTGAAGTTAAACGAACAGCATTTATCCAATGATCCCATGAAACTGATTTAGATCCACATGTTTTAGAAATTAATTTAGCGACACTAATACGAAACCCAAGTTCTTTTTCTCCAATTTTATTTCCAAATTGACGTTGTTGAACAAAATCTAACTGAATCTTTTCAGAAATGTCATTTGATATCCCAACCGATATTTGTCTAGTATAAGCAAAATATTTTCTGAATTGTAATAATTTATCTGAAGTAAGAGATAAAAGTAATGTTGAATCAGATAGTGGCTGAGGTCTTATAGAAATTGATGTATCAACCTAAAATATTATTTCAGTATTTAGAACATTTTAGATAAAACGCATACAGGCAATAATGTCTTTTCATTCTTACTTAAAACAATTATCTATATAATATTAGATATTTTTTCATATATGAATTTTATATTACTGTAAGATCTGTTTCTATTTCAAACTCGCTAAATGAAAAATGAAACGGAAGAACCTGAGACATAACAACTTGACTAAGAGAACGTATATTTTTTATGCCTATTTATTTAAATGATAAATTATAATAAATATAATGGATAAATAGTACCTGTATCATTTAATGTCCCTTCATCCATACTCGTTTCATCAAAACATACAATAGTTCCCTTAGCTAGTTGCATAATACCTGCCTGCAATTTTTCTCCATCACTTGAAGGATAAAATTTATTATTATTAAGATTGTAGATGTCAATTTTTTCATATACAAATGCGGGAATAACATTTTTTAAAAATTCCTTAAATTTTAAAGATATAGTAGGAGTACAGTTTCGAATATTGATTGGGAAAGACCCCAAAATTATAGCTGGCAATCTTGATGATCTAATTTTATTTGAGAAAAAAAGATAAAAAGATATGTACTTACACACTCGATACCAAATTTAAAAGAAGAAATTCTGCAACCAAAACATCATTACAAAATATGGTTGCTAAATGATTAATGATATCCTTTCTTGTCTTTAATATATCATCTATAATTTTTAGAAATAATAATTATTAAATATTTTTTTTGCCTTGTTTCATCGTCCCAAGATCTCGAGTAACCAGTTCATTGAGATCAATCATATTCATGTGTATAACATGTATAATAGGAAGATGTAGCTTAACAGTATATTGTTCGTTAGTCATAAATTCTTGAACTGTTTCTGTGTCTTTTTCAAGTATACCAATAACTTCTACAAGATTACAGACACGAAAGGATGCTTCCATACCAGCATATGTCTTCAAAATAACCGCTAAATGTTTTTGATCTTTTAATGCAAATCTTTCGGAGATACATGTCCCTGAAGATGTATCAAGAGAAAGAGAATTTAGCATATTAGCTAAATCCTCCTGTAACCACTCTGATTCTCCAGGAATCGATGTAGCATATAAACATTGTCTTTCATCAAGTAAAATGGTTGGATCAGAAGGATCTAATGTACTTCTTTCAGGAGTCAATAAATCATATCGAGAAAGTTTCCATCCCTTTAAAAATATACATTATATCACAATTATCCCATATGTCTAAAATCTACTTACCTCTCCTTCTATTTTATATGCACCCATACATATTTCTTGACCAAAACTTGTATCTTGAATCATACCTAAAAAAAATTAGTATTTATTCCAAAAAAAAATATTTAAATTTTCCTACACGTCATTCGAACAAGTCTCCCTGTATGGAGACTCTCCCTTGGCGTTGATTCTAAAGAAGGAATCTATTATGTTTAAAATTAAAAAAAACGTCTTTTTAGCTTCAAAACTCACTTTTTCGCGCTGAGAATTCGAATAAAATACATTTAAAAAACATTCTTGTACACCAAAATCAGAAAATATGTTTAATGTTTGTTTTTTTGAATAATTTTCCTCTTTTTTTTGTCAAAATAAATATTAAAAAATATCCTTAAACCAACCAAAAATACTACAAATTTCATTTATAGGATTATTTAACCAAGAATCAACAACAGACCGAACCATATATTAATTAAACTCCAAAAACTTCTATAATAAAACCTCTATAATTACAACTTTATTATGTATATTTATTAAGAAAACAGTGGTCGTTAAACGGTTGATCTGACAACCCCTCGTTGCTATCGTTCTAAGTCTTAACTTACCAAGAAATAATGTTAGATTCAATTCATGATAAGACGGTAAATAAACCAGTTAAAGAGAAAAATACAGATAATAACAGTAATAATGACGAGGAATTACCATGGTACCTTTTTTTCTGGGTAATTTTAGGTGAAATTAACGTTTTAATAGGGTAGAAAAGTATCGCCCGATTTCTCTTGAAGATATTGTGGGAAATGAGGAGACAATTGAGCGACTAAAGGTTATTTCAGTCAATGGAAACATGGTATATTCTTATTAATCTTTACTTTTTGTTTATTGTTGCAGCCACATATAATGATTTCAGTTTATTCTTTTTTATATATTATGAAGAATATTGAATGTGTTATAGGGAATGCCAGGAATTGGAAAAACAACATCAGTAATTTGCCTTGCTCAAAAAATGCTTGGAGATTCTTTTAATGAAGCGGTACTTGAATTAAATGCATCAGATGAGCGGTATATAGTTTTTTTATTTTAATATTATTTTATCTATAAAATAGAGGCATTGATGTAGTACGTAATCGTATCAAAGGATTTGCACAAAAAAAAGTGAATCTTCCTCTTGGAAAACATAAAATTATCATTTTAGATGAAGCGGATAGGTAAGGTTATTGAAATATATGTTATTTTTATTAAATTTTAGAAAGTATGACACCAGGAGCTCAACAAGCTCTTCGGAGAATTATGGAAATTTATTCTAATACTACTCGGTTTGCTTTTATATGTAATCAGTCTAATAAGATTATTGAACCAATACAATCAAGATGTGCAATTCTTAGGTATTCGAAGTTAAGTGATCAACAGATTCTCAAAAGATTACTTGAAATATGTAAAAGTGAGAATGTTAAATATAGTGATGACGGTCTTTCTGCTCTTATATTTTCTGCAGAAGGTGATATGCGGCAAGCAATTAATAATCTTCAAAGTACAGTTACGGGCTTTGGATTCGTTAAAGGTGAAAATGTGTTTAAAGTAGTAGACCTACCATCTCCAGGAGCAATTAAAAGCATCATTAATAATTGCAAAAAAGGTGACATTAATGTTGCTCTTGAAACACTTAAGGATCTTTGGAATATGGGATATAGTGCTTTAGATATTATCACAACTTTTTTTAAAGTTGTGAAAATGATGGATGAACTACCCGAATATACAAGATTGGAATATATTAAGGTAACTTCTATACATAAATAAGGCATATTATATGTGTATGTAGGAAATTGGGACAACACACATGATTATTCTTGAGGGAGTACAAACACCGTTACAATTATATGGTTTAGTTGCACGTTTAACAAAAAAAAACATGGATCCCAAATATTTTATAGTTGATTGAGGATTCATTAATATATATGATGTTTATGTTAATTATATTCTACAAAAAAAAATTAAAAAATTCAAAAAACATATTCGATGAATCAAAATGAAATAATCGTTTAATTACTCATTTTTTCTCAAAAATATTAGCTGTAAAATAGATTATTAGACGAAGATGGCCGTGTAAGTTGCTTGAAAAAGACAATAAATCCAACGATACCAAGACATAATGTCGTATAATAAATCAAGGTTCTTAACTTTGAAGAGCCTACTGAGCCATATAATTGTGGAAATCCCATCCAATTACAAAAGGAATGTACTAATACTATTGACCATAGATTTTGAGTGCAAATATATAAATATGATACGAATACTCCAAATACTGTTGTATAAAAAAATTGGAAAAGATATGCAAAAATACCAACTTTTATATTGTTGGGGAATGACTGGTAATATTCATAGATATGATGCATGTGTGCTGTTTAGATTAATTACAGTGATATAATATATATGGTTTATACCCAAACCAAATAAAATGGATGTTATTGAAATTGTTTTTAACACTGACTTTTGATGCAACAAAGAAATCATGCACGATCTGAATATAAATTCTTCACTAAATGGTCCCTACATGAATCAATTATGTATTACGCATTAGCAAAAACATACAACTACATAATTTCTCCAACTCATCCAATATTTAACGCTACGGTCAATTGAAGATGATGTAACAGTACGATGCATTGTAGTTGGATGACTTAAAAGTATAGTCTTTTTTATAAAGGGCCCTAAAAATAAACTAAAAACTAAAATGATTGGTCGTACAACATCCCATATATTACATGGCCAAATTCCTAAGATAAAAAAAGCATGTGGAAAATATTTTTTATGAGACGGTTGCGTTATCCAGGATGTTAAAAATCCACAGAAAACACAAAGATATAAAACTGCTTTTGTTCGATAACGAATTGTGGCTGGAGTGTCTCTAAGTGCTAAATTAACATTGGTTGAAGGAATATAAAGGATCAAGACGTAAAGAACAGCATAACTAGCAGAAGTGATGAATTTAAGTAGCTGTATTAAAATTAGTACAACCATTTATAAATAACAGTTATTGAAATATGATTTAAATGTCGTCGAAAGTACAAGAGTCGGCAAAAAAATACAATAATAATGGTTAAAAAAGAACTAACATGCTTAAAATATCTGATTAGTAGGAGGAAGCCAAAATTTAGACTCTTCTGCTTGTTCATCTACCCAAAGAAGTGACTGTGATAATAAATCTTCCTATATAGAAATAAATTAGTAAAAATATATATAAAAAAGGCATGTACGATAATTGCAAGTATACGATAAGCATCCCAATGTAGATTATCTTTAATCATTGTAAAAGAAACGTATCCCATAACCTGTTAAATATTACTTTTTAAATAATTGAAAAAAAAGAATTTTACTTGTGCTGCTTCTAAAATAGTAAATTGATCTCTATTAAGCTCATTTGGAAGTGAACATATAGTATCTTGTTCACCTATTCGGATAACTTTAAGCCCTGATGAAAGAATATCTAATGTTTTAACGGAACGTAAAATATCTTCTCTTGTACTAATCAGAAATATTAAATAAAACATAACATAGTATTACTCAGATACAAGTATCCCCCCTGAATTTTGACGTATTTCATTAATACGTTGTAAAACTTGTTTAAGTTCTATTAGTCCTCCATTTTCTCTCCGTGTATTTCGACAAAGTTCCACAACTTGTACCGCCAAACCAAAATAAAAATCATGAATATTTAACATATCAGACCAAAAATTACGTTTTTTCGATCCAGTAGATGCTAAAGGATCAATTCCAATTGCTTTGCACATTTGAGAAAATGCACTTCTAAGGGATGAATCTGCATAGATGTCAGATCCATGATTCCGTGCGAATTCCGCCAAAACTGCTTTAAATGCTGACAATTGCATAAAAAGATCATCTGCACGCGCTTTAATCAAGCTACTACTAAGTTCTTTATATTTTTCTGCTGATTTTTCTTGATTTTCAAAAGCACCTAAACCAACTCCACGTCGTCCTTTTTGCATGTTTTTTTTTCAATTAAAAGATAATAAGATAATTATTTCAGATTTTTTTCTTTTTTTTTTTAATAAAATATTTATAGTTTCTTTCCTTTTTATAAATAAATAGAAGATTTTTCTTCTCCAATTGATAAGGTTCTTAATCGGCTGCTGTTTCACTACGATAAGAGTTACATATAAAAATATTAAAGTATAAGAAATTTAAATAAAAACAAAGCATCATAAAAGATCTAAAATTCCTTTATCTTGTTCATTATTTTTTATCTATATCTTTTTAATTTTAAAAAGTTAATTAAAAAATAAAAAAAAAAGTATAAAAACTTTAATTTAAAAGATGATTTACTTTAATATAATCACTTTTTTATTATTATTTTTTAAATTTATATTTAATCTTTTTCTTAATTATTTATATCTCTAAGATATTTTTTTAAATATTAGAAGTATATCTTATATATAAGGTTCATTAAATTTTAGTATTGATTTTTTTTAAAAATAAGAGGATTTTTTTTAATAAATAAAAATTCTATATATATTTACAAAATTTATTTTTATGTTCCTTTTTTTGAAGTTTTCTAGACTAGTTTTTTAGTTGATATATTTTTTAATATTAACCTACTATTTAATAAGATGAATATTTACATCAAGCCATCTATCAACACAGTTTTGAAGACAGGTTTCTTCAGTACGATCTAAATTATTTCCAAGTTTATTTGTAATACAGCGTTTAAAACAACGGTCTGTAAATTCTAGAATACCTTTATATAATTTTTTAATTTTATTTAAAAAAATGTGAAAAAAACCTTGTTGTATTTTTGCTTTTCCATTTTCTTGTTCAATAAATTGAGAAAGTTCATCACGACTTTTATTGTCAAGACTTTCTAAAAGTTTTAAAGTATCAGTCATTTTTTTTAAAAAGGTTTTTAAAAAAGGCGTTTCAAAGAAATATAAATGAGTTTTGAAAAAAAAAAAAGATAAAATTTAAAGGGAAAATATAAGGAAATCTTGTATGTTTTAAAATTGAATTTAATAAATCTTGATTATGTTTTTTATAAAGATTTTAAAAATGAATATAACAAAAAAAATTATAAAATATATTTAAAATACAATATTTAATTTCTTTTATCAAATTTTTATTTTACAAGAAAAAATGATGAATTTTGTATTTTCATTTGTTTGTAAAAATATATTATAAAGATTATAAAAATATTAAGAACTTTTAAAATTATAGTTAAAATATAATTTTATAATGTAATATATATATATTCGGCTAAATATTTTTTATAAAACATTATTATTTAAAAATAATTGTCATTTCTTTTTTAAAAATTCATTTTTATTTTATCAAATTAAAATATTTATTTAAAGCATTCTATGTTTTTTTATATGAATCATATACAAATCAAACTTTTTAAACACAAGAATTATATATAATAGTAATCATTTTTCTATAGTTATTATTATAAATTCAAGTTTTTAATATTTTTCTATATATTCATTCCAAATTTGCATAAAAATGTCATTCAATCTTAAATATAAATAGAAATATATTTATTTTAAAGTAATATAAAATTAAATAAATAATTTAAAAAGTAAAATAAAGCTCAAAATCTTTCTAAAAAAAAAACTAAATCATAAAAACTATAAAATTTCGAAATATATAAATATTTCAATAATAAAGATCTAAAATACTTGGAAAAAAATAAACCTTTATAAGCTAATTCCCGAAAATATTCATATAGCTCCAAACTAATGTTGAAATATAGACGATTATGACTTCGTCTTAGTTTTGGCATATTCTATATAAAAAGAAATTCCTTTATTTATATTTTTCTATAAACATTAGAATTCAGATATTAAAATAATATATAGTTTCCTCGAGCTCTATAATGGCATCATCAAGAATCTGCTCTTCATACTGAGAAATAGCACCAAAATGTTTAACTCTTTGAGCTCCATCTACCTATAAAAAACAATTAAAATATTTCTTTTTTATAAAAAGTATAACAAACTCCTAATTCTACTTGAACTGCAAAAAATTGAAGATTAACTCTTTTGATAATTTCGTCACCGCCAGGAATTCCCGGAAGATATATAAAAGATGATTGAATAATTCCAGAATGTCCAATACTTGCCTAAACTGATATAAGTTAACGCTTATATAAAATTAAATAACATATCTTTATCAATGCTTCAATAAAACTAAGCAAATATTAGTAATTAATAAAAAAAAGAATAATATTTACATAAACGCAGAATATCTATTATAAATACAAATACAATGAAATTAAACAAGAAAACTTACGCCATACTAAGAGTTGCAGAACCATTGCCATTTTTTGCCTCAATTACTTCATCTCCTGCATATTGAACTCTATAAACCAATGATTTTAATTCATCTTGATTTAATTCAACTTTAGGCTTTGATTGACTTATAAGTGGAATAATAGTTGTGCCGCTATGCCCACCAATAACAGGGATTTCATAACAATTAGGCTCTGCAACTGTTTTAAAGTGTTCAGCAACAAATGTAGCTAAGCGAACACTATCTAATGTAGTTATTCCAAACAATTTTTTTGGATTAAACACATTGTATTCTTTAAGAACCTATAAAAAAATATTACAAAATTAGAATCAAAAAAATCACAATAAATACTTCCGCAATAATAGGAACCGTAGAATTAATAGGATTAGTAATAACAAGAATAAATGCATTTGGTGAAAATTTAGCAATAGATTCTCCAAGTTCAATTATTATTTTGGAATTTATAGAAAATAAATCTTATTATGTAAATATTCATATTCAATAGATATCCATAATACTTGCCATCACGTGTCATTCCTAACTTTATATATTAAGATTTTTTTTAGAAAAAAAAAATACAAACCTTCCTAGGAAAACCCGCTGAAATTACAACAAAATCCGAGCCATCCAATGCCTTCTTAATACCATCGTCTTCAGGAAGGTATCCTTTTACTTGAGATAAAGTACAGATATGACTTAAATCTGCTGCAACCCCCGGTGTATTTACAACATCATAAAGCGAAAGATCAGTAATTAAAGGACTAATGGCATGTAAAAATAAATAATCCTCATTAAAAAATCAAATTATAGCAAAAAACATACCAATTTCTATTTACTTATTAAAATATGTTTAAGAAAAAAAACTAAAAATATTACATACTTGCATAGAAGACTTAAAGGTTGACCAATTCCTCCTATATATTTCAAAAATTTTAGCAAAAAAACAAAGTCTTGTCTAATAAAAACAAAAAGTAAATCATACCGGCACTAAAATAAACATTAATAAACCGTTTAAACCTGGAAAAAACATATAAATCACTTACGCTCCAAGAATAGCACATTTAAGGGTCATTTATGAGATAATTTACAATTTCTTCCTTGTAGAAATATATTTTTATTAAGCCTTTTAAGATGTGTCGTTTAATTATATCTTGCATGTAAAGAAAAATTAAAGAAAATTTAAAGAAATTAAAAAAAATACATGAAATTGTAAAATATCAATAAGAAACTTGCTTATTTTATCAGAAAAATAAATAACCTATTAAAATAGGGAGTTAAATATAAAAAATCTAATTTAAAATTATAAGAAAATAATTAATATAAAAACATGAAACAAAACAGAAGATTCTTCTATATATTTAAATGTTTTCTAAATTTTAAACTTTTTTCCGAGATTTTCTTTCAGGTAAAGGTTTTTTAGGTGTTTGAGAAGATAAAAGTAGACGTGCACGAGAAATAGCGGCCTTAAATGTATTTAAGAAATATTTAAAATAATAAGAAACATTGTTACTTACACGTTTAAGTTTTAAAGGATACTGTTTTTTAGTGATCAAGCGTTCAATACGTTGAATCGTATAACAATAAGATTTTGGTGCATAATATACTTTTTGAACCATAGAAGAGGGCTTATTTCTACTCTCTAAAGGACAATTCTTCATTAACACAACTAATCCCTTATTGTTTTTTCCTGATTCAAGTCCTAATCCCTAATAATATTTGTTCATATAAAAAATATATTATTTTTATTAAAAAACCCCTAACCTTATCATTTAAAAGACCACAATAAGAATACGTATGTCTATTAGCAGGATTAAGCCTTTCTTTTGAAAAAACTACTGATTTTCCGACTAAAAATATCATTAATTAATTTTTTTTCTTAACCTAATTTACCTCTCTGTTTCACTAAAAATGATGCGTTTTTTTTCAAACAAGCCCAAACAAAATCTCCTGATAATGATTCATAAAAATTTGGCTTATTCAGTGTTAATTTTTCCCTTGAATTACCCATTTTTTATATCCTTTTTTTAGTATATTTTGTCGAAGTTATAACATAGAGTAAGTGTCCCCAGTTAAAGACCTCAGTTGAAGAATAAAATTAAGAAAAAAATATAAAACAAGAAAAAGATGCATCTTCTTATTGCATGGATATTTCTTACGTTTTTTGTGTTTTTTTCATGTTTTTTTTTCAGAAAAAAATCATAAAATAAGGCTTATTAATGATTATAGGTTTATTAATAATGAAGCGCTTTTGCAAGTTACATATGCCTTTCAAATTGTTTAAGGAAAAAAAATCATATTTTCAAGTAGATTCTTCTTTTCAAGCAGACCTGGAGGAAGGATTTTCATCAAATACGTTTGATCTTTATCAGAATATTGAAAATGAAGATAGTAGGGCAGGTCTTGATAATTTGGGAAAAGAAGAAATTTATCATATTATGAATAAGTATAAATGTGGATTCGATGATGCTAGAGTCATATCTAATAAAGAACGTATGAAATACAATTCAATTGATCCTCAAACAGGAAAACCTACAGATCCAAGGGCAGTTTTTTTTTCATAAATTATTTATGCAAAATTATATACATATGAATGTTTATTTGATACCTCTTTATATCTATTTAAGAATATACAATTTTAATTGATTTGTATGTAAATAATGTTTTAATCCAAGAAAATATAACCCTAATGAAATATTCTCTAGAATAAATATGATCTAATAATCATATAATTATGAATAATGACAATTCTTAATTAATATAAACATTAGTGTTTCTTATGTATCAAGTTTTAATCGATTTCGTGTAAGATATGATTCCAATTTCATTGCTTCTCTATTCCATTGTTCTTTCAAAACCTTAGATGTTCCTTTCAATGATTCTCTAATCAAATTTAAATCTTTAGAACAGATAGAATGCCGTTTTCTAACTGAAGAAAAGGCAGTTTTAGATGTGAGGGCAGCGTTAGAGTCTATAGATATGTGTAATAAATGATGTTCATAATCATGTATGAATGGTGATAATTTTATAACGGTTGTATTTGTTGCCATTGCTGAAACAATAGCACTAAACCCTTTAAAACCGATCTAATATTTCCTCTAAGAATAATTTAAATAATTTGATGCAAACTTACCATATTTTTATCAAGATCAATTCTACGAAGCGTTGTATTTACTAAAAGTACATCAGCTATTATTTCAGCTCCTTTTTCCTTTATTGAATTTCCTTCGATTTTTAAAACTTCGAGTGATTTATTTTTTTCCAAAGATTTTAATGATTGAGCAATCCCGCTACCAAAACCAGTAGTCTGAAGTAAACCTATTTCACCTGTCAAATCTAATTCTCTCAAGGAAGTATTTTTCTCAAAAAGCTCTGCCAAATATTTGCAAGTTTCTTTAGAAGCTTCATACGGGAGCCCAATTCTAGATATATCTAAATGAGATATATGCTTAGACACAGTAATAGCCTTCAAAAGATATTGAAACTGTTCTTCTGATGAATAATCAAGACTAGCTATTGAGATTCTTGCAGGACCACGTCCCATTAAAATAGAAGAAACAATTTCATCATGACCATCAAATAATCTATTATCTCCTGCAAGTATTTGCAATCTTTCGTCTCGTGGTTGATCCACAAGATTAATAGCGTTAAGTATTTTTGCAAAATTAGTTCCAGTTATTCCACAAGATTTTAATGAAAGAATTCTAAGAGAAAAAGAGGCATAATCGGAGAGATATAAAGATATCAAAAATATGATAGTTTCTGACAAAATGATGCCATCTAAGCAAAGCTCATGAAGTCGTAAAGAATAAAGCGATTGAGGTTGAATAAAGGTTTCAGGAAGATCAAATGTACAATAGCCTAGCCGTAATATTTTTAAATAAGAAAGTTTTGAAAGGGTATCATTTAAAGCATTAATTTCAATCATTCCTGGATTATGTGAAAGATCTAAAGTCATCATAGTATTGTGTTGAATTTCAAGACCTTGAAGCAAAATAGATAAGCTTCTGCAGGATAAACCGCATTTACTAAGTTCCAGACCCTCTAAACGACTAAACCTATTTGTTACTGCATCCACTAAAAAGTTATTAGTATATTTTGAAGAAAAAAAGAATAGATAGTATACAAAGCCAATCAACATCAACAGAATCCAACTCAATTTTAGAAAAATTAAAACATCGAACTTGTGTGATTAACTCATGCCTATTAAGTGGCATTAAGGCTGCAACAACTTCTGAACCTTTTTCATCCGAATCGTTAGACATACAAGCTTTTGGAATAGTACCAGATAAATTAAGTTTAATAAGGGACTTATTAAAAATAGCTAAATCACGTAATTCTTCTTGAAGTACAGAACCCCTTTCTAGTCCTGCTTTTAAATTAAGTATAGCTCTTTCATGAAAATTAGCATCATCATGACGATATTTTTTCGCTTTTAAACAGCTAAGATTAATATCTGCAAAGGAAATTTCATTAAATGACTGATAGCGTAAAGAGCGAAATACTGCAAGCAGCTCAAGTAATGAATAATCTTTATTAGAATACTTTTTCGAAACAAAATGTGTAGGTGGTAGCAAGCGAAAAATTGATTTAGAATCTTTCTGATAAATTTGATAATAAATATTAGATGCGTCAACTCCATAGCTTATAGCATAGCCTCTTAAAGTATTCTGAAAGCTTTCTATATTTGCTTTAATATTTTCAGACTTTTTGGATAAAGATAATGCTTCAAAATCTTGAGGCAAATTTATAGAAAAGGGCGTATTTGGCCAATGTGGCCGTAAATGATCAATAGTCTTTTTTATAATAGCCATGATTTCGTCTGATTTGCAAGAAGCAAAGTCTAGACAATTTGTTGAATTACACGGGATTTGAAACCATAAGCGCATATAATCATCATTTGGAGAGACGATTATAGAAGAAAGAGATAATAAACCATGTGTGGGAATATCAAAAGGTCGAAATGTATTTGTAGAAAATGCAGGATATTCCAGAGAAGGGATAGGCAAAATATGAATACTATATGTTCCAATTACAAGAATTCGAGGCACAAAAACACGCTTTGTCATATCATCTTGCCCTGAATCAGATCGTGATGATTTAGATAGTTTCTGGATCACTCGAAATGCTTTAAAATTCTGCTCTGAGACTTTATTATTTTCGTATGAATATTTCATATAATTTTTAACATAATCAAATTGCTTAGATGATAAAAATGCACCAGAAACACATTGTAACTGCACTGCTGCACGAATATGTATAATCCAACATCGCATAATATCACTCGATCTATAATGTAAAGTAATAATCGATACCGTAGAGAATGATGACGATAAAAAAGGATCATCATAATAAATCGAAAAACTTGTAGGCCCAATTTCCCTAATAGCTATAATCTAAAATAAATAAATATATGTTTAAATGTATTAAACTATAGCTTTTCTTGCTATATTTCAACATCTACAAACCTGACGCAGTAATAATGAATGTTGATCCATCTCCATATGTTGCTTTCTGAATATCCCATGGATCGTATGGACTTTCGATATTTTCTCATTACATTCATTTATTGGAGCAATCCTTTATTCCCATCAAAAAAATGCCTTCTCCATAAAATAACTTACGAAGGAAATGCCATTACGGCCTTTATTCGTGATTTAAACTTGAAAAGTTCATCATTTGTAAGAACTAAATATTCATGTTTTTTATTTTGAAAAAGCCCTACATGAGTAGAAATAGACATCACTTCCCCATGAAGTATGACACAATCAACCATTCGTTGTTCTACTCCATCTTCTGGAGTAGTAGCTCCTGATATTGTTGTCTGTCCACTTGATTGTGATGTATCTGACGTTACCGAAGATTTACGTGATGGAGGTCCATCCAAATCCACCCCTTTTTGCCATATTCCACCCGAAATTCCTTCTAATCCTCTTCTTAACGCGTCTCTTGGTTCTCTTAAACTTAGACGACCTCTTCCATACCATGTTAATCCTTCTCTACCGCTCATCCAAGCTTCACTATTGCGCCTATTTCTTTCAAGTCTTTCCATCCAGATCATATCCTTATTGAAGATTCCTCTAAAATCATTCTTTAATCTGCATAAATAAGTATTTTAAGGCCTCAAATTTATTATACGCTTTTGTTTTTACGAAATCGTTACGTGACGAATCGACGATATTGTCACTCAATAAGGAAGAGATTGCATAGAAAGATCATTTTATTAATAGCCAATGTACATATAATAAAATAATATTTGTATTTATATAGAATGTATGTTGTTTACATAAATATAAGTATAAATTTGGTTTGTAATTTTTGAGAAAGAAGTGTATAGAAGAGAAAAGTAGATTAGGGTTGTATATAAATATGTTTAAGGTAGATAAGTAGATATATAGATTTAAGTGTTTTTTTCTTAATTATTTTATAAGATCATTTTTTTATGATTGATATGATTTAATTAATATCGAATCTCTTGTTATAAGTGGGGATTGAAAAAGATTTATAAATAAATATTTCCCTTTTAAAACGATGTTTTTATTAAATATACTCATGAAAAATACTTTGAAAAAGTATCTATCACTTTTATAAAGTAGATATTAATATTTAAAAAATAGTTGTAGAAATTGTATAAAAATTACAGTATATAATGGATATATATAACATGATAATGTTAATGGAAAAAACAAAACATATGTATGAATAGTTATTTAATCATTTTTATAGAATTTGATATGATTAAAAATAAAAAAGATATGAAAGAGAATCATTCGATATATTTTTTGGTTTTTATTAATAAATTGAATAGAAAATTATTGTTAAATGTATTTAAAGTATATTTTTAAAAAAATCTTTAATAAAAAAGTAGAATATATATTTATTTTATGTAAATGATTTTTATATTTTCCATTATTTTGTTTTATATATTCTTTTTTAAAAAACAATTACTGGTATAAATATTTTACAACCTTTTCAATTTTATTCTTCAAAAAGATTGTTTGGTACTTTGTTTCTGGTATCATTAATACTTTTTAAAAATACATAATATTTAACTCAACAATTATTAATATAGCTAAAGTAATTATTAACCGTTAGTAAATATAATGTTTTTCTTTGTAATAATATTTTAAAATATATAATATTATGTTATTAATATTTAAACAAATATTTTTGAAAATATTATTAGATTATATGTCATTTTTCAGAATTTCAGATTGTTATTTTAATATAAAAGTCTATTAAATTAAATTAGTTTCTTATTTTTTAAAATTTAACTACTTAAGTAGATTAACATTTCCTAGAAGCAAAATATAGATTAGAAGAATTTTTATTATTATATTTGAATTTTATCTTTAAAAATGAATTAATATTAAATAATTTATACATTTCTTAAAAATATGTAAAGTATATAAATATTTAAGTATATATACATCAATATCTTTTTATATTTAGACCTTTAAAGCGAATTTTAATCATCTATAATTTCCCAGCGAGATCCAGCTGTTCTTTTTTGTGTTATTAATTTAGGAGGTAAATCCCAGCTTTTATTTCCCTGTCCATTATTAGCAGATAATCTTGGAATAACCCAACATTTCCTCTTTAATCCCTCAGATTCAGGAATAAGTTGCGGACAAGGATATTCCAAAGGTTTCGAATATGTTAATAAAGGTGTTGATTTTGCTAATCCCGAAATATTATTTGGTTCTACAGTTGTAAGAGCTCTTATTCTGATTTTAGACGAATTTGAAGAACGATAAAGACTATGATAAATAATATATTTAGGAAAAAAACGAGGATCAGTTATATTTGCCATAATTGAAGATGAATGCAAATAAACTGCAGGATCATCATTAGTTTCTGCAGAATTACTGTATTTTGATATTGTAGGAAATAGAGTAAAATATGGCGTATACAGAATTTTAGATTTAGAATTAGTTTGTATAGAATTTGGTAATAAATCTGCTCTGATAGCAATATGATCAATAAAACTAGCAGCCACAATTTGTTTGATCGCATTAATCTATTTTTTTTTAATAGAGTTAATTGATTTTCATATTTTCTAATACCTGTAATGCAGACGGGGGATTCAAAATTGCGCTGTATCCTAGAATAGCACTCGGGAAATTTAATTTTACTATATCTGTAATTTGATGTCGAAGTTTTTGAATTTCTTTCATACTCTAATCAAAATTAACATTTCATAATTACAAATTAAACCAACTTTAATCCTTAAAAAATTGCTAATGCAAAAACTATCTTTTTCTCCATCATATGCATACGCACAAACTGCACTAAGAAGCTTCAATATATCACTTGTACCATCTAAACCACAAAATTTCCTATGTGCATTACATAACTCCATATATTTGCTCCTTTTTGTCAATTTATTTTCTTTTTCATAATCATTTTCTTCTTCAGATGTTTCTTCATTAATATTATAATCTCCCAATTCATTTTTCCTCATAAAAGGATCATCAACGGAAAGTGCTGAAACAATAGCAATAATATATGGAAGACATTCATGCTGTTGCCCAATTATAAGCATTTTAGCATACCTTGGAGCCAATGGAAAAAGTGACATCACTTTCCCTAGGTTAGTTATTCTATGTTGTTTATCAAGAGCACCCAAAAACATTAATAACTAAAAATATAATTAGACACGCTCAAATATAGTTAAAATACATACATCTATAGCCTTTTTTAAACTGCTTTCTTCTGGAGGAGTAGGGAAAGGAAAATTTAATATATTATCAATATTCATACTCTTCATTTTTAAAACTACGCCTAAAAAACCTAAAAAATGAAAATTCTTTGATATTAAATACATACCCTCAATTGGCATGCGTAAAATCTCAGGTTTTGAATACACTAAAAATTCTCTATCAAAAAACGCAGATGAATAAAGTCGATAACAATGTCCAGGACCAGTTCTTCCTGCCCTTCCAGAACGCTGATCCGCACTTGCCTTACTTATCCATTGGATATTAAAACTTTGTACTCCAGATATTTCATCATAGATACGTTCTTTTACTTTCCCACAATCAACAACATATCGTATGTTTGGAATAGTTAAGCTTGTTTCAGCAACATTAGTTGCAATAACACATAACCTGATCCCTTTAGGAACAGGTTCAAAAACTTTAAGTTGCTCCTCTGTCGGAAGTAAAGAGTATAATGGAACAACTTTTAAAGTATTAGGTATATTTTCTAAAGTATCAAGCGGCATATCAAAATTATATTCATCTTCATTATCCATATCGACATCATCCTCTTCAAATAAATTAACTTTATCTTCATTAAAAACATCAAATTCTATATCTTCTGCTTCCAAAGAACCTTAAGAAGTTATCAAAAATTTTTATATTAATAAACATAAACATACCTTCTTTTGTAGGGAATTTAACAGACAGTCGAGTTGTTGACTGCATTATTTTTTCTTGAGGAAAAGTTCTAGATAACAATTTACACATATATTTTATCTCATCTTGACCTGTCAAAAAAACTAAAATAGCTTAAAAAATTAGTTATAGTAATAAAAAAACGTATTCAAAACCTCCAGAAGGAAGTTTCCTATGAATTTTACAAACTATTTCAAATGATTTTTCAACATAATTTAAATGTACTGTTTTTCTACTAAAATGTATTGATACCTAAAAAGAATTAGTAATATAATACAAATAAAAATACATTACCGGATATTGTCTAGCAGCGATTTTTATTAAAACAGGAGGCGGATTAAAAAGTTTATTGTTATTTATAAAGTCGTCTATTCTAAGAGTAGCAGACATAATAATCAATTTCAAAGACTATGAAAATTAAATATAAATAGACCAAGTTATACAATGATAAACCTTGACGTTAGAATTTTCCTCCATACTCATTTCTTTCCTTAATTTTAATACTCTACTTAATACTCCAATAAGAATATCAGTATTAATTGTTCTTTCATGTGCTTCATCAATAATAATTACAGAATATTTTCTAAGAAGAAAATCGGAGGAAAGTTCATGAAGAAGTATACCATCAGTCATAAATTTTATAGCAGTAGAACATTTTATATTTGTATCAAACCTAACCTGAAATAATAAAATAAATATTCAATTTTTGAGAGAACGTATATACAAAATACCTGATATGCTACCTTTTCCCCTAGTTCTCCTAACTCATATGCAACTCTATTAGCCATACTAATAGCAGCGACACGCCTTGGTTGTGTAACTCCAATCATTCCAGGAGTATCACTTTGATCATTACCAAATCCAGCTTCAAAAAGAAATTGTGGAATTTGTGTAGTCTTTCCAGAACCTGTTTCTCCACATATTACAACACAAAGATTGTTAAATATTGCCTCCATAATTTGCTGTTCTTCTAGAATAATTGGAAGATTTGAGCGAATTTTTTCAACATCTTCATTTCGTTTTATATTAACATAGAAAACCTAAATACATTTCTTAAAAAAAAAAGAATTAGGATTTTATGTATACCTTTCTTTTAAAATCCAGATTTGATGATATATTTTCAGGAGGAGGAGATAAATCTCTAAATGGATCTCTTGGAATAAACGTTTTGAAAGCATTCTTATCTTTTTTTAAACCATCAATATTTGTTGGACTATCATTTATTTTTTCAATCATTTCCATTTGTTTTTTTGCCCATTCATTAAATCCTTTTGCTTTTTCAGAAACATCTGTAACATCAAATGACAATGATTCATTTGTGGATGAGTCATTATCACTTTGAATATTTCTATTTACACTGCTTTCTTCACTTTTTGATGAAAAAGTTGATTGTACATCATCCTCAACCATTTCCTTATCATTTAAGGGCAATTCTTCAGTATCTTCATCCATAGATTGATCAGTAATGCTTCCTCTTATATCTTCTAACTGATGAAACCCTTCTCCTTTACGAAGCGCTACCATTTCTCTCCAATTGTTTTGTTTTTTTTGTTTCTTCTTTTTCTCCAATATAGAAAATGAAACACATGCAAGTTCTGCATTTCTCTTCATTGATGTTCCATTTGGAATTACATCCTGAGTTTCTTTTGTTTGTTTTGAATCATTTATTAAAGGATCAACTAATTCATTTTTTAACGAATATAAATCTTGTTTTGAGGAACAATCTGGAGATTTTTTTGACATAAAAAGCATACTTCCAATATCTGGAAGCTCTCTATTTTCATATTTCTTCTTTTTCTTTTTTCTTTCCATATTTTTTGAGCTATAAAACATACCAGATGTATGTTTATATTGACTATATATCTATAAATATAAAAATAGACTTTTTTCGTTTTAAACCTAAGTTTTAACATAAGATCCATTTTCTCGTACTTTCTAAGCTTATTTTCCTACTCCTTTATTAATATAAAGCCCATATCAACATGTTTTTTACAATATATTTATTAAGACGCTTTTTTTTTTTGCTTGATATCTTTTCTTTAGAGGAAGAAAACATCATCTATCAATATATATACATGAGAATCATGAATTTTGTCTATAATATTCTTATACCTGGTCTTTCAGCTTTTTTTTTTGCTTTTGTTCATCTGGCAAAATCATTTCTACATTAGCATCTAATGAACCATTTTTAATATAGAGATCAGAACTCAAACGCTTCTGTCCCTCATATTCTAAAGTTCTCCCCTTATTTTTATATTTTTTCATCTTTTTATCATTAATCAAGAGTTCGATAAAATTAATTATTTATTTAAACAAATAAGATGACCAAACCTTTTTTATCAACAAATATATATAATTAACGCTTTTTGATATTCTTTAAACTATAAACTAAATTTATATAAAATAATTGAAATATTAAAAGATTAATGGAATCTATCAGGAAAAAGAACAGGTGCTATACATGTCCATACTATGGTTTAAATTAGTATCTATTTAAAAAATGAATACAACATACTATATAATCCATGACAGATCCAAGAACTAAAAATTTTCATCCTAAAAAATTAAATGATTTTTAATTAATATAAATATGTATATATACCATACAATAGAGTAACTGTACCCAATAGCAAGAAAAGGTCCATTATTATCATATTTATTCCCTTGTGTTTTTAGGGTACCCCTGAGGATTTTAGATAAAAAAAGATTTTAAGAAAAAAATACCAGCCAGTTAATAAACATGTTGTATAACATGTCGCCTTCAAATATTCAATTTAATATTTATAAGAAAAGACTTACAAGAAAGAATATAAAATGAAAAACCTAGAAATATCAATAATATTAAATAAATATAAATAAGAACTTACAGAATAATTATATTCAAGATAATTCTGGTCGGATAAATCATTAAAAATGTCATCTGAACCATTAAGAGCAGAAGCAGGAAGAGATCTGAATCATTAGCAATTGAAGTTTTATTCGATAAGCAATATAAAATACCCTGTTTCAACAGATGTTTTTAAAAGTTTTTGTCTTAGCTCCATTTTATGTAAAGACTCATCAATTATCGGATAATCATCATCATTTTCTTCCTTTAACCTTTCATAATAGAGGGAATCATTTTTTGAATAAAGAAAAGCCGACTGCACAGCTGCTCTAGATGTGTTATAAGCAATTGCTAAGAAAGTGAAAATAGCATCGAAAACAATATTAATTGTTTTTGTATGTGAAGGATGTGCCATTGGATTACAAAGAGGATTGTTAGAATCAACAGGTTCATTAGAAAGTGCAGATACTGTAAGATAAGTAGTATATAAACAAACTGTTGCAGATTGTGCAAGTCCTGATTGCGGATTATAATCCTGAACCGTAGGATGAATAGATATCGTAGTAATAACAAGCAAAAGAATAAAATTAATAAAAATAATAAGTTGATTCAACGAACATCCAGGCTTTGCAAAAAATATATACCTAAAATAATAAATAAATTCAATTTTTTTAATTCAATTCATACATAACGAGCATAAGAATAATTGTTCCAAGATACATAAAAAGTGTAGATCCAATAAGACACGTTTTCCAAAGATTATTTTGTGTTATTTCGTATTTTTGATAACAAATTTCCGCCCATGAATAAGCAAAGTCAATTAGCAAAAACAAGCCAAAAAGAATAAACATAATTGATCCTATAAAAGAAAAATAATTCCCCCAAAAAATAAAAAAAGAATCATTAATTAAAAACGCCGTCATTACAATTAAAGACCATCCAATAATTTTAAATGCCCAAAAACTTAATATTCTTAAAAATCTTATACAAAAAAAAAAGACAATATGCATACCCATCTTGTATACAAGCTCTCTTCTGCTTATTTGAGCGTATCCCCATTAATAACACCGCCAAAATCAAATGCAAAAGACCCAATGAAAAATTAATCCTATGCACCTAAAAAACATGATAAAAAACTCGAAAAAAGTAACATAGATCATCAAATACCGACAATACACCATAACATTTTTCTTCTGGACATGACATTCTTATTCCTGGTGTTAATTTCTCTAATTTCTTGATCGCCCAGCTTGAGCGCATTAACCATGAAAACTAGATATTTGTATAGACTTCTTAAAGATATTATTAGAAATTTACCAGACAATTAAGAATAAACAACAATGCGTATAGAATTCGTGTTAAAAAACTAGGCTTTTCGTCATATATCCATGTAAGACTTTTAATAACTTACTTAGATGACTTAAATGAAGAAAATTTGCAGAAAGCAGAGAAAGATAGATGACTAAAGCATGAAATAAGCCATCTACTACTCATAAAGATGCCTCCAACTAAAAATAATGGAATCAAAAGGATTATCCACATTTTGGATCTTATGCTATATATATAGATTTAATAAACAGGCATTTATATAGGTTAAAATTTTATTAAAAATTATAGAAAATAGTATATAATTGAAAATAATTAAATATAAATATAATAAAAAGCTAAAATATATTTACTGAGTGTTTTTCTTTTATACAAAAATTATTAAATATGCGTGTAAATATAAATGAATAGATCTAAATATGATAGAAAACAGATACAAATGATCATCAAAAGCCTTGCTGATCTGGTAGTGGAATTGAAAAAAAAACAACTAGTGAATTCCTAAAGATAGCACTCGACTCTAACAAAAGCGTATTAAAACAAAAAATATATAGTGATTTTATTATAAAGTATACAAACGAAGCATCGTTCGCAAAATTGACTAGATAGCGCTTAAAATAGGATGCTCAATTTTTATTTTTTTGGTTTCACTTTCAAGAGGTAAAGCGTTGATTAAGAAAGATTCAGTTTCTTCTAATAACTCTGATACACGAATTTTCTTACGTTTCTGTTGTTCCTCCTGTTCTAGATCATGATGCATATCCCGCATTAAAATATGTAAATAAGCCTCTCTCCTCTGCAATTCGGCTTCCCGCAATCTTAATTGCCTATCCAAATCATTAAGATTTGCATCTTGACGTCTCATTTGTGCTTCATTCATTTCTAACTCTGATACCCTTGACCGAAACAAATCATTGACTAATTCTAATTCTGATACACGTGTCCTTAACGCTGCATTCGCTTGTAATAAACTATCAATCGTCGGCACTGTTTCTCCAACATTTCTAGCAGCTGCCCCATCATAAAACGTTTCACTATGACCAGCTACAGCTGATGGTTGATGTCCTACTCCAGAATTCGAAGCTGCACATCGATTCTCTTCTTCTGGAGGACTGGCTGTCCCTGACCGTGTCGTCCTTCCCATAGTTTCAGATGATTCTACAGACCTAGTTTTCGTATTTTTAATCCGATTTCGACTTTTTATAATATCCGTTTTAAGAGATGTTGGCCGTGAACAACCATGAAGTTTCAAAAACAGCCCACATGCATTACACAGTGTAGCACCTGATTCATCTCGACGCCAAAGTGGCGTTATAGATGTTGCACAATTCTGACATACCGGAGATCCTGAAATTTGTAATGGAGCACTATTGCTTCTTGACAGATAACGTGTTGATATACTAAGAAATATATATTAATTATTTTCTTTAAAAATAACTTAATAATTACTTATTCTCATCAGAAATACCATCTGAATTGGAACGCTGTTTCATCAGCATTCCTATCCGTTTAAAATTTCCCGAAAACCGCTGACTTTTTCTTTTCAAAATCTTTTAAAAATGTCTTTTTTACTCAAAAAGACCTTTTAAATATTATCTAATAAAGACCCTTAAAACTCTCAAAAATTCCAATAAAAAATTCTAATATTCTTAGACTTAAAATTTAATCCTTCCTTGAAAAATTACCAATATCTAACTTATCTTTTCCTCAGTCTTTATATGATAATTTACAATAAAAATCTTTAAGATAAGCGCAATGGATAACGATGTGAAAAAAATGGATTCAAAAAAAGAAAAAACCGACTTTTTATATGAAAAAAGCAATAATAAAAACCCAATCAAAAATATGCTAAAAACCTTAAGTTAATTAATTGTCTTTAATGAGGTCTTTTCTTAAGATCAAAAGTGTTGTAAAAAGCGCAATAAAATAAATCAACACCTCCTGGGTACAGTTGGGTTTGGAGCGGTTTATAAGTATTGAAAAAAAGATATCGAGGGTTAATAATTGGATAAGGGTTAGGGATAAATGAAATTTTTTAGTAATTCTATTAAGAAAATATAAAATTACAAGTAGAATTAGAAATGAAATTAATAGCTAAGTCAGATAAGCCTAATAAATTTATTTAATATTCATATAAAGTTATTTTTAAATTTTATAATAAAATTAAAAAAGTTTTAATTAGGGTTAAGAATATATTCGTGATTAGGGTTATCAATGGATAATTGATATAATTTTTAGAGCGGACATTGGATTAATATTTGTTATAATATTATGAGGATCTATTTTATAGGAGGGTTGCTATGGTAATGGATATTAGATATTAAGATTTAAAGATTTGATTACGTTTTATCGTAAAGTTAAATATAATTTTATCAAGTTGTTGTTGTAAGTTATCTTTTTCTATACGTAATGAATGTTTTTTTTGACCGATTTCTTTTAGTTGTTCCTGTAAATTAGTTAATTGTGTGAGTTGTTGTTGTTCAGTTTCGTAAAGACTAGGTAATGTATCAATTAATAAATCAATTTGCTTTACTTTTTCTATAAGATTCATTGATAATTTGTGTTGAATTTCTGTATGTATATTTTTTAATAAAAAATAATTTGGGGTATATTTTACCGGTGAATTTGTCCGCATCCTCAGGATGAACTAAAATATATTAATAAAAAATGTAAAATATAAAGAAAAAAATAAACCGCCTGGATCTGAAGCTTTAGTTTGCCCATCTAAAGGTACAAAATCATGTGCTGTATTAAGATATTCAAGAATAGTATAAAATTGAGTAGCCAACTTGAATATATTAGATATGTATTAAAAGAATATATATCGATGTAAATTATATATAGATTATATGGATGTTGTATGAGTTATGTATGCATTATGTATGTGTAGTGTATACACTTCATATATAATAGATTGTATAATATGTCTATGTTCTATCGATATGTTTTATTATTACCTCGTTAATGGCGTCTTGAAGCTGCGTACAAGGACAAGCCATAATTTAAAAAAAAAATAGTTTAATTTGAATGAAATACTGCCAATTAAATAACCGAATTTTACGGTTATTTTTAACTCTTTCTCAAAGCTCGACGTATTTACATATACTTCAATCACAGAGATATTTTGGTCCGTATCGATTTTCGAGCGTTCGTTGGAACCATCTTCGGCCGTATCAAGAGGCATGTATACAGGCTTGTTTAAAGAGTATTCTGGAAGGAAAGCGGAGATTAGGTATTTCTTTAGCTACAGGAAGTGGGAAAACAGTTAATTTAGTTTTTTTCTTTAAAATAAGTGAATAATGAGGTTTTTAGCTTATCTTTTCAAGTTTAATTGAAAGAGTCGAACCTATTGATCCGAATGCAACTCAGACGCTTATTATTGCACATAGACGGGAACTAGTTGAGCAGGCATTTGAACAGTGTCGCTTTTTATACCCGGAAAAGGTTTTTTCAAGAAAAATAGTCCGTATTTAAGAAAAATTGATGTATATTAGACAATTGATATAGAAATGGCAAATATGCATGCATCTGGATTGGCAGAAATTACAATTGCATCAGTATGTACGTTGATGTCTCATGAAAGATTGAAAAAATTTGATCCGAGTCGATTCAAACTTATTTTAATTGATGAAGTTCATCATGCAGCAGCAGCTAGTTATATTCGTATTTTAAAACATTTTTCTGCATTGAATTCTGATTCTAAAATTATTGTGATTGGAGTATCTGCTACGATTTTTCGTTTAGATGGACTTAAATTAGGTGTTGCTATTGATCATATTGTTTATCATCGGTAAAGAAAAGATTTAAATGTGAATCCTATTTTAATTATGGATAGTGATCTAGTAGATTTAATTAATGAAAAATGGTATTAATTTTTATTTTGATTTATTAAACATAAATTTTAGGCTTTCTAATGTTTCGTTTACAATGGTTAACAGTCATATTGATTTATCTAAGATTAAGGATAATCAATTTGGTGATTTTGAAAGGAAAGCTTTATCATCTACTGTTAATACACGGCCTACAAACGATATTTGTGTTCGCACGTGGATGAAAAAAGCATGTATGTTTACTTCGATTCTGTAAAAAATAATTCATAAGTTAGCTTTTCGCAAATCTACTCTTGTATTTTGTATTTCAACTGCGCATTGCATAGATATGGCAAATACATTTCGTTCTTATGGTATAGATGCTAGGATTGTTACCTGGAAAACTCCAAAATCAGAAAGATATAAATTAATAGAAGATTTTCAAAAACAAGAATATCCCGTACTAATTAATTGCGGTAAGTCTGTAGAAATAAATAAAATTATTGCTTAATATAATTCTAGGTATTCTAACAGAAGGTTCTTGATAAAATATGAATTGAAAAATTGAATTAATTTCATTTAGGAACGGATATTCCAAACATTGATTGTATATTATTAGCTCGTCCGACAAAGTCCCATAATCTTTTCATACAAATGATTGGTAGAGGGATGCGGTTGTTCCCTGGAAAAGAAGATTGTCATGTAATTGATATGGTTGGAAATATTTCTAATGGAATAGTCACTGTACCAACATTATTTGGTCTTGATCCTAATGAAATTTCACACGAAATTTCTCTTAATGAGTTAAAACGTATTCGTAATGATAAGAAGGAAAAAAGATGCCAATCTAGTAAAAATTCTCAGAAATATGGTATTTCATATGTATCATCAAATATCGAGCAAAAGGAATGGAATTTTACATATGATTTCATTAAACAGTTTCAGGCTGATTTAGATGTTCGAAGATTTAGTAATTTTTCCTGGGTCCGTATTAATTCTGATAAATATATTTTGTCAATACCTTTGTATGGATTTATTAAAGTAGATAAAGAAAATGGTAAATACTTCTTAGTTTTTATTTCAAATTGAATTTTCTAGATCTATATCATGCATCTGAAACTCTTAGAATTATAAATTCAGCAAAGAAATCAAATGCTTTTTATAAAAAACCACGCCTTATTTTTTCAAATGTCGTATCTCTCAAACATGCTATATCAGCAGTAGATACCTATGTAAAAAATAAATATCCGCAAAGATTACTTCTTAAGAATGCAAGCTGGAGACGATCTCCTGCTACATCTTCACAAATTGAATTTTTACGCAAACGATATCCATTAATAACTCAAAATATTAACAATATTTCTAAAGGTTATGCTTGGGACCTGATAACAAGACTGAAATACGGTTCAAAAAGTAAATAAAATGATTAAACCTTTCTAGAAATATAAAAAAATTATCACAATTCACTTATGTTATAATATACACTTAGTGATAAATTTTTGATTATTCCAAGGCATAGAAATTTAAACATGTAGATGTAAGAATAGGAAAAGACTTTAAGACTTTTACCAGATAAACATATATCTGTTAATTTATTTCTATAGACATATATATATCATATATATAATTGGTTTATTTCTATTAAATTTTAAAAAAACATTTATCATAATACTACTTAAAAGATGTTATGAATCACATTTAATATTTCCCTATTGTCTATCAATGTATATTAATGTTAACGCTATTTTTTACATAAAGGCAGACTGAGTTTACTGGTTTAACTTCGATCGACCGAAAAAATATTGATAAAGCAAATGGAGAGGTTAAGACAGCTTTTGCAGGGATCTGGAGGTCTTGGAATTGGATCAGGAATACAGAATGGAGTAATATTTTTATTTTTTTTTTTTTTTTGAGAAAATTTGACCTATTTTTTCAGGATTTAGCACAAATTGATAACTCAGAAACTGTATATATTTCATCATTGGCTCTTTTAAAGATGCTGAAACATGGTAAATTAATTGAAACAATGTTCTTTATATTGATTTTTATTGGGAAGGACGTGCTGGAGTCCCTATGGAAGTGATGGGATTGATGCTTGGTGAATTTGTGGATGAATATACAATTCATGTAGTGGATGTAAAGAAATAGGGTTTAAGAGTATTTTGTGGCATTTCTAATTATATAAGGTATTCGCTATGCCTCAATCTGGAACAGGAGTATCAGTCGAAGCAGTAGATCCAGTTTTTCAACAAAAAATGATGGAAATGCTTAAACAAACAGGTCGGTATGTATTGATGATATATACATACAATTATTTGTTTTTTTAAACATGATTTAGTCCAAATAATGTAGTAGGCTGGTATCATTCACATCCAGGATTTGGTTGTTGGTTATCATCAGTTGATATTAATACGCAACAATCCTTTGAACAACTTACATCTCGTGCAGTGGCAGTAGTTGTAGACCCTATTCAATCTGTTAAGGGGAAGGTAAATGAAGATTTATACTTTATATTTTTTATTATTAATAATTAAGGTTGTTATTGACGCATTTCGATTAATAAATCCATCAATGCTTATGATGGGTCAAGAGCCTAGACAGACAACTAGCAATATTGGATATCTTAACAAACCTTCTATACAATCTTTGATCCATGGTTTTTTTTTATTTTTATTTTTCAATTCTTATAACATTATTCAGGTGTTAATAGACATTATTATTCTATTGCTATTAATTATAGAAAAACTGCATTAGAAGAAACAATGTTGTTAAATCTTCATAAACAAACTTGGTCTAGTGGTCTTATATTAGAAGATTTTGAAATTCATGACAAAAAGAATCAAGAATCCGTAGAAAGCATGTTAAAGTTATCAGAAAATTATACAAAAAGAGTAGAAGAAGAGACCAGAATGACAGCTTCTTCACTTAAAACAAGGTAAAATACCTTATCTACATACACGTAATTATTTATCATCTTATAGATATATTGGAAAACATGATCCACGTAAACATTTACAAAATAAAATAGAGGCAGTAATGGCTGATAATATCACTCAAATGTTAGCAACAACCTATCACGTTACTGCTATATCAAAAAACGAGAAAGAAATAGGATCTTAAAAATAAAAACTTATTTAAAATTTAAATTGTAAATATGCTTAATACTTGACGATTTTTATATTATTCGTTTAACTTCAAAAAATTTTCTTAGAAAATATACCTGAAAAAGTACAAGAGAAATAAGAATAATTATTTGGAAAATATTCCAATTTTGAACACGAGAGTTTGTATTTTCTGCTATACTTCTATGTACCTTTTCCCGTGCTTTTAAATATTCCTGTTCATCCCTTATATCCATCAAAACCTCATTAAGAAATGCAACCTCTCTATTGAAATCAGATGCATCTTCTGCAATATGTGTATCTTTAATATGATGAACATTAAAAAATAGTTCAATATCTAAATTATGGTGGACTTTCTATAAAATCGTTAAAAATATTACTTTTTATAAAAAAACGACATTTGAAAAACAATATTTGTACTTTCCCTCAATATCTGCATTGATTGAAAATTCATCATAAAACAAACTATTCTCTGTTTTTAGAGTTTTTTCCTCTGGATCCCAGACCTATTACTTAGTCATTTTTTCAAAAAAAAATTATAAAAAATACATCAAAAGTAACAAATAACATTTCTTCTTCATATTCATTACTCGACGCCTGATAGCTAATTGTTAATTTCTCATTTTTTTTCATTTTTTCATAAAAACATTCTAAAAATATAAACTTCTTTTTTACATATAAAATGTGTTAAACCATGATCACCATATTTTAAAACAATACTATATCCCAAGGAAAGTGGAAATAAAGGCAAAATAACTAATAATATCTTTTTAATATAAAAAAATCTCATTTTTACAGCTTAAGAAATGTCTAGGGCAAAAATATCGGAAAAATACATTATGTATATATAAACCATAGAAAGAAGTTCCTATATTGAATATATTTAAAATATATGTTATTATAGAGTTTTTATTGTATTTATTAAGTACATAGAAAAATTAGGTACCTTAAAATATTTAAGAGGTTAAAAATATTAAAAATTTAAATTTCGATAAGATTTTTAATATTTATTGAATTATTTAAATTTAAGTATTTTGAGATATTCTGATAAAAAAACTCAAGGAATATTAAGAAAATTTTATAGTATATGTGTAATATTGTTTTTCTTGTTTTTAAATTGGGTTTAAAACGAGTTTTTTTAAGTGTTTAAGAGTTGAATATTTTTTTTTAAGATGGAAGGATCAGATGAGCTAAAAACATTGATTTTGAATACTCTTTATAATGGGGACATTGAGGATACCCTTATGCTGCGTTTAAATGGGGAAAAAGAAGCAATTGATCAGCAAAAAATTCAAGGATGTTTAAATTCTCTTGTAAGCAAAGAAGTAATATAATTTTGAGGAAAAATACATGTATTTATATATGAATTAGATGGTTACATATAAAATTATTGAAAAAGAGTACTTTATTTTAACTGAGGAGGCAAAAGATATTGTCTTGAATGGAAGTTATGAAGCAAAAATTTTTAATTTAATTTGTTCATCAATAAATGGATTAACTCTTGAAGAACTTGAGGTAGAAAGATTATGTTTTTATATTTACTATATTGAATATTTTGAAGTCTATTATGGGACCATCTATAGAACATGGATTGAAACAAGTTTTTAAAAATAAGTGGGTTAAAAAAGTTGGTAGTAATCTTGTTAAAAATGTATATTTAATAGTTTATAATTTTCAAATATCTTAAATGTTTTAGGTTGATTCTATTACGGATACAGTTGCCCATAATTTGAAAATAATACAGGAAAATGGAACGCATTCTGATTCTAGTGTTATTATAGAACTTCGAAAACGTAAACTTTTAGAAAAAAAGTTAATTTTATAAGTGTTTTTATTTATTCTTATATTGAATAGTAAACAAATATCATTTTCTGTAAAAAAAGGACCTAAGTTTTCACTTTCTATTAAAAAACAAATAACAGATCTTACTGTAGAAATTTTGCAATCGTAATATTTTAATATTGAAGGCATTAATTGATTAACTGTTTCTAGAAAATTGTATGAATCTATGGAATTTAAACCATATAATTTTGATGCCAAAGGAACTAATATTCCATCTGGATCATTACATCCACTTCTAAAAATGAGGGAAGAATTTAGGTCAATATTCTTTGAATTGGGGTATAAAGGCTTTTATAACTATGGTTTCTTATTATTTTTAGTTTTGAAGAAATGCCAACCAATAAATTTGTTGAATCATGTTTTTGGAATTTTGATTCACTTTTTGTTCCTCAACAACATCCTGCTCGAGATTTACAAGATACCTTTTATATTAAAACGCCTAGATTATCTAAACCTATGCAAGAAAAACAATATGTTGAAGCTGTTCGTCGTATACATGAAGAGGGTAATTTTGGATCTATTGGTTACCGATATCCTTGGTCTTTAGAAGAATCCAGGAGGCTTGTATTACGCACTCATACGACTTCTATATCAGCATTTATGCTTTATAAACTAGCAAATCAAGAAGGAGGATTTACACCTGCAAAATATTTCTCAATAGATCGTGTTTTTCGAAACGAAACTGTTGATTCGACACATTTAGCTGAATTTCATCAAGTAGAAGGTGTTATTGCTGATTATAATTTAACTCTTGGTGATCTTATTGGTTTTATGGATTTGTTTTATAGTAAAATGGGTGTAAAAAATTTAAAGTTTAAACCTACATATAATCCTTATACAGGTATTTCTAATTTTTATTATTGATTTAATTAATTTTTAGAACCATCTCTTGAAATATATTCATATCATGAAGGTTTAAAACGCTGGGTTGAAATTGGAAATAGTGGGTTGTTTCGACCAGAAGTAATTTTATATAAAAAAATAATTTATAGCTAACTTTTTTAGATGTTAGAACCTATGGGACTTCCAAAAGATGTCAGAGTTTATGGTTGGGGCCTTAGTTTGGAACGGCCAACTATGATTAAATATAGACTTAACAATATTAGAGATCTTCTTGGTCATAAAGTTGATTTAGATAAGATTCAAGCTAGTCCTGCAGTAAGATTAAGTGAAGGAATTATTTGAATATAATGAGATTAATAATTTGGTGTCAATATAATTAAAATTTTAATTTATTAAAAAAATTTAGCCTTGACTGTTAATATTGTTAATTTAATATTTACAAAAAATATCAAAAAAACAAGTATAAATCTATATGTAAATATTTCTAGATTTGAATTTTTTATCATAATATTTTTATATGTTGATATATAAATATTTAAAATTTGATTTATTTATAAAGATAGTTTTCACAATTATTTAAATATTCATGATTTAAAAATATTTTTCTGGATATGACCTAGAATTTAGATGCAATTTTATTGATTTAGATTCATCTTTTTTAAAATGCATCGTCTTATTTAATATTATGGATATTTAAAGAAGTATTTCATGTTAGTTCTTATGCTTTTTATATGAAATATATAATCTTTTATCTCAAATATCAACAATTTAGAAATTTTCTTAAAATTAATAGTTATTAAAATATCAGATATTATAAATATTTTTTAGTATTCAGCTTCTTTTTAATGTTTTATTTACATAATTGTAACTGATCAGAATATAATTAGTTATAATATATATTTAAATATTTTTAACATGTCTATGCATGTTCTGAAGGTTTTGGAATTCCTTCAAATATCAATCTAAAAAAATTAAAAAATTATAAAAAACCATAATCATTATAACCTATTTATACTTGTTTTCATAGCTGACATCTGTTCTCGTTCTCTTTGTTTTTCTTGATTTAGTATCTCCTCTCCATGATCTTTTAAATATTGCTGATATTCTACATACACATGCTGGGCTCTTTCTCTCTGCTGATCGGTTATTAATTGAGGAACTTGATAAGGACGTTTCTAATAAAATAAATCATATAAAATTAAAATAAATGTTACTTACAGCTGTTCCATTTAATAAAAACGAAACCCATGAACTACTATTTTTATTTTGCTCTTCCCATTCTTTTTTCATATTATCTTTTAACATTTTTTCTCTGAGAGCCCATTCAGTAGGAATATGTTTCCCCTTATAAGATGCTATGACAGGACGAACATCTGATACTTCCATGGATGCAATATCTATCAAAAAATTAATTACATGAATAAAGCAATAAATCAAAAACATTCTAAAAATGGAATTAATGAAATCAATTCTTTATCATTAGGATCTCCTTTCCATGGCTCCATGGCAATAGCATTATCTGGATGAAAAGAATAGGAATCCGGATTAACATCAAGCATGATAATTTTATCTAAAGGTCTATTCATATAACTTAAATCCTGGAATTATCAGATTTTTTTTTAGACATTTAAATTTTACCTTTATAAGTTTTCCATTAACATATTTTGTAGCCTCTCTAAATAAACTTGCACTAAGTGAACTTCTATATGGATCTAATTTTTGTATAATTGGTATAGCAGTCTAGTAATATTAAACTAAATATAATAATCATAAAAATATACCGCAGCATATTGTGTAGTGAATATAACAATCTCGTAATATTGACTAAGATAAGATAAAAAGTAATCCAGACCAGGTCTTTTTGCAATTCTCCATCCATATTCACGAGACCATTCAGAATGAATAAGCAAATCATCTAAATCAAGAACTAAAGTAAATCGTCGTTGGTAAGGATCGGGAAGAGGATCAGGAAGAAGTTTATCAAATGCTGGTTCATTGTAATACTAAAAATATTAAAATACCAAATATATAGCAAAATTTACCAATGTACATTAAATAAAGACGATGTTCGTTGTTTTAATCTCCCAAAAAATGTAGAAGATGCCTTCTCTTTTACATCTAAAGACTGTTTAATTTCCTCATCTGTCCATTTACGACCCATATAACATGCTCCTCCTAACCCTATTGCTACAAAACTCCATGCTGTATATGATGCTAATTTTTCACGTCTTAAATCTGCTGTAGACTTGTATTCCTTTCTGTTTTTAGATTCTTTATTTGTAAGCACAAGCATCATTTTATCTTTTATTTTGAATATTTTTGGCGAATTAAACGCATTTTCATCAAATTTTTTATCTCTTAAATTTATATCTTTCGAAACATCCATATTAACAGTGTCTATATGGATTTCCCTAAAATATAAAGATGCCCATTTATATCTTAAGCTATTTAAAATCGTGCCTTTTAATTTAAAAATTAACTGGTTTGCTAAAATATAAGGAAAGAATCCATTCAATAACCTATTTAACACAATTTTCCTACAAATAGATAAATCCTGATGCTTCCACATTGTTTATAATCTTTCTAATATTCTTCTATAATATTTTTGAAAAGATATTTATCTCTAATTTTTTTAAAATTGTGTTTTTAAATTTTTTCAAGATCCAAATCAGAAAAAAATAAAGTTCCAATTCCAAAAGATCTTTTAAAGAGCTAATATTCTTCTCATTTAATATTAAGAAAAAAGTTAATATGTTTAATATTATAATAAAACTTTTTTAAAGGTTAATAAAAAAAAAGTCGATGTTCGGTATCATATATATTAGTTTATCTGAAAATATTAGAAATGTCTTCTATTTGATAATTTATTTTGAATTGTTCTATTCCATTATTTTTTTCAACACAAGAAAAAAAAAATTGATGAATATATGTTTCTAGATGAGTTGTGTGTATAGGATCTTGTTTTATAAGCTAAATGATATAATTATTTAAATTGTATTGTTTTAAATACAAATACCTGTTGTCTACGAATCATTTCAGGATTATTAGTAGTATCTAAGTCGTTTTCTTCATCTTGTGTATTCCAATATATAAGAGCACTATAATTGTAAACGAAAGAAAAATGATTAAAAATACTAACTCTCCTTCTTTATTTTCCTTTATTTCGCTTAAAGTTTCAGACCATATATTTATTAAAGGTTTTATATTGATAAGAACGTAAGGATTGTTAGTAATTAGTAAAGAAGTTATTCCCATAACATTTAATTTTCTATATTTAGGGTTACCAATATTATCAAACTATTAAAATTAATAATAAAATACTGAAAAGATTGCTTTACTATAGAAATCCATGTATTTAGGAAGTTGTTAATTATTTCTTCATTAGTTAACACATCTTGTTGAAATGAAAATTTTGCTAGAAAATCAAATATAATAGATGGATCTTGCAGACATATTCTAGAAATGAGTGAAAAATATTGTATAGTAATGGATTTAGGTTCCTAAATTTTTTTTAATAATTAATTTAATAAAAAGAAAAATACCTGATTAATTATAATAGATTCTAATATTTTAAAAATAAACCCAGATTTAATTAATTCATCTGAATATAAATTGATAGATGTTGTCTGCAATGTAAGATCAAGTACTTTTATTATTATATAAAATACATCAAACCGCGATTCTCCTAAAAGATTTGAAAGTTTTGTCAAAAATTGCAAAGAATGAAACTAATTTTTTATATTTAATAAAGTAAAATTTAAAAGGTTCTTACTTTCATAAATTCATTCCCAGCTAACAAAATATAACTCTCAAAAATATAAAATACCTTTTTTAATATATCACTTTCATAATCTAAACAGGTTATAGCTAAAGGAATAAGAGATAACACTTGAAAAGACGAATTTTGTGTTTCTTGAAGTAAAACATGCCATAATTCAAGAGAATCTTCCATTAAATAAATATAAGCATTCTAATATATTAAAATTAATTTTTTTAGTAGTATAATTATACCAATGATGAACCAATAGAATATTTAATTAATTGTATTACCAAAGGATGATATTTTTCTGATTCTTCTCGAAGAGACTAATATAATTAAGATGAGTCATATATTTAAATCATTATATACTTTGATTAATTTTGTTAAAGTCACAATAATAATAGCTTTAATAAGATGGCCTTCTTCAGAATTTTCCCAAAGAGATGGTAATATATCAACAATACTTTGTATATACGGAGAAATCTAAAAAAAATGAATATATACATATATATATATATACTATATCCAAACATGCTGTCCCATTCTTTCTATAATTATATTAATAACTTCTAAAATTTTAAGTTTAGAATCAGAAAGTTTGCATCGATTTATTAAGTGCAGTAAACTATCTAATATGTTTTTTAAATAAGGATAAAATTGTTCCTTTTCAAAATCCCATTCATCTAGGCATTGTTTTAAAGACATTGATGCAGTAAATTGTACAACCAGGTCATTTGATTCTTCATATGGGTCTAAGAATCTTTCGAAAATAGTGTATATATTACTTTGAATGTTTTTTGAAGATTTTGAAGATACCCATTGAGAAATAAGTATAAGAATTCTTCTATATATAATTTTGGAAATCCTCGAATTTTGTACTTGGATGTCTTTTGATAGAAAATTTATGAAAATATAATTAAAATCTACAGAGTCAGGTAAAAAACAAATACTTAATCCAAAAGCATTATAAACAGCATCTTTTAGAAAAATTGTATTTTCATCGAAGGATACTAAACATATGATAAATATAAGATACTGTATCTTAGAATTATACTTTCAACTGCTTGAAGTAATGATATAAGAGAATTAGATAATACATTGTTATATATTGAAAAGATATCTATAAACAAACATTCTGCACAAGGCTAATAATATTAAGTAATATTTCAAAAATAAATATTTATACTCGAAGTTCATATTCCCAAGATTGCTTTTCTTCTGTTAAAAGCCATTGTTCAGGATCTTCTTCCCAAGCAAAAAGATCATTTGGTTTTAAAACCATAAATTTAGTAATCAATAACTCAAAAATTCTTTGAAGTATTTCTGAATTAAATAAATTTTCTTTCAAAATTTTATATGCTTTTTCAATTTCTTGTTTATATTCTCCTAATTTAACTAAAAGAGTTAAGTGAAATTAAGATAAAAACATTATTACATTCTAATAAAATATCAGAATTATGAAGAAATTTCACTGAAGATTTTATAAGAAAAAGGCCTTGCATTACTATCTTGTGTATAAATTTTACGTACTCTGTATCTTGTCCAGTAAAGATGTCCGCATTTTTTTCTATAATATTTAAATAAGTTAAAACAATTTCAATAGAATTTGGCATTAAAAAAATAGAAGTCGATTGTGTTGATGAAAACTTTAAAAACATTTTTCCAAAAAGAATTATATGTGAATATAAAAAAGAAGACATTTCTTCTTTAAAGTATTGACCTAATTTTAAATAAATATTCAGAAAGAATTAATGGACAACTTACATAAATCAAAGTATATCTTTAAATATGTATAGGATAATTGGAAGAAAAATCGTGCATTCTCGTTCCTATATGGGTATTCGAATCCATAAATGATTAATCGTCGAAGAATTTTAAGACATATATGACTTATTTGCAAAAAAGGAAAGATTTCAGATTCCGAAAAATTAGATTGAACTGTATAAATCCATTGATCCGTGTAATTTTTAAATATTTCACTGATAAGTTGAAATAGTTTCGGGGTTATCTATCGATTTTATACATTATTCATAAATAAAAAGATACTTTTCATACTTGCTGTAGATTGTATTTTGCTCTGACAAGTCGACTAGCACAAAGATTTTTAACAATTTGATAAAGTGTATATAAATGTCGTTGTTGAAATGTATAAGATTTAGATGTAATTGAATCCATTATCATTGAAGAAAGCTCCTCGAATAAAAATGGCCTATTAATTAATGAAAGATTCTTTTGCTTGTAATTATTCATGCCAATCATTTGGAAAATCTAGCCTAGCAATTTTCGCTGCTAGTATGGAATTTTGAACCGCCAAAAGATGGTTTTCCTCTATTGAACATTGTAAAACTCGTTTTCGAATCTTCTCCTTCTCATCAACTGATAACGTACTGCTAATTATAAGCTAATAGGCCCTTGTTTATAACAAAATCTTCTACTTTTTTGCACTTTTTCTCCAATATCGATCAATTCCATTTTTCAAATAAATAATACTAATCCAACGAACATTATCTGGTAAAACTTTTTCCATAAAAACGTCCTGGCATTCTATTATTTACTTGTATATTTCTTCCTAAAATTACTTGAAGAGATAAGTAAAATCCTGGAATTGTCTCCCAAGACTTAAGTTTTTCTTCTGCTAATTTAACAATTGAAATATCTTGAGATACCGAATCATACAGTGTCTGGATTATTGCTTCATACATCTTTTTTATTCTCCAACCAATATCTTAAAAATTTATTTTTAAGATATTAATTTTTCGAATATTAATTTATTATACGGGCTGACTTAATATAACCTGACTCTGGTAAAATATAAGAAAAACTTAAAAAAAGATTTTAAACAAAAAAACAGGATTCTAGCTTCAAAAAAAACTATATATATATAATTTTTATTTTCTAATATCTTAAATTAATTTTTATTGTAAATTTAACTTTTATCTTAAATTTTATATATAAAAATCCAAGTTAAATAGTTAAAAATTAGTTAAAAGTTAAATAAATTGTATAAAACATTCTAATAAATTAATGCATAGATATTTAAACAATCTATTTCTTTTAGAGATCATCTTTTTCCTTCTAAAAATATTTTTTTTTCTCTTATTTTTTTTATATCTCGTCTAGATGTTATCTTTAATTTTAACATATAAAATATTTATAATAAGATAAATGATTTTTATGATATTTTATAACATGTTAAGGATGGCAATTATGTTTTTAAGAAGATATTAAAAGATAAATACTTTTTTTAAAAAATAAATATTTTTCTCTGAAAAAAAAAAAGAGCTTTTATTTTTCAAAAAATATAAAGTATAAGCTCAGATTTGAATAAAAACTTGAATATTTTAAATGTTTTTTAAAAGAAAAATATATTTCTTTTAGAAAATTAATTAGTTAATTTATGCATCGAAGGTTTAAGCGCTAAATTTAAACAATGAAAATCTTAAACTAATTTTATATTTAAAAGATATAAAAAAACAAGGAAAACTATCTTAACCCTTTATAAAAAGTTCATTAAAATCTATATTTAATTATATTATTAAGTTTTTTCTTAAGAAAAATTAATAAAATATTAAAAAAGATATCAGAAATCAGAAATATGATCGAGGTAAATCTAACTATAAATGAAATAAGATTTTTCAGAAGAAATTCTAATACATAAATGTGTAGATATTTAGGATATTGGTTGATTGCAGTAAAAAGATACATAATAGTTTATTTAAACATTCATCAAGACAAATATATCAAGATTTTAAAAAAATAACATATGATCATATAGAAAAAGAAGATGAAAAATCTATATGTAATGAGTTCTATTCTGGAAATAGTACGAAAGAAATTTATATGAATCATCAAAAAAAGATAATTCAAAAAAATCTTTCTCAATGTATGAGTTTTGAAAAATATACATTAATTGAAAAAATGGGAGAGTAAGGCATTATATGAATATATAGAATTTATATGTTTATATTTTCAGTGGAGCACACAGTGAGGTATATAAAGCAATTTGTAATGAAACAAAAGAATATGTTGCTATTAAAGTGATTCGTAAATATCAGCTTAATTATACACAGGTAAGTTATTTTTTGTGTTAATATTTTTTTGATTAATATATTAATAAAAATTAGAAGGTTAATGTTTTTAAAGAAATTCGGATTATGCAGGACATAAACCATCCAAATATTCTACGTTTTCTTGGATTTTTGGAAAACAATGATTATTATTTTCTTATTCTTGAGCTTGTTGAAGGAGGAGAAATTTTTTACCAAATTGTTCGACTTACGTATTTTTCAGAGGAACTTTCTAAACATGTTATTACACAAGTTGCTCATGCTATACATTATCTTCATGAAGAAAAAGGAGTAGTTCATAGAGATATTAAACCGGAAAATATTCTTTATAAACCGATACCATTTGTTCCAAGAAAACATGCTAAATCAAAAATGGATATGGATAAAGCTGATGAAGGAGAATTTATTCAAGGTCTTGGTTCTGGCACTATTGGTCAAGTTAAAATTGCAGACTTTGGGCTTAGTAAAGTTATTTGGGATAGACAAACAAAAACTCCTTGTGGTACTATTGGTTATACTGCTCCAGAAATTATTAAAGATCAAAAATATTCTAAATGTGTTGATATGTGGGCCTTAGGCTGTGTTCTTTATACATTTCTTTGTGGATTTCCGCCATTTTATGATGAAAATACTCAAGTTCTTTCAAGAAAAGTTGCTAGGGGCGAATTTTCTTTTTTAAGTCCATGGTGGGATAACATCAGTAAAAGCGCACAAGATCTTGTTAGTAATCTTTTAACAGTTGACCCTAAGAAACGATATACTATTAACCAAGTAATAAAAACATTTCATTGTATCATATTAAATTCTTATTAGTTTTTGAATCATCCATGGATTCGAGAATCCAAAAAAGAAGCTCTTCAAGATAACGTATCCTATGTTTCTAACTCTTTAACTCTCAATTCTATTTCTTCATGGTCTTATATAAGAGATTATCCTACATGTAAGGAATATAAAAATTACTTTAGGTAAATATTATTCTTTTAAATTTTTATTTTATATTAAATATTTAAAGATCTTCTGATGCTATTTCTTTGCGTGATGTATTTGACATCTCCTATAAAATTCAACGTATGAAAGAAGAAAGTACATATCAAACTTCTGTATTATTAGATAATACTTTTCATAACAATATGAACATTTCTTATTATATCGAAGAAACAATACAAAAGAAATTACATTCTCAAATATACCATACTGTTAAAGAAAATATTTATACTCCAAAAAAACATTCAAAACATACTAATGAGGAGGAAAAAAAATACAATTCATCCCTTCATTCTCTTTATCTTTCACATTTACATTCTTCAACTGACAATTTTTTATATGACTCTGAATCTTGTCTTGAATTACTATTAGAAAAATCTACACTTTTATGTCGTAGAAAGGCTTTACTTGCTCTTTAATTCTTAACAACAAATTTATTTTAACCTTATTTTTATTCATTCTATATAAAACGCAATTTTTTAGATGCTTGACATTCTTTACTTTATACATAAAACATGCTTTATTTCATTCTTATTTTACAATTTTCATCTTTACATATTAAATATTAATCTTATGACTAACCCTCATTATATTATCACCTCAGGCCATATTTTGTCTTAACGTCACTATTTTTAATATTTTTTTTTATGTAAGAATAAACTTTATAAAAATTCTAAGTAAAAAGCCTATATACTATTATGTCTGAGAATAAGAAGGACTTTATGTCGCTTTTTGATTCAATTGATAAGATTAATTTTGAGAAAGATACACATGACTTTCCTGTAGAAAATATTCAAGATGAAAAGACAGTTCTTGAGTTTTTAGATAATATTTCAAAGAAAAGACCTATTGAAAAATGTGAGGAGACACAGGAAGTAGAAGAAAATGTAGAAAAAACGGGGTTATTAAGTGAAAATTATGTAAAAAACGATTCAATTGATGAAATGGAAAAAATATCCAAAAACTCCGAAGAAACATGGTTTAATGGGCTTTTAAATAATGCTTCATTTTTTGTTAAGCAGGCAGAAGAAAAAGTAAAGCAGTTTCAGCAGTCAGAAGGGAAAAAAATTCAAAAACGTATGTCTCAGTTTATAGATATTGATACACTTGGAAAACTTGGTATAAAAGCAGATTAAGTTAAAAAAACTCATATCATTGTATAGGAGAACATTTTAAATCATATTCTATCTCATCTTTATCGTCCACGTTTAATTCTGTATTAAATGTAGTTGCACCACCTATTTCATTACATGAAATATTAGAAATTGAAATATATCATGATTTAATATTTTTTCCAAAGATAGATAATATAGTATATTCGGTATTTGATGAGGTGAATATATTATAAGAGAGGTTAGAGACTGCTAATATACAAAGGTTCTATCACAAATAGAAAATGAAGATATTGTTGTACAAAAGGGAAAAAAAGATACTATATTTTTAGAGCCTTCTAAAGAGTTTTGTATATTTGAAGGAATTGACGAAGCAATAAGATCTGCAAAGGTAAAAAAATGATTAAGTTATAGAAATATTAAAAAATGAATAGTATCATATTGCACCGTTTCTAGGTTCAAAAAAAAAGCAAATAAGGTTTTCCGATTCATTAACTGTATATATATCATGCATTTATATATCTATTCAAGCGTATTCGTTTAATTTAGAAAATACGTTAAGTGATACAAAAGAGGAAGATTTAAATAAAAATGAGAAAATGCTTTGTTTTGTGATACATCTAAATGATCCTCAATATGGAATTGAGTTTTCTGTTCATAGTCAGGCATTACCAATTCAATGGATTCACAATATAAATAATAAAGATTCTAAATTATCAGAGGATTATTTAGATCAGATAAATGAATGGATTGAAAAAACATTACAACTTTCTATTGGAATTGTTGCACAGTAAGTTTATTTTTTAGTATTATTTTGTGAATTTTTGTTAATTATTTTATAGATCTTATATAGAAAAACGTGGTAATAAAAATGAGTTGCTTGAAGATAAACCTTTGTCGACAAATGTGTCTTAATTCGTTATATTTTGTTTAAATCGCATGCTTTATGATTTTATTTGAGTTTTTTTATAGAAAATCCTTAAAATTATATATAATAGTTGGCTTTTTATAATACCATAAATAATATAATGTATTAGAGTATATAGAAAAAATATGTAAATCGTATAATGTTTTAGAGATTGAAAAGGGTATTTTTAGCTATTTAAGTTAATTTTTGATATCAACATGAAATAACTATTAGCATTATTTCTCAACTATATACTTTTTCTAGAGTCACATATAAGCATGCAGATGAAATAATTGTTAAGTAGGTAACGGTTTTATATAACCAATATTCTGAATCACAAGTAATTGCTTAGATTCTGTTAAAATTATTTAAAAAACTAAATATAAAAAATGCATATATAATTTAATCTATATTTTAAATCAAACTTCAGATTTAATATAAATGATTAAAAAATAAATTGTAAAAATAATTATTTATATTCAATATTTTGTTTATAGAATACTTACCTATTGATATACTTTTACTTAAAAATATTTTTGCAAATAATCTTATGTTTTTGAACTTTAATGAATAAAAAATATCAAGATAACAATGACATTATAAATAATATATAGTCAAGTAAATTTGATGTACAGAAAATGTAGATAAATAATAGGAAAACTTCTACCCTTTTATTTAATTTTAGATCTGTTTATTAAATAACAAAATGTGCTTATTGTAATTTCTTTTGCTTATTTTCGCATTAAAAATATTAGAATATCCTCCATATTGTGTCATCATATCATAAACAGTAATTTCACGTATACCTTCTTTTTCATGTTTAAACTTCTCAACAATCTATCTTCCTTGCTCATTTAGCATACGAATATAATTATATCCTTCATGATCATGGCCTGTAATGATAACTCCCCCTTGTTTATGATTAAAAAGTTTATTAAAAATTAAATTGAGTTTTTGAAAAAATAATTTTGTTCTTGAATCACTTTCACAACATTATAATATTTAATATATGAAGAGTCTCTACATAACTCTTCTTATATAAATGTAAATGTGTCAACAAAATTATCGTTCATATTCTTTTTCCATTTCTTCCAGAAAGTCACATGCCTTCTTAATGATAGATTATCTTTTCACTAATATTTATTGTAGATTAAAATAACTCAATATTAACAGATTTTCTAATAAACCTGAATATTAATAATTAGTGTATTCATAATAATAATCTACAATCCATGTTTTTCATGAATCACTGTTTCAAAATATTATAGACAATTTACTTTCGAAAACATATTTCCAAAGTGATTTATTCTTTCTCCAATCATTTCATCTCCATATCCAATAACCTTATTCCCTAACATATCAAAAATATCAATATACGATAACCTCCATGATATATTTAATTTATCCCTAAATTTTCACAAAAATTATCCTCATAAATACCCAATTGATTCATTTAAGACTTTTTAATTCCCTATATCTAAGATATATTGACTAGACATTAAGTCTTCTAAAACCATTTGATAGGTAGGATGTAGAAACAAAAAAATTAACAATATCCCATTTAATATGTAAAAAATACATATTATTTGTCAATAAACCAATATTCTCTATTCAACTGAGCTATTTTAATTTAAAAAATCCAAAATCTTCGTATAATTTAGTCTTTTTTTGAATTTTAGTATTCCCCTCTATTTCAAAATTTATAATTAAGCGTTTAAAGCCTTAATAAAGCGGAAGAAAAAGGCAATATCAATGAAGAGTTCCTTATAAATAAGGTATATATATAATGTCTGTGAAATAGAGCCATATATACTGAGAATTTTGATATTATGTAGAATCTTAATTTTTATGACGTGACGAACGTCAAAAAAAAATGAGTAAGAGAAAGAGGGTAAAATCAAGGTTTTTTTGTGAAGAAAATATTAATTCTAACAGATATTTCGTCATTGAAGGGTCTTTTTATGTTATTTTATACATAAATATAATATGGGTTCTGAAAAACAGCGAAAAAAAAAGGATGAATGGATGATTATAGAAGAAAATATAGATATGACAAACCCTTTTGTGTTTAATGATGAGAAAAGAGAAGAATTCTATAAGAAATTGTTTATAGAAGTGTGTCTTTTTATATTTTTATATTTTTTTTGGGGTTCTGAAGGATTTTTTAGAGGGATGAAGAATACGTGTTAGATGATAAAGTTATTCTTGTCGTTGATACAAACGTATTCTCTATATTAAATGTGTTTTTGAAATTACTGATTGTTATTTGCTAAAAGTTTGTGATATCTCATTTGTCTTTGATTTCCGATTTAAGCAAGCAGTGTGAATCATATAAATACATTATTGTATTTCCATGGGCTACAATTCAAGAACTAAATGGGTTAAAATCATCTAGAAATATGTATGTGTCTCATACGGGTGAGGATATAGCATTTTCTGTGCGAAAAGCAACAGATTTTATCTATAAATCTTTGTTGCAGAAGGAAAATTCAATAAGAGGTCAAAAAATGACAGAAGTCATAGATGCGACGCTTACAGGGGATGACTCAATCCTTGATTGTTGTAGGTATGTTTTTTGGTGGCTTTTTTTTTGCTAAAAATGAAAGATATTGGCATGAAAAGCGTCTTTTAAAAACTATTTTGCTATCAAATGACAAAAATCTTTCTATTAAAGTCATGATTCACGGTAATTTTGAAATTTAATTGTAAATATTGATTAATTTAGGTATTTATTCTATTTCATATGAACCTGGAATGACATTGGAGCTTCTTTTGGATGAAATATCAAAAAAACTTGATCATTATTTAAAACATAAAAATTTTGATGAATTACAAAATATTGATATGGAAATAGATGACATACAGGGAGATTCATTTCAATCTTCTGAGTCTATAGATGATTGTTCATTTTTAAGGTTCGTTTTTTATCTTTTTATTGTATTGGTTTATATATATTATCAATATAGGAATACGAAGCAGAATTTAGAATTTAAGGAAGATCTCATGTATGTTGATTGCATTCCTTTAAAAGATACCCCTCTTTCAGATGAATGCCGAACTTTTTTAACGGAATTATTGCAAGATATTACGATAATTATAATAGAAGCGTCAAAAATTTTGCTTAAAAAACACATGGTTAGAGTTCTTGGTAATGATTTTTCGGCGGAATATTTGTTAAAAGGATGTGCATTTCCCCCAAAACGTATTGATGATCTTTTTCATATCATTCAAAAACACTGGAATACTATCTTTAAAGAACTATTTAAAACACATGCATATAAAGGTAGAAAATAATCATATAATATATATATCTATTTCTTAACTATTGAAAAGAAAGGATTATAGAAATGACAAAAGCATATCAACTTTGGTCAAAATGGGCTTTGTCAGGCATTGGTATTGGTCCATCCCCTATTCAATTACTGAATTGGGTTGAAGAAATAATTACATTTTGGAAAACATTAGCAACCGTTTCTACAACAGACATAGTACAAGATAAAGAGATGCAATATAAAATAACATTATGGCGTCAACAAGTAAAAAATTTGAATGAAAAAATATTTAAATCGTAATATATTATGAATTAACAAGATGTTTTGTTAATTCATAACTAATGTATATTTGTCGTCAAGAATGCTAAAACATAGAAATTCAATTATTATTAAGCAAAATAAAGTTACACACAACGGTTAATCAAAATTGATATGCAACTTATTTTCCTCCTTTTTTTTTCTTAAACCTCCATTTCCGCCGCTGGGTCCTCTGAATTAAAACTTCCTACACTACTCATTTCTTCATTTTCCGAGCTTTCAACCATTACTGTTTCCATAATTTCTTTCGTTGCATACCGAGAAACATAATCACGTACTTTCATTTCATACGTTTTAGGCTCTCGTATTAATAAGGCTGCCGCTTCTCCATTAAGCGGATCACATGGATTTGGATATCGAAGTAACTGTGGCAGAAAAACCTCAAAAATATTAATCATATCTAAAGAAAGATTTAACATAAAAAATAATCATTTTTTTAATAATACCAAACATTGGCGACCATGTTTGGTTAATAACATCCAGACATACTGAACCACTTCTAAAATATCATGTTAATTATATAAAAAGCTCAAAGAATGTATATTTTTTTGAAAAAATCATTTTTTCAAAAAAATTCTGCAAAAAATTTCATTTCACATACAATTCATCAATGTTCGGATGGAAAATTCGGTTCATAAATCCAATGGACTACCATATTTCTTCAATTTTTATCTTTTTTTGATTTGTTTCTTTTACCGGTGATTTATAAGGATATTGATCTGGTAACTCAACGTGCACCTTCCAAATTCCTCCTGTAAACGGCGCTACACATTAAGCTATTAATATTTACTCTTTATTCCCCTAAAAACTCACTTTCTTCTGGCCCTCTAAACTGTACATAAAACTCTTGCCTTTTTACCGTCATTGATCCATTTTTTCCCAAAAAAAAAACATAAAAGCTTACATATTATCATTAATAAGTGTAACCTCATAATCACTCATTAATAGACGCATCACATCTGTTTCAATCCTTCTTCTTGGCGAGCTCATTCTTCTCGTTTTAGTTTGTCGTCTCTCTCGACTGACGAGAAAAATTATATTCTATGCGAAAAAATGATAGTTAAAATTGAATAGTAAAATTAAAGAACCAACCCTCTCCCCTAAGTTTTCTTTGTGTTTAATAAGTAGGATTTTAAATTTTAAATATTTTTTGATGCATTAGAAAAAAGCTTTTAAAGAGCCTTACGCATAAAGAAAAATCGAAAAGTTAATTAGTATAAAATGAAAGAATGTAAAATACAAGCTATCTTTTTGATAGATATTAATAAATGGATTTTTTTTTTGTTTATTTGTGTATTTTTTTGAAGATTTTAGTATATGATTAATAAAATATTTTAAAAGTATTTTTGTATAAATTTTAGTAAAAGCTTTATTGTAGAGATAGTTTTTCATGACGACGTTGACGTTCTTTTATAATTTTAATCATTGAGTGTGTTTTTTTAAAGCGAGGATTAGTTGGATCGATATCAAAGTGATGACTTGAATACATTGCAGAAAATCGAGGATCATTTAGATCAATATCAAAGTTGTCTTGAATTTCTTGTGGATGTAGTGATTTTGGTTTCTTTTTGAATTTACGAATATCTTTTATATGAAGATGATGATCGATAGTGTTTGTTTTTGAAATATTGTCATCCATCATTAGAAGCTCCAATTGAGCTTTTTGAAGATTATTTTTATCTAATGTTTTTTGCTTTGTTTTTTTAGATAAAACAGGTTCTTGTGAGAAAAAAGGATCATTAAAGCCAAGATCTGTTTTTTCTTGATCTTTAGAATCATGTAGACCATTTTCTTGTGAATAATGTTTTTTATCTTTTTTCTTTTTCTTTCTTTCTTTTTCTTTTCTTTTGTATTTTTCTAAAGTGGTTTCAACAACAATTTCGTCTGATTTTTTTTCATCTAATCCAGGCATAAATGTAACTTGCATATCACCAACAACGTTTTCCTGGTCATTTAAAAGATCTTCATTATTTAAGAGGAGCGAGCGATATTTCTTTGCTACTTCAATATCGCTTGCTTCACTATCTGTTGAAGCTAAATATACTTTGAAATCGTTTTCATTAATCTCTTTTCCAGAGAATGCACGTTTTACCATTTGAAGATAAACTGGATCATCATTATCCCACATTAATTTTACATTTGAATGTTTTAAAGCCTGTTTTTTATAAGAGAAAAAAAAAAAGAAAAATACTTACATCTGTAACAAATTCCTCAGGAACATAGGCTTCTGGAAGTGATAAACATTCATCTCTTTTTGAAAAAAATAGTTATTATTACATTATCAATCGATATAAGCATACCTTATTTGCATTGAATCAAAAGATTCTTCATCTGGAACAAATCTTAAATCAAAAAAATTAGCTGATGCCTCATATTCCCTGCCATCGCATTGTTTATATATATATTTCGCAGTATTAACTGAATCACAAACAACAATTGCATAGTAATATCGAAGCCTTTCAAGTTGATACTTGCGAAGTTGCGTCATATTGAAATCATTACCTTTATCTTCTTTTACTAATTCCTTTTGAATCTTTTCATCACTTATACTATTTATATCATCTGTATTATCTGTATCATCTGTATCGTTTTCAGTTTCTTTATGAAACTCTTTTAACTCTTGTGCTTTATTTTCTAGTGAAAGTGTCTTTGAGGGTTTTATAGAAAAAATATCTCTAGGAGGTCCTTCTACGTCTTCTTTTTCCATTCTTTTTTTTCCAAATTCACTGGGATAAATCTTAACACTTAAAATACGTCCCCCCTTGGGCACAAAACTACCAAGTGCCGCAAAAATATCAACCGATCGAATATGATCCCAGTCAAGATTTACAACTGCTAGACGATATGTCATTTCTCCTCTTGGAATTTCAATTTCCGGCTCTGGATCAACAAGTTTTAGATCTTCTGTCGAAAAATCTGACGATAAATCCTCCTCTGATGAAAAGGAATCATCTCTTAATGAAATTATAGACTCTTCTGAGCTTGTTTTCAGACTTTCCACTTCATTTAAATCTTTTTTTTTAAAATCCTTATTTTTAACTAAAAAACCATTTGAATCACTGCAAGTTTTGCTTGGTAAAATATACAACGATTCAATATCCTTTATATCTTTCTTCCTATTCTTTAAACGCCGTCCATATAGGTCAAAAACAGCTACTTTTGTTAAATTTGCCCACTTAAAAAAATACTTACGCTGCTCTGAAAAGTCTGGATCAAGAATCGAGGAAAAACGAGAGTCTAGAACAACTCTTCCCCTCTTCTTTGGACGTATAAATCGAGGATCTGAGTCTACTGGAAATCTCTGATCCATTTATATAAGATTTTGATTTTTTCTGAAGTTCAAAACGAAGTATTTTAGGATTTTAAAGATTAAAGAAAAATACATATATTTAAAGGAATATACGCATGTTTTTATCAATATTTCTGAAAGCATGATAGTTTTTCTTCTAAAAAAAGCCCAATTTTAAAAAATAATTCTAATCTTTTTACGTTTTAGAAGAAAATATGAAAATTCATTAAAAAATTAGAAGAGTTCCATATAAAAATATATCATGTTATTTTGTTTAATTGTCAGTAAAATTAAATGTAGGAAATTCTAATTCTTTTCGTAACTTTTTTTCACTCCAACCCCATAAGCGTAAAAGTGTCTTAATCTTTGATTCTTGTATTAATCCTTGTGCTTCAAGTATAGCTGTATTTACATTTGACGCAACAGCTTTACGTAAAGACAAATCCAGTAATGGTTTTAAGGCTGGTATTAGATTATTTGATGAAAAACATAATAATGCCATTGCCGATTCAAGATCCTGTAAAAACCCAGCATTTTTAGGAGCTCTTGGTGCTAAATGAATTTCTGCAAATTCCAAAATAGGCATAAGATCTGTATCAGGTGAATATAAAGCAATACGTATAAGTTCAATCAATTGTAAACGCAATAACATAAAATGAATTGTAGGTCGAGTATCTAAAAGCTAATTTTATATTAATAATGACGTTAAATTCAAATATTTCGATTTTTTCGGATCTCTTTTTTATTTCTTTTCATATTTTTTTCTTTTTTAATTAATATAGCGCTCATATTGAAGACTGAAGGAAGGGTGAAGTTATTTAATCATTGCCCATATAAAGACTAAGAGGGGTGCATGAAGATTTAAATCATTGCGCCAAATCCATCAATATATATCAAAAAACATCATATTTAAACCCCTGTTTAAAGACAGTTTTACATATTTACCTACCTCTGGATCCATTTCATTCATTTTTTCTATTGCTGATATAATGTCTCCGCGATAAATTGCATTTAAAATATCCATTCGTTCGCTCATCCATTCAAGCCCCTCCGGAGGCGAAAGATGTGCTTCTTCAATAAATTTTAATGCTGAAGATTCATATCCTTCAATTATAAAAAAATTTAATATTAAATAATTTAATGCACTAAAAAATATGATAAAAAAATACAAAATAAAAAACATTTCATTACGTCTTAGAAGGATCAATTTGTTCACACCTTCGTTTCCATTCTTCGGGTGCAAATCGTTTTGTTTCTAGAAGTGTTCGAGATGCCATTGAAAAGTAAGCTGAACCCTTCAAAGATTCAATTTTATCATAAAAGGGTTCAAAACCCTATTTAAAAAGAATGTATTGTTTTTTTTAATTATTTCAATTAATCTGCTTTATTTTTATTGTACATGTAGTATATTCAATGAAAATACGTTTTAATAAAGCTAATATTTTCTTTAATTTAGTCTTTTTTTTTTAAAATTAATTTTGATTTAATTTATTTTATTTATTTCTAAATTATTATAAAATTTTTATTATTTTATTTTCTACGCTTTATTTCTATGTTTTCTGTAGGCTCCGCTTTTTTCTGTACCAGCTGTGGTTCTCTTCTCGATTTAATTAGCGATATGTATATCGTATGTACTCAATGCCGTGCATCGTATCCAACATCAGGTATATTTTTTTCCTTTCATTCATTTTATAATAGGTTAAGATATACCCGATTTTAATATTGTCACTACATCTCGATCAAAAGCATTTGGATCATCTCTCAGACAAATGGATATTTCTTTGAATTCATTGGAAACAGATACTGCTGCTAGCATTGTTTTTTTAAGATGTTTTTGAATATAAGAATCTAAGATTTTAAAAGATTAACGAAACATGTCCAAAATGTGAATATAAGAAGATGCGGTTTCAAACACTTCAAATGAGAAGTGCAGATGAGGGAGCAACAGTATTCTATGAATGTCTTTTTTGCGGGTTTGAAAAGATACTTAAGAAAATATACATAATTTATGATTTTAAGATATCGCTTTTCTACAAATGAATAAGGATTTGAAGGTTAAATTTAAAGGAATATATTTTTTAATTGAATGATAGTTAATAATTTTAAATATTCTTATTAAATAATGATGTTTGTGTTTTAGATATAAATTTTGTTAATTTGGTGGAAGTTGAGATGAAGAATTGAATCACATATATTTGACTGATTATTTTTATTATTCATTTACACATCTCTATTGCTAAAAAATGTCAAGATTTTATTAATTTCATTCATTCTTACCAATAATACAGCTTTCTCTAATTATTCTTTCCTTATCATGTATAAATGTTTTGAGAAGAGATTGAACATCTGGAATACCAATAGATCCTAATGCTTCAGCAGCTTCATGGCGAACTATAGTTTCTTCCATTTGGTTACATAAAACATTTGTTAAATATGGTATAGAATGTGGTGAACATAATTGACCAAAAACATAGGCAATTTCATGTCGAAATAATGCAGATGGATCTTTAAAGCCTTGTGCAAGTGCTTCAATTGCTACATCTGTGCCAATATTACGAAGTCGAAACATTACACGATATCGATAAAATAATGATAGTTTTTGATCGATTAGTTCATTACCTAGTTTTTTTACTTCGTTTTCTATCCCAATTTCTGGATCTTCTGGTAAAGGTGGTGCTGGATCTACCGATTCAAATATACTATATCAAATAAATAAATATAAAATATATAAAAGGTATAGACTTTGGTGTTAATTTTTCGATCTCAGATTCACTTGAATTTTCCCATTCAATACGTTGAATTGCTAGGTCGCATGTTTGACGAATAATTTGAGAAGGATCATTTTCTTTCAAAAATTTAAGAAGTGGTAAACTTTCTTGACTATTCAGAGCACCTAGCGCTTCTGCTGCCTAAAAATTGGTTAAGAACATTAAACATCGATAAAACAACTTCTAACTTCATGTCGAACTATTATTTCTTCTGATTCGTTTTTTAGTATTTTTTCAAGTGGAATAATAGCTTTTTTATTTTGTGTTTGGCCTAAAACATATGCAATTTCATGCTTTAAAAGTTCTGAATCATCACAAAATCCTTTCATCTATCAATATAACATATTTCTTTTTCTCGAGTTTATATGCCTTCAGCAAGAACATCAATAGCTTTTTTATAATTTTTTCCAAGTGTTTTTAAGGAAAAAAGTGCTTGAAAACGGGCGGAAAGGGCATTTTCTTGGGTTTTGTCTAAAATGACATTACGAAGCTTAATTATTTCATCTTCTGGGTCTTGATTCATTTATTTTTTACTCAATATATTTTTTATGTAGTCAAAATGAACAAATTTTTTCAACGAATTTTAAATATATACTACGATATATTTAATAATCTACTTTTAATTTCAAAAAAAGAGCTTTCTTGACATATTCTAGCTGAATAGATACATACATGAGTTATTTTTTACCTCATTTAAGAACGTATTTTTTTACATTTTTTTTAGACCTTTTAAAGCTAATATTTGATGATTATAGAGGATGGTTAATAAACATAAGAATAATATATAGAATTAATGACTAACATGTCATTTTAGGCATGTTGATCAAGCAATTTTGTCTGGTATGAGAGTCTTAGTATATTTTTATTCCGTTTTTTTTTAATGTTTGATTTAGAAGAAGAGCGTCTTGTCGTTATTCGGTTTGGTCGAGATGGGGTATTATTTAGTGGTTATAAAAATACATTAAGGATTATATTTTAGGATGAAGAATGTATGAGACAAGATGAAGTTTTATATAAAATAGCAGAAAAAGTGGTTAATTTTGCGGTAAGAATTATTTTGTAAATAATTCTTATTAAATCTTTATTAAGGTGATTTATCTTGTTGATATTGATGAGGTTCCGGATTTTAAGCAGGTATTTCTATGGTTTTATTTTTTTTTGGTCATTCAAACATGAAAAAGATGTATGAATTGTACGATCGTTGTACAATTATGTTTTTCTATAGAAATAAGCATATGATGATTGATTTGGGTAATTTTCCCCCTGAAGACTTGAAGAATTATTTATTAAATATTTTAGGAACGGGAAATAATAATAAAATTAATTGGGCTCTTGAAGATAAACAAGAACTTATTGATATATTCGGTATTTTTATTTTATCTATTTTTTATTCTAATTTAGATAGAAACAGTTTATAAGGGGGCACGAAAAGGAAGAGGTCTTGTAATAAGTCCAAAAGGTATAATTGATTTTTTTTATTTCGTTAAATCATGAATGTAGATTATTCAACAAAATATAAATATTAATGACTCATATTTTATTTATTTTTTAATAAGAAGTTTGTTTTTTATAGCTTAAAGAATATAGAATCTTTATAAATTGTAGATAATTTTTTATTTTTTTCTTGTTTTTTTTATTAAGAATCTTAAATATTATGTAGTAGCCGATGGAGGTTCTGTAGATAAGGTTATTAAAAGGTGTTTGTAGAACTGTTATAAGAGATCTATTATATTTATTTTTACCTTTTCCAGGCTATTTTTATTAGTAAATATGGAACAATATCTAGATAAACTTGAAACATGGATTCAATCTGAGCAAAAAGTGGTATGTTGTGTTTTTTTATTTGAGAAAAAGGCTTAAAAATGAAAGATAACATATCGTTTCCTTAGCAGATATATGGGAATTCATGTTGAAGATTCAAAACAGTTTTTTTTTACTTCTTTTTTTGATTAAAATTGATATATTCAAGAATACTTTTTGATTATCATAAAAAGTGCCAAGAAAGTGGCAAAAAGTGCCATGCAATTTACATGATATCAGGGTATATGAATGAAAGTATTGTGAATTCTGGGTTGGATCGTTCTGAAAAGGTGGAATCATTACCTAGTAACTCTCAAGATGAAAGTCGTATATGTTTGGAATCATCTACGGCAAAAATGAAGGTTTTTTTTTTAGTAAAGGAAGAAGATATAGAATGTTTAATTTTTTATACAATATTATTTATTTTTTGATCATTTGAATTAGATATAAAGAAAAAATTTGATGAAATCACGTCAATACATGTTTATTCACTTGAACTTGATTTATGTAAGGTAAGATATTGAAAAGAATCTCTATATTTGTATTTTTCATTGTTCTAGGATAGTTCTACCCTTTCAGACGCCTTTTTTGATTCATATAATTGCATTAAATATGATGAAATTTTGTCTCCAGAAGAAATGTCTAAAAAGTATGGAATTATTCATCATATGAATGTGAAAGTTAGAAAATGGACATTTTTTTCATGTTTAATATGTATAAGGTATTTCCTGCGGGTTTTCAGGCATCAAATATAGATATTTCATCTTCCAAAACTACAGGGATTTTATCTGAGATAAATTCTTCTCAAACTATCAATGCATCTTCAGATTCTAAGGAGAAGACACAGACGTCAATGATTCGTAGCTTTTTTGATTGCTCGGGTCATGGAACAAAGTATTTTTTAACATATTAAAATATTTATTTATTTATTTTTAGATCCACTCTTAAATCAAATAAAAACCCCCCTAAACCTATTAAAAGAAAGTCGAGCTTTATGGATTCATTTCTTAATTTGGGTTCTAATACAGAGTCGAAGCCTAGTTCTATTTGTTCTTCAAATTCTGTTCTTCCTGGTAGGAAAAATAAATGTTTTGTTTGTTATATTGATAAAGATATTAGTAAAAAGTCTTTCAAATCTTGAAAACAAAGAAAGTGAAGAGCTTATTGTCAGAAGACAACAAGAAATTAATTTATTGATGGCAATGATGGAAAATCAAGGTTTGAATTCTTTTTTTATTTTATTTTATTTATATCTTAAAGAAAAAGATGATACAAACAAGAGCAAAGAAAGTGTATCAAAAGCTTATAATGTTGATCCTATTGTAAAAAATGAGCAAGTAAATTTAGATAAAAAAAGACGAGGAAGAAGAAAAGTTTTAAAAAAAGTAACAAGTTGTGATAAAAAGGGCTATCTTGGTAATTTCTTGGCATTCTAATTATGTTTTTGATTTATATTATAGTTACAAAAAATGAATTTGTATGGGAATCTTTTTCAGAAGATGAAACAGCAATCCCTATAAAAACAAAATCAGATACTGAATTTAAAGAGGGACCAGAAAAAAATAATCCAAAAACAGGTGAAACAAAAATTACTTTGTTTTTTTCGAAAAAATGAAATGAAATATTTTTTTACTTTATTTTTTAGAAAATCTTTCTAATGACTATTTTCATTTGAGCACTTAAAACATGCTAAATAGTGAATTAAAAATGCATATTTTCTATCTCTAAGTTAAATATATTCAAAAGTGTATTCCTTTGGTTTTAAATTAAATTTAATATTTTAGGAAATAGATATCTTTTTTAAAGAATATTTGATTTGTTTAAAAAAATTGTTATTGTTAAATTCATGGAATATAGAATACATAATATGTATATTATATAATATTTATAGAGATTTTTTAGTGAGAAATATTCAAGGAATTGTTCTGTATATCATCTTTATATTATTTTAAGATAAGTTTGCTTAATATTATTGTTGAATAGAAAGAAAAAATATTATATATTCTAAACGAATTATTTTCATTTTGGATAAACTCGGTCTTATTAGAAACATAAATATTTTTTGAAAATTATGTATAAATTATAAAATTTAATCTTTTTATTTAAAAAAATTTGACTGGAAGGATAAAACATAAGTAATAATAAAACTAATTAATGATGATTCAAAAATATTAATATATGATTGTATAACATATAAATATTTAGTCCAAAAAGAAATCAAATTCATGATTATTTTCTACTTTTAAACCAGCATGTTCTTCTTTTGATAAGAGAATAGACAAGTCTGTATCATCAAGTTCTATAGAGGAGATGTCTTTTTTAGCATTACTTTGTTGAATAATTATACAAAAAATGGCGTCGTAGCCACCTGCACCTGGTATTCCAACACCCAAAACACCTGGAATTTTGATGCATTTGTCAAGAAGAAGTGTTTGTGAGGGAGGCTCTATAGGAACATTTGATTTGACACCTATTATTTTTAATTGTTCCCGAATTAACTATATTTATGATTAATATTATTGATAAAAATATAATAAAAACCTTTAATTGAGAATATAAATTGTACAATATATCATAAATGAATTGTTTTGTTTTATCTTCAAATTTTATTTTGTCTTTATCCCATGAAACCTGTCCTGAGATTTTTAATACTTCATAATAATCCGAGACAAATTGGTGGCTAGCATTAGTCATTTCACTCAGCGTTTTATAGAACAAATTATTTGCTTTCTTCAACTCCTCCCAGATAAGATTAGCTTCTGTATCTTTATTTTTCCATGCCATTACATTACGTGCCATATTCGAAGTTGTTGTTCCCTTATTTCTATCAATTAAAACAACTCCAAGTCCTGGAGGAAAATCTAGCTCTTCAATTGAAATATCCCAAAGACTTTCAACAACTTTTGTAAGCTGTTTTTTGAATTGAGATGATGTATATTCTCCAACACTGTCAATAATAGCTGGATCAAATCGCCGATATAGACAACTTCCAAAACATGCTGCTGCAATATCAAATCCACTTCCTATTTTCTCCTGAACTGAACAATGAGCTATCTGTGAAAGATTATGTATTATCCATTTATTCTGAGTTTGTTGAATGTCAAATTTTCCATCTGATAAATGAACTACTAGCGCTGCAATCATACTTGTCATAAGTGCTGATGATGATCCTATTCCTGTCTTATGAACCATTTCTATAGGAAACTCGAACTTTTTATATTTAGAAAGTGTTGAACGTGGTCCATTTTGTGAATAATAGTCATTGTCTGCCAATATAGTAATATAGAGATCTTGCATCTTAGATGGATTACAATAAAATAATGAATAAATTAATGCATAATATATGTGCAAGTTACGCGCTCTGTTACTATTCAGTTTGTCAGAATATCTCTTTTTTTATATATTTTTTTTCTACATTTCTTGAATTTCTGAAACTTCTTCATTTTCTCCAAAAATAACACGAAAAAAATAATCTGGCTGTTTAAACTGTTTACAACATACTCTTATCTCTGGAAATTCTCCTTTTTTCTCCTGATCTTCAACAATACAAACCATTCTTGCTGAAAGCGTAAGAACAAAACCTTCATTTTCTTGTTCAAGAATTAAATATCCTCCTGCAAGAAGGACCTTTCCTGGTGCAGAAACTACCGTCTTATTTCTCTTCATTTAATGTGTTTTTGGACTTAATAAGGCATTAAAGCCTGCTTTTACTATCTCTATTTTTCTTTAAAATTTTATGACGTCGACTTGAACGTGGAGGTTGCCAAGACAACGTCTAATGTCCTAAAAGCTCTTGAATAAAATGTACTATTTTTTTCATCAAAAATGAAGCTTTAACCCCACATAAGCCTCTTATCTTCGTATATGATATGGTGAGTATTGTATTCTATGTATTTTTACTTATTTTTTTCCTTTTTCAGCGGAGAAATTTAATGATTTTTGGAAGAGTACGAAGTATTAGAAATGGATCATTATATCTTCTTAGAAATCCTATAAATGGTGTAGAAAACAATGTGAAACCCTTTTTTTTTTATCGTCTGTTATGTCTGGATTTTTTAATACTTGATAAAATCTATACATTTCATGTTTGGACAAGAACTAAGGAAATAAAGTCAACTAAAATAGTTCCGACGGGTTCATCACTATTTTGTGCAGCTCCTGAGACACTATCAGTTATACCCTCTGTATCAGATGCATCATCTATTTCTCTTTTGCCGTCAAAATCAAATATTGCTTTGAAATATGAAAAAAAAATGACAAAATTATTACAAGAAAATAAATATTTTAATATAATTGAAGTTTATAATGAGATGAAATCTATGGGAATTCCTCTCACTGTTGAATTGTATGATATTATATTTCAGTCGATGGTTAAGATTCGTCAGCCAGGTGTTGCAACGATGATTCATACGCTTCTAGATACATATAAATCTATGCTTGAGCAGCAATTGACGCCTAATCTCTCTATTTACTCTACGCTTATTCTTGCACTTTGTGTGCGTGAGGAAGAGGTGTATTCTCAATTACAGACATTAAATAATAAGATTTCACGTGGTCTTCCAAATAATTTACAGTTACAAGAGCGATTAAATTCTTTAAGAAAGGAAAATAATTTGGATATGGCATGCGAGATATTTAAGGCAAGTGTAAGTGTTAGGTTTCAGCCTTATTCGCCCAATGTGTTTTCAGAGTTGATGCGTATTTGCGCTTTAGTGGGTAAAACAGATGAACTTCTTATGATATATCAACAAATTGTCAATCATAATATTATTCCCTCTCCTCGTGTGTTTATTTCTCTAATTAGAGGGTTTTCCATGCATAAGGATGTTAAATCAATGGTAGAATGTTTCAATGAATATAAAACTTTTGCACCTAAGATGGAACCTCATGATAAATATGATGTTTATTGTGCATTGATTGATGGATATTTCAGATCATCTCGTTCTTATGCTGCAATTTCATTTTTTGAGAAATTGGCTGCTCAAAAGAATGCTTATATTCCATATAAAGTTTTTAAAATAATTGTATTTGGACTTTCCTTAAATGGTGATTATTTAACAGCTAAATCTTGGATTGATCGTATGATAAAAGATGAAAATCTTCCCAATCCTACGCCTTCATGCGTAATACCTGTTATTAGTAGCGCTATTAAAGCAAATGATTTGGACGTTGCAGTTTCACTTTTTGATTATACATCTTCTATTGGATCTATAAAGCCATTTGGAAGAGTCGTTTTTGAGTTTATACATTTATGTTTGAAACATGGGAAAAATGATTATGCAAATGATATTCTTAATCGTGTCTCTGTTGAAGGCATTAGACCGGATGAAATGACGACCCAAACAATTGCTCTTGCAATGATTAGCAATGGAAATATAGATTCATCTCTTCAATTATATAAAACATGTTTGAAGCTTAATGTTCAACATTTTGGATCAACAAGGTATATTCGTAGAGGATTTACTTTAGTAGGTGTTTCCTTAATGGAAGAATTAAAAAAAAGGAATCTTCTTGATTTCAAATCATGCTTAAAGATTATTACAAATGTTTATGATACTGCATTTCATATACCATATCCTATGCTTTTATATGTTTTAAAATTTTATTTTATGGAAAAGAAAATGTCAGTAGAAGCATGGAGAGCTAACTTAAAATCATGGGATCCATTTATATTAAGTTTAAGTCTTAGGGTTTTATGTTTTTCTGTTAAGCAAGATCGTGGTTCTTATGCTCATAAAGTATTTCCCGAATTGATCAGAGATATTATATCTGAAAATATTGCTGTTATACCGGGTTCTGCAATGGCTGTTTCTGATACTCTTGAGATTTTGGGAGAAAAAGTTTTGTCGGTTGAATGGGAAAAATATACTCAAAAATATAAGCCTCATGAGTCTTTTGCTATAGATGGAGTTCCTGAAGTTTCTCGTTATCAGAAATTAAGGCCTCTTTCTATTGATCTTATGCGTGATTGGAATCAAGTTAAAAATCATCCTCGTATAGACTTTTCTACTTCTCAGAAAATTTTGAATGATTCTATTTGTCATAATAAGACTGATGATTATTCTGCTTTGGTTCATGAAATACATGTAACATATAGAAAAGGGAAAGATATTACTCCGGAAGCTTATTGTAGGCTATTAGAACGCCTTGGGAAGGAAAAAAAATTGGATTTAGTAAATGATCTTTATAAATTTGCAAAGGAATCTATTTCTAAAAATTTTACTGGAGATACAGGACTATGTTATCTTGGATTTTGTCTGAATAGTATGATTATTGCTCAAATATATTCTAGCCAAATGGATGCTGCAAAGAAATATCAAAGAGAACTATTAGAACTTGGGTTTTCTCCAAGTGCATCTGTTTTTGCTACATATATTATAAATTTGAAAAATTCTGAGCCTTCTCAAGATGCTGATGATGCTATAAATATCTATCGTGAAGCAAAATCGTATAACGTTGAGTTTACAACATATTTTTATAATGCTCTTTTATCAAAACTTTGTAGAGCAGAAAAACTACATGAAGCTCTTGAAATATTCTCAGAAATGAAAAAGAATAATATTATTCCCAATAGTATTACATATGGAACTCTCATAAATGCTTGTTGTAAAATTGGAAATGAAGAATTGGCAAATGATCTATTTGTAGAAATGGAAAACAGTCCCCGTTATTATGCTAGGGTAGCGCCATATAACATAATGATGCAATTTTATGTGCATACTAAGAAAAATAGACAAATGGCACTTAAATATTATAATAAGCTCTGTAACCAAGTTTTAGCTCCTTCCCCCCACACATACAAACTTCTTATTGATTGTTGGACTGTTATTGATCCTCCAGATATTGATAAAGCGCTTCAAGTATTAACTGATATGACAAAAAATAGTGTTTCTATTACTACTCGGCATTATGGAGCAATTATATATGCAAAAGGATGTATTCTTCGGGATTTGAAAGATGCTAGACAATACTTTGATTCCATTACTAAACGTAATTTTAAACCAGTAATACCAGATCATACTTTATATCAAGCTTTAATAGATGCATATGTCACTAACTATTCTATGAAAAATATTCCTAAATTATTATCTCTGATGAAAGATAATAATATATTATTAAATGCTGATATAGCTAATATACTTATTCGTGGTTGGATGCAAGAAGGTCAAATAAAAAAAGCAAGAGAAGTTTTTGATTCTCTTGATTTACAAACGAATAGCGTCTCAAAGAGAGAACCTAGTAATTATATAGCAATGATTCAAGCTTATTTGTCAGTTAAAGATATAACATCTGCTAAAGCTATTTTAAAAGAAATGAGAACATATTCACCTTCTCTATCAGATATTTCTCATGCTGAATCCCTTTTTAAAAAATAAACATCATAGGATAAATTTTGATTTTTTATTTATATTTTTTTTTGTCTTAATTGTGTAGGAATATTATAGTTTTTGTATGATTTTATGGTGCCAGTCTATGTATATCCCATCCATTTTTACATTTTATATATACAAATCGATCATGAAGTCTATTTTCACGACCCTGCCAGAATTCTATAGATTCAGGAACAATCCTAAGTCCTCCCCAGAAAGGTGGAACTGGTATTTTGGAGTCATCATTGTTCAATTCATCTGAAAATTTTCTTTTTATCTCTTCAAATTTTTCTTCTAATTCTGATCGATCTTTTAAATAAACACTCTGTGGAGATGCCCATGCTCCTAAGCGAGAAAGTAATGGCCTACTATCATAATATTTCTGTGATTCTTCAACTGAAAGATATTCTACTTTTCCTTCAACTCGTACTTGCTTTTCTAAATGTTTCCAATAAAATGTCAGCGCTGCCCATGTATTTGACTTGAGATCTTGCGATTTACGAGATGTTTCAAGATTGCTATAAATGATAAATCCTCTACTATCTAATTCCTTTAATAAAACCATTCTTGCTGAAACTCGTCCTGATGGAAGACTTGCTGTTGAAAGTGTCATTGCATTTGCTTCTTTAATATTTATTGCTTCTTTGTACCAATTTTCAAACGTTTTAAAAGGATCTTTTTCTAAATTTTCTAACGAAAGACTTCCAATATTATACGAAGAATGATCTTTAATAGAAATAAGCTTTTCTATACTTTTTGATGACATGTTTATGTATATTAAAATTTCTTGAGATATCAAAATTTTAGTTATCTGTGCCTGAGGTCGGACATTTGAGGGGAAATGTGGGGTAATAGTAAGGGACAACTTTTAGTGGAAATACGTTAGGACACTTTTTCGAGCCGATCAGCCAACGTCAAAAAAAATATTTTTCAGTCTTAGTATTTTACGCATGAAGAGTTGCAAATAATAAGAAGATATACACCTTATTTGTATATTTGTAGAGGGTTTCCTAAGAAATCTCGAAAAAAGCGTCGAAAACGACATATTTTTGAGGTTTTTAAATGATAGAGATTAATAAGAGAGTAGATTTATAATTATTTATTTGGAAGGATATTTTACTAGGAAAAGTGTATTTATTGTTTTTTCCATACGTATCAGTGTCAATTGCGTTATTTTTGTTATACGTGAGGGCTTTTTTTCTATATTTTACAAGGTTTTTGTGAACTGAGATCTTTATCAATATGATAATGAAAGGGCAAATACAAGACTCTCGATCATCATCTCCTTCTCTTTCTCCTTTTAATAACAAGAATAGCAATTTATCTTCTGTTTCGGCCGGATCAAAATATAGTAATACATCGGAACAAATTATTTTTGATCCACCAGCTTTAGAATTGGTGCCTCATCGTCCAGCGCCAAAGCCGCCTTCTGTACTTAAGAAAACGGAGAATTTTTCTAACAATACACATGGATCGATTCATTCACGGTCAGCTCCTGAAGTATGGAAGTCGATTCCGGGTCCTTTTACTCCACCTACTCAACAATCGAATACTTGGACACGATCTCCTCCATATTCTCATGGTTTCACACGCACGTGTATTATAACTTCGGAATCAATGACCAGTTCTACTCCAACGAAAAGTTATGGTAGTTCAAACCATATTTTAAGTCCACCCACAACAGGTGGTAGTGGCAAATCTACTAAAAGTGCTTTTGGTCACTTTATGAGTAATATAACAGAGATTTTAGGATCACAAAAGAAGACCGAAATTTCCTCTCCGTATGATCTGGTTCATCTTACACATGTCGATTTTAATGCAAAGACTGGCGAATATAATGTATGTTGAATTTTATATATACATAGTCTTTTATTTTATCTGAATAGGGTTTACCAAAGGAATGGCAAAAACTTCTCTCTGATTGTGGAATTTCGGAAAAAGAGCAGGAAGAGAATTTTCATGCCATTATGGATATTGTCTCTTTTTATGCAGATGGAATGAGTTCTCCTGTTCTTAGTGTTGCCGATGATGATTTAGCGGATGATTTTAGTGGTTTAGATCCATTTAAGACTAAATCACCAAAAACGCCTTCTTTATCATCATCAATGACAATTTTTCCGAAAAAGCGTGGGGTTCTTGTAAGATTTTGTCTTGTTAGTTTATCTGCTTATTATGAAAATAGCAAGATATCCCTTCATTGCCTGCAGATGCGAAACAACGAATATTAGAAGCAAGTAAGAAAGTTGATATTCCGTTGCATCCACTATCTTCAAAGGGTTTTTTTTCATCTAAAAAAGTTTGGGGCGCACCTGTAACAACTTTGAAAAAACCAAGAAATCCGAACTTTAATAGCAAAAAACAAGAGATTTCTTCGAAAAAAGCTGCGCATCCTTTAAAACCATATATTTCTTTTCCAAAATCTGATACTAGTTCCCTTTTAAATAATAATTTAGATAAATCATTTCAAGATCTACAGAACGATCCATCAAAACAATCTGAGACAAGGAAAACTTCAAATATAGGCTCTCAAACTTTATTAAGATTGAGACTTATATGTAATACTGAGGATCCCACCAGATTATATCGCAATTTAGTAAAAATTGGTCAAGGAGCATCTGGAGGTGTTTATACCGCATATCAAGTCGGGACAAACATGATGGTTGCTATTAAGCAAATAAATCTTGGGAATCAATTAAAAAGGGATTTAATAGTTAATGAGATCCTTGTTATGAAACAAAATAAACATGAAAATATAGTCAATTATATTGATAGTTTTTTATTGAAAGATGACTTATGGGTTATTATGGAATACATGGAGGGTGGTAGTTTAACTGATGTTTTAATGTCTAATATTATGACTGAAAGTCAAATTGCAACTGTTGTTAAAGAAGTATTAAAATACGTTTTTATTTTTCTTTTTTTTCTCATAAAATTCTTTAGGTACTTAAGGGTTTGATATATTTACATTCTAAGGGTATTATTCATAGGGATATTAAATCGGATAATGTTTTGTTGTCTTTGGATGGTCTTATTAAATTAAGTATGTTCTTTTTTTTTTCTATTTAACTAATATAACTTTCTAATATAGCGGATTTCGGGTTTTGTGCCCGAGTTAATGAAGCTATGAACAAGCGTACAACAATGGTTGGTACACCTTATTGGATGGCTCCTGAAGTTATTACCAGAAAAGAATATGGTCCCAATGTTGATGTTTGGAGTCTCGGTATCATGTGTATTGAAATGATTGAAGGCGAGCCTCCTTATCTTGATGAAAACCCTTTACGTGTATCTTTTTTTTTAACTTTTTTTCTCCATCTCTTATTTATTTAGGCTCTTTATTTAATTGCTACAAATGGCACACCTAGAATTACTCAACTTCAGAATCTTAGTCAACCATTTAGGGATTTTCTTCATCTAACTCTTCAAGTTAATCCTGAACAACGTCCTTCTTCATCTACATTACTTTCTCATCTTTTTTTTAATAAAGTTTTACCTCTCAATTGTTTAATACCGTAAGTCTATCTTTCTAACCTTATTCCTTACTAATCTATTTTTTATAGACTTATTCGTGTTGCAAGAAAACATAGTAAAAATTCTTGATTCTTATCTTTCTTAATCTTTAGTGGTCACGTGGTCTTGATCTGATAACTTTTTAAATTTTTTTTTTTTATATACCTATTTTTTTACTTTTTTCTTTCTTTGATTTAAACATCTTTTCCTGATAATTTTCTTTCTTAATCTCTCTATTTTTTGATTCCATCTATATTATCTGTTCCGTTCGATCTGACGATCTTCGACCTCATGAAAAATGGATACCTTTGAGTCGATTCTTCAGGGGCTTTGGAAGGCTCGACCTCCAGGTGTTTCGGGTTCTAAGATTCATTTATTAACGCAGATTGCAGTACAGCATGTTAAGGTAAGTTTTTTCCGTTTTTTTCCAGAAAATTTGACGCATTTTTGGCGATTTTCTGTTGAAATATATAAGGGGCATATGGTGCAAAGATTTTTGCCTTAAAAGACGTCCTATATGTTTTTTTATCTAATTTTATCTTAGGACGGAGGAAGAATGGCTATGCTTTTGTATAAACACTTTAAAAAGACACCAGGAAGTCATAAATTGGGTGTTTTATATGTTTTAGATTCAGTTGCTCGTGCATATCAGGATTTGGCAGAAGAGAATGAAGCAGTAGAGGATGGGACGTTTTCAGGGGGGCTACAACAGTTGACGGTGTTGTTGGAGAGTTTAATGAATGATATGATGTTCTATGCTCCAGCAGAGCATAAGGAAAAAGTCCGGAAATTAGTTGATATTTGGGAGAGGGCGGCTACGTTTCCTTCAGAATTGCTTGTAAAATTAAGATCAGTACATTTTTCTGATGAAAAAGATCGAGAAAAATCGATAAATCAAGAGGATCGTAAAAAAGAAATAAAACAAGTAGACGGATTGGCTTTTTCGGATAAGAAATCGCCTGAAAAAACAAAAAGTTCTGAAGATTCTAGTTCTATAAATCAGTCGGCATCATCTACGTCTTCGTCATCTTTAATTCTAGAGGCAATTCTTCAAATGGCGCAGAAAATGCAAGCAACACAGACGGTACAGACTGCAGAAACAACATGGAATTCTTTTCAGCATAGAATGAGTGTTGGGGGGGTGCCAATGACAGGTCTTGAAAATTCAGCGTCTTTTGGGGCATCTTCTAGTACATTATCTAGTGGTTCTTGTGGTTTAGGAGTAACTTCTACTATGCCTAATGATTTTCACCCTTCATCATCTGTTCTTTCTTCTAATTCTAATGCATCCAATACTCCTGTTGCATCTAGTATGGCATCATCTTTATCATTATCGGATCCTCGTAATATGTATCGTTCAGTTTTGCCCTTTTCAGTACCTACACATGGCAATATATCATCCTTACAACCGTCTTCGGATGTTGTCCAGGCTCAGCAAAGAGCACTGCTTCAATTGCTTGAGCAACAGGGTGTTTCTGCAACTCAAATCCAATCAATTATTCAATATGTACAGTCGTTACCTCCAAATGATACTTCTACAGGACTTCTTCCTCTTAATAATGTTCATCCATCACTTCAAGCTGTTGAACATTCCCAGCAATTGCCAAAAGATATACAAACAGCAGCGCAACATTCATCAATACTTAGTTCTCATGCTTTATCACTTCATCAATATCCAACAGGAGGAAGAAATGTTTCAACGGAAATACCTAGTACGACATTACCTCGGTCTTCGACTGATTCTCAAGCCTCAATTCGTTCAAGATCGCCTTTGAAACGAAAAGGTTCTAAAGAACATCTTTCAACTATAAATCGATCAAGAGACCCTACAAAGTTAAAGTCTTTCTCTCGAAAGCGTAATGAACGTAGTCTAAGCCCTTCTGAAAAATGTCATTTGCCACTAAAAACAATGCCTTCTGAGTCTTTATCTTCTCTACCCTCAAAATTGTATATTCGTGACCCATCAGTCCCTGAAGATGCAGTTAAAGGTCTGAAGTTGTATTTAATAATCATAGCAAATCGATGGAATCATTTTTTTGCTATGTATCTCCTTTCTTTAACTAATCTTTTTTTAGTTTTAAGTAGAACATTATTTGTTGGAGGTGTTTCGCAAAGGTTAGTATAGTTTATTTTATGCCAAATCCCATCATTAGTAGTATTACCCAGGAAGAATTACTGCGTATGTTTTCCTGTTATGGTGATGTTCAAAGCTGTATTGTTAATTATGCTGCTCGGCATGCATTCATTAAAATGTATAAACGCAAGGATGCAGAGGCTGCTTGTGCAGGCCTAGAAACTGTTACTTACGGTGACACAATTATTAGAGTAGGCTTCATGGTCTTAATAGAAATATATTGATGTATAGTAGACAAAATGGGGTGTTGGTTTTGGGCCAAGGGATTGTAGTAATTATACAACAGGCATAAGTTTAATTCCATTACGGCGTTTAACTGAGGCGGATCGGCGTTGGTGTATTTCTGCTGGCTGGGGAGGGACAGGAGGACGACTGTTGGAAGGTGGTTTTGTTATGGAAGAGCCCGATATTGAAATTGGCGCAGGCGTCAGTTCAAAACTAATAAGTCGGAGGCTTCCTCTAGGTAGATCAGAGCAAAAGAATGATGGGAATCGTTTGTCAATCCCTTCAATGCCTTCTCAAGCAGTACAGCCACAACCGTCATCAACACTTGTTTCCCCGTGGATAGGTGCTATTCGGGAAAATGCTGCATCCAAGATTTCACAATAAGATTTTAGGTGCTTTAAATTTGTAGATTCTTTGGATAATTTGGGGTCAGTAAATGGTAAATGAGAAGTTATTTGCTTAAGTTCTAAAATTGTTGGATATATTTAAAGGCTGTATATAATGATATGTTTAAAGGACTAGCTGGAAAGAGTTATCCTTTGATTTCTTTTATATTTATAAAAAATAAAAAAAGTTCTGTATAGAAAACTAGAAAATGCATTAAATGTAGCTTCTAGGATATCGTGTTTTAATCGACCATAACTTGTTTCTGTATACACGCATAATTCTCAAAATAACTTCTAAAAAAAAGAATGGCATTGTTAATATCAGCAGTTCCTGCCTATAGAATAATTAGTATAAAAAGATGATAAGGAAAAGGTAATTAACCATTTCACGAATGGAATGCATAGATAATTGTGGATTTCCTACATCGATTGTTCTGATTCCAAGAGATGCACTTAATCCAGGACCAATAGTACTTCCAGAAGGGATAGAGTTAGAAGTCACGAACACTATGTATAATTAAGGTATTAATACGAAAAATAAAATGGTGAAATATACGTTGAAGATTAGCTTGAACCTTTTTTGCAACCTCACGTAAAATCAATATTCCTGGTGCATCTGTTGCGTATCGCTGATTAGCATTGATTTTTAATACAAGCCCCTATAAAAATCTATTAAATATATTTTAAACTATAATAGTTATACCTTATTAATTTTGGGTTTATGCATAGATTCATGTTTTGATGCATACTATTTAATCTTAAGAAACAAATTAAAACTGTTTATACCTACATTCGGATGTACTGCATGAGCTATTATGTTTAGTAAGGAATTAAAAAAAAATATAAATAAAATATACACATGTCTGCAGATACAAGTAGGCTTCTAGCAATTGATTGCTCAAAACTAGATGAATTCCCATATTTTTTTGCAATTGGGGTATTAAATAACCTTCTTAATCTATGATTCATTAAAAGGTCATAAATAACTTCTCTGATCATACATTAATGGAAGAAATGTTGATTGAGCGCCATGAGCACTTATAGAGCCTATTTCTTCATGATCAAAGAAGGAGATCATTTTGATAGATGTATCAGAATTTACTAATGTTTTGCATTGAAAACTCTCAAGGAACCCATGAAGAATACAAAAACACATGTCCTTTTAGAATTTTCAGAATATTGATTGTTTAATATGTCATAATGCTTACTTGATCATCGAGTTTTCCAGAAAAAATGTATTCTTTATTAACACCACCTATAAAACTTAATTAAAGTCGCATAAAAATACTCCTTTTTATACCAAAACAAGGAGGCTGTGTATCTTTTAAAATTATTTCAAAGTCTCTAATTTGATGAACTAAAAATATTTAATATCAATTTAAGAAATACATTTTTTTTACTATTAATAGATAATTTTTGAGCAATTAAGGTAAGAAGGTCTTTATGGTGCCTTGATAATTCATCGAGAAGAACTCCCTCACTTTTTGAATCTTCATGAGGCGAATTTTCTCCTAAGATAGGTAATAACTGAGCTTCCTTGTCAAATTCTAATTTTTGATTCACTTCTCGATCAAGATGAATTGCAAGAGATGGAATACGTAAAACTAACTTATTTAGAATTGAATTTACAAATTATTGATGGATATCTATTGTTTTTTTTGGAAAAAAAAACTTACCTGGACTATCAATATCAACAAGATATTGTTTAAGAAGACCGTTAGCTTCTGCTACCATCACACGGCCTGCTATACCAAGATCCCGATCAAACCATGTATGCCATATACCTCCTCCATATGTTTCAACTCCTACTTGAAGATATTCTTCAGATATTTTTTTTGAAATAGGTTTGATCCTAAAAATTATGCTTTTAAAGCGGGAAAAAAGAACAGGAATCCATCTTACCTTAATGTTGGTGAGTCTGTATGTGCTCCTGCAAGTGCAATTGGACCTCCCGGTCTCCATTCTTTACCTAAAGCAATTAATTTTTTTTGTTTATCAAAAATTATATACCAATGCTAAAGGCGATAAGAGAACTAGTATTTCGAGTTATAAAATACATCTTTCCCGGTTCTACATGTTCTTCAAAGGGATCTCTCTCTTTTAGCTCTTTAAAACCTGCACTGATCAATATGTTTCGAATACTATTTACAACATGATAAGGTGTAGGAGATGAATGTCTATTAATAAAGGAAAAAGTTAATTAATCTTATAAACTAATAAGATCTTTCTCGGTACTTACAAGAATTTTAGAAAACCGTATGCATAAGAGTGATCAGTTACTACCTTAGGCTGCATATTGTCGTGAAGATTTTTGTATATCTGACAAGTCATCGGAAACGGATAAAACGGATATTATGTAGCAGAAAGAAACCAAATACAGATTTTTCAGTATAAAGAACCGCTATATGTCCATCTGAATTATATGAAAAAATATGTATATTATTAAAAGGTTTTTATGTGGGAAAAATGATCAAAAGTGTGTTTGGTTTATAGTTGATAAGTGACATTAAAGAAATAGAAGGTATTGAAGAGTCCTTCAATAATAGATTGAGTCGTGTTTTTGTGAATTTTTTAATATGATTTTTTTTGATGATTGGAAGATTTTTGATTTTATGATATCTCTATCATGATCCAACCATGTTATTGGTACCTCTATATAGGTAGTTAGTTGCTGATCCTCCATGTTGGGAGCCATTGTAAATATTTCCATTGGTTAGAAGGACCTATCATTCCAAATGTAATATCCTATAAGATAATTAGAAGAGAAAAAATTAAGAAAAAAAGAATGGAAACCTTAAAATAAATAAACGTTAGAATAACTGAGATATAAGCGATACTAAAAATAATTTTTCGAAAAAGTACGGGTATTGACCCTGTTAAATGATCAAAAACAAAACCGGTTGTTAAAATTGCAAAAAGTAATGCAGGAACTAAAGTTTAGTGAATAATAAAATATGTAAATAAACTGTCATACAATAGTGATGTAGATACAAAACTCTAATGGATAGTTAATAGTATTATAAAATAGATAATGATTACCTTTTAATAATGAAAAATGGAAAATAATGAAGAATCCATCCTAATAAGGGATATAATCCAACATAATGGAAATGATCAAATTTATCTATATGTCTTATTAGTAAATTTTTAAATGAACGAACTATTAAAATATACCTGGAGTGAAATCAATATAATGTCGTTTCCAACGAATAGTATAAAATAAGATTAATATAAAAAACAGAAAGATTGATCCCAAAGATATCCAATATACAGCGGGATTCCCTAGAAGATAGAATTTTGGAACTATATATAAGTGATTAATTGATATAATCTCTATTGACACGTATCAAGACAAACCATTATCATCCCAAGAGCACATTCGAATGCCTGATATTGCAATAGGCCATTGCCATGGATATGATATCAAATCATCCTTTTTCCCTTTGTCGAGAAGAAGTGCATTATTGGTGTTCATCATGGCTATATTGATATAGAAAAAATCATACCAAAAAGATGATTTGTAGAATTTGATATTACCTGAAGGCACTAACAAATATAAGTGAATTATAATTTTTCTCTTTTTTTTTACATCGATCATTCCAATGGTTTTCAATATTCCAGTGTGTATAATAATCCTTAGGATTGTTTGTTTTATCACATGTAACTTCAATTTGCTTAAATCCCCATTGAGGTAAATGAACATTTTCTGCTCTCAAATAACAATTATGAATAATGTGACGAAGTCGAAAAGCTGTTTTGATTGTTTTAATGCGAGTATCTCGTGGATTTGAATCTTTGATGACTTCAATTACCCAATGATCGTTGTCATCGCCTATAGTAAGATTTCCATAGCATGAAACTTCATTCTGAGTTTTTGTAATAGGCGCAGAAATGTCATGACTATGAAGGTTACATCCAGTTGAGTTATGAATAAGACGAAGAACGTCATTATTTCGTAAAAAAATTAAAGGGTCTTCGCTAGATACTGGTTCTGAGTTATGAGAAGGATGAATACGCCAATCGTTATTTTCATCTCTATGGTGATAACATGTGACTTGTTGTTGATTTGAACCAGTTGGAAAAGTCTGAACATGAGAATGAAGTAACCCTCCTGAATAGCCCATATTTTTGATAGTTACTTTAGAACCATATGCAACATAAATAGGGCTTTTATTAATATTGGATCCTATGAGATTTGCCTGAAATAAAGAGCTCATATGTGAATCTCCTGTGCCTGAGTGATTTAGAATTTTAAAATGAACAAAAAAAGTTAGTGCATAAATAAGAAATGGCACGAAAATCAAGGCTACAATACGAGTAATCCAATGTTTTAAATATATTTTCTAAACATTAAAAATGTTTTTAAGTTAGCTTTATTTTTACCTTTGGCATTTTAAAGTCTCCAAATTTAACCCAAAGATCATCAATGGTATATATGCCGCATAAGAGTGCAACAAGAATACCAAGCCATTTGACACTACAAACACATCCAATTGATATTCCTGTTAGAAAAAGCCATTTGTACCATCTGTATGAAAATGGTCTATAACGATATGAATGAAATTTCGATAGACTATATATTGTTGTTAAAGACAAAAAAAGTAAAATACTATCCAAAAGAATAAATCTACTAATGGTTGCAAGAGAGTTATCTTGTAAAATATGAGTCGTCACAATTTATCTAGAAAATATCTATATATACCACATAAGACCATTAATCCCACAAGAAGCGATGCGTAAAAAGAATAATTCAGCTCAATTGCTGTAAAATATGCCAACGGAATACATAGTGCCCCAATAATTGCGCAGAACGAACGCATAAATCCATAATTAAGGGCTTCTGGGTATATTTCTCCACTTGAAAATTCAAATGTTCCATTATGACCTGAAAAGTATGCTGATAAACCTAGTAATGTCTTTCCAAGAGGAGGATGAACCTATAAATATCATGTTAGATAAATTATATTATTCTCCTCCATATAATTAGGTCTATACGTCGAAATAGAATTGCCTTCTAATATAATAAGATGAAAACTTCCCAAAGCTTAAAAAATATTAATTAAAATTCTATTTTTTTAATATTTAAAAGAAATTCCTACTGCGCTTCGTCCCAAACAACACGATTTGAAGCTTTAATATTATAAAGTCTTGTAAATAAGGCTAATATATATAAAATAATTGGAATAATTAAGAATTTCATATATTTCATAATATTTTCCTAAAAATCCAATTTTAACAGAAAAACTACTCAATTTTTTGAAACATACAGAACAACACTGTCCTTTCGACGGAAATTCCTTTTTTTCTTCTTCTTTATTTAATACTTTTTGGCTTGTATATTGAGATGTAGAGTCCAAATCGCTGTTTCCTCTTCGTTTCCGAAGTGATTCTTTAAAAATACTCGTTGAATATGTAGACATTGATAGTTTTTTTCTTTTTTTTCTTCAAGAAATCTTTAAAATACAGTAATTTAATTAATTTCAAGATTTTATTAAAATTTTGTCAGTAAAACGTTGTCTCGTAGAACCAACGTCAGAAAAATGTATTATATAATAGTTGTTTTAAAAACAGGCTATAATATTCAGGATATTTTTTACAAGATATTATCTAAGAGTTTTCATATTTTGTACATTTCTGTTTTTTTTTTGTAAATTTTTTGATTTAATATTGTTGATTTATGAGTAAATTATATTTATGCGGAGATATTCCATAGAAGTTTTAATGTATCTCATAGTTAATATTATCTTTTCCTTTATAATAGCTTTTTTAAATATCTTGAAACATACCTTTTGATGAAATTATTGATTGAATTCTAATGGTTCTATAGAAATGTATGTAGTTAACCATTTGGATAGTTTTGTATGTAGATAGATGTCGTTATAGAAGTCTTCAAGAAAATGTGGAAACACGATTTAAAGATGTAAAGTCAAAATTTGTTAAAGAAAAAGGTATGCTAAAATAACACTGTGATATTTTTTAGAGAATGATCTTCTTTTAGAGGTATTATGTACTGAATAAAATATATATTATTGACTTTTTTTTGGTAGTGCTTATATTTCCATATTGGTTTATTGTTTCTAATAAGTAGAAAATTTTGATAATTATTAACTGATCTTTCTACGTCTTTATTTTGATTCTTTTAATGTCATGATTTGTTAGATTTTATGCCTGAAAAAAAGATTCCTTAATAAAATTAAACCATTAATGTCTTTAATTTTTAATTGAAAATTATTTATCTATCTTTTCAAATAATTATTGAAAAAGATAAATAATAATGTTTTAATCATCCCTTTTTCAGATAATATGGTCCATTGATTTTTCAAACAAATTCGTCTATATATTAAATAATTTCTTATTTTTGATATTTCTCTTCGAACTCATTTTGCTATTGATATCCTTTATTATTCCATATCTTGTTTTAATAAAATCTAGGTATGAAATTTTGTTGTAAAAGAAATATACAGGTTTTATAAAGATCATTATTTTTCGGAATTTTCGTTGATAGAAATAATAATTTGTCCAGTAAGATCTGGAGACAAAATTCAATGATAATATATAATATTTTTGAACAAGATATTCAAAAATTGCTCTAATTTTAGCCAAAAAAACACGACTTAAAATTAAAGACAGTTAATATATAAAAAATGACACATTTATGTAAAGTATTGACAATTTTAAACAAAATATTCAAGCGACCTTTGAATTCTTCCTCTTCTTAATATCAACCAGAAACATATTGGTACCTTTTCTATTAAAATGTATTTGAATTCTCTATATATCAAAACATCGTTTTATGTTTTTTTTCTTTCATAAACGAATAGTCACTTTAACCAAAGGTTGACGCCATTCTCTTTTCCTAAATATTTCTTCAACTCGCCCTATTCTCAATAATGCTCTTGTCTTTTCCCCATTATTCCTCAAAATTTTTGGCTCAAAAATTCTCCCTTCATTAAAATCAAAATAACACTCTTCTCTCCAATAACACATCATACTAAACAACGTAATAAGAATAAACGAACAGTAAATACTGTAGATTTCTCAGAAATTCCCTCCATATCACTTTATCTTCTTATCTTACCATGGTCGATGAAATAGTAAAAGTGAAATAATAAAAATAACCAAAAAATATGGAGAAGCTCCCGTCGGGATAAATAAAAAAGGCAAGAAATGGCACAGACAATACATCTAGTTTATGTTAGTCTCCTTTTTATATGGAAAATAGCCGGTTTACCTTATAAAATCTCTAAAAAAAAAGAAAATAAAAAAATGGTGAGGTTGGTTGATGACAGAAATCACGTGATGTATAGAGGATAATTGAAGACTTGGACTAGGTCCGTGACGAACGTCAGAAAAAGTGTGACGAGATAAGGAAGATAGAAGAGGGCCTTGAGCAGAGATTTTGAGGAAATCTAGTTGTATAAAGGATAGGTCTATTGTTGATGGATGCTAGTCGTTCTTTGTTGGATCTTTTAAGGCCAAATTCTGAGTCAAAAGAGCGAATAAATCAAGAGGGAGGTGTAGGAACATCTAAAGGGATTAATGATGTTCAGAGCAATTTTTTATCTATATTGATAGGTAAAACGGGTGATAGTGTAGATAAAAATGTTGCGGGGGGGTTGAAAACGAATTTTCAGTCGGAATATTTGTCAAATTTGATTGAATCGAAGAATAATGGAATATTGAAGGAATCTGGGAAAAAGGAGCGTTCAGTGTCTGTTTCTGAACGTACAGTTACGTCTAAGGGGTCAGTGATTGCTTCTGTTGGAGATAAATCGACGTCAGCTGGAATATCGACGGGTTTACCAGGATCGCCCGATGTATCGGTAACGTCTTCGCAAAGTGGATTATTATCTATACTTCTTGGCGATTCTGCGGGGGGGTTATCAGAAACGTTGCCGACTAATTCGCGAAATTTTAAAAACGCTCCAGAGAGTACAGGATCTAATACAGTGTTAACAGGAGGATCAGAGACGGCTCCGTTAACAATAAAGGGACCTAGTGCTTCTGGGACATCAACATCAGTATCAACAGTGTCAGCAGGGGCGACAATGACGGACGAAAAAACTCCAAAAGCTATGTTTTCAGCGATTAATATATTTGATCAATTATCTGTTACAAATCCTAGATTATCTGATTTAAAACCAAAGAAAATACTTAAGGCGCCCCCAAGAATGAATGATTCAGGCAGTTCAAAGATAGAAGGGGAGTCTACGTCGTTAAAAAATACGATAGTTGCAGCGGATAATTTTTCATCTCAAAAATTGACTTTAAAGAAAGAAATTGAGTTAGGAAAGACTCAAAGTATTCGGAAAATTCTCCTTCCGAGATCTCCTTTTAAGAGAATATTGATACCGTTGGCTAAAAATTTGGGATATTATGATAAAATTGAGTTGACAGAAATTGCTCGATTGTCTGTAACATTTGATTCATTAAATAACCATACAATTGATGCTAATAAAAATTATTTGGCTTATGCTATACCCAAAGGTAAGAATTTTTTTCCCCCTTGTTTTATCTATTAATATTTCTGAGATGGGAATTTGCGACTTATGAACCAAGACGATGGTTCTCATATTTTATTATCGGGCCAGCCAGGGTCAAAAATACATGATGTGTCGTTCTCTAAATATATCGTAAATCCTGAAAATGTTACTTACCTTATGACTACAAATTCAAAGGGTGGTGTAATTATATGGTATATTTTGAAAACATCATTTAGTAACCCTTCAAAATCGTATGAATTTATCTTTTTTTTCTTTTCTAATATTGTTTAAGTGTAAAAATGATTTTTCGATTTAATGGGGAGTATTCTTTATCAAATACTGAAATAAAGGCTAAATTTTGTCCAATAATGAATATTGTTGCTATTAAACTTTTGAATCGTATATATTTTTTTAGGTTTTCTACTGATCGATTTGAAGAAGTCCAAAGATCTGAAATCTCTATGTCAAATGCTAATATTGGTTTTGTCGTTGCGGAAAAATTCATTGAGGATTTTGCATTTTCTCCTGATGGGAGGGTTCTTGTTACAATTCATGAAGATGGGACGGCTGAGCTTTGGTCTATTTATGAACATATAGAAAATAGTATTAAGTTTGCTATTTCAACGTCTATACTTTCGTATGCTGTTTCCAATGAACCTTTGTTTTGGGTTTCATTTATAGGCCCAAAACAGCTTAATGCTCCTTCTAAATATCTTATATTTGGTTTAAGATGTAATAGAAAATTGTATCTTTTGGATTTAGATTCCGGTTTGATCTCTCAGGAACTTATTTTAACAGGAAATAGTGAAAACAGCAATTCTGAAGTATCTTCTATTGCTTTATATGATAATAGTTCTCAAAATTTGATTGTTAATGATCATTCCGGGTTTTTGTACCGATTTCATTACAATAATAAAGATATAGAAGTACCTATGTCTCAGGATTCTTATCTTCAAAGTTTGGTTTCTAAGAACACTAGTGTCGATGTCTCTTCTAAAAATTGGTCTCTTTTTGACAGTTTTTGTATAGTTAGTTTTATTGCAAAAAAGACTCTTTATAATTTTAATCTTGTGTCCTTAAATGATTCAACTTTGGATTTATTTGCAGCACATGACAAGGGTTACACAATTTTACATTTTCCTATATCGAAACAAGAAATAGTAGTAGATGAGTTAAAGGAATCAAATATATATACCTATACTGCTCAAAGTGTTCTTATAACTGAAAATACTGATATGATTGCAAAGTCTGTAAATCAGAATAAAGAATTTTCGGTTGAACAGAAGGTTGTCTCGGATATTAAATTTCATGATGGATCTTATGATTCAAAACAGGAATTTGTTAAAACTATTAAAAAGAAAAAAGCAAAGAATGACGAGGTTTCTTCTAACAATAAAACAGATGTTGATATTATAGAGTCTGTTGATATGAATTCTTCATTTAGTACATTAAATATTGATGACAATTCTTGTAATATATCCGATTATGCAGATTTAAGGAAATTTATTAAAATTCTTTTTATTGAATTTAATAAACAAAGTGAGGTTTTGTAGATTTTGAGTTATGTTCTTATGAAATTAGATAAAAAAATTGCAGAGTTAATTTCACAAAATGACGAAATTAGAGCTAGTCAAGACAAACTACTATTTCGTGTAAATTACTAATTGCATTTTCTTTTGTTTTAATTGAATATAGGTTTCTGAGAATTTTAACAATATCAAGGAATATATAGAAAAAAATGTTTCTTTATCTGTGAAAAACAATATTTTACCTGTTATTAGTAAATTTGCTTCAAATACTACTGATAAACAATTGACACAGTTAACTCCGTGTATTAAAAAAATAAGTCAAGAATTAACTACAGAGATTTATAATGTTTGTTCAAAATTTATGGATAAAACAAGTTTAGTTCAAGATATATCTGAAAGTCTTGAAAAGGTATATCTAAAGGCGTTAAATTCAGAGATGGATTTTTATGTAAAAGGAAATATTTCTCAATTACAAAATGTTTTTCAAAAAATATCTCAAATGGAAACTAAATATGATGAGAGGTTGGATTTTATGCTAAAACAGATTTCTGATGAAAGGAAAAAACAGCACACCAATATTGAGATGTTATTGAACAATCTTTTATCATTAGAAAAACAACTTTCTACTTTATTATCTAAAATCGATACAGATAAATTAAATATGAACCCTCAAAATTGTTCATCAAAATTTTTAGGTAAATAAATTATTTAAAAATATACTTATAATAATTGCATTTAGGTGATTCTTATCAATCTATAGATGGGGTTAGAGCTCCTTTTAGGGATTTGCTAGCTAAGTCTCATTATAATGACGTTTTAGCAATTGTATTTTCTTTTGCTTTCTTAGCTTTTTTAACTTGTTTTAGTGGGTTCAATCCCCATATAAATCTGAAACATTTGATATGTTTGCTTCTTTGGATCCTAAGGTCGTTTTAGATAATGCTAGTTATGTCATATTGTTTTCTGTAGCAAATACTTTATCAGAAATAATAGAAGATATTGGCGATCCCTTAATAGAGAAGAAATTGCAATGGTTAGAAACTTGTTTTAAGTTATTAATGAATATGGAGGTATTATATTTAATTTTTTTTTTATTTTTTTACGATTTTTTTAGAATCATTATTTCACTGGAATTACTTTGCAAATACTTCTTTTAATTGAAAATAGAATGGATAACTTATATGAACGCTTGCGTCATATTACTCCTAAAGTTCCTTATTTACGGATTGTCCTCTCTATTTTATATTTTGCTGCTGAACTTCGACAATTTTTCAATGAATAACTCCTGTCTTTATAATTTTTGTAATGATATATTTGAGCAATATGTTCTATAAAGGATTTTTAATAATCTTTTGTATATTTTTTTAATAGAAATATTTTATCTTATCGTTTGAGATTAAGTGGAAATTTTAGGTCATAGGGTTGGCTGCACAAATGTGCAGGAAATACACTGATTTTCCTGGATTTTATTATGGAAATTATATATATATTATCTTGAGAAGTTTATAATTCTTTTTTAGACGAAAAAAAACGAAGATATTTCAAGATTTCTGAAGATCATGTTGTCGGTGTTTCATATCCATATTCTTTGGGAAATATCTATAAGAATAAGAAGAAATCTATTGAATCAGTATTATTCTATGTGTTTTGTTGTTTATTGTTCATTTGAATCAGAAAAAACAGAGAACATTTGCTCAAACAGCTAAAAAAATAAGAACATGTTTTTTTCAAAGAAACCTTAATAGAGAGCTTGGAAAACTACATGGAGGATTGTTTGAGCATTCTCTTATGTATTCATATGATATGCTTTGGATAGAGCGATTGTTTTTGTTTGATAGAAAAGAATTAAGTCTTCAAGGTGGTAGTTCGATTACTTGTTTAAATTTCAGTCCAGATATGAATAATATTCTTTTTGGAACATCAGATGGACTTTTAGGGTTATTTTCTTTGTTTTTTATTCTTTTTTATAAGGTTTCAGAGTAGTTAAAGTTGCTTCTATTACGAAACATCATGAATTTCTTCAATTAAATATTTCTCAATCAACTTCGGGATTAACATCTTTAAATGTCAGTTCTAATGGTATATTTATGTAATAATATATCTATATGATGTTTTATATAGTTACTGATTATTTAAAAGTTGTACATTTATGGGCAATGAAAAAAAACCAGGGCATTTTCAAATAGGAACTATAAGAAAAAATACAGAGGAAAATTTATCAGATTATGGTATGTAATATGAAGATAAGTATTTGTTTTAAGGATCGAAGGTATAAATGTTACAGTAATTCCTCAAGGTAAAAATACTTTATGGGCATCTGCTATTGCGCCATCAGGTGAAATAGCAGCAATTGGTTTGAAATTAAAAGTGGAAAAATGGATTAAGTAAGTTTATTGTATTAGGTGGATCTAAGATGGCTATGGTAATTAAAGGAATCGATGGTGCTAATTATACATCCTATTCATATAATCTTAAAAGTGATGTTTTTGCTATTAAATTTTTAAATACAAATACCTTTTTAGCTGGATATCGTAATGGATGGATAGATTTACTTGATACTCGATGTTTAGGATCAACCAAGTCATGTTTTACTAATTCTTTGATCAAACATAAATCTAGTATTTCGAATTTTGATTTAACTAGTGATTATCATCTTGTTGTTGCTGGATTAGAAAACTCTGTATGAATCAAAAATACTTTTTTTCTGTTTTTTTGATATTTATAGCTAAATATGTATGATATAAGAATGATTCACTCTGAAAAAGATATGTTTTCTCGGCCTGTATTATTCTTTAATGGTTATACTAATGAATGTTCTTTTGGGTTGGGTTTTGATATTAGTCGAAATAGGAGAATTGTTGCTGCATGTTAGAACAAAATATACTTATATTTTTGCTGATAATTTTAAGCGGGACAGGATCAAATTTATTTTTGGTCTACATTGGATGGAAGATTATTACGAAGAATTATGGTTAAATCCAATAGAGCATGTCGTGCATTTAAGTTTTATGAAACATCTACTAATTCGTTTGAGGAGTTATGTCTTGCTGATGATAGCTATTTAGAATGGTGGTGTTCTAATTAATATTATTGATTTAACTTTGTCGTATTATTAAGTAGATAAGATGTTTCATTCTATTAAGTAGTCTTCCAGTTCGAAACCTACGCTTTTTGCAATTTTTTGGACGAAGTTCCAGCTAACGTTAACTTTCCAGCGACTTGCACTGTCTAATTTATCGGACGTTAATGATGTTCTGATAAGCATTTTTAGAGTAGCTAGATTTTCTATCTTAAACATCTGTCAACTTGTGTATTCTACATGAATATTTATACCTGTGTGTAAATATCAGAAGTTAATATATCTTCATTAGATTGAATTGCTAGAAATATTGCTAGCATTCTTTCTAATACAAAGGATTTAGGTCCTATAAGTCTTTGACTGATTATCTATTAATGTTAAATAATATATTTTTTCTGTATAATTGTATTTTACTGCGGATGTTGGTTTTTTTATTCGTTTTCTTTTCTTTGTATGATCTCTAAATTTTGAAAAAAGAGTAAAATCATACTTAGGTGGGTTATATGAAGCTAAGAAAGACGCTATGATAAGATATTTTGATGTCCATGAAAGATCAGTAACACCTATTTGTTTGTTTTTAATGAATTCTCTCTTTAAAAAACATACTTTGACTTTCAAAATCATGTATTAATGCTTTATGATAAGTAAGCTTTGATAATTCTTCAAGAATTGCTTTAGAGGAAGACAATTCGGATGCATATTGGCTAAATTTGTAGAGTTTAATAATATCTTTCTTAGTAGCCTTGCCTTCTTTTATAGGTTCTATAAATATAAGCCAGAGTTTTTTCGACACTGAAAAGAAAAGATCGAAATCTCCTTCTATAACTGATCCGAAAGTATCCCATATAATTTTACAGAATTTTTGCCAAAGATTTATAACATCTGCACTTGTTATTTCATCTTCAAAATTGAGTGTGTTAGATAATAAGGCAACCGAATCCTTATGAAGAGACATGATTTCAATAAATTCTGATTTAGAATAAGGTGGAAAATAGATCGTAGGAACATGATAAGAGCCCCAAGATAATGTATCTAATGATGTTGTTATCAAAACCGTAGTTAAATAAGGAACAAATGACTAAGAAATAATAAGCATATCTAACTTTCCTTTTTTAAAAAATATAAACCAATTCTGCTAATCTTAATAACACAATTGTTGGAATTGTTACTTTAAAATGCTGCAATTGTTCCACATGATCAAAAACCTGTATATAATAAAATGTAAGTTTTAAAAAGAAAACATCTTCTAGTCATCCAATACAATAGTAAAAGAACTACAGTATCGAAATTATTAAAGGCTTCTTACCACAATTACATTAGATGTCCATTTTGCCTTCAAAAATAAATTTTGAATAGCAACAGTAAATGTCACAAAATCATCAGATTTAAGCGATTCATTCTGCTTGTTTTTCCCTATAATTTCTCTCAGTTGATAGATTGTTCGTTCTAAAAGAATCCTTATGGAAAAACAATCTTGACAATCAATCCACACAAAATCGGCCTCAAAACACTCTAAAACCCCCCTCAAAACACTAGTTTTTCCAGTAAACCGATGGCCATGAACAATAAGAGATGGTATTTGTGCTAATTTCTTCTATTCCCTTTTAAATAATAGACTTATTTTCAAAAAAATAAAACTTCTTCTAAAAATATAGCTAATTGCTCAATTTGAGCCGTTCGAGCGGGAAACCTATCTTTAAGCTTATCTTTCTTATTCATGAATACTTTTTTATGGATTTTTCTCTCTGTTTCTTCTCTTTTTTTCTGTTTTTTTTTTTTTGACGTTATCTGACGACCGTCTGGATATCGAGAACCTCAGTAATTTCTATGATATGGAGAAACTGCCCTCTAAGAAGAGATTACTGGAACTAAAGAGTACGGCATGTCGTATTTTTGGAACTATTTTTAATCCAAAGGCTTTGAGAATGGGAAACCGTGTGCTTCTCCGGCGATTTCCTGGTTCAACTGTTTCTCAATACTATTCAAGGTTTAATCTTCCCCCAAAAGTTCTTATTCGTGCGTTTCCACACTTGAATTTAGTAGATTTGGATGAATCAGTGCGTAAAGAATGGGTAGAAAGGTAAGCAGAGTTTTTTTCGCTTGAAAAAGGCGTTTAAAATGACTTTTTTTTCTTTGCAGAAGAAAACAGCGTGGTAAAGGGCCTCCACCTAAATCCAAATGTCCGTTTTTTAGATATTATTTTCTGGAATGTTGTTAAATGTGTTTTAGTTAAAAATGAGTCAAAATCCAAGAAAAAATGATGAATTTTTAAGGTTTTTATATAAAAAAGATAAAAATGAAAATTATAAGCAAAAAATAAGATAGAAAAGAGATATTAAGGTAAAGTAATATGAATAAGATGGTATTCTTTTTAAAAAGAAAGTGTCAAAAAGAAAAATGGAAAATAAAAACGGAAAAAACTTTTTTCATCGTTTTATCGACTTTAAAAATGGCCTTTATTTTCAAAAAGATTTATCTTATTTCAAAGTATTTGGATTTCTAGTTGAAATTTCTTTTTTTGATTTATTTGTAGATGGGGTGATCCTATTTTTGCTTTAAGTATAGGTTGTTTAAGTTATTTTTTATATGAACGAAATCACCCACGTCCATCTGGAAATTCTTTAATGGTATTATTAAAGAAAAGAGTATATAGTCAGTTTTCTCATCATGAAGAGGTAATATTTTATAGACTTATGTGTATTTTTATTAAGAGTTTTTTATATTCAGGATCTTTCAAAATTTATTAAAAAAGATGTTTAAAAAATCCTTTTAAAATAAATATTTATGGTGTTTATAATGATTAATATGAATTAATGAAATACGATTTAGTTCAAAAATATAATATTTTTGTCAAAATATTAACTTTTAAAAAGAAAAAAATATATATTTAATTTTATTTATTTCTAAAAAGTATTTTTTTTTCTTTTTAAAAGTTAATATTTTATTTATTTTTTTTTTTCATAAATTTACTTTTTCTCAAAAGCCTTACTGGATAACTTATAATTTGTCTGAATCGTCTAAATTATGAACTTGCAGTACTTATCTGTACGTTATCGATATTGGTTTTTACATCATCCAGCCTTGATTCCTTTATATTTGAAAGAATGTTCTTTTTTTTCTATTAAAAAGATATCCTCTTTATCTATTTGTACTTTGAAATCATTTCCACGACTTAAATATCATATATGTTCGGGGAAAGGTTATTTTACGAAAAATTGCTCTATATGGGGATCAGGATTTACTTGGATAGTAGTAGGTGGTGTATTTATATACCTGAATCAAAATGTGAATTTTTGTATTTGTATTTTTAAATCCTATTAATTTAGATGCAGAAAAAAAATGCTATTCAATGTCAAGCTTGCACAGAACAAGATGCAACTGTATGTTGATAAGCTGAAAATATTATGTTAATATTTATTTCAAGGTTGATAAATCAGATATTGATGAAGATTCTATTTTTTTTCGTATGCATGAGTTTTCTAGTGCAAAACAAATCGAAATTGTTAAAGTTTTAGAGACATTAGAAAGTAAAAAATTTTCATGTGATGTTTGGAAAAAAGATGGAATAGTTGGAAAAAGCTGTGTTCTTCAAAATGGTGATGTATTTGAAAAAGCAGGTGTTAATATATCAAAAGTGCAAAAAATGTTACATCCTAGTGCTATAGAGAAAATACGAAAGAATCACCAATGTTTAAAGGATGTAGAAAATATAACGAAATTTTCTATATGTGGATTATCATTGATTTTACATCCCCATAATCCAATGGCACCAAGTGTTCATATGAATTATCGTTATATTGAAGTTGATAATATGAATGGTTCTCCAAAAATTTGGTGGTTTGGAGGAGGATCAGATCTTTCACCTGCTTATCTTTTTGATGAAGATGCGATTTACTTTCATCGTACTTATAAGACAGTTTGTGATCATTATGATAAGCAATATTATCCGAAATTTAAAAAATGGTGTGATGAATATTTTTTTATTAAGCACCGTAAAGAATGTAGAGGAATAGGTGGTATTTTTTTTGATGATCTAGATGATAAAGATCCAGAAGAGATTTTTTCTTTCGTCAAAGACTGTCTTAATGCCTTTCTACCTTCTTATATTCCAGTTATTTTGCGAAGAAAGGTAGTGTGCTTTTATTTTTTTTTTTTTGATTGATTTTTTTGAAAGGATATGCATTTTACACCTGATGAAAAACTATTTCAGCAGATAAGACGTGGGAGATATGTTGAATTTAATTTGATGTACGATAGAGGCACTTTATTCGGGCTTAATATCCCGGAATCTCGTGTTGAATCGTAAGTTTTTTTCATTTATATTTCAAAAATTCATTAGAAAAGAATTCTTATTTCGCTGCCTTTGACATCATCTTGGATATATCAGTATGATTTGAAAGACCCTCGTGAAAAGCAACTAACGGAAGTCCTTAAAAATCCAAAAGAATGGGTATGATTATAATATAGTAGAAACAGTTCATACATAATTATGTGACTTATTAAATTTAAATTGTACATTAGATTTTTTTATCTACAATATTTGTCCGCAAGACTATAAATGAGTTATGTTGCAGGTAATTCTAGTGTTTGTTTGATTAGATGTTTAAACTTAAGATCAAATAATTATCTAAATTTCTGTATTAAATTATACATTTGTTAGTCAAGGGAATTCGGTGACTGTATAAAAGTATGTTGTACAGTTGGATTTTTTTGTTGCATGTGCGACGTTAAATTATACCAGGCATCAATCATACGTGCATTTTCTTCCTTTAATTTTGCGGTTTCTTCATCATTTATTTTCTTTTTTTCGTTAACAAAACAATAAATTTATAATATAAATTAACCTTGAGTTCCTCAATTTGCTTATTTTTAAGAGCAAGTTCATTGTATAATTCATCTGTACTTTTACATAAAGTCTAATATTATTCAGAATAATTATTAATAGTAATACAAATATTTACTACCATTTTTTCTCTACATTCTTTTATGATAGCATCTTGTTTTTTCAAAAGCTTTTGTAATTAATCAATTAATATCAAATACAAAGTAATTAAGCTACCTGTTTTGCCTTTAGAGCGCCTGACATCCTTTTATCGAGTTCATTCTGAAGTTCTTCAATTTTTTCTTGAGCTTCTAGTTGTTTTTTTCTTTCTTGTTCTATCGTTTCTGAAATAGATGTAATGATTGAATTCAATTTACTTTTGAAAATTAGTAAAATAATAAAAGATTTAAAAGATCAAGTTACTCGTTTTCTTGTTGTAGATTTGATAAAAGGTCTTTATTAATGATTAATTCATGCATTAGTGTATCTTTTTCTTCGTGTAATTTATTAATCATATTTATTTGATGTTGGTTTTCATCTTCTAAATCTTTAATACTCTTTTTCAATTTACTTAATTCAACATGTAATTTTTTAGATTCATTTGATTCATGTGTAAGGACTAAATCACAAACATTTTCTTTATCTACTATTAAAATAAACTTAAATATAAACTAAAATTAACGTATATTTACCTTGCAACTTCATGACATGACTGTTTTCTTTCAAAATATTTAAATTTTCTAATTCTTGCATTTGAATTTCGGGAATTGTATCTGTTTTAAATGGTATAGATGAAGAATTCAATTTCGAATCTCTAAATTCCAGTTAAATATTATATAATTCATTACTAAAATATACTCCAAAAATTTGCTATTATTATTATGAATTTGATGATCTAATTCATTTTTCTTTTCGTCTTTTTCAAAATGTTTGTCTTCCGTTTTATCTTTACTTTTTTTTAAATTATTTATAAGATTTTTTATAACTATAATGCTCTTCTCTGATGTTTTTTTTTTTAACATGTCGGGTTTTTGTTGAAATTGAGACATTTGCAGATCAGGATACGCATTTGATTGATGTTTTAATTCATGATCTAAATCTTTAGAAGATTTTTTTGCAGAATCATGAAAATCCTCCTTTGACTGTTGTGATACATTGATTTTTTCATAGAATGACTGTATTTCATTTTCCTTTGTTTTTGAATCATTTTTTAAATATTTAACATTCAATTCTGAAGTTTTGTTAATAGGTTTATTACAAGGAGTTTCGTGAGATTCTGTTTCAAGTATATAATTTTTCAGAATATTTTCATCATCAATTGATACATATATTTTATTGTTTTTTCTATTTAATTATCAGGTTAAAATTCTTATTACTTTCTAGCTTATATTTTAATACCTATATGATATATTTTCCAAGTTTAATATTTCATCTTGACTTAAAATATGTGAATCTTTCTCAAGTTTTTGTTTACATATGTTTATTAAGCTCCTGTCTTTTTCTAGGTTTTGTTTCTCTCTCTGTAATTCATCTCTTAATAATACATGCTCATCCGTTTTTTTCTTAAGCTCCTCTTTCTAATACAAAATTATATAATACTTTATAAGAAACATAAATATACTTCGTGTGTCAAAGAAGTAATTATTTCATTTTGACGCCTTATTTCCAGATCCTTTTGTATAGAACTATCTTTATATTGATGTCTAAATATGTTAATAATGTAACGAATATATGTTTATTCACAATTCGTATTCAAATTGATTAACCTGCATTTGAAGATGGCTTATTTGAGATTCATAATCCGTATTTAAATTTTCAGCTTTACTTAATTTTTCATTAATAGAATTAAGTTTGGATTTCATTGTTTTCTATAGCATTAAGGAAAAAAAATGAATAATTCATAATAAACCTGATTTTCTCTAAGTATAACATTTTCCTCTAAAATAAGCTCATAGTTTTTTTTTAAAATATCTTTTTCTTTGCTAACAATAGCAATTTCTTCATCAAGACTTAGCGTTTTTTTCTCTCTTGTTTAACGTAAGTGATATTAACATAAATACTGGGTTTGATACGTTTCTGTATTTAAATTACTTTTTCCTTCTAATCTTATAACCTGAACTTTTCAATTCCTCTAAAATTTTCCTAAAAACCTATTTACCTCGTTGTTCAGTTCTTCTAACACCGCCTGTATTTGTGAATCTAAATTCTGCATTCTTTTTATAGATTTTTCTCGATTATCTTGGAAAAAAGAACACCTTAATACAATCTTAAGTAGCTTTATCATCTCTTTTTCTGAAAAATTCTTTGCAATTGCCTCTAGATTCGGAATATCTTTATCTACTTCTGCTGGACTTTGATTCTGCTTTTCCTCATAATATTTCTCCAAATATTTATAGATTCTTTTTGCTTTCTTCTTTAAAAAATACTTTCTTATCATAATAATACTCATATTACCATTATTTAGCCGAAGTACCCAGTTAGATAAGCCGTTCTCCACTGGTGTCGCACCAATTGCATTGCGGAAAAAAACTGGATCAATTTCTAACAAGATCTTATAAATAATAATTCCGTCTGATAATTCTTCAAAACAACGAATTGTATGCTGAGATTTCTCTATATCAAAAGTATTAATCTATCAATATTATGGTTAGTTTTTTGTCTTAAAAAACTTTTGATTTATCTCAATACCCAGTGTAAAAGTGCCATTTTAACGTGTTCATTATCTGGGCCCATATTTTCTTTTGATTTTCACTATCTTTTCCTTATATATGCGCGAATTTTTCGCTTATTTCTTAAATTTTACTTTGTATAAAGGCCTGATACGTGAGGCCTCGATTTTCTACTAAGCTTTACATGCTGTCGGAAATAGGTCTAATATGCATATATAAAAAAAAGAAGGCATATAAGGGTCAGACAGTATAGATTTATCTGAATATAATATGATTTGATGTTTTTGATAAGGTTTTGACGTGCAAATATTGATAAAGTTAAGTATTTTTTAAAGAAAAAAAGCAAATACAATAAGAATATCTTGTTTATTTATTAAATAAAAGGCAATTTTTTGTTTGTAGAGATATGATAAGTAAAGATGATTCGTATAGGGTTGCTTGAGTGTGAATGCGTTGTCAGGGAGATTTTTGTTATGGTAGAGTTGCTGTGGTTACGGTTGTTGTAGTGATAGTTGTTGTGGTAACAGTTGTTATCTAACGATCTCTAGAAATAATGTAATTTTTGTAAAATATTTTTTAAACTTTTTAAAAAATGGGAGAAAAATACAGGTAATTTGCTTTATTTTTATTAGAAACTATGTTAGAATATCTTTAGGGATGGAGATTTTTATGATACGTATAATATCTCAATGAGATCACCGAAATATGGTGATGTATCTAGATATTCTAATTATAAGAAAGAATATGATGAATATCGAGATAAATCCAAAGAATATGAGAGGATATCTCTTAAAAGTCATAATGCAGGTTGTTTAGAGAGTTTTTCATCATCGAGGCATGATTATGGTGTTTCTGGATCTAATAGGTCACCACGTTTTCGTTTAAGGTCTCCGTCACCTTATTCTGAAACATCAAGATTACGGAATTCTCCAGATTCGTGTCATCCAGTATCTTCTCATTCATCTTCTAGTTCATCGTTTAAAGGATTCAGAGAATCAAATTCTTATGGTTTTTTAAATTCACATAAAAGTAACGGTTTATCTTATCGACATTCATCAACAACATCAGGGAATTCTTCGGCATATAATCAGGCTTCTTCAGGTTTTCGAAACTATTCTGGTAGTTCATTACGTCAATATTCATCAGGGAGTGGTTATCCGTCATCGTCATATAGAAATTCTTCAAATATATTTGCATGGGAGATGACGACTCGAGCATTTATATCGCCTATTTATGAACAAGAAGAAGATGTAATTATGATGAAAGAGACTATTCTTTATTGATATGTTTTAGTTTATGAGGTTAAATGAGGAATTAGAAAGTTTAAATGAAAAATCTAAAACAATTTTTAAAGAAAAGCGTTTATCAATGCTTGAATGGCAGAAATTGATATATAAATCCGAAAGAGAAGCTCAAAATGTCGAGTTTTCTGAGAAACAATTAGAAGCGACGGTAAATGGTTCATTGTTTAGTTAAGGGACTATGTTTAAATGTTAATGATCTATATACATTATAAAAAGTATCTAAATTATTATATTTTATATTATATACAATCAGTCATATTCTTTTTTTGGTATTTTATTTGTTTTTGATTTTATTTTATTATTAATGAGGCGATGATCCTGGGTTTTTATTAATAAGTAGAAAAATAATTAGATATTATACTTATTTCTTTATTATGTTATTTCTTCCATAATGTCTAGATTTATATCATTCTGAAATATTGCACTATTTTAACTAATTATATATGTTTATCTTTGATTAATTATTATTTTCTGAAACCAAATTTTTTTTTATTTCTTTGTTTTTATATATTAATTCAGTAAGTTTTGTGAATAGGCGTCTCATTGCATACTTGCTTTGAAATTGTCTTTAAAATTTTTTGCATTAAAAAAAGTTTTGGTTTTCCTGATAATAGAATTTAAATAGAAATATAATGATAATTGTTATAAAATAATACAATTCCTATATTTAATAAATCATATTACTGAAATTATATATATGTGTTATATGTTATTGAATAGATGAGTTTTAATGAATATTAACTGATACCTAGTTTGTAAATTTTTTCATATATTGTTTAGCCTAAGAAATAGTTAGTAAAAGGCATAGTGAATTACTCAATATGATATTTACAATATCTCCAAGAGCAACCATAGTAATTGTTTGCCAAACGCCTAAGCAGATTCTTGGAGAAACTCCTCTTTAAAAAATTAGTAAGAAAAGTAAGAATAAACAATTATACCTATATAATCCTCTGATTCCATTTTCTTTATAAATATATTTAAATGTAGATATTACGTTTAATTTGAGAGGACGATTAGGATCTCTTTTTGCTGACTGCATTTCTATGCGTATAACCTAAATTTAATTAGAATACATGATACTTTTTTTTGAGAAAATTACTTCAATAGGTTGATTCCAACACGAAAGCCCCCCTGCAATAGAACTACAAATAACTTTTTCTATGAGAGAAAGTTGTTCTGAATTATCTTTATTTTTAATCATTTTAATTTTGGATTCAATAAGACGAGTAAATCCAATACGACTTCCCCAGTTTGTCATTTGTCGAAGAGCAACTTTTTACAATAAGATTATGTATGAATATAATGTATTTTTTATAACCTGCATTGGCTCCTCGGTTGATACCACGAATACCTTCTTTACGATATTTATCTATAAATATTTTATATGTACTTGGCATTTTGATGCCTTCTTTAATATATTTGTTACGTGTTATTCTAATTATTAGGAAAAAATGCATATAAAATTATTAACAAATACTCTACTGTTTTCATAAAAGTACAAAACCCGACCTATTTTTGTCAAAAAATATATAAAAATTGCATAAAATATGCACCGTAATATATGCCTGTGCTATTCCTCCACACATCCCTCCCATCATGCCTGCTACAAAGGAATCCGCCCCTAATGTTTGTGCATGATATTCTACTTCTGAAGCTGTAAATAATAATACTGCCCCTTTAGTTGACGCTTCAATATATGCCTTGAAAAAACGTATTAGAATTACGTGTATAGATCAATAGAAATATAACCCATGGAATTAAGCCTTGATAAAATCCTAAAATATGTCCTCTGTTCCATATTTTTCTAAAACTTGTTGCAATAGAGTCTTTTCTATTCGCAGCCATATGTGTCTATATATTTTCATTAAAAATCCTCCTACATATGTCCTTTCTCATGATCTAGAACAATATATTTTACCTTGATCACTATAAATATATAAACATAAAAAATGTGAAAAAAAACAGCTAAAACCTTCAAATGGCTGTCCAAGAGTAGAAACTTCGAATAAATTTAGAATAGAACCGATAATAATATTTGAATATGAGACAGATTTCTTAGCAGGCTTATTATTTTGTTCACTATTCATATATGGTTTGTTTTTATCAAAAAAATTCAAAGAATATGCGTTTTTTTCAGGAAAAAAAGGAAGCATAGTTTAATAAATACTCTTATTATTGTTTTATATATATTCTTTGCCTTCTATCTCTTTTATTTCTTCAAATACTTGAATTAATTCAAAGACACTTTTCTCTGACGTTGGTCTTGGCACGTGATCATTTATGTAAAAAATAAAGATAATAGAAAAAATAGGTCTTTATATATATACAAACACTCAAATTAGAAAATATTTAATTATTTGGAGTTTTGTGTTTTTTTGTTAAATTTCATTAAGAATTTCTAAAAATTAAAAAGTACAAAATATAAAGTAGACGATCAATTAATATACTTAATTTCTTTTATTTTTAATAAATATTTAATATATTTTCTATAAAAACATTGAACTAAGAGTGAGTTTTTAAATAATTGTATGATTTATTATTTTTTAATTTCTACTTATGATATAGTAAGATAGTAAGGTACGGTTAAAAAAGATAATAAAAATTGATTTTTATAAAATATAAATAGATATATGTTGTTTTTCTAAAGAATTCTAAATTGTTTGAATATAAATAGATGGTTTCATCTATTTTCTTATTAAAAATTTTATTTTAAAGGGTATTAATTTTATTGTGGTTGAGATTATCGATGTACTAAGTCAAAAAAATTATCATAGAAAAATTGGAAAAAATAGGTTAAATAGTAGGATTTAAGGAAGAAAAGCAGTGCATTTCTTTTAAAAAGGTTTTAAAGATGTTACATGTAGAAAGTCCGGCTTTAAACGGACTTACGGTTGAAGAAAACGAGAAAAATCGACAGAAAACAAAGTCTCGGATTAGAAGGGATAAAAAGCGTCGTAAAAAGATAAGAGAAGAGAGTATAATAGAATCTACAATAGAACATGATAAGAATGTGCGTTTTTTTTCTTTGATTGAATGATTTTTTCCCTAAAAACTGTAAAAATACAAGTTCTTATACTTTTTGCTAGACTATAGTTGATAAATCGCTGGGACTTAAGAATGAAAGACTGGAAGGGAATGAAAATGGAGAAAACTATGTGAATAATGATTCTTTAAGTGTTTTTTTTGAATTGGATGAGAATGATCCTACATTTATGTCGTTTAAAGAAATTTTTGATAAATTTAGTGTATCTGTTAAAGTATAGGGTTTATAATGGAGGAAATCTATTTTAATTTTATGTTATAGGAGAGCAATGATGCTGAAATTGAGAATAAAGGGGAAATTTTTTATTCAGATGATAATATTGAAGAAGAAGAAGAAGAAGAAGATATGCCAAAAAAGCTTAGTAGAAAGAAGGCTCGAAGACAAAATAGATTGAGCGTTGCAGAGTTAAAGCAGTTAGTTAAAAATCCGGAAGTAGTGGAAGTATGTTTAAGTAACAGTGATATTTTTATTTAAAATATCTAGTGGTTTGATGTATCTGCTCAAGATCCTAAGCTTCTTGCACATCTTAAAGCGTACAGAAACACTATTCCTGTTCCTTCTCACTGGATGCAGAAGAGGGATTATTTAGCATCGAAAAGAGGTATTGAAAAACCTCCATTTGAGCTTCCAGATTTTATTCGTGCTACGGGTATTATGGAAATGAGAGATTCTGTAAGAGAAAAGGAAGATAACCAGACTCTTAGGCAGAAGATGCGTGCTAGGGTTCAACCAAAAATGGGAAAACTTGATATTGATTATCAAAAATTATATAATGCATTTTTTCGATTTCAAACTAAACCACCTATGACGGAATATGGAGAAGTTTATTATGAAGGAAAAGAATTTGAGACAAACCTTAAAGAAAGGAGGCCTGGTGATCTTTCTGAAGAGCTTAAAGAAGCTCTAAACATTCCTCCTGGTGCACCACCTCCATGGTTGATTAATATGCAACGTTTTGGCCCTCCGCCAAGTTATCCTGCATTAAAAATACCAGGTCTTAATGCTCCTATTCCCTCTGGGTATTTTTATTTTCTTTTTTTTATTTTCTAATGTTATTTAGTGCACAATTTGGATTTCATCCTGGTGGTTGGGGAAAACCTCCAGTTGACGAATTTAATAGACCATTATATGGCGATGTGTTTGGTATTGTCCAACCACAGGCACCTCCAGATGTATGTTTTGTTTTATACATATATATATTATAATATGTGATTTTAAATGTTTTAGTCTGGCGAACCTGTTGAAAGACAATTATGGGGGCAACTTGAGGATATAGAAGAGGAGTCAGAACAAGAGGAAGATGAAGAAGATGATGACGAGAAGGACATTAGCATGAATAACCAGGAAATGTTTGATGGTATTGAAACTCCATTAGGTGTAGAAACACCATCTGGAATGGTATCATCTGTTCCTAGTGGTATTGAAACTCCAGAATATATTGAATTAAGGAAACAAAGGTATATAGGATTTAGTTAGTAAAATATTAGTATTAAAATGATCTTTAGAATTTCTGAGGTTGAACATGATTCCGGAAGATCATTTTATCAGCCTCTTGCAGAACAACAGTCACGAATAAAAGGATTTATGGGAAGGTAAACATTATGAATTATGTTCTGAATGATCTTTAATTATTGTTAGTGAACATATTTATGATTTATCTAGTATAAATAAACTTCCTGTTCTGGATGCACCAGAACCGCGAAAGGTGCATATAATTATTAGTGTTTTTATATATTAATGAGTATTTTAGAAAAAGAAAAATGGGGTTGATGTATCTCTTGATCCTTCTCTATTAGAAAATGAAAATAATCGCTCTTTGGCAGAGAAACAACTTAGAGAAAAATACGAAGAAGCCCAAAGGATGCAACGTATAGATCCTAAAGGCTGGGATGAAGACTTATCGGAAATGGTTGCAGAACAAGCTGCTAAACAGAGTGCAAAGCGGCAAAAAAAAGTGAACGAGCAGAAAAAAGAAAAATTTAATTTTTAAATGTTCTATATAATCTAAAAAGAATTAATTAGTATTCGTATCTCCTATGGTCTTTAGAATAAATACCTTTAATATCTAGTTCTTTTTGTCTTTTTGCGATTCTGAACTTTTAAGTGTTTGATTGGAAAGCCATGATGCCATATCAAAAGATTGAGCTTTATTTGGGTAGTCTTTTCCTTTTTTTTGTGCATGTGTCCGTTGATATTCCATTAATTGTTCCGTGTCTATATACCAGTTAATAAATATTTTTTTTTGTTATAAACAAAAATACCCAATGTACTTATTAGTCTTGGGAAAATAAATAAAATAGTTACCGTTATAATAGATAATTGAACTATAGGATTTTTAAGTAACTGAATTTTTGAAGAATCCTTTTTCTTTGCTTTTTGAGTTTTATTTTAAATAATGTATGACTTACAACATCATAAGATTGAACACCTATAGGACTAAACTGAATTGGATAGGGCATTTTAGGTCCAAAATCATCCCATTTATTGCCCCGGTATACTTTATATACCTGAATTCGTTCTAAAGATGAGGTTTCTGAATCTTTTTCGGAAGACAGATTTAATTCATCTGTTTGAGTTTTTTTAATCAAAGAAATATCCACTCTTAAGGGATCAAATAGATGTGTAGAACATACGACTTCTAATAAATAAGAGCCTTCTGTAACATTTTTAATAGAAAAGTTTCCTTTAGATGTTGGATGTGTTTTTTTTAAGATATTTGCTGATGATAATAAAATAATTGTAGAAGAAGGTAAAAATCTCGGTGAGGAGAGATATGTATTAGGAACAATAGATCCTTTCAACTCTATTGAAAGGACAAGTCCTACAAAAACTAAAAAAATATAGAAAATTTGAAATTTCATGTTATCATTTCGATGAAAAATGTCTATGCTATATTAGTAAATAAAGTATAATATATAATATATAAATACTAATAAATAATTAGAGGTATTTACGTATGAAAGGATGTAGACGGATGCTATTTTTTTGTATTAAAATGTCTGCAACAGAGAAAGAGTAACCTAATGAATAAAATTAGATATAGAAATGTATAAAAAAATGTACTATAAAGCTTTTTGAATAGATTTTTCTTGCGATATTTTTTTTGAAAAATGGAGAGAACATTTTGCCATTGTTTTTGAGCTAAAAATGATTAAATTTGAAGAAAATTGAAGTAAAAAAGTTACTTTCGTGAAATAACATCTGTTAGATAAAAATCTGTAATTGGATTGACAAGTCTATGACCTGATGCTTCTGATCCTTTGTTATGATCATGAATTTGTATTTTCATACCGAGATCTGGCATAGAACAAAATTCGATAACGTTATATCGAGTTAAAGAAGGTGCAATTTCATTCAATCTATTGCGTACACCACGAATATCTTAATTGTAAGTGCAATAATTAATAATATGTCAATAAACATACCATCGTATGGAAGCGTTACATTAAGGTATTCAGATAATGCTCTGATTATTTTCCAATTTTCTCGAGCAACACCCAGAGAATTTATCGCAGCTCGTGTGACTTGAGCTCTTCCCTCGACATTAACATAGGTTCCTGACTGCTCTGTATATGCAGAACTAGGTAGAATTACATCTGCATATTGTGCACCAAGATCTCCATGGTGTCCTTGATATACAACGAATGAATCTTTTGGAATATCATTGTCAGTAAGCTCATCTGCACCAAGAAGGTATATAAATTTTGGTTTAACTTTTGCTGTTTTAGGTGAGAATGTTACAAATCCTATATCATATGCAGCATTTCTAGATGCAGCCTTAATAATGTTAATTAAAGTAAAATAAGATCTTTTTCATACCCTTTGCAAAACATTATATCCATTCCATTCAGGTGTTAAAAATTTATTTTTATTTTCAATAACAAATTTTCCAATGGTTTCATAGATAAAGCGGGCATCAGGCTGTTCTGAGACTGCGCTTCCAATAATAATCATAGGTCTTTCCGCTTCTTTTAATTTTTTCCCAATGTCACCATTTAATGCATTCTTTAATGCGATTGCATTATGTCCAATATATTTATAGTCATAAGTAGTTGATGAATTTTCTCCAACCATAGCAATTTCAATATTATTAGAACGAAGCCAAGACTTTCTAATTCTAGAGTTAAGAACAGCTGCTTCGTGACGAGGATTTGTCCCAACAAGCAAAATAAAACCCGCTTGTTCAATTCCTCGTATCGTTGAGTTAAATAAATAGTTAGTTCTAATATCAACTCCATGAGGAAGGGGCTTATTTCCTTCGGGTTGATCAAGAGCAAGATTTTCTGATCCTAAACGATTTGCTAAATCTTTTAAACATATAAGTGATTCAGCATCTGCTAGATGTCCTGAAATAGCTTTAAATTCATCTCCTATAGGAGAAATACGCTTATAGGCTGATGAAATTTCGGATAATGCCTGATCCCACGTTGCTGGAACAAATTTATCATTTCTACGAATAAGGGGAACTTGTAAACGCTGAACTTTTAATCCATCATTTGCAAATCGTGTTTTATCATTGATCCATTCTTCATTAACATCATCATTAAGTCTTGGCAAAATTCTCATAATTTCTAATCCACGACTATTTATAGAAATAGAAGAGCCAACTGCATCATGTATGTCGATGGAGTCTGTTCGTTTTAATTCCCATGGACGTGCACGGAAAGCATATGGTTTTGATGTAAGTGCTCCTACTGGACATAAATCAATAATATTTCCTGATAATTCTGAATTGAGATGATTTTCGAGATATGTTCCTATCTATAAAAATCAATACGTATTATTTAAATAGAAAAAACTAATACGTACTTGCATATCACTTCCTCTCCCAGTAGTACCTAATTCTGTGGCACCAGCGAGTTCATTAATAAAACGAACACACCGGGTACAATGAATACATCTATAAATAATCAGTATTTATAGTTATGTTAGAATTAAAACCTTGTCATTGCAGTTTTTATAAGAGGACCAAGATCTTTATCTTCAACTGCACGTTTTCCTGTGTATTCATAAAATCGCCCTCGATCCGCTCCATAACGCATAGACTGATCTTGAAGATCGCATTCTCCGCCCTGATCACATATAGCTTGTATTATTAGCATTATAAATTAATTTTTTTGTTATTTTACGGCAATCTAAAGGATGATTTGCAAGTAAAAACTCCATAACTCCTTCCCGTGCCTTGTAAACCATCGGTGAATTAGTTTTTACTTTCATCCCTGGAAGTACTGGGATTGCACAGCTAGCAACTGGTTTGGGTGTTTTTTCTACTTCAACAAGACACATTCGACAATTTCCGGCTATTTGTAAACGTTCATGATAACAAAACCGGGGAATCTGTACTCCTGCTTTTTCACATGCCTGTATCTATTTATAATTAGTTTTTACTGCTTATTTCGCTATATTTATGCACGAACTAATGCCGATCCTTGCTCAATCATAACAGGTTTTCCATCAATTTCAATTTCTACTTCTTCTCTAATAATTCGACTCGTAAAAAACGTACGTGAAAAAATAGATAATGATATATCATTTCGTACGCATTTATTCCAATGTCTTGTAATAAAAAACATCTGTAAATCCCACAAATATTAAAATTATTATTTCGATTTTTTCTCAAAAAAATATAATAGTTTCTTTCTATAAAATATATAGTATGAAATTCCTGTTTTTTCTTCTTGAAATTTTAAAAAGTCTAATGAAGCAGGGTAATTGTTTAAAAAAAATGGTCTATAAATAAGTCGTTTTTTAAATAGCTTATTGTAGCAATCAAAAACGACGCAATATTTTCAACAAAACAATATAATATCCTTTTTCCACCACAATTCCTCTATTAATATCTGTTTAAAATAGAAATATTCCTGCTAAATATCTGTTATTTAAATACCAATATTATTCGTAAATAATCTAATAAGTTCTCCTTTTAATATAAAAAAATACACTTCTTATGAAAATAGAAACCTTGAAAAACAATTATGATGTATAAAAATACAATATTTTAGTTTTTTTTGCCTTTTTTTCTGGCAAATTATAAATTAATATTTTTTGACGTCGTTGTCTATAACGAAGTTGTCATGGCAATTCGTTAAGTGATAGTTGTTATAGAAACCGTTGTTCCTGAGACGACGGTTGCTATGGTTATTGACGTCCATAATTTTGAACGGTGAGGCGATATAAAAAAATAGTCAGGACAGAAGCCTTTAGGAGATAAAGAACCATGATTCTATCAGTTAATTTAAGCTGAAATACTATATATTAAATAAAAGAGTGGTCTATAATATAGAAATCATAAAAACAATATCTTTAAAAGGAACATTTAAGTTAAAATATAAGTTGAGGTTGTAGAAGGAATTCCTAAAAAAAAGGAGATATTTTGAAAATAAATTAATAAAATTGTCATTATATTGTTCTTTATTTCAGAATTTATATAAATATTTGTTTATTTGTGGATATTTCAAGAGTTTAGAAGGATTTATCACAATAGGAAATTTTGTGATATTTAAAGGCTTTTTTTTATATTAAGGAAACATATATATATTGAGGAGAAGTGTTTTTAGGGGATATTTCTTTATTATTATTTAAAAGTAGAAGTTGGAAGATCTATTGTAATCGATAAAGTGTTGGATAAGATATTTTATTATTATAAATTATATTTGAATATTTGTTGGAGTTAATTGTTTTTGCTTTATTTTTGAAATGCCTTTACCTCAAGAAGAGCTTGAAGAGATTAAACAGGATTATCTTGATTCGTTACAAGATTTGACTATCAATTCGAGGCCTCTTATTCGAGATCTTACAATAATTGCACAGGAAACCTTGTATGCAGCACAATATATTGTAAAAGCTGTTGAAGAACATATAAATCGGGTATGTTTTTTGTTATTTGTTTATTTATTTAAAAAATACATAATGCTTGGATAATGTTATTAATATGACTGTAGGCACCTCCTTCACACAAACTGCCTGCTCTTTATCTTTTGGATTCTATATGCAAAAATGTTGGAAGTCCATATACTATTTATTTTAGTCAAAATCTTTCTAAGATATTTATTAATACGTATACTCTTATGGAGCCTCATTTGCGTATGAAAATGGAAGAATTATTACAGACGTGGAAGCAACCAGTTCCTGGAACAAATTCACTTACACCTGTATTTTCTCAGGAAATTACTCGTAAAATTGATGGTCTTTTAAATAAAATTCGACAATTGCGTCTACAGCATGACCAACAGCGTAAATTACAAGCATCTAAATCTACTATGATTCCCTCTGTGCCTCTAAACAGTGTTGTTGATTATTCCTCTGGAATAATAAATCTCGGAAATATCTCTGGTAATCCAGATTATATAGGGAATCAACATGTAAGTTTTTGTTATTTCTTTTTTTTTATGGCTTATATTTGGTAATTGCAGGCATCCTTGTCTATTACATCGAATATTACTGTGAATTCTCTTTTGGTTGACATTTCTTCTCTTTTAGCTGTTGCTCAAAAACGTGTTCTTTTAAATCCAGATGATGAAATAGCCTTAAAGCAAATCCCTGCACTTATAAAATTACAGTCAATACTTCAAATTTCAGCATTGCCTGCTGATCAATTGTATGCAATTAAAGAACAATTATCAGCTTTATCTTTACAACAACAACAAAATACATTACAAGCGGTTCATTATTATCCTCTTCAAGCTTCATATATTGGTTCTTCTATTAATGTGCCTCCTAATATACAATCTACAGATACAGAAACCTTATTAGCTTCTCTAAGAAGTGCAGGTTTACTTACAGATGTTTCTAAAAATTCAACTAATGATCTAAAATCTTGTCTTTCTTTGGATCCTAACAATTTAACATTATCTTCTCTCGCATTACTAAATAATAGTTTGAACACAATTGAACTTAAATCATCCTCTCTTACAAAGTATGTTTTGGACTATTGCTTTTTTATATACTAAATTTTTAAGACATCGCCCTGAACTTGTAGTCTTATTGTACGAGTGCATGAGTTTGCAATGTCATACATGTGCCAAAAGATTTGAAGATACCCAAGATGGTAGAAAAAAAAGAGATGCTCATCTTGATTGGCATTTCCGTATTAATAATAGATTAAGAGAATTATCGTCGCGAGGTCAGAGTAGAAGTTGGTATTTTGATGAAGAGGTAAGTTAATTATATAAAAAATAATAATTTGGATGGTTGATATTGGAAAGGAATGGATAAAGTATACTCATGAAGATGGTTCTTTGATAACAGTGGAACCTTTGGATAATGATTTAGATAAACCTAAAAAACATAAAGATTTTAATCATGACGATTCATATGTCCTTACGCCTACTGATCCCAATGCTGCAAATGAGCCTTGCCCGATATGTAAGGAAAAATTTATAAGTGTATGGAATGAAGATGTGGAAGAATGGGTATGGAAAAATTCAATTTCTATAGAAGGTGTTATATATCATGCAAATTGTTTATCTGAAGCAAGTGCTGCTAGTCAAGCACTTTTAAAAGAAAATACATTTGAATTAGTAGTTAAAAATGGAGGAACCTTAAACACTGTATTGGGAAAAAGAAAAAAAATAAGCGAATAAAATTTTTAAATATTGTTGCATATTATTTTTGGAGTTCTGCATTTATACCATTTAACAAAAAAGCGATAGCATAAAGTTAATTAATCATTTGTTTACGTAATTAAGGCCAAAATACTTCTGATATCTTTGGTAAAATTGTAGAAAGAACAATAATGGTGAAAACGGTTATTTGAAAATAAATACAAAAATACATTTTTTTAATCATTCATGTTTTATGAATGTTTTAAGATACAAAACAATGCATTTTAAAGTTGCATGGTATAGAAATAAAACAAAATAGGTTTAAGAAGGTATGATATGACGAAAAATTACTACTATTCAGTATCATCTTCAAAGTCATCATCCGAATCCTTTCAATAACATTAGTTTACCTCGAATACTGAAAATAAACATACCTCTTCGGTTTCTTGTGTATCTTCCTATGGCAATTATAAACTTTTTTTTTCCATGAAAAAAAAATAAAACTTACGATTTCTTCAGAACCGCTTTCTTCTTCCTCTTCAGAACCACTTTCCTCATCCTCATTGCTATTTTCTTTTTTATGTTTTTTCGGAGGCGGATCCGAATATTCACTTGATTCATCTGAACTTTCATTTTCTTCTGGTGATTCCTTAGTTTCCGTAGGTTCTGTTGCTCGACGCTTTGATAACTTATCTTTAGATTTATTTCCCATTAACAATGTCTCTGTTTTGACTTGCTCCGCCCCTGTTTCAACTGTTGGTGAACTGATTGTTTGGCTCGGCATTTTATATATTCTTTGCTGCGCCAAGCGCGTGTGTTTTTTTCCGCTTAATTAAGGGTTATTAGGCATAAAAAAAGCGGGTAAAAAAAGATGCAAATAAAGCAGATAATTATGGCTTAAAAATATCTTGTGTATATTTATGAATAAGAGGGGTTTTTTTCTAAGAAAAAATATGTTTTTTTGATGAGAAGTTTTTTTAATGAAAAAGAACGATAAATTTAAGTAGAAAATGCCTCTTTTTGATAAGGATTTGCGAAAATAGATTGTATGGACTGCCAAACTTTGGTAGGATTTTGTGTGGCATCTAATCCTATCCAAATACCACGTGATTTATAATAATTAACAACAGGAGAAGTTTGTTCTCGATAAGCTTCTAAAGAAAAAAATAAGTTTAAGAATGAATTAAAAATGATTGGAAGGACTTAATCTGCTTTTTAGTGTTTCAATGTTATCATCGGAACGTTGAATTAAAGGCTCTCCTGTAATATCGTCTTTCATAGGTTGTTTAGGTGGACTAAAATGTAATTAATTATAAAAGTATTTATAATAAAATGAAAATATACTAAAGATCTTTATGATAAGTTCGACCACTTGGTAAATGAATTAGACGACCTGTTATTCTATGAATAAGTAATTCATCATGAATTTGAAATTCAAAAACATAATCGATTCGTTTTCCATTTTCTTCTAACATTTTATCTAATTTTTTTGCTTGTAAAATGGTACGTGGAAATCCATCAAGAATAAATCTTATAATATTATATTTTAAATAATATTATAAAATTAAAAAAAATACCCATTTTTGCATTCTTTGTTTTCTGAAAGCTCATTCTTAATCATATTAATCATAATTTCATCATTTATAAGCTCTCCTTTGTCCATAATTGTTTTTGCTTTTTGACCTAAACTTGTTTTTCGAACAACATGAGAACGAAGCATATCTCCAGTTGCCTAAATTATCTAAATAATTAATATCCAAAGTATTCATTATATACTAAATGACATATGCAGAATTCTTTTTTGATTTTGGGTGCTTGAGTTCCTTTGCCTATTTTTCAATCAGTATTGTCTTTTTTGATGTAGTTTTTGATGATTTTTGTATAAGAAAACATTTATGTTCATATAAACTTGTTAAAATAATCCAAACTATTTCTAAAAACCCTCTTTTTATCCAACATACCTGAACCAGGTGGACCTATTAAAATCATCCGGAGTTCTTGATGTTTTTTATCTGTTTTTTTTTGGAATCCCAAGTATTCTTGGAAATGAAAAAAACCTTCTTGAATGCGGTCTATTTCCCTCTGAATTAGTTCCATTCTCTGTTTAAAACTCCCGTCCAAAAGGCAAAGCTGGCCGGCCTTTTATACGCTTGAATATCCGTGACGTTTGTGTGTTGCCATGGCAACCTCCTTTGAAGGGCTGGTTTGAGACTGACGAGATAAAAAAATTGAGACAAAAAAAAAGCTCAATTGACGGTGTTTTCAGCTTAAACTCGAAGGATTATGCCATCAAAAGTTCCCTCTGAGGCTTTATCATGGATAAATGTTCAAGTTGTGAGAAAATCTGATAAAAAATGGTGAAATGAGTAGAGAAAAAGCTAATTAATATTATATAGATTATTCATCCACTAGTTTTGCTGTCTGTTGTCGACGCGTTTAATAGAGTAGCATTAAATACGTCTAAACGTGTTGTTGGTGTTCTTTTGGGGCAAAAAAATGGGAAAATTGTGAATGTTGCAAATAGTTTTGTTGGTAAAAATTTTTTTGTTTGATAAGAACTGTAAAAATGACTGAGAATGAGTTCCATTTGAAGAAGATGATAAGGATCCTCAGGTGTGGTTTTTAGATCATAATTATATGGAATCAATGAATGAAATGTTTAAAAAAATTAATGGTACACTATATGAAATATTTTAGATTATTTCGGTTTAAATGGGGCTTAGTAAGAGAGAAGATGATAGGATGGTATCATACGGGGCCTAAATTGAGATCATCAGATATTGAGATTAACGAACTTTTCAAAAAATATATTACCGATCCTTTATTAGTAATTATTAATGTGAAGCCTCAAACGTTAGGTATTCCTACAGATGCATATTTTGTTGTCGAGGAGATTAGAGATGTCAGTGTGGTTATATTTTTATTGTATTATTTTTATTTTTTTTAGGATGGTACAACGACATCTAAAACTTTTGTACATGTTTCTTCAAGTATTGAGGCGGAAGAAGTCGAAGAAATTTGTGTTGAGCATCTTCTTCGTGATATTAAAAACGCAGCTGTAGGGACTCTTTCAACACGGATTACTAACCAGCTTCATTCTCTTCGTGGATTGAGTCAACGATTGAACGAGATTTCTCAATATCTTGGTAAAGTTCTTAATAAATCTCTTCCAATCAACCATAGAATTCTTGAAATTCTGCAAGATATTTTTAATTTGATTCCAAATCTTTCTTCATTTTTTCCAGATATAAAAATGTCTATTCAAGGAAATGGCGAAAAATATGATTATAACAATGATTTAACCAAAGCTTTCTGTGTCAAGATAAATGATCAATTAATGTGCATTTATTTAAGCAGTATTATACGTAGTGTAATGTCATTGCATGATGTAATATTTTATATTTTTATTATTAATTAATTAAATATTTATAGCTTATTGATAACAAAATTCAAAATAAAGATCGAAGTAATGGAGTAGAAGTTTCAGAAGATAAAACTGATGATAGAAATAAAGAACAAGAGAAAAAGGATGGATTGTTAGATGATAATAAATAATATAAATGGTAAATAGCATTTTTTATAACTATTGTTTTTCTTATATTCAACTTGTTTATTTCAGGAATAAATTTTAATATAAATTGACTTTATAGAAATTTAATTAGAAAAGTATTATTCAAAATTCTTTAATTATTTTTTAATAATAGTGTAGTATTATCTATTATGTATTATGTATTTTTTGTTTTATTAATAAAATTCTTTAGGCTTTTTGAATAGGAGTTTTTGAATTTTTTCAATGTCTTAATATAATTATTAAGAAATATATTTCTATTGAAAACTTTTTCTATTTATTTGTAATTATTTTATATTAAATATTCATATAATATTTTTTACATATTTACTTTTTTTGCCTCTATTCTTTTATATTCATATATATCATACTATTTAATTTTGATAGATTTTTGTTTTTATTATAATATTAATTACTTGATAAAATTTTAATAAAACACCTTTTTATTAAAGGGAAAAGCTAAAGAGGATTGATATTGTGTTATTTATTTGCAATCTTAGTATTTTAAAAGAATATTTCAAAAAACTGAGAATCAATCTTTGTGCAATTTAATAAAAAAATTATAATAAATATATTTTATCTATTTTCAATATTAAACTTATTTATGTTTAAAAAAATATCAAATTTATTAAATATTTAGTATTTACTTTAACTTAAAGCACATAAAACTATATCTTTGTTTTTTAAAGATTCTACAATATATTACTAAAGGATGCTGTATAATATATCATTTAATGTTATAACAACTCTACAATTGCTTTTAATGCCTTTGTTCTAATAAAATAATCTATATATCTTTAAATTTGATATTTTTTTTAGAAAAAAAAAAAAAGATATAAAATATAAATTATGTTCATGTTTTCAGTACTTATTCTTTGAAATTCTATTTTTTTTATGTTTATTTCTCTCTTATCTAATTTCCTTATTAAACGTACTCGACGCTGATATACTACGATCAGCTTATTGCGTCTTTATCAGAAAAGACAGATTTACTGTTTTTTCGTATAAATTTCCCTACTTTTTTATGCTCGTATCTTATTTTAATAGGATTTAATATATTATGTGTTTTTGAAGCGTTTAAAAAGGATGGATGACTGGGTATATACAATAAAAGTTTGATCAGATCTTTATACTAGTTATTATCTTGTTAATTGGCTATAGTTTGTTATTATAGGTGGTTCGTAATATTTTTATATGTTTTATGGATTGATATATGTGTTTTTTTGTAGACAGTGGCGTAGGAAAGAGTAATCTTATGTGGGATATTGTTTTAGAAAAAAAGATATAAATAGAGCTAATAAAAATGGCTAGGAGACGTATGATGAATAATCAGTATCTTGAACGTCATGATGCTACAATTGGTATTGAATGGGGTGCTCGTATAATTGATATAGATGGGGTAAAAATGAAACTTCAATTATGGGATACAGCAGGACAAGAAACATTTCATGCTATGACTCGGAATTACTATAGAGGATCTTCTGGAGCATTATTAGTATATGATATTACACGTAGAGAGACTTTTGAACACATGGCAGTTTGGTTAGAAGATTTGAAAATGTATGGAAGCTCAAATATATCAATTGCATTAGTTGGAAATAAGGCAGACTTGGAAAATACATTTCGTGAGGTAGGACTTGAAGAGGCAAGAAAATGGGCGAATGAAAAGGGGATTTGTATATTTGCAGAAGTGAGTGCAAAAACAGGAGATCAAGTAAATGAGAGTTTTATGAGAGTAGCTCGGGACATATATGGGAAGATATTAAGCAATCAACTTGATGTAAATGACCGAGTAATTTCTATGTTTTTATGCTTTTGTCTGCTAATTTTGGATCATAGCTGAATGGTATAAAAGTGAGACGAAAAAATCTACTAGATATGGATGTAAAACAAGGGAAACGGTGTTGTTGAAGAACATGTAGAATTTTTTTGTCAATATTTCCATATTTGGAATTAATGGTACTAAAAATCGCTAAGTTCTACGTTCTCCCCGTACCAAGAGAGATCAATTCCTTCTTGTGTAATTTTAGATGCTTGAAAATAACATTGGATTTTTTTTGTGTTATCGACTTCACAATTATCATACCATTCAACATGAACTTTTGAATTGTTTTTCTTTTTTGCATCTTTTTCAAGAAGATCTTTAGCTGTTTGCCATGAATATCTTACGATTTCATAAGGCCATCCAAAAATAGGATCGATTGAACATTTAAGCCATTCACATGTCTTCGGGTCTATATTAATTAATATAATTTCTTTTTTAAAAACTAGTTATTACCTGATGGATATCCACTACCCCAAGTTTCTCCATTAATGGCAAACATAGCAAGCGCTCTGTCTCTTGTAACTTTTGCACAAATACTTGCTGTGCTCACAATAGGATAAATTGAATCTGCTTTTTCTTTAACTGTTACATTAATTTGTGGGAATAATTGCTGAAGTTTAGTTTGATAAGAAGATGATGGGCCTACTGTATCAACATAGATCTTATGGAATCAATATCAATTATTTATTGGTTTTTAGTTACTTCTTTGATATTGAAGCCACGCTTGATAACTTCATGAAGAAGTTGAATCGTTGCATCATGTGCTTGGGCATTCAAATCATATGACTTATCTGGTCGTAACATTCCTTGAGAAATTTCTCGTGCTGAAACGATACGTATTGACCATCCTACATTATTTCTTAGTTGATCGTTTGTATATAGTTCTTTAAATAGTTCTTCTCGTCTCTCTGGCGTTAATGTTTTGGAATCAAGTATTCTATTAGTTTTTTCATAATAATTAATATTATTTACCAAAAAAACCGTGTTTTTTTAGATTTTTTTTATATGAACTTTTGCAATATGCTATGCTATATATCATTGGCCCTGTTATATATTTTATTTATCCAATTAATATATAATCATAGTATACCTAAAACCTATACAAAATTAACAATAACAGCCAAATAAATTTAAAAAAATAGAGGAACATACAGGACCCCTTCCCGCCTCATCTATTCCTGCGATCCAAGAATTTGAATGGCAAAGTTTATTCGTTGAATGAATAGTTCCTTCTGTAGGTATATAAAAGTCATTTTTTGGTATCAAACATTCCTTTTTTTTCACAGTTTTTTCGTGAAAATCTTCTTCAATCATATAATAATACACTTTTTTCTATAATTCTTGTTAATTTCTGCTATTTTTCCTTAAAATTAGCTTATCAAAGACTCACTGCTTATTTTTTGAGGTAGTTACTGTAGCAACTGTTGTCCATAACGACCAATCTCTGCTTTGCGTTTGTCGAGAAATAATCAACTACAACAAAAAATAAGTGGCTTTAGAAGTACTGAGATCTCGTTATATTTATATGCTTTTTAACAATAAATAGTATTTTTTGATATTTTCTTTATTTTTAATATATCTGTTTTTTTTTAGATTTTAAAAAGACAATTTTTTGAGGAGATAATTGAGTTATAAGCAAAAGGTTAATTTGGAGAAAATCTGTTAATTTTATGATAGAATATTTGATTTATTCATTTTTTTGTTTTTATTAGAGTTTATTGGGGATTTTTTTGTCTTTTGGTGGCAGTTTCTAGAGTAATTATTGGCTATAATCTTGATAACGATAAGGAACTTATAACGCGATGATCTGGGGATCAGGATCAACACGAGTTCCTGGTTCTTCGGGTTGTCCTAATGCGAAATTTATGGATATTGGTGTTGTTGGGAGGTATGTTGCTCTTTGAGTTGGGAATGCCAACTCTGGTGGTATTGGCAGTATATTGATTTGTTGAGAAAAACGGGATTAAGAATTCATGATTCTGTTCAAAGGGATTCCTTTGGTATGGAAGATATGGATGCTTTTTTTTCGCCGAGTACACCGCCGTCTGTTGATGAAACAGTTGCATCTGGATGGGAAGTTTCTCGCAAAAATGATCAAACTATTTCATTAGAACAAAGTATGGATGTATCACAAGGTATAATGGATACTTTTAGTTATAAAGTGAGATTAATAGGTACAGGTTTGCCTCAGAATGCATCAGATATAATTGTTACACGAAAATTGTCGAATTCATGGATAGAACGTAATCCTTTAGAAGCGTTGGCAGGCCGGCGAGTTTTGAAGGGAGAATCTCCATGGATTGGTCGATCTCCTACTAAAACAAATCTAAATTCTCCAGCTCTTCGAATTCCTTCGACACAGAAACGAGAGCCTGTGTTATCACCGACACGGCTAGATTGGTCTGACGGGGTGGCTCGGAGGCTTGATTTTTCAGCGACAGCTGCAATTGATGATGAGTCTGAAGAACAGGATAAGCCTGCTCCATTGGTTGTTAAAAGCGTTAAACGTGGACAACTGATGCAGCAGAAAAAGAAACAAAAAACGTTTAGTCTTATGGATAATTTGGAAAATAGTGAATCTGATCAGCAAGATGATGCTCAAGATTTCATTCATAATGATGCACAGGACTGGGAGAATTCTTTGAAATATGAGATAGAAGATAAATCGACTGAAGAATCGGATAATAAACTGAATAGAAAATATAAGAAAGGTGTATCTATACGAAAAAAGAAAGTAGATAATGATGTTTCTCTGAAAAAACGAAAGATCTCACAGGTACCATTGAAGTCTAAAAAGTTTTCTTCGAATCATTTTCCTAAAAAACGGTCATTATCCTCACGATCTTCAACTGAGTCTCCTGATGCTTCATCTAAAATGGTGATGAAAACTAAACTAGATAAAAAACAGCCTCGCTGTGTTCCTTCGGAAGATTTACTTTCATCTGCTCTTTCTCCACATGTAAATGGCACAAGACGGTCGTTACGAACAAAAGTTGCTCCTTTGGCTTATTGGAGAAATGAAAGAATTGTATATGAGCTTGGAGAAAGAAGAAAATCGGGTCCTGCAATGCCAAAAATTAAAGAGATTATTCGTGTTGATCCTATAAGTATACCTAATCGACATAAAGGAACAAGTCGAACAAAAAATACGAATTTTAAAAAGAAACTGATTAAATCTGAAATGCCTAGTGATGATGAATGGGAAGAAAAAGTTGACGTTGAGTGTGAAGTGATAAATTGGCATGATAAAAAGCCTATTGTTAAACGTGAGTTTTTTTTAGATAAATATTAATATTTAACAATGAATTTAGGAATTGCATATCCTGCATCTTCATATGCACCAAAAGACGTTGCGAATGCAATTATTAAGTTTCAAAAGACGTTTGATGAGGCACCTTTTTTTGCAACAGGTGTTATGGATTTACCAAGAGGCGGTGAGAAAGCAACAAAGCCTTCAAAACATAATGTGATGACATTTGTCATTCTTGAAGGCGCAGTAGAAGCTACCGTACATCAAACATCGTTTCGTCTTAAGAGAGGTTCTCATTTCATTGTACCAAGAGGTATTATTTTTTATGTTCATGCTTTTTTATATATTTAATACATTTAGGAAATTACTATTCTATACGAAATATTGCAAATAAAGTATCCAGACTATTTTTTACGCAAGCTACTGATACATTGGAGAACGAGGAATTACGTGCTTGATAAATTTTGTTACAAATAGTATATTTCTATGTATATATGGATTTTTGAGATTTATATCTCTTCATTTAAATCCGTATTCGTAGGTGAAGACGGGATTATTCGAATTCTGTTAGGATGAAGAAATGAACCATGGTTCTCATTTGCGGTAAAGTAACGAGTCCCTTGAAATGATCCGTCATTTTTTCCAACTGGTAAATCATATTCGACTCCAATCCAGATGCCTTCCGGTAATCCTTTAACTTGACCAATAAATCGAACTCGTCCATTACGTGTCTTATTTTCGCCTTCAACAGAACATCGTTGGTCTATCTCGATTCCTTTTTCGTATATTTTTTGCCAAGCCTGATTGATTTTAGTTGATGTAGGAATATGTGTTCCTTTCCATTTAGAAAATGTATTGGGTCTAGCGGCATATGCTTCATCACTTATTTTAAAATGTTCAACATCTTCTGAATTCAATTTATTGATTTCAACTTGGTCTCTAGTATCTGACACCTTATGACTCTTAGTAGCTCTTCGTCAAGTCTAAATACATACATGAAGGCATGTATTTGGTTGTATGTTAAGTTTATCAAGAGTTATTGTTGAATCCGTAACAGCTACATTAGGTGACAAAGTTAGATGTTGTGCTGAAACCGGAATACCAGTAATTAGTTCGAGACGCTCTTTCAAATGGGTTACCGTCCATGTTAGCTCTATATATCGTTCAATATTATGTTCAGGCCAAACAATATTAATTAAGATTCCCATTAATTTCTTAAGTTTTGCTATAGATTTTGTGTATAAATTTTTAAAGTTGTTTTATAAATGGATTGACAAAAATATAGAGCCGAAATGCACACTCGTAGGTTTGTTTAGCGAAGGATTTGATCTAAGCAAAAATGTTTCGAATATATCTTTTAAATAAATATTCTAAGACAATTAAATGTAATAATAAAGCAGACAGGAAATATTGCTATTTTGTGTGTTAGACTTGTGACTTATGGAATATTATATCTTTTTTCTACTGCTATTTTTTAGGGTTTTACCAGTTAACCCTACTTTTTATGAATTGGTTTTGTTTACTTTTAATTGCATTTGAGCCCACCAATTGTCACGCTCAAACCCACTTTCAATTACTTCCCCGCCAGCTTTTTTAATGTATTCTTCTAGTTCTCCTTTACGAAATAAATGATAATATCTTTGATAAATTTTTGTTTCAACCACTCTATCTTTTTGATCTATGTCACGTGATTCGTTGTCAGGTGATTCTGCCTTAGTATAACTTATCCAAGGAACTAAGATATCTTGAGGTGAACATTCATTCCATCCACGACGAGAATTAGGCTGTTCTAATGCCCAGACAGATACTAATGCTGTTCCTCCTGGTCGGAGTATAGTTAATAATTGACGTAAAGCATCGATTCGATGTGCTTCTATTGTTAAATGATGGATAACTGCAATAGATATTGCAAAATCGAAAATAGGTCTAACAGGTAATAATCTCGCATCACCTAATATTACATGTGCTTCTCCTGCTTCTTTGGCAATTTGTAAAAGTGCTTCACATCTATCAATAAGCTTCAATTATAGTCTAACCCTAACCCTAAACAAAGAGGGTTAGGGTTGCGTCCGGGTTACTCTTACCTATCAATACCAATCAAAAAAATATTTTGCGAAAGAAAAAGATATCTGCCATTTCCACAACCTACATCAAGTCCAAGTGCTCCTGTCGGTTGTTTTAATAGATAATTTTCAATAGTTGGCCATGGCTAGTTTTATTAGTTTTTTTTTTTTTAATTTAAACTAACTTTTTGACGTGTTGCTGAAAAATGACCTGCAATTGCTGAATATACGTTATGAACATATGAAGTTTCTATTGTTTCAGACGTTGTTATATGACACGGTGTAGATATATTATGTAAAATACTGTTATTTTGAGTTTTTAAAGTTTTGTTTTTATTTTTATGCTTTTTTTTGAATTGTTTTATGTTTTTTTCTTTTTGTTCAATATCATCTTTATCTTTCATTTGAAATATAGAAATTTTGAGTTGATCTAAAAGACAGATTTTTTTTATTTTTTTTTGATAAGATTAGATAACGGAGGATAGATCTAAGGTCAACGGTAGCAAATGATCAAAAATAAAGAAATATAAAAAATAGTTAGAAAAAAATGGTTTCTAGGCCTTTTTTATGAATAAACTGAGACTTTTGTATATTTTTTGAGAGATCTCTTTTTTTTAGGCTTTTAAAACAGATATAAAACGATTAAAATTGAATTTAAAAGGTTTTGATAAATAGTGATAATTTGTTATGGAAGAAGCTGTCGTTAAGACAGATAGTTCATCATATTTTGATCTTCAATCGTTACTCAAAAATCCTGTTCGTTTTGGTCCATGTTTTATAGAACCGCTTGGACACTGGGATACTTTGTATACTCCTGTTAATATTGTTGAATCTATCAATAATACGGCAACTGATACTCAGGTTGTTCATTCTTTTGAATCACCACAATCTAGTGATAGTGAATCTCCTATAGCTCGTCCCTCTATTGTATTATTTTCATCAGATCAATTGTTACACAGTTGGACCTGTATTAGACCACCTGCTCCGGGATTAATTAATGTCGGCAATACGTGCTATCTTAATTCAGTGCTTCAGATACTGTCTCATGTCCCTCCATTTGTTCAATATTTGCTTGCTGGTCATCATTCATCACAATGTTGAGCGTTACTTGGTCGATTGAAAAACTGATATAAAATAGGTCAAATGAGCGCTTGTATTTTTTGCAAAATGGAGAAGCATGTAGCTCAATGTTATCCTTCTGATGGAAGCCGTCCTGTTCGTGCCTTTAAACCGCTTCATATTGTTGGTGCATTAAAATGGATATCTAAACGATTTCAACCATATCGACAAGAAGATGCTCATGAATTTCTTCGATGCTTGCTTGGAGAAATGCAACGCTCATGTATTTATCCATATAAGTATTTTTTTTTGTTTTTTTTAATTAATATTTAAATTTCATTAGGGATTTAGATTTCGCTAGTCAAGAAACAACTGTAATATATAAAATATTTGGTGGTTATTTGAGACAACAAGTTAAATGTCTCAAATGTAATGACATATCAAATACTTATCCCGTCTATTTGGATCTTTCATTGGATTTAATGGGCACTTCTATCGAAGAAGCATTGGATATGTATGTTCGTGAAGAAATGCTAACTCAATCCAATCGATATAAATGTGAAAAATGCAAGATTTTGGTTGATTTTCAAAAAAAGTCTTCCATTTATATACTTCCTCCCATTTTAACCTTACATCTTAAGCGATTTTCTTTCAATAAAGCTTTTAAAATGTCGAAAATTACTCGGCATATTCGTTATGGCGAAACGCTTGAATTAACTTCATATATGTCTCAAAAAAAGGTTTGTACTTTTATCTATTTTATCTTATCTTTTATTTTTAAAGCAAAACCCTATCATTTACGATCTTATCGGTATTATCGTTCATTCAGGAAATGATACACGATGTGGTCATTATTATTCTTTTTGTAAAACTAGTAATGGTACTTGGTTACATTTTAATGATGATATGGTAAATATTCCTTTGGCATTTTCTATTAATATTTCTATTAATATCTTTTTTAATATCATTCATAGGTATCCACGGTTAGTCTTCAAACCGTTCTTAAGCAACAAGCATATATTTTATTATATTCTCGTTCTAACTCTTCCAAATATACTGATTTTAACAATTTTTCAAAAATGCTTTTTTCTTTTAATTCTCTCGATAAAATTCAATTTCATAAACAAAATCATAACTCTGACTCTAATCAAGAAACTTTTAAAAGACTTAAATATGATAATAATCTTTCATCAACAATTGAGGATACTGGTGTATTAATATGACTTTTTTTATTCACTTTTTTATTCACTTTTTCATTCACTTTTTCATTCACTTAATAAAATTCTTATTTAACCCTAAAACATTATATTATCTTATATTTTTTTTTAATTATCTTTTAAAGGTATAGCAGATACACCTTATATTTGTTAGCCTATTTCAACACCCTAACCCTTCGGCATCGTAACCACCCTCTTACCCTAACCCTAGTTTAGGAAACGAACCTAGTCCTAACCCTCTCTGTTTTTTCTTACCACACTGTTTGCGATGTTTTTTTTATTCAACTTTTTTTTCGAAAAAAAAATGAGGTAAAAAAGACTTGAAATCCCCAAACATTTTTATTGAAATATTTGTCAGTGAAAACATGCTTTTTTCGCCTCCGGAAATACATTCTGGATTTTCTAGGTGGTCAGAGCCAAAACTATCTAATACTTTATGTAAGCTTTATCATCACGGATTTATTATTCCGTCTCCACCTCCATCTCCAAAGGAAAATGTCACGAGTTTAAATGAAACAAAGACAGATAATATCGAGATTAAAAAAAAAGAAGAGGGAGAAAAAGAAGGGCTATCAAGTGCTACGTTTGTTGCACGTGTCTTTGATTTGTATAAAAATGATCCTCGTGGAATGCTTCGTAATGAACGTAAATGGCTTGCATATCATATGCCATCTTCGGGAATAGAAGGGCAAAAGAAGAGAGTAAGAAGTTCTCAAGGAGTTGTACGTCGTACAGTATCGACATCTGGATGTCGTACGACATCCACGGTTCGAGGGGTGGGGAAGACAAAAACTCAGTTTTTTTCTATCGGAATGCCTAATTATAAGCCGAAGCAGTCATCAAAAGAACATTATATGCATACGCATTCGTTTGATGTGGCAAATACGCCATATGAGTTGTTACCGGATTTCTGTCCTCCTACATCAACATTAGATAAGATTAATCATCCTCGACCATTAAGAGCGGAATGGAAGGGGATTCCATTGGATTTATCTAATGATCCTCATGTTGATCAGTTGCATCCGGCAGAAGTTTATTTAGCATCGCAATTAAGATTGCCGGCTATGGTTTATTTAGATAATAAGCGACGGATTTTTGCAGAGTATCATGCACGTAAAGAGGCAGGACTTGGATTTCGGCGGACAGATGCACAAAGATGTGCACGTATTGATGTAAACAAAGCAAGTCGTCTATGGCAAGCATTTGAACGAGTCGGATGGCTTGATTAGTCAGTAATGGATACTTTTAATTGATATAGATTGTAGGACGGTCATTAAATTTTGAATTGTTTTTTGTAATGGCTATCTAATTATTTTTTTTTGAGTATAACATTGTATTTGGGTAGTTTTTTGTAATTTTTAAGGTTTCGGTATCAAATAATTTTAATTGAGGGAAATATGTGGGGTGTTTGAGTTTTTTGTAAAGGGTATTTATGTTTTTGGGTTTATTTATATGAATCCAGTGATGGTATTTATGATTCCACTGAATTTATATCAGCCATAGGATATAACCGCCTTTTGGTAAAGGCTGATATATAAGGCTTGTAATATTTTTTTCTTTTGTAGGGCTATTAATTTAATTTTTTTATATTATTTTCTAAGCATGTTTTTTGTTCATGGAATATTTGAAGAATGAATGACGTAGATACCCAAATTTTGTCGAGTATTAAGTTTAATTATAGTAAATACTAGCTACATGAATAGTTACAACTTTTATGTGTTGTAAAATGTCAAAGTTAGAATATAAAAGGTGTAATTGTTTTGTATTTTTCTTGATTTTTGGGCTTTAAGATTTAAATAATAAATGCTTATGATTTTAATAATATAGATCTGCTTGATTTTTTTCTTTAAAATATCTTTTTTTAGAATCTTTTTCCTCTTTTATGATTTTTTCTCTTTTCTTTTGTTGTCTTCTTTTAATTTCATAATCGAATTTCTCTAAAATTGATTCATCAATTACGCCTGACCAGTTGCATTCTAGAAATGAGACTTCACATCCATATGGTAAATGAGAAAGATATTTTGTTCGTTTACGCAATTCATCATCTACAATATGACCTGTTGATATATTTTCTACTTTAGCAATGATATTTGGAGGAAAAAGTGTATAATCCCCAAAAGCCATTTTAAGTATTTTTATATCTAAAATAGATAAGTAATAATGTGTCATTATTTGAGGTCGATAAAATAAGTAAGAATAATTTTTTTGTTTATTATCAAATGATTTAGTTTGAGTTAATATGTTGTCTTCTATATTTAATTCTTTGATATTTATTTGAGTTTCTGTTAACGCTTCTGTTTCATAGAAATGTTTGTGATCATTGGATATTTTTTCAAATGATAGTATAGACTGTTGAATGTGTTCTATTGCTTTATTAATCGATTGGTTTGTAAATACCATGTCTGTCTTTTTGCTATCTTTTATTCTGTATAATTCTTTAAGTTCAAGTTTCATTTCTTTGATCATATAATTTTCAGATGCTTTCATAATACGAGAATAATCAAGGACATCTTGTTCAAAATACCATGGAATTTCATTTCTATCTATACTTTTTGACATATTTTCCCATGGTAATGAAAAAAAATTCCCTTGTTTGCGTATAAATAAACGAAGAAGTATTTCTTTTCCTTCAACAGGTAATTCTGGAGAAACATTGTCATGCCATCGTAAAGGTTTTAAATCTATAATACAAATTGCATCAAAACATATTGGACATCTTTTCCATTTGAAATCCTTATTATCATCTTCATTTTTGTTTTCAAAATAACGTATAATACAAGGTAGACAAAAAATATGACCACATTTTGTCATTCGAGATGCTACAAGATCTTCTTCTAAGCATATTGCGCACAACGAATGTTGTGTTAATCGTGAAACAAGTATTTGTAATATATTTTTCCAAGGTATGGGTATATCAGGATCTAGCATTTGTGGACGATAATCTTCATATGGACTTACAATAAATCTATAGTTTGCATTAATGAAATACTCTTTATTCTTTGTTCGATAATCATTTTTATGTATATGTTTTTTTTTTGTATTTTTATAATTTGAACTTGTTAGTTGAGATGTAAGAGATCGGGAATATGAAAAGTTTAATAAATGTGTTAATGGTATTTTTTCCACTTTATTCGTAAATTTTAAATTCCCTGGCTTTAAAGATATATTCTTTTTGTTTTCTATTTTGTTAGATAATATTTTTTGTTTTTCACATATAGATTTGGATTGGTTTTTCTCATTTTTTTGATCATCTTTTAAAAAACAATTAGATCTTTTTTTATCATTTTCTTAATATTTTAAGAAATTTGATCCCTTTTTAAATAAAATCTCACCTTTTAGTACTTTTTTATTATAATTTTTTGTAACTTTAATATTTTTAGCATTTATGTTATTTGGCCCATTTAAATAATAAATTGGTTCTTTAATATGTTCATCCATCTCCTCTTTGTCTTATTATTGTTTCAATCTCAATTATAAATTAATTTTATTTATTTTCTGGTTAAAATTGTTTAAAAGTGAAATAGTTAGCTTATTTAAGCAAATTTCACAATATTTTTCTCAAAAAAAAGAAAATAAGACGTCTTTAAACAAAATAAATTATATATAATCCTTTTTTTCCTGGAAAAGTGTTCTTATTTCCAAAAATATAAAGTATAACTTCATGACAAATATAAATCAAAATCTCGCATTATTCTGGACCATTTAATGCGGAAAAAAAGACATATCCTTATTCTAATATTTATCTCCCTAATATTTTATTCGTTATTATCATATAAATAGCCCTTCTATGCCTTTTTTATGTAATATCTAATTTATATCGTAAAGTGAGGTTAGCGCTCAGCTCGTCTCAGTGAAAAACGGACTTGACGTTCAAAAAAAAAAGTGCAAGGTTTCAGGAAAAAAATGGTTGAACAGGACCTTGACAAGTCTGGGGATAATCATAGACCACCTAATGGGTATATTCAAAGACATTTTCCTATGGTACGTTTTTTTTCTATGAAAAATGGCTTTTTTATGAGGAATTGGTATTAATAAATGACCAGCTTCCTTGGTATTCAGCCCCAGATAAACCCTTTCCTCGTAGGAAATATAAGTGTTTGAAGTGTCTTGAGATGATGAAGCGATCATCAAATGCTCAAGTTGAGACAGCGCTTTCTGAAAAAAAATCTCAAGTAGAATGTTTAGTTATGTCAAGAGAAAAAATATCATTAAATGAGGTATCTGAAGATAAAGAAGTTAATAAAGACGATATGTCTGTTCAAGATAATTGTATTACGTCGAAATCGTGGTCGGATTTGCTTAAAGGGCCAGAATCAAGTTATTCTAATGGTTCATCGAAGCTAGTAATCACGAGGGAGATGCCATCTAATAATTTAAAGGAAGTGTTTGATTATGTTAAGTTAAAATCAGGGAGAAATCATAATGTTTTGATTCAGCCTCGTGGCCTTATTAATATAGGGAATGTTTGTTTTATGAATGTGGTATGTATTTTTTGATAAGAAAGGATGATATATATAATATAAAAAGATTCTTCAAGTTTTAGTTTTTTGTCCTCCATTTTATAATTTATTGGATGAAATTGGTAAAAAAATGACACATAGTTTGGTTAATAATACATCTTTAATAAGTGCATTGTAAAGTGAATCAATAAAAGATGGAAATGAATTGATGAGTGTTTAGGATTTCTTTTATTCGTGAATTTCCTATTATTGATAAGCCAGTTTTAAATGGTGGAACAACGGTAAAAAAAGATGATTTTGAAGAATTTGGAGAGCCTTTTATTCCAGAATATGTCTATATGGCAATGCGAGGGAATAAGCTTTTTGATTCTATGAGGGTTTGTAGATTTATGATACATCATTTTGAGATTGATTGATGGTAATTTGTAGAGAGGACATCAAGAAGATGCAGAAGAATTTTTAGGGCTTTTGCTTGATGCGCTTCACGAAGAATTTGTTCAAGAAATGAAACCAAATGCTGATGTTTTTCCTAATAATACAATTCGATATATAAACTGCGTAGATTTCGTATCTACGAATTCTTTTGATTACTCTCAGGATAAAAATGAGAATGAATGGGTTGAAGTAGGTCCGAAACAGAAAACGAGTATTATGCGATCGGTAATTATATAAATTTTTGAGTATATTTTTGTATTTTAATTATCTTTAGGCTACAGTATCCGAGTCTCCTTTAACACCTATTTTCACTGGAAATTTTCGTTCTATTTTACGTGTATCTGGGATGAAACCATCCATTACACTTGAGCCCTATCGATCTTTACAGCTTGATATTGAACCTCTTCATATAGGTTCAATAGAAGAAGCACTTCAGAATATTACACAACCAGAAGTTCTTAATGGAGATTGGCATTCTTCTTTAGGTGAAAAGTTAAAGGCAACAAAACAAGTTTTTATTGAAACGTTTCCACAAGTTCTTATTCTTCATCTTAAGCGCTTTATCTATGATAATGTTGGTGGTGCTCAAAAATCTTATAAAAATGTTCATTATCCTTTACAATTCGAAATTCCTCCAACTGTAATGAGTCCTCATCGTCGTATTGAAAAAAATATAAAATTTATTTTGTTTGCTGGTAATTCTTTTTTTTTAAATCTTTAATTTTTCATTTATCTTTTTAGTTGTATATCATCATGGAATGTCTGCCTCGGGTGGACATTACACTGTTGATCTTCTTCGTCAAGATTTACATTCCTGGATTCGTATTGACGATACCCATATTTCTCATATCCTTCCAGAGCATGTTATTCCTTCTTCCGATTCGCCAAATCGTTTTGCTTATCTTCTTTTTTATCTTCGTTTATGATTTATGGGTTTTTTATTATTTATTATTTTAGATAGTTATATTTCGATTTTTCTTGATTTCATATATTTTTTAACATTTTCTCTTTGAAATCTTTAATGATGGACTTTTCTTGTATAGAATATGGATTTTTACGGCTTTTAGGGAACAGATAAATTAGGTTTTGTATTATACTTGGATTTTCATACTCATTTTTTTCAAATGTTTCAATCTATCTTTTAAATTATTTAATTTATACTTATAATCTAAGGTTTAGATTCTATTTGTCGACTTAAAGGCTAGTTTACTTGTATTTTAATACTGGTTAGGGTTAACCCTTAATAGTTATAATTTATACACCGACTGAATTTATATGGGTTAGGGTTAAAGATTTGTTTTTGACCGAAATTTCATAACAAAAAAATTAGTTTCTGAGATATTTTTCGACTGCCTTTCGTGAGTAAAATTGGCATTGAAGATCCTTTATTTTTCTTCTATATTTTTTGTTTCTTTTTTTCTTTTTTTTTGGCTATATATTTATAAGAATATTGTCAGCGAGGAATTGATTAATAGTAAAAGTCTAAGGACGTCTTTCTAAGGCTATGGTTGAAACACGGGCTCAGAGTGCAAGAACGCCCGTTCAAATACGATCGTCGGCGTCAGGAATTCAGTCTCCTGGAACACGTTCAAGAAAGAGTGTTAAAGCGGAAACACAGACAAGTGACACAATAGAAATATCTAACGAAATACCTAAGCGGGAATACTCAACTCCGGGACTTCGATCAAGAGCTCGAAAGGGAACAATGAATGATACGTTTCAATATTATGAATTTGGAGGACCAATTGGAGTGTGTTTTATGATATTTTTTTTCCCATGTTTAATGTATTATTTTTGGATTTGTTGGGCATATTATCAAGGTCATTGGGCTTTGCCTCGCTCTAATGAAACATATTTTGAATTTGGGTCTTTGATGATTCAATATATTGTTAAAGTAAGTTGATTTTTTTGGATATGTTGATATAAAGTGTTGAAGGATGCATTTCCACATCTTAAAGCATGGATAATTTATTGGGTATTTTTGTTGGTACAAGGAGTCTTTTCCGTAACTCTTCCGGGCGTTTATACAAAAGGGTTGCCGTTGTCGCATAAAAATAATGAAAGATTACCATATTTTTGCAATGCTGCATGGTCATTCTATGTTTCAATTGGAGCAGCAGTATTTCTTCATTTTTCAGGGATATTTGATTTGTACACATTGATTACAGAATTTGGTCCACTTTTATCAGTTGCAATTATATCAGGTTTTGCCGTTTCTTTTATTGCATATTTTCATGCTGTTTTAACGGGAAATATGCACCGTATGTCGGGCTGTTTTATCTATGACTTCTTTATGGGTGCTGCTCTTAATCCACGTATAGGAAAGTATCTTGATCTTAAAATGTTTTTTGAAGTTCGTTTACCTTGGTTCATGCTTTTTTTCATTTCCCTTGCTGTGGGCATTAGGCAATATGAGGTTTATGGCTATATTACTCCTCAGGTTGTTTTTGTTATTTTTGCTCATTATTTATATGCAAATGCTTGCGCAAAGGGTGAAGAATTGATTGTTACAACATGGTTTAGTCTTTTTTTCTTTTTCTTATTTATCTCACTTCTTTAGGGATATGGCTTATGAGAAATGGGGATTTATGCTTATTTTTTGGAATATGGCTGGTGTTCCATTTACTTATTGTCATTGTACCTTATTTTTGATAAATCATTCTCCCCATCAATATCGCTGGTCTACTCTTTATAATGTTTTTTGCTATTTCCTCTTAATTGGTTCTTATTATGTTTTTGATACTTCTAATAGGTTATATTTTTTCTTTATATTTTTCATTTTCTTATTTTTCTGATAGTCAAAAAAATCGCTTTCGTCAACAACGATATGGTGCTTTGCAATTGCGTAAGACTTTTCCTCAGCTTCCTTGGCAAACTCTTAAGAATCCTAAATATATAAAATGTGCTAATGGTGGTACATTATTAACATCTGGCTGGTGTATGTTTTTCTTTTTTTTTTTATTTTTTAATTTTTTCAAGGTCGATTTGCTAGGAAAATTCATTATACTGTTCTTTTTTTATATTAAATCTTGCTTATTCGCTAAAATTTATAGGCTGATTTTATTCAATCCCTTTCTTGGGCTTTAATTACTGGCTTTTCGAGTCCATTACCATATTTTTATCCCATTTTCTTTATTTTCGTTTTGGTTCACCGTGTCTCAAGAGATGTTCGTCGTTGTAAAGCAAAATATGGTAAAGACTGGGATGAGTATTGTCGTCAATGTCCTTATCTTTTTATTCCAGTATATTTTTTTATTATTATTTTTCACTTTTAACTTTGCTAGTATGTTTTTTGATCTCTTATTTCTTTGATTATTAGTCCCTGCTTTGGGCTATTTGTAAATAATAAAAGCATATTTCTTTTACTCTATTTTTTCTTTTTTTTCTTCATCCTTATTTTACTTTTTTTTTATGAATTTTGCCATGTCATTGGCCGAGTCTCGAGAATCTGATGACGATGGAAATCCGATTAGATTCCAAGACCTTTGATCGCAGGCTTCGCCTGCTTCTTGGGATATGGAAGGCAAGGACTGCTTGATATTTTGCTTCGAAGAAGCATTGGTTATTTTTTTAGTATTTTTTGCTAATTTTTTCATAGAATTATGTTCATATAAAAGAACATGTGTTTTTTGAAATTACATCTATGTTAGTAGTTCAGGGTAGTTTAAGTGATGATAATCCGTATTCTAAAACATCATCAATACATGTTGGATCTTTGGTATTTTTGAAAAACTTTTAATAGATTTAGAATTGGTTACTTGGTTATGAATTTCCAGATATGTTGATGCTTTTGACTCAAGAAATGATTTATTTTTTAACGAGCGATAAAAAGGGTTTGAAGAGGCTAAGATGAGGTATATCTAGTCTGATAAGTTGTAGCAACTATATTAGAGACTCTAAAGGATGGTATCGAAGCTTTTCCTATGACAATTTTGAGACGATCGAAACAAGCAACAGAAAATGAAGTAGCTTTGAAACAGGTGGTAGATGCAATGGAAAAAGCAGGGGTTTGTTAGGTAATATGTATGGAATTGTAAGATTGATGTTTGTGTAGAAGCGTGTGGGAGTATTTTCAAGGGATACTTTGAAGGGTAAATTCGCAGATGAATGGAAAAGTGTTTATGGGAAAACATCATTTGAAGAAGTAGATGTGTCATTAGGAGTTTCTTTGGCCATGGCAGTGAAGGAGGAAGATGAATTGGTAGAATTTCGAAACTTTTGTTGGTTTTTGAGGATTGATGAAAAGATAGAAATGTATTCGTCTGGCATGTAAAGCTAGTGTTTTACTAATATCTACATATTTTGTTGACAAAATGTCTACTATTATTGATGAGGAGGATAAAGTTTCTCATTTACAACTATCAGAAATGGTAGAGCGCAAGCTTGAAGAGGAGTCGTTTTTTCGGTCAAAGATGGGTAGTGATGTATGTATATAAAAGTAGGTGGTAGTTGAGGTGATTAAATTATATTAGTTTGATCCAGAGCAACTTGAATGGTGTTATACACCGATTATTCAGAGTGGTGGAAATTATGATTTACGTCCTTCAGCTGTTTCGGATGATCATCTCTTGCAAGGTAATGTGATTTTATGTTCACTTGGTCTTCGATATAAGTCATATTGCTCTAATGTTGGGAGGACGTACATGATTGATCCTAATGAGGTAGTTTTTGTTTTTTTTTTTTGTTTTCTAATGAAGATTAGTTTCAAGAAAATTATTATGATTTTTTATTATTGCTTCAGAAGAAAATATTCGAGAGTATTAAGGATGGTGTTGTTGTTAAGGATATATATAATAAGGCTGTTGGATTAATTCGTGTTAAACATCCTGAACTTGAATCTAAATTTGTTCGTAATATTGGTTTTGGTATTGGAATCGAGTTTCAAGATAAGACTTTGATACTTAATTCAAAAAATAATCGAGTTTTGAAAGATGGTATGACTTTGAATATTTCAATTGGATTTAATGATATTGAAAATCCTAAACCTCTGCATATTAGAGATAGAACATATAGTTTATTGCTAATTGATACAATAAAAGTAACAAAGGACGCGCCAATTGTTTATACGGACAGTCCAAAATCCTATAATGATATATCTTACTATAATGTAAGTTATTTATAAATACATTTGTATAATTTTTAGGCATTATTATAGGATGATGAGCCCATTGAAAATGAAAATATATCTAAGAAAAGACCCGAACGTAAAGTTTCTGCTGCAAATTCTGCGATTTTAAGAAGAAAAACTAGGGGAGAAAATAAGGATGTATGAAAACATTTTTTATTGGATTTTTGCTTATCGAATATTAAAGGTTGATGATTCTGCTGAGCAGAGACGAAAACAGCATCAGAAAGAATTAGCAGAGAAAAAGCAGGAGGAAGGCTTAGCTCGATTTTCGAATGGTGATGGAATTCAAAATGGGATAGAAAAACCTACTCTTAAAAAAATTGAATCTTATAAGAGAGACTCTCAAATGCCTTCATCTATAAAGACACTCAAGATTATAGTCGATATAAAAAATAGTAGTATCATTGTTCCAATTTATGGTCGACCTGTACCTTTTCACATATCGACATTAAAGAATGTAAGTAAGAATGACGAGGGTGAATTTGTTTACTTGCGACTTAATTTTCTTACTCCTGGACAAGGTGTGGGAAAAAAAGATGATATGGTATTTCGTATATTCTTGTTTAACCTGTTTTTTTATTTTCTGTAGCCATTTGATGATCTTAGCGCAAGTTTTATAAGAAGTTTGACTTTTAGAAGCTCAGATACTCGACATATGTCTGAAGTTTTTTTATCAATACAAGAAATGAAGAAGAATGTTGCTAAACGTGAAGCGGAGCGTAGAGAAATGGCAGATGTTATTGAGCAGGACAACTTAATAGAAGTTAAAAGTATATTTCTTATGTGTTTTTTGAATATTATGTTGATAGTAATAGATCGTCGACCTTTAAAATTGGTTGATGTATTTTCTCGTCCTGCTTTAGATGGGAAACGTGTTCCTGGTGAATTAGAGATTCATCAAAATGGATTACGTTATCAGTCTCCATTACGATCTGATCATAAGATCGATCTTCTTTTTAGTAATATAAAACATCTTTTTTTTCAGCCCTGTGATCATGAATTGATTGCTTTGATTCATGTTCATTTAAAAAATCCTATTATGATTGGTAAAAGAAGGGCAAAGGATGTTCAATTTTACCGAGAGGCATCAGACATGCAATTTGATGAAACCGGAAATAAAAAAAGAAAATATAGATATGGCGATGAAGATGAATTGGAGTTAGAACAGGAAGAACGGCGAAGAAGAGCGGCGTTGAACAAAGAATTTAAAGCATTTAGTGAAAAAATATCTGAATCTGTGGGAAAATTGATGTTTTTTTTAAAAAAAATTATTTATTGTTTCTAGAATGAAGGTGTAATAGATGTTGACATTCCTGTACGTGAACTTGGATTTACTGGGGTTCCATTTCGAAGTAATGTGCTTTTACAACCGACAACCGAATGCTTAGTACATCTTACTGATCCTCCTTTTTTAGTGATAACACTTTCAGATATAGAAATTGCTCATTTAGAAAGAGTTCAATTTGGACTTAAGGTAAGAGAAAAAATTTTGGAAATAATTTATAATTAATTATTATTGAAGAACTTTGATCTTGTATAATTTTTTCTTTTGTATATTTAATGAGACTTAATGAATGATTAGGTTTTTGTCTTTAAAGATTTTCGTCGTCCTCCAGCACATATTAATACAATTCCAATGAGTCAATTGGATAACGTAAAAGATTGGTTAGAGTAAGTTTGGTGATTTTTTGTATTTCTTGACTAATGGTTAGTTCTGTTGATATTGCATATACGGAAGGTGTTTTAAATCTTAATTGGGTCACAATTATGAAAACTATTAATGATGACCCTTTGGCGTTTTTCGAAGAGGGAGGATGGGCATTTTGTAAGTGTTAGTTACAATTTTTCAATTATTTAATTATTTAAATAGTAAATAATGAATCTGATGAGGAAAGTGCTGAAAGTGAAGAAGAAGGCAGTGAATTTGCTGTTTCAGAAGACGACGAAAGTGAAGAAGAATCCGATTATGAAGAAAATGCTTCAGATGACGAGTCTGAAGTTGATGAAGAAGATTTAAGTGAAGCTGATGATTGGGATGAGCTAGAAAAAAAGGCTTCTCGTGGTTTGTTTTTTTTATTTTTTTTTTCTTCATTTTAATCTATATAGATGATGCTAAAAAATCTAGAAAGTGATCTTATTTCTCAAATATACGAATTTCCCTTTTTCTACTTATTTTATATTTAGTTTTTATTGTTTTCTTGTATAAATTTTTTAATTCTTTCTTTTTCATCTAAATCTAGCTTTTTTAACCTTGCTTTAACCGTCAATCGTATCGTTCAGTGAATGAGACGATCTTCTTCACCACCTTCAAGCAATATATCGGGCTTTCCTCGTCGTCAATCCCTAAGATCATCTATGAATGAGTCTCAACCATTAGAATTAGTGCTGAATAATGGTTCATATGATCAAAAGGCGCCTTTGGAAGCTTTAACTAATTCTCCCTTGAATCAAGAGAGGAAAAGTGATACGGACAGTGTAGGTATAATTTTTTCTCTATAAGAGGCTAAAATGGTTGATCTGTAGAATTCTTTATATGAAGGACAAGGTCGTATATTATCATCTTTGAAAAAAGATAAAACTTATGGTATTTAAAGACTAGATATGAATTAATTAAAACTGATATTTAGTCCCTGTATATGAGTTGAATCGAGCAATTCGTAGCACTGCCCCGTTGGCTAAGCAGATTACAGTGTCATTTAGTGCTCCTCCGTCTTTTTCTTTTGAAGGTGTATCACCCAATTTACAAGAAGTGTTTTTGATGGATGATTTGTTGTTGGTTCTAATGGTTTTGTTTATTAGGATATGTTGAGATAGATCTAATAATATAGGGGATTGAGGGAAGATTTATACGATATCAAAATGAAGAGGATCGCTGGGATGATAATAATCGATTAGCGGGTGTGAAATTTAGGATATCAAGTGGTGTAGGTATATAGACGTAATATGCGGAGACTTTTATGGGTAATTCATGATTTAGAGCCCTGTCTTCTTGACTTGACGAGAATGATATTGAAGGTTGCGACATGTTACATTAGTATTGACGCTTTTATCGATATATATAGTAAACCGGAATGTGGTTTGGTAAATCATGCTCTTTGTGCAGCAATGAGGGAGTTGTTAAAGGTAGGATAAAAAAGGTGTATTTTTTATCAGTTAAGAATAAAGGGTTATTTTACTTTAATTGCCCAGTTGGAACATCAATTTAATACAAATCCGTCTTTTACTATACATACGTTTCATCTTTATATGCATTCTACATCTCAGTCATTGTTTGGAATGCAAGCGTTGATTCATGATATATTGAAAAAAAGTTGTGTTCTTGATGAAGAAAATAGTGATGATAGTATCGATGACGTAGATTCTTTTCTTCGATCAATTCAAGATAAAGGTATCACTAGTATTGTTAATTCGAAGGTATGTAAGGGGGGATCTGTTCTAGAAGTTATAACAAATCGTCTTTTGTCTTTATCAGGGGATCCCCGTGCAAAAAAGCTTTTGGAATATTTGTTAAAGGAAACATCTAAGCCTTATATGAAAATGCTGAATGCATGGATGCATCGGGGTGAAATACGTGATCCTCAGTCTGAGTTTATGATTAAGGAGCAGAAAAGTATAAAGAAAGATAGGCTTGAAGATGATTATATTGATGAATATTGGGAGAAAAGATATACAATCAGAGATAATGAAGTGCCGTCTCAATTAGAACCTGTTAAAACAAAAGTTTTAGTTGCTGGAAAATATCTAAATGTTGTTAGAGAATGTGGTGGAATAAATATATCTAAAGATTTATCTGATAATATGCCTTCTACGTTTGATGATATAAGGTTATTGATAATTTGTAATATTGAATAAAAATTGACTATAAATAGGTTTTTGGATAGTGTTAATGCCGCATATGCTCATGCTGATGCGTCTTTGCTTAAATTATTGCTTGAAACGCACGGTCTTTCTAGTCGTTTCTTATCTTTAAAACATTATTTTTTTCTTCATCAATCTGATTTTTTTACTTATTTCCTTGATTTGGCATCTCATGAGCTAAAAAAGCTTGTTAAGGATATTTCTTTGACAAAGCTTCAAAGTTTATTGGACATTTCTATTCGGATTCCTGGAAGCATTGCTTCTAATGATCCTTTTAAAGAAGATATTAAGGTTCAAATGAGCAATGTTGGATTGGTTGAGTGGCTTATGAAAATCGTAAGTCTTAGTGGCATAGATGAAACTGCGATTGCAGCAGGAACAATATGGATAGATGATTATCAGAGTCAAACATATAGTACAGAAAAAAAGGATAAGGAATTTACTGGTAAATGTCTTTGAATTGTTAAACTAATGGACTTATTGAATTATAGGTATCAATGGGCTACAATTTGATTATTTTGTACCTTTTCCTCTTTCACTTATTATTTCTCGCAAGGCCGTTTTACGTTATCAACTTATTTTTAGGCATTTGTTGAGCATGAGACATTTGGAACAATTATTAGGATCTGCTTGGCTTGATCATTCTAAAAATATGTCATGGAAAAAATACTCAATTTGTTCACAGGTTGAAAAATGGAAGAATCGTGTTTGGCTTTTGCGTTCAAAAATGCTTAATTTTGTCCAACAACTTTTTTACTATTGTACAAATGAAGTTATGGAACCTAATTGGCTGATTTTTCAGAAAAGACTTTCAAAAATATTAACTGTTGATCAACTTATGCAAGATCATATCGATTTTCTTGATGCATGTTTAAAAGAATGTATGTTGACGAATTCTAAGTTACTTCGTGTAGGTTTTCCATAAAAGAATCAAGATTCTTATCTTAAATAGGTTCAAGCAAAATTGATGACAACATGTACTATGTTTGCATCTAATACAAAATACTTGACTCGTTCTTTGGCTTCTGTAGAAGACAATAATTCCACTGAACCGCAAATTGATTTTGTTAAGATGAAAAAACTTGACGATATATTACATAAATATGAGGAAAATTTCTCTCATCATTTAAAAATCTTGCTTGATACATGCAATTACTTTGCAAAAACTGAAACAGTTTCTCTTTTATCTTTGATAATACGTTTAGATTGGAAAGAAAGTAGGGAATTATCTGATTTTCTATAAAAATATTGCATGTTTTGATTTATGTTTTGTTTTTTTTTCGATCGATAACAGGTTTGATAATCTAAGATATTTATTGAACATTTTATTCGGCTATAGAAATCAGTTTTAATGTGTTAATTATCTTAAATTGTTATGAATACGCCTATATATTTGTTGTTTATTGCATTAACTTTATTTATGGCAGGATGCCATTCATATGAAAGAGGGTTAGCAGGGACTTGGACGTCAAAAAGTAAAAGTGTGTTTACTGGTCCTGTATGGACAATATTCTCTATTTAATCTTCTGATCTATTAATAGGAATTTTATGATCCTATCCGAGACGTAATGTTTCCTCCAAGATTAACCGGTATTTCATATAGTTTTACTGATGATGGATATTTTGAAGAGTCTCTTTATCGAGTCTCTAGTAATCGTAATATTGTAATTGTTTTTCTTTGAAATATTTATTTGTTATTTTAGCTACAGCTCCAGAATGTTCTGTTGCTGTGATGCAATGGCAACATGGATTATATCAAAAACTTGACAATGGTTCTCTTTTGCTAAATCCCATTCCCAGTGATGGTCGTCAAATATTTTCTGATCCTTGTGCTGGCTTAACCTCTCGATATACTCGATTTAGTGTTAAAGAATTAATTATCGTAAGTTGAATCTTATTTTGTTTTTTTTTTTTTAATTTTATATAGAAATATGAGGTTATTCTTGACCCGTATTATAAAGAATATAAACTTTTATTATATCAGTTTGATGGGACTCCTGTGCAACCTTTATATTTCGTTCATTTTCCTCCAAAAATGCTTCCTACTGTAACGTTGACTCCTCTTTCTACCAGAATCCTTCAAAAACGATCTTTCGAATCCCATTTTTTTTCTTTTTTGACTTTTAACACGAATTACATTTGTTGGATTGGTATTTTAATGATCTTGTTAGGTACTTTTGGTTATTATATATTTTAAAACTTAATTCAAATTTTCTATATTTTATAATAAGAAATTTTATTTGCTGGAAATATAACCAATACAATTTATGAACTTTGTTTATATGATGAAATTTCTATTTTTTTAATTATTTTAATTTTTTTTGTTTTTTATATATCTTTGTGCTACTCTCTTAATCAGCTTTATATTTCTTTAAGAATTTTAAAAGTCCTTTAGATATTTCTTGTAAGACATTATTATTGTTTAATAACCTTTTTTATTGATTGTTTTTATTTAAAACAGAGTTTTTAAGTGGGTTTGATATGTTATCATTTTTGCACTAACTTAAATTTGGATCAAAGAAAAGATCTGCTCGCCAATATTGACTGGTTTGAGCAAATATTGTGTTTTTATTTTTAAAATGAATAGAAATGGTCAGTTATTATGGAAAAAAAGGGACATTTTGCTAATTTTTTGAAGGTATTAGTCAACAAATACGTCCATCCATAGGATATCCTTCAAATCCAAATATTTCAAGAAAAATAACACCTATTTCTGTGAACAATAGTGGAAGAATTTCTAAAGGGAGGATCCAGTCTGGTTTGATCATTTTTTTGTTGTTTTTATAATTTATATTTTTTAGGATCTTCATGGACTCTTAATCCAGCGGCTACATTTCAGGTGTTGCAACCGCATTCTTCGTCTCCGAAATTTGTAGATACAACACATCTTGCGCATTCTCCCACGGTTATTTCACATTCTATGTCTTCGGAAAATCTAACAAATCAGATGTCACCTTTAGATCCTTCCGATTTTCCTGCACTTGGTACATCTTCAAATACTTCGTTGGCACATGCTTCTAATCAGTATTCTGAATACGCATATTCAACTATTAATGAACATCAAAAGTCTCAGGCATTATTGACTCGTTCTTTGTTGACAAATACAAATGGTTTTTCTAATAATCAAGATGATTTTTCTTCTATTACATCTGGGATTGATATGATGAAGTTGGGACAAAAGATGAATAATGTTAATGCTGAAAATCCTTATACGGATGCATATTCTTCTATTTTATCTCCTATATTAAAACAACAAAACACTAATCAAGCTATGTTATCTCCACATCGATCATCCCTCTTGTCAACTATGACAAGTGGTTCTGCATCACTACAGAAAACAAGGAAAAATCTTTCTAGAACGAATGTTTCTTCTTTAGATATGATTAAAGGTTCGTTTACATTCCGTTTTTTTAATATTTTTAATATGGTTCTTAAAGATAATTTTATTTCAATTTTAAAGCCAGGAGTTCAATCATATAACATTATTGGTGATCAAGAAAAAATGGTTTGCAAATAATTGTTTTGTTAATAAATTTTACTTTTTATAGAATACATCAAAAGTAAATCCTGATTTATTACCTTCTGTTGAACGTCATTCTTCTAATTCTTTGGCTAATTTGTTATTTTCATCTTTTCCTCATGATGCATCTCCAAATACGTCTGTTATGGATGTAAAGGAATCTTCCGCTGGACAAACGCTTGCTTCATTGACGCCTGTTGAAAGATTTTCTTTAAAAGGTCTTTTAAGTATTTTCAAGATGGAAAATCCTGATTTAAATGCCATGGTTTTGGGAAGCGATTTGACAGTGTTAGGTTTGAATCTTAATCACTCTGAGTATGAATTATTGGCAACTATTTAGTGTTAATTGACTTTTAGTGATCGGCCTTTGTACATGTCATTTTTATCTCCTTGGATGGATTTAAATACAACGAAGGCTTATTCAGTGCCAAAATTTAACCTTCCTGCATGTTATAATGTTCAACTTGCTCCTCCTGCTTTGTCTAAAATTCGAAATTTTTCTGATGAGACTCTTTTTTATATATTTTATAGTATGCCCAGAGACGCAATGCAAGAAGCCGCTGCTCAAGAACTGTAAGATTCTTTTTTAAATAAAAAGCTAATTATTTCAGTACAAATAGGAATTGGAGATATCATAAAGAATTAAAATTGTGGCTTACAAAAGAACCTGGTGTAGAACCCATTCAAAGAACACCTCAATATGAAAGAGGTCAATATATATTTTTTGATTATATATTGTGGGAAAAACTAAAGGTGTTTTCTAATTATTTTTTTATTTTTTATTTATTTTTTTAGAAAGAATTTCTTTTAATTTATGATGCTTTGGAAGATCGCTTTACACCTTTTACTTCAAACATAACTGGAGAAATGGGATTTTGCCAAAGAATGTTGAATGGTATTTAATATCTTATACATTAATTGTATTATAAGATTCTTGTATTTTGATTAACTAAATTTCATCTTTATATGTATAATAATATATAACCCTCTTATTCGCTTGTTAACCTAATTTTTTTAAGTTTTTAATGATTTATAGTTAAAGTTATGCAAGAGATCAGCGTTCCTTCTAGAAAGTATACAAGTGAGAATGTATCTTTACCTCTTTCTAAAAATTATTTTGAGTTGTTGCAGCTTGAGTCTCTTTTTCCTGACGCTGATCCGTTATATTTAGCAGAATGCCTTGCTTATTATGATGAAGATGCTGTTCAAAGATCTACATTAAAAATTATATTCCACTGTTATGGACAATATCCTAAGGTTTTAGTGTTATTTTTTGTTTTTTTTTCTTGTTAAATATTGATCAGAAAAGTTCATGGATGCATTATATACGTGAGGATGATAAAAAAAATGCAAAACTGGATATTTTGAATCAGATTTTCCCTAATATTGATGTAGAATGTCTTAGAAATGAATTAATACGGAGGGATGATACATATTTATTGAAATCTATTGAATCATTGTTGAATATAGATATTGAATCGACGGGAGTATCTCGTCTAAGAATAGGCAAGATTGAGCCTTGGCAAAGATTTCGATCATATGAATATATCTCATCTGTTAGGTTTCAACTTATTTCTGAGTTTCCAGATGTACCATCTTCTACCATTAATGCAGTGATGGTGGAGAATAATAATGATTATTATAGAAGTAAAACAGTTTTATCTAGAATGCAGGGTGAACGCTGGTGGAAATCGTTAGTTTCTTTTGTCAGGAAGAAGCGTTCAAAGCTGAATTATGTTATCTGTGAAGAGTTATCTCGAGAGATGTTAAATTTGGAAAAAAAACGAAGGGACCAGATAGTAATGAAGGATTTTGAGCATGCGGTGCAATTGAATTGGCAAGAATATTATGATAAAGGTCTTTTGATAGAATGTGGTTGTTGTTTTTCTGAATATGCATGGGAAACATTAGCGTATTGTTCTGAAGGGCATATTGTTTGTAAAAAGTGTCTTGAAAAGACAGTACAGGAAGGGATTTATGGTCAAGGAAATCTTAGAGGACAACTTCGAATAAAATGTATTTTTTCGAATATTGAGACTGTCTGTGCAGGGTTTTATTCCAAAGATATTCTGAAAAATTCCTTGCCTTCAGATTTGCTCAAAGCATATGAAGATTCTCTTAAGTTTAGATGCATTTTTGATAGTTCATGTGAAAATCTTGTTACATGTCCATTTTGTGGATATGCCGAGTTCATTGATGTTTGGAAAATTAAATTTTATTGGAAAATATTTATTATGGTTTTTATGATAGGCTTTATAATGCAATTGGCTTTTTTTTTGTCTTTTGTTATGTTTCTTTCAAGCTTAATTGTTATTACTTCGGTTTACTTGAGCGGGTTTTTCTTTATTATTAATTGTTCATCGAATTTTTTAAGAAAATGGATTGATAAAACAGCATATCGTATATTACGCAAAAGAAGTTGTAGTTTGTTTAAATGTAGAAATGTTGATTATTGTGGAAAATTTAGTTGTTGTCGATGTAGGAAAGAATGGATGCCTTTCCATAAATGTTTCGAAAAAGAATTAGATGGACTTCGTCTTTATGTTGAAAGAGAAATGGCTAATGCTGTAAAAAGAACGGTATAGCGTGTAAATATTGATAGTACTTTTCTCACATTCTAAGTGTCCTGTTTGCAATTTAAGTTTTGTTAAGTCTGATGGTTGTAATAAACTTATTTGTCAATGTGGTTATGTAATGTGGTAATATATATTTAATGTCAAAATATCTACTTATTTTTTTTAGTTATATTTGTAGGAAAAATATTAAGAAAGAATCTTACGCACATTTTTGCCATCATTTTCGCTCTATTCCAGGAAAAAAGTGTACTGAATGTACAAAATGTGATTTATATAAGGTTGATGATAATATTGCAGAAGTTGCTGAAAGAGCTACTAAAGAATATTTGCTAGGATGCAAAGATTCGGGGGTATGGCTAGGTTTGAAGCATCATACAGAATTGTTAAAAGATGGTTCATGTATTCATTATAAAAATTATGATTATTTTAGTAACTTTTCTAGTGTTCGGACGAATTCTTGTTGTAATCAATAATTTATTAGAGTTATTTTTAGAACATATATTAGCTTGATTACATAAAAATTGTTTTATTTGTTTTTTTGGTTAATTTAACATTTATATTGGTTATTGATGAATTGTAATGAAATGCGTATTAGTGCTTTTTAATCAAAATGATTTTGATCATTTTTAGTTGATTAGTATAATTGGTATAATTAATATTAATAAGAGCATTATATTTAGTTAATACATTCATTTTCATCTCTGTTATTTACTTTGTCTTGAGATTCAATTTGATAAGTGTTTAATACATTATTTGAATCATTTGTTATATTAATAATGCCTTCATCCTAGTTATTATTAATGCAAAATTTAGATTTTTGGATAGATTTTACTGAAATAATGAATGGTATTAAGCTATTTGAATTTATTGTAACACCTCCAACTTTTTGGATATAAATAAAACGTACTTGCTTATTATTATATAGGTTGTTTTCATTTTCCAAAATATCTACATTTTTTCGTAATAATATTATTTTATTTGGACAATTTTGGGACCATGATAAGCCTTGTAGAAATTTAGTTGAAATTTAAAAAAAAAAAGATAATTACTTAAAGGCGATGATAAAATAGCGCATTCTTTTCCATTTATATTGTTTATTTTTATAACCATTTTAGATAGAATTAGTATCTAAGATATTATCAATTATAATGACAATTGAAAGTAAATTATTTACGCAGGCATTGTTTTTAGCAGCTATTCTGTTAAATGATAATAAAAGATTTGTTAAAACTTGTGATTTTTTTAATTGTGTTAAATCATGTGTTGAATTTCGAGATTGATTTTCAACATTGTCTGGGGGAAATGCTGCAATGATAGGAGTAGCTATATCGTCTATAATGATTAATTTCTTTTGCTGAATCAAATCTTTTGAATTTGTTTTGTAACTATGTAAAAAAAGTGCTATAAGATTATTAAGAGATGGTGCATGAAGAATAGTTAAATAATTCAATGGATTTATTTCTTCATGAGTATAGTCAATCAATTTTGTCTTTTTTTTTTTGCTTTGTGTTATAACCTTTTTTAAAGAATGCATTGGAAAAGGTTGAAAGGTTTCTTAACTTGATAAGATTCAATCAATTATATAGTAAAATATATTATTACCTATCCATAATATTTTTTCTTTTTTTTTAAGACAATTGATTGTTGCCTGTAATCTAAACTTATTAATATTTTAAAATGTCAAAAAAAAATAGACGCTATTGCTGTCTTTCCAGAGCCTGGAGGCCCTGATATTTCTGTAATTTGTCCTGTTTTAAAGCCATTTCCACCAAAAATGCTATCTAATGCTGATATAGATGAACTAATAAATGATAAAGTATGATCTGATGTTAATGCATCAAATGCTGATGTAGTTGGTAATCGGTCTATATATATTAATGTTTTCATGGATTTTTAAGCCTTAACTTACGGTATAATGAGGATAAGTATATCTGTGATGATTCCATATTTAAATTAAAAGCATTAAATAAAATTTTGGGAAACAAATAAAATTTAATATGAAAATATAGAAAACAGTTTATAATTTCGTAGTCTTTTAAATAAGAAAAAGGGTTAGGGTGTCAAGATAGAAAATAAACACCTTTGATATTTTTAAACAAATCTTGCTTAATTTACAAGATTAAAGTTCTATCGAAAATTTATTTTTCATTTATCAGTATAAAATAAAAATTATAAAAATCGATTTAAAATTTTAAAAACTATACAAAAATAAAGTCTTTCGTGCTTTTATTTACTGTAAAGTTGAATGCATCTACATTTATTGTGTATTTGAAGTGTCAGAGAATACTTGTGGGCAGTAATGATGGAGTTCTCATGGACTATGAGTATAGAAAGATGAATAAATCATGTTTAAACTAATTAAAGAGAAAAAATAAAATCTTTTTAAATATATAATGATGCATCTTTTACTTTTTTTTATAGTAAATTTAGCATTTCGCACAAAGCGTTTTGTAAGATTAAATGTTATTAATGGCAATTAAAATATATATTAGATAAAAATTTATAAACTGATTAAGGTTTAACCATAAATAATATTTGAAAAAAATGTCTTTTTTATGTTATATTTAAATTGTTTTTGTTTAATATAATTAAGGAAATTTTCAGTGATGTTAAGCTCTAATAGTACTAGTTCATGTTCTTAAGGGCTTTAATAGAAAAATAAAAGTTCTAGTTAAAAACAATTTCCATGTAGAATAAGCTTTTAGTCATGTAGTAGAGGAAGTATATCCAAGTTTAGTGTTAGAATATGAAAAATTTCATCGTATTAAGGTCATGGTATTCATCTAAGTGGATTAGGTTAGGTAAAAGGCTCGGAAATTTAGGTGCAGAGTCTTGTTACCGGTGGTTGGAATTGCCAGATTAAAAAATTTTTTAGTAAATTGATTTAACTGATATAGAAGATTTTCTATTATTTATTTTGAATATATTCTGTGTATTGAGGGTTTTATATAGTTTATTGGTTTTCCCTGGTTTCATGTATTATTGTGTGTTCCATTGCCGTTTTGATATTTGATTGGTCTTTTGTATATTTGACGAGTTTTTTTCTATATTTAGACTATTAATTTCTTCGACTTCGGTGTATAACTAATATTTAATATTTGTTTTTACCCGGTATTTACTTGATATTTGCTAGATTATATTCTTTCATTTATCTATTTTTACTTTATCTCGGTTTTTTGCATGCTCTAGGCTCTATTCTGACCTGGTCTTTGACTCTTGCTTGATTGTCTATATAAAGGTCTTGTATATAGAAATATATATATTTACAGGCATTATAATTTATATAATTTCTGGTGTTTACGCTATTATTAAGGATTTTTTGTCAGTTTCTTTTTTATAAGTTCGTCATTTTTAGTGGATATTTGATATTTGGGTATTTCTAACTGGAAACTGTTTAGGTTGTTAATTAAGATTAGGCTGATATTTTTTTTTAATATGAAGACTGTGACATATAAGAATTCACATGGGAGAAATACTTCAAAGGCTATGAGTAAAGAGAATGCATCGAGGACTCTTCGCCCGTATGAATGCCCTTTTTGTCCAAAGGCATTTTACCGATTGGAACATCAGACACGTCATATTCGAACACATACGGGTGAAAAGCCGCATGCATGTACGTTTCCCGGTTGTGTTAAGAGATTCAGTAGATCTGATGAATTGACCCGTCATTCAAGGATTCATAATAATACCCGTACAAAACGGGGCCATGTTCAATTCTTATATAATAATATTGGAGTATTTGGGATACAGACTCCAGTTGCTTCTACTGCAGGGACTTTTCAGCCACATACATTACAAGGATTACCTGTTGCTAATGTGACATCTTCAGTACATGTATCTCCATGTTCTGCGGAATGCATGCATGGGTCTAATAATTCTCAAAAAGTCTCCACATTATATCCACAGATTTTGCCTGTACCTCTTGATGATATGCATGTCCTTGCTGCTGCTGCTTTTCAACAACTTGAGAAAAGGAATATTTCTGAAGTTCGCACTTCAAAGCAAAATTCTTCAGCTCGTACTTGTTTACGGCATAGTTGTTTAGATGAGATGCGTGCTGGATCATTACCTTCTTTGCCTATAAGTAATGAGTTTTGATATTGTTATAGTTTGGTAATTCTTTGAAAATGTTGTTTTCTTAATGATCAAAGCTTCTGTTCATTTGGCTGTTTTACAATTATTTTCTTCATAAGTTATGTTTATCAGGTCCGGATTATACTTCCTTATCAATACCAGTATTTTTTCTAGAGATTTGTTTTAGGATGAAATCAACTTGTGATGTTTATCTTTTAATAATTTGCTTTTTTTTTTATTTTGGCTCTATTACTTGCTTTGGTACTTTTTGGAGTCGATTTTGATATATTTGGGCTTTTTGCTTGATTAAATTGAATTATTTTTATGATTTGAGTATATTTTAGATATTTGGTATATTGAAGTAGAATAATTCAGAGACTAAATTATTTGTTCATGGAATATTGAACTAGATATTTAGTTTCTATTTCAACTTTTAATATGGATGTTTATAAAAAAGAATGTTTTATTTGGGCGGTATTTGGTGGAAGTATTGAGACTAATTTTTGTGAGTTATATTTGATTTTAAAAAGTCTTTAACTGGTTTATTTCATTATTAGAAAATGATTATAAAATAATTATTTGTTTTCTAGGGGCTTGTTTATTTGTTATTCGTTTTTGGATTTAGTATTGTATTTAGTATTTTTTGCTTTTTATTCCTTGAATTTAACTTGTATATTACTTTTATCTAGATAATTATGAATTTGCAAATAAAGATCTCTTATTAAGATTTTTTGGGTTTTTATTAAAATGAAGCTCTGTTAAAATATGCTTTTTTTTTAAGATTTTGCATTCTGGAGGAATAATATATATCTGTTTATAATCATCTTTATATAAAATATAACATTTTTTTGGAATATTATAAAAATAAGTTTAAAAATTAATTCAAATTCTCATAGAGGTTTAAATGTCAAGATTAAATAATGTAAAGAATATAAAAAGAAATAGGAGTGATTCTTTAAGTGATAACGAAGATAATTTAAAGCTTTCAGGTGATTTATAAATCTTCTATTTTTATTTTTTATATTTTTTTTGTTAGATAAAATAGATAAGAAAATTGTTTATGATCAAACTAGCAAATACTTTTCTAAAAATACCTCTTTTAAGACTGAAGAATTCCTGGATGATAAATTTGAATCAAATCTTTTGGATTCATGTTTTCAAGATTCTGGTGAAAGTTCTGTAGATTGGGAAGATGTGGAAATTTATCAAAGTGAACTATATTATTTTTTTATTTTTTAACTTTTATTTAGAGATATCATTGAAAGATGGGGATTTGAAAGATGATTCTCTTGAAAATTTGGATATTGTTTTGAATAATCAAAAAAAATCGAAATTTAAAAAGTAGTTTTTTTATTTGATATTTTTATATGATAAATTAATGAGATAGAAAAGTTTCAAATATTAATTCTTTGAAGAGAAATATTAGAGTTCAGATATATCTTCTTCATCTTACATGCTTGGTTTTTCATGGTTTTTTTAGAAATAAATGGATTAATGACAAAGAAACTCATGATATTTTACGAAATAAACTTAAAGAAGAATCTCCTTTGCTTTTTGGGAAAATTGAAAACTATAGACAAATTCTTTTGAATAAACGATCAGATCTCTTAAATTTTAAAAAAATGCTATTAATGATTTTAAAATGGTTTAAACAGCGATTTGAAATAATTGCTTTGGGAATAGGAAAATTAGATTCTTATTCGACTAAATGTGATTTTTGTTTAAAAAATGTTATATTTTATGATTTTGTTATATAAAAACTCACAGTTTGATTAGAAAGCATGTTTATTTGAAACTATTGAATCAATTTATGAATTTCGTAAAATTGCTACGTTTTTAAAAGGAAGTAGGGATTCAGGAACTCAGATTCTTACATCTTTGCTGAGAGCTTTTGGCTTTAATGCTAGACTTATTTTTTCATTGCAACCTATAGGTTTAAATTTTAATTTAGAAGATTATGAAATTCATAAGGAAAAATGTTTTGAATCAAAAAAATGCTCAAATGACAAATTTAAAAATTCGAAAAAAGCACGTGTTGGGTATCTGCTTTTGTATGATTAGTAGATAAGTAATTTTATTAGGATTTCTGAAAATGAATTGGATAATACTTTTATTAAATCTGAAGAAAATTTAGTTGATAAAACTGAACTAGGTGATAATTATATTAGTATAGTATTACCCAATAATAATTGAATTAGTACTTGATTCTTGTTTTCCTTATCCTGTTTTTTGGACTGAAGTTTATGACGAAAATGCTGATATATGGTATTCTGTTGAGTGTATGACTTTAAATTGTGTTATATCTTCAGATAGGAGTTTTTTTATACCAAATACTAAAGCTCTTAATAAAACTAAAATGAATGTAAGCTATATTGTTGCTTTTGAAGTTGATGAATACGCAAAAGATGTTACATTTAGATATTTAAATAATATGTCAACTTTTAGTCGAGTAAAACTTACCACTCTTGAAAGAGACAAATATACTTCATTTGAGAAGCTTGTTGACATATTTAAAAGGCCAGTTCTATCGGTACTGATAAATTGTTAATAAAATTAGTTTGTAATTTTTATAGGATATAGATTTAAAAGAAAATAATGATTTACAACCGAAAAATTTGTCTAAGAAAATACAGAATATTACCATAAATGATTACAAGACGCATCCAACGTATAAAATATAATATTATAGTATTAATATTGATTTTTTCAGCTATATTCTTGAGCGTCATCTTAAAAGACAGGAAGTAGTTCGTCCTGGAGTATCTCCGGTATATGTTTTTATGCTTGGGAAGGGAAATAAATTAAAAGAAGAGAGAGTCTTTAATAGATCTGATATTTTGCTATGTAAATCTGTAGAATGTTATTATAGGGAAGGTAGACAGATAAAATCAGGAGAATTACCACTTAAAATTGTTAAACCAAGGAGTGTCACACTATCACGAAAACGAGAAAATGAACTTATTGCTTTCGAAACTAACAAATTGGCTATACAACCATTGTATGCTGAATTTCAAACGGAATTATATATTCCTCCTCCCGTAGTTAATGGAATTGTTCCGAAGAATGGTTATGGAAATATAGATGTGTTTGTTGATTCCATGATACCTAAGGGTGCTACTCATTTGCCTTATCATGGAATTGGGAGGATCGCAAAAAAGTTGGGTTTTGATTATTCTGATGCTGTTACGGGATTTGAATTTAAAAATCAGCGTGCAATTCCTATTATAACGGGTATTCTGATTGCTACTGAAAACGCTAGTACTTGTTTTGAAGCATGGATATTTGATGAGCAAAAAAAGATTGAAAAGGAAATAAAAAAACGAGAAAAAGAGATCCTTTATAGATGGAAGAAATTTCTTTTGGGGCTTAGAATACGAAATCGAGTTGAGAGTTTGTATGGTAATAGCTCTAATGTTCTTTCTGGATTTATATTTTCAAAAAAGTTAGTGAGAAGTTTTTGTTTTAACTATTGAAATTAGATAGGTAGTATGATAATTTCGAAAAATGCCTTGATAATGTAGTATTATTTTCTTTTGATGTTTTTTAAGTTTTCATAGACGATAAAAATAGAAGTTTATAATTCATTTTATTTTAAACACAATGAATTCTTAAATATGATTTAATTGGGAATATTATTCTGGATTTCAATATTTTAGAAGATAATTTCATTGGTTATGGAAATATTTCCCAAGCAGGTTGTATTTTTAAATATTATAAGTTTGAAAAATCAGAACTAAAAATAAATGAAATCATGATTTATATAATGAAGTGTTAAATATAAAAATGGTGATATACTGTAAAACTATATAGAATATAAATGTTTCTAAATATGTATTTTAAGAAGATTTTTATAATTATAGTTTATATTGAAATGTATAAACCTAATTATACCAATCTAATAATAACAATATGGATGATGATATAAGAAGAAACCAGGTAATAAGTTTTGCTGATATTCTATTTCTCTTTTTAGTCTTTATTAATTGAGTACTACCATTTTTTATTAGCTGAGAAGCAGATAGAGCTTCTTCGCATAGTCTATTAGTTATAAATGATTGTTCTTCTATATGAGATGCTAATTCTGTTTGTATTTTTGAAATTTCAGATAGAGATTTTTGTACCGATCTAAGATTTATTAAAAAACATATTTTTAAAGTTTAAAATCTATATACCTTACTTGATCAAGTGTTGATTCAAAATATTCAAGCATTTCATTGTTTTCTGTTTCAAGAATTTGAACTTGCTCTTTTGATAAGTCTGTATTTAAATTAAATATCATAGAATTTTCAGTAGTTTGTTTATTTGCTTCAATAGAAATTATATTTGCAGAATCTACAATTCTTTTCTACATTAAAAAACTTAATTATAACTTAAAAGTTACCTTTTATTTTTTTCTATTTGCCGTAATAGTTTAATGTGTTGTTGTTCTTCATGTATACGAGATACATCTTTTAATTTTTTGTTAAGAAACCACGTTATACTATTTCTATGTTCTGAAATTAGTTCTTCTATTTTTTTTGCAGAGTCTTGAAGAAACAAAGTAAAGAACCCTGTTTTCTTAAGCATTGCTTTTCTATCTGTTTAAATAAATTTATGTTTTAAATTTAGTTTATAATTGTTATTACTTTTTTCAAAATCTTCAAGTTTTAGGATTCTTTCTCTACATTTTTTAATAATTGTCCTTATTTTTACGTCAATTTCTTCTCTTTGTTTGTCTGATAATGTTTTTAAACTTCTGCATGAAAGAATAGAAGTATGCTGTCTATTAAACGACTGAAAATCTATAGATTCTCTAGATTCTATATTAAGATATGCATGTCGTATGCTATCTAAGAATTTTTTTAATTCACTAATATGTTTAAACTATATATATGTTATCTTATTTTTTTTTAATAATATTTTTACAATTTGATATGCTTCTTTAATATATGGATCTTCTGAACATTTTTTTTGTATATCTGTTTTCTTGTTAATCTCAGAAATGCTAATGCTATATTTATTTGAATATTCAAAAAATATTTTTGTTAGATCTGGCATTTTAAAAATATTAGATTTGGTTAAACATAAACGATAATATAAAATTTATAAATATGAATAATTTATATTTAATACTAGAATAGTGTAATTAAAAAGGCCAAGTAAATAATTAAAGATAAAATTATAAATAAATTTAAAATAAGTAAATTTATTTTACAGGAAAAATGACAGTGTAAATTATATATAATTGTTTTTAATAAGTATAATATTGGAAATTAATTACCGATTATCGTATTTCCGCCAGTTTGCAAAGATTGGTTAGTTGTATCTGCATGATGAATATTTATAACATCGTTTTCTAATTTATTCACTAAATTAGAACTTTCTTTTAATATTTTGGATATGTCTTGTTTTTGAGAATTATCATCTAACTGTTGGGGTAAAGGGTTAACTGTATGACTAAAAACCTCGTTATTGTCATCTATGAGGAAACTTTGAGAATCCTGTAATTCAGGAGGGAGTTTTAATCCTTGTTGGAGATGAGGAAGTGTGCCCTAAACATATATCAATTAGGAATATAATATTTTAAGATAATTACAAGTTGTAATTGGCTTTCAGAAAATGAAATAGATGATGCCATGTTAATTGTAGAGTTTTTATGAATAGATTCCTGTAATTGTAGCTGTTGAGACAATTTGGAATTGCATACCTTTTTAACAAATAAGATAAAAAAAAAAAAGAAGGAATTTATTACATATTTTCCATTATAATCGGTATTTAAAAAGTAATTTGATCCATCTTTCTGAAGTTTTCCTTTTTTTACTGCTTTTTGTAATGCTTGGGATGCAGATGCCCTAAATCTTGGATTTAAGGTTGGATAATTGCTAAGAAAAAAATATAAATAATCCATGAAATTAACTTTTAGATACCTCTCCATCCATTCATATATAATTCTAGGTGGAACCCCTCTAGGTTCATGAATTGATGTCAGTGCTTCTATAATCATATTTTCATAACTTGGAAGATCTCCTTTAAGATTATCTGGATCCGCATTTGAATCAGCTGCTTCACTTAAGTCTGAATCATCCAATATTGACTCTGGATCAAAATGTTCTCCATTTAGCTGTTCTGTAATGGAATTTTCATTCATGATTGCTTCTTCTTTAGCACGTCGGATTTCCATTAGAACTTCACGAGTATTAGGTGCATAAAATGGTATACTTGGACACATTTTTTCACAAAAAAATAAAAGTTCCACTAAATGTGATAAAGGAAGAGATGCAAGATATGTTTTTTTCTAAATAAAAATTAAAAATAGATTTTCATCTTGGTTTAAAAAAAAAAACCTCTTCTTCTGTGAGATTAGCACCTGTAGCACCTGTCATTAATGTCCTTTTAACACGCTTTTTATTGCAGATATAACATAACCATTCTGAATCAGATAAACTAATAACAAGATCATCTATAACTGGTATATGACATAGTTGATGGTATGGAAAATTACAACCATCACAAAATACGATCCTATTAGAACTTGGACTGTGGCCTCGTTGACAAATAATACAGAAGTGTGAATCCTGAGCAGATCTTCTGCCAGGACCACGTCTTTTGCCTAAAAATTTCTAAATACTTATTGTGAAATAAAGTAATAATATTACTAGGAGTTTTTGCAGCAGGATTAAATTGAGTAGGACGGTGTATTTTTCTGCCAGATTTTGTTTTAGTGCCTTCCATGTTATAATCTTCATCCTCATCTTCCTATTTATTAGATTAAATTTCTGATAAACGAAATAATTAGTGAATAATACGCTATCATGTTTTCGACTTCGAGGAGTACTTTTTAATCCACCTTGAGATAATCTGCTTTTAAGGTATTTTGGTTTCCGTCCTATATACAATATAAGTACCATATATTTTTCCTATAAAAATAAGCTATTTAAAATGATATACCTTTATGTTTTGTCATTCCGGTTATACTAGATGCAGATGACATTTCTTCATCGCATTTTAGTTCTACATTTAATTCTTTAAGTTCCATTTCTGCATGCACATCCGCCTTTTGATGATCCTGTATAAATTCTCTGTCGGTTTGAGGCTATTAAATTTATTTGATCAGCATATTATGTAAATTTAAAAAGCTTATTTTCATTTTGATTTATTTAGAACTTACCCAAAAGGTCTGAATTTGAGGATTTTCCTTAGATATCTTTATTTCTTGCTGGTACATAGGTAATGTACTTTGCTGAAATGTTTGTTTCGGCTCTGATTCATATCCTATATTTTTTATGTCTGATCCTTGACTGCTATATTGTCCTGTAATGTATCTATTTGATATCTGTTGACTCCCTTCATAATACTGATTAGACATCTTGTTTAAAGATTATTTATAGGATTATTCTTTTAATAAAATCTTACTATATTTAATTTAAAATTAAATATAGATAAAAGTACGTATTTTTTTTTCTTTAGAATATTCGCATGATAAAGTCGTTTATTTAAATAGAATTTTTACATAATTTAGTTTTTTTTTTTAAATAGATATGATTATTTATTTAAATTTATTGTGAATAAGATATTGGGATTTATTAATTTTAAATGTTTTGCAATACAATAACATGTTTTACGAAATACTTTTTAAATATTCAGTGAACAATTTTTGATGTCTTAGCTATTGGAGTTTTCATAAAAATAAGGAACAGTGAGTTACTTAAAGGTAATTTAAGAGTGATTTTTTGTATTTAGTTTATGAGAAAAAGTAGTTTAGATAAAAATGGTAGATTTATTTTAGATTTGTTTATAAATAATTTTAAGATATTTTTTTGAAAAGAAAAAGTTGAACAGGATTTGAATAATAGTCTATATATAATTAGTTATATATTTCTACAGATTAATTATTTGTTTTGGATATTATGAGCATTTAGACTTATTTTTGATTGATATTTTGTTTTCGTAATAGCTATGTATGTAAAAGAACTTTATAATGAAAAAATGAGATAAAATTTTATATAATTGATTAAAGTAATGATTTGGATTATTTTTAAAAAAAACAATTAAAAAAAAAATATATTACTTTATATTTTAAACAATATAATAAAATTTGTCATATTATTTTTGAAAAGATATATTTTTTTATTGTTAATATATTTTTATGATTAATAATTAATTTTATTGATTTTTTAATATGTTTAAGTATATTGGTTTTTATCATGTTTTCGTATTTTGTTTTAATTTTTTTGTATTAGTTTTCTTAATATTATATTAGATTAGATTGTTTTTATATAGAAAAGTCTTTTATTTTAATTTATATGAATATGATATTTATTGCTTTGAAAATTGATATATACAATTATATGAATTTATTACGTCAATTTTTCTATTTTCAAAATTGTTTTTTTGAAATATTTAATTTTTGTAGATCTTTCAATGAGTAAGAATATTTTTATTTGTTTTAAAATAATTTATATATAAACAGTATTATTTCTAATTATAAATTTATTATCTATTAATAAAAAACTATAACCATTCTATGCTAAATATGTATTTAGATTTTTTATTGTAAAAATTACTTTATAAAGTTTTAGAAATATATACAATAAAAATATATATTGTATTATTATGAGCTTTATAATTATTTGTTTTAATATTGTTTATATTTTATATATATTAAATAATTTAGAGATATTTATTAATTTTCTCTTTGTTTTTTGATATTAATTATATCTAATGATTAGCTTAAAAGTTTTATTAGGTATCTACATTAATTTTTATACATTTTAAATTATATGTATATTTATTCAGAAATATAACTTAATTTTTATAATTTTTTTAATAAAAGAAAATGAATTCTAAGTATTACAAATAGTTTTTTTTATGAAAATTTCTGTTATAAACTAATTTTGTGTTTTTATATTATATTATTTTTAAAAGCAGTGATTATATATATTAGTGTTATTTTTAGTAGTATTTCATTATAGAAATCTTAGAAATTAGTAAAATGTTTGTATTTTTGATTGTTTATTATGATTTAAAATATAAAAAATTAGTAGGTTATTAATTTAAAATGAAGTAGTTTATGTTTTATAAAATTTTGAAACTTTAAATTTGTTTTCGAACTTTAAAAAATCGATTATTTTAAATGTTAATAATTTTTAAAAATATCAAATGATTTATAGGGAACCTGGAACTATAGAAGTATTTTCCTTGCATATAAAGGCTTATTAGGTATTGTTTGCAGTAATTGACTTAATATCTTTATTTAAATGAGCGCTACATTCAATGATTTATGTTCTCCAGGTGGTTCAGAATATGGTGATGGTGATCATGCTGATGAAATATCCGCTGTTCCTGGTAGAAGAGGCAGGAAAAAGAGTATAAAACATATGAACTTAGGTCTTTCTGATGATGATTATGGTGCTTCATCGATAAAAAATAATAAAACTGTTATTCGGAGAGGTAGACCTCCAAAGCCAAAGGGTCTTTCATTGCATATTTCAGAAGCACCGAAAGATATATCTTGGGTTGAAAAGGAAGTTTTGAATGATGAGATTGTATTAGACGAAATTGATTTTTCTGGTGAGAAAAAAGTTAATAACTTTGGTGTTTTGGAGGATGGAAGAAAATATCGATGTAGGACATTTACTGTTTTAGGACGTGGAGATCGTTTATATATGCTTTCTACAGAGCCGGCTTATGTTTTGGGATATCGTGATCCGTATCTTTTTTTCTTAAAGCATTCATCTTTGTATAATGTTATACTTAATGAGGAAGAAAAGTTGGACTTAGTTCAAAGGAATATTATTCCTGAATCATATAAAAGACGTTCAGTTGGCGTAGTTACGGCAAGATCTGTTTTTCGTGAATTTGGTTTTCGTATTATAATCAAAGGAAAGCAGGTTGTTGATGATTATTGGGAAAGTTCTACTTTTAAAGGTCAAACCCGTTCAGATAATGTAAATTCTGATAATAAACTTTTGTTTGAAAATATGGAGTATGATAAAAATCATCACATATCTTCGCTCGGTACTAGTTCTGTTTATCAATATAATCCGGAATTTGAATCTGAAATATATAGAAAGAAAAGAAAGGTTACTATTACTGATGAAAATTGGATGTTAGAACATGCTCGATCTGCTAGGTTATTTTTATTTTGGTTTCTATTTTTTAATCATGTTTTAGTCGATACAATAGTTTTTTAACGATTCAAAGAAGAGAAAAGTGGGCATTTGGTGTTTATGAACCACATACAAATACTCATCTTCGATTTGCTACTTCTCAGCCTACTTCAGTAAGATGGCAAGGTGGAATAGATAGTGATAAGGTTAATTCTGGTTCAAAAGTGATTCTCGAAACTTTGATGGAAATAAGACCCATTTCTGGCTCGTGTGTGCACTTGAGTGATATCCCAAAAGATGTTTATAAAGTTTGTTCTTCAGAAATATTACATGCGATTAAAGAAAGACAAGAAGAAGAAAAGAATTATGAATATTTAAAAATTGAAAAATGCGTTTGATAATTCAAATTGTTTTTTAAATTATAGATTTTAGTATTTGGGTTATAACTTTTTTTACCAGTTGTCTTTTAATTTTCTATTCAGGAAGCTAATGACAATTATAAATTTATTAATAATTATATTTTTAAAAAGAAATTCTATATTGAAATTGTGAATTTTTATTTGTAGGGTTTTATTTATTAGATTTGTTACTTGTTAAAAACTATACTTAAATTATTGTATTTTATTTCGATATATGTTTAAATTCTAGCTTTTAATGATATTGGTTTGATTGTTGTAAATTAGTTGAATATGAGTTGTTAATATCTATATTTAAAATTGTATTTTTTCCTAAATATTTCTATGATTTAGTGTTTTATTTTTATTATAATGTTTGTATTATAATAGTCCAAATTTTGTATTTTTCTGTTAAACATTACGGATATAATTTTTTTAAAACAAATTTTTGCATGAAACTACGAGTTATAAAGTATAATGAAATATTTTTTATAATTCTAAAATTACTTTTTTGATTTTAGAATTTTTTAAATTTTTATATTTTATGAAAATTATTACAATATATCATTCTTTTAAAGGAAATATTCATGTTAAAATAAGTGACTATATTATACAATGCATAAGATAGAAAAAGTTATGCATAGAAATTACTTATAGTTTTCTTTCTCATCATAACTTCGTTAACTGCATCTGCAAAATGTTCATGATTTATTTTAGTTTCTCCCTGTCTTAAAGCTATCATCCCTTGAATAATTTATAAATATCTAAATACAAAAAATATATAATGTCTTACCCGCTTCTACACATACGCTTTTTAACATAGCTCCGTTGTATTCATCAGTACTTCGCGCTAGTTCATTCCAGTTAATTTGATTATCAATCGTCATTTTTCTTGAATGAATTTGTAAGATTCCTGCCCTAGATTAAATTAGAAAAAATGTTTAAATATTTAAAACCTTAACACCTTGCTTCCTCATTTGGCAAAGGAAATTCTATTTTTCTATCTAATCTTCCACTTCGTAATAATGCTGGATCAAGAGTATCGACACGATTAGTTGCTGCTAGAACTTTGACTCTTTCATCACTACTAAATCCATCTAATTGGTTCAGCAGCTCAAGCATAGTTCTTTGAACTTCTCTATCGCCGGATTTATCTGAATCGAAACGCTTTGTTCCAATGGCATCTAGTTCATCTATAAAAATAATAGCTGGAGCTTTCTCTTTTGCTAGAGAAAATGCATCTCTAACTAATTTTGCACCATCACCAATAAACATCTGCAATTAGTTTGTTAACATGTATAATAGATGTATCAGAATTTTTCAATATTACTTGAACGAGTTGAGGAGCAGCAAGTTTCAAAAATGTTGCATTTGTTTGAGCAGCACATGCTCTAGCTAATAAGGTTTTTCCTGTACCCGGTGGACCATACATTAATGCCCCTTATTAAATATTATTATTGATAAAGAAATAATTATATTTATTTACCTTTTGGTGGTCGAATACCCAAAGATTTAAATTTATCTGCCTGTTTCATAGGTAAAACAACTGCTTCAACAAGTTCTTCTATTTGTTTATCTAGACCTCCGATATCCGAATAAGTTTCCATAGGTTTTTCATCAACTTCCATAGCTTTGACCCTACTATCATATTCAGGTGGTAATGTATCAAGAATTAAATATGAATCTTTATTAACACCGATAAGATCTCCTGGTTTAAGATTTTCTGAGTCTATAAGACCTATAAGAGGAAGAAATATGGTTTGACGTGTCGAAGTTTTAATAACAGCTGACTTTCCTTTTCTTGTTGCATCTAAATCGACATTTGCACCTTCTTCTGTTTCAGTTGTAGGATCCATATCTAAAACCTCGATTACATTTCCTACAAGATATGGCAACTGTTTGTTGTTCTTGATTTTTTCTTCGTTATCTTTAATTTTTTCCTCCATAGTTTTTTGTTCATGAATAAGTCGCTGATATTCTGAACGCATAACCTGAATAGTATTAATTAAATAATAATAGATATTTCTCATCAATGCTTTCCTTTATATCATTTTCAAGCAATTTTGTTCTGTTAATTAATTCTTCTACTGGTGCATTTAAAAATTCTATGTCTATATTATTATTATCAGTAAATAAATTTTCTTTTGTTGTATCTAGAATTTCATCATTTTTTTCTATCTTTTCAAGATCCTCTATAGTTTCTTTATTAAGATTAAATAGAAGAATACTTTAATAAATACCTAAAGTTGTCATAATATTTATATTATATAATGAGGTATTATTGAAAGTTACGATTTAGAAAGTGAATTGTTCAAAAGTATTTATTTAAAAAAAAATATTTGTCTAATTATTTTCAACATTATTACTATTAAATGTATAAAAAATCTATCTTAAGTCTTTATTTTCAAGTTTCATATATCTATTACTGTTATTTCTTATATTTTTAGTTATTTGTTTTTTACTAATTTTTAATGTTCTTCCTTAAAGTTTATTTCTTCATTCAATGTATTAGAAATACTCTTATTAAACAAAATATTTCCTTCTGAGACCCCTTCTGTTATTTTATATAGTTCTAATTGTAGTCTAGGGCCAAGTTCAATCAATTTTATAGCTTTTTTTTGAATTTTTTCTTTTGAATAGTTTTTCATATTAGTTTCTTCCTTGACCTCAACTATTGCATCATCATCTATTTCCGAATCACTTTCACAAGATATAAATCCTGTATTGTGAAGCACATATTCTGATATATCTTTAATGAAACCCAAATTTGGTAAAGGTTTTTTTTTTATGCCCAAATTTGTTGAAATTCTTCTAATTGGTTGACAAATATCAACATTTTTTGTTACAATAGCATAATGACGTAAATCAATATAACCTTTACATGGATCTCGATGTAAAAGTAATGTTCTTTTAATATATGATGTCTGAGTTCTTTTGACAGATATTTCAGGGAATAAGTTACGAAATGTTGATGTTAAAAGAGTTTCATGAGGTAGTTCTTTTTTTCCAGAGATAAAATTATTTAAAATAAGCTTAAAAAAATAAATATAATTTATATATTTAAAGAGTATTACCAAAGGTGGCATCAGGAATTCAGAGCCTGGAGATCTAGGGTTTTTTTGTGTTTTTATAATATCTTTACAAAGCGAATATGTTTTTATTCTAAAATATAGAGTTGGTCCATGTGGACTTCGAATAATCCTCATATTAGGTCCTAATTCTGTTTTTGATAATAATAACAAATGTGTAATACCTAAAGGACGAGACATTGCAATGTAATCTTTAAGTCGATTAGCTTTTCGTTCCTTTCATATATTAATTTGTTATATTTTTATAATATTAATACTCTTAATCGAACTGCAGTATGTGGCTCCATCATACGTCTAATGTCTCGTGCAAGCTGGGATATACTAGACCCAACATTTGATGCACCAGCACGTATAACCATCTAAGAACATAAGAAATATATTTAATAAAAGTTTAAAGTACCGATTTTGGTATACGAGTATTCGATAATTCTTCATTTTTTCTTAAATGAGTTCTTTTCTTCTTTGTTTTTTTAGTAATTATTATCCTTATTAATTATAATTTACCTTTGTTTTTACCATTTGAATTTAAATTACATTTTTTAAAATTCGCCGATATTTTTTATAATGTATTTTAAATTATCTATATGGAATAGTTATGCTGGAAACAGTCATATATGGCAATGATTCTTTTAATAATGAGGTTTCAGTTAAAAAGAATTTTAAAGATCTTGTATAATTTTTTTTTTAAGTAGTTTATCTAAAAATGTTATAGGGATTAATAGATGAGCTTTGTGATATATGTAAAGCTTTAAAGTTTGAATTACCAACTCCTATTCAGCAAGAAGCAATTCCATGGGCTATACAAGGGAGGGATATTATTGGTTTAGCCCAAACGGGTTCTGGAAAAACTGCTGCTTTTGCATTACCTATTATTCAAGCTTTATGGAAAAAACCAAGTTCTTTGTTTGCATGTGTTATAGCACCCACCAGGGAGCTAGCTTATCAGGTTTATTTTATCTCGTTTATATGTTTTTAATTTTTAATAGATTTCTGATCAATTTTCTGCTCTTGGTAGTAATCTTGGCTTGAAAAGTGTAGTTATTGTTGGTGGTATGGATATGGTTTCTCAGGCAATAGCATTAAATAAGAAGCCACATATTGTAGTTTGTACACCTGGTCGTTTACAAGATCATTTAGAAAATACTAAAGGTTTTTCTCTTAGGACAATAAAATATTTAGTATAAAGTTATATTTATTTTGTTTTTGTTTTAATTAATATATCAGGTTCTTGATGAAGCAGACAAGCTTCTTGATATGAATTTTGGCCCTATTATTGAGAAAATATTGAAAGTTATTCCTAGAGAAAGAAATACCTATTTATTTTCTGCAACTATGACTTCTAAAGTAGAAAAACTTCAGCGTGCATCTTTGTTAAATCCTGTGCGTATAGCAGTATCTACTAAATATTCAACAGTATCAACATTAATTCAGTCATATCTTTTTTTCCCCTTTAAATATAAAGATACTTATTTTGTATTTCTTATTAATGAGCTTGCTGGTCAATCAATTATAGCGTTTGCTCGTACTTGCAGTGATGCTCAAAGGCTAACTATATTGCTTCGTCATTTAGGGTTTTCTGCAGTATGTTTGCATGGTCAAATGAGTCAATCTTCAAGACTTGGTGCATTAACTAAATTTAAATCAGGATCATTTAATATTCTTATAGCTACTGATGTTGCTGCAAGGGGTTTGGATATGTAAGAAAAATGATTCTATTATATTGAATACTGATTCATATAGTCCTCTTGTTGATTATGTTATAAATTATGATATACCAACTGATTCGAAAACGTATATTCATCGAGTTGGTCGTACTGCTCGTGCAGGTAGATCTGGTAAAAGTCTTTCTTTAGTTACTCAATATGATTTGGAGTTGTTTTTGAGAATTGAAAAGGCGCTTGGCAATAAAATGAATGAATTTTCTACAGATAAAGAAGTAGTAATGTTGTTAAATGAAAGGGTTAGTGAAGCTCAAAGGTATTCATTTATAAGGGAAAAATTTTGAGATTAACGTTGAGTTAGAGAAGCAATTATAGAAATGAAAAATATGTATAATACGCGAGCAAAGAAACAAACACAGAAACATAAGAAGAGAATTTCAAAATCTATGACTGTTTTGGCAAAAAGGAAACGCGATGATATGGATCTTGATAAAAATTATTAATAGAAATTATATTAAATATTATACAGCATTAATAATATAGGATTTATTGTTTAATCAATAACTGTTTTAATATTTAAGTTTCTTTATATGTTCCTGCAATAGTTTTTCTACATATTTTCCCATTTGATCTACTTCTACATTTACGGTATCACCTATTATTTTAGAAGATGTAACCGTCTTTTTCTGAGTATAAGGGATTAGCATTATACTGAAAGTATTGTTGTTAACTTGTGTAACAGTTAAGCTAAAACTATTAGCGATATTTTAAATAATTTTAATATAACCTAATGCCATCTATAGCAATATAACCTTTCTCTATAATATATTTTAAGATATTTTTATTATAAGGCTCAAATGTAAATATAATTGCTTGATTATTGGATTCTTTTTGGACGATAGTTGCAATAGTGTCTATATGTCCCTAGAATTTTTAAAATTATATGTTATAAGTTAAATTACCTGGACAAAATGTCCTCCGAATCGTTTATCTACTGTTATAGCTCTTTCTAAATTTACTTTTTCTCCTTCAGACATACTACCAAAATTTGTCCTTTTTAAAGTTTCAGGACTTATATTAAGCTTGAAGGAATTATTGTTAATTTCAGTAATTGTAAGACACGCTCCATTTATAGAAATACTATCACCGGAATGCATATCAGATATTATACTATTAGTATCAGAAATAGACCAAGATATACCATCATGATTCTCAATTTTAGAAAGAAGTCCGATTGCTTCAATAATGCCTGTAAACATTTTTTAGATTTAATTTATTAAGTACGAAAAAATACAAAATATTATTCAGATAAATAATAAAGAAAAACTATATGTAATAATAGTAAAGTAATATACAATCAGAAATTAATATATTTTAAATTATAGTTTTCTATAAAACAATATTATTTAATCAAAATTACCCTGAAAGATTTCATCTTCTGTTTGTACAATGCTCATTGTTCTATCGTCATTTATTTGGCTATCGTTTTTATAGTTATTATCTGTATGATAATTTTCGCTATCATCTATATTGCAATAGTTTAAATTTTGATCTTGATCCATGAAAATAGATTGTTTGAAAAAACTTTTTTCAAAACGATCGTCAAAAGAGCTTTCATCAACACTGAAAAAATTAGTAAATAACTTTATTATATGAAACTATACAATGTAAATCCTTTAAAAATTGCTTGCATAGTTGAGCTCAAAGGAGTGGATGCATGTATATTGTTTTCAGGTTTCTGTATTGGAGCAGAAGTAAACTCTAAATCAAAATTACTAACATCAGATTCTCCCGAGATTACAGGCTTGAATGGTGGTGGAATTTTTTTCTTTAATAGTGCATCCCAGTCTATATCATGAAAAAAACTATGTTCTCGAAGTTCCAATGCATCTCTAGTGGCGCCAAGTCTATGTTTAGGGTTCCTATTCAAAAGCTGTTTTAGTTAGCAAGCTATAATATATTAGGATATGCAATTTTACCTCTTTTACAAAATTCCTTCCTTCAAGACTTAATATATTTTTAGGAAAACGAACTTTTCCAAATGCAATATTTTTATACATTTGCTGTGTATCTTCTGCATAAAATGGACTCCAACCACAACACATCTCGAATACAAGGACACCAAGTGACCAAAAGTCTACTAGTTTAGTATATCCTGAGTCATCTAAAAGAATTTCTGGGGCCAAATATTCAGTAGTTCCGCAAAAGGTATTTGTTGTGGAATTAGAAGATAAATTTGCTTTAGACAGCCCGAAATCGCACAATGCAATATGACCATTTGCATCAAGTAGTATATTTTCGGGTTTAAGATCCCTGAATGACTTGTAAGCAAAAAAATACTTTAAGAAAACATTTAGACCTATATACTATATCATGGTTGTGCAAATGTTCTAATGCAAGAATTAGCTCTGCTATATAAAATTTAGCTCTGGGTTCTGGAAATCTCCCTTCTTTTTGAAGATGCCAAAAGAGTTCTCCTCCACTCATATAACTAGTAACTAGATATAAATCTGTGGGTGTTTGGAATGAAAATTTAAGATCAATTATGAATGGTGAATCCGAAATAGTAGTACGTACTAATATATCTCTTTCACCAATAGTATGTTTGATTTCTTTTTTTTGGACTATCGTTTTCTTAGATAGAACCTTCATGGCATAAATTCTGTTATTGTCGATCTTTCTTACTTGATAAACTTGGCCAAAAGTGCCTTATAATTTCTAAGAAAAAGTATTAAATTATGCATGTAATTTATTACCCTTCCCAATAAGTTTTAGTATTTCAAAATCGTCCGGACCATAATGTCGCTTATTAATTTGTTCATATATCATTTCTAAATGAATTTCTGCAATATTCTCATCTTCTTTTTCTAAAGTTTCTAATCTTTTGTTATTAGAAACTATTTTTTTTTTTTTGAATTCCTTACTTATACCAGTGTTTTGTTTCTTTTTTATGTATAAAAATAGGCTTAATCTGTACATGCCCTAGAAAAGATCCATGATTCTTTCTATCATAAACATTTATATCAATATTACTTTTTAAATCGATAACATCGCTGTGTTTTTAAGAAAAAAGTAAATAAGTTTAATACATACAATATAACTTGATACATCCAGAAAGGATTATTCGCAGTGTATATGACATTTGAAAAACTGTTTTTTCTGGTTACTAAACCATTTTCATATGTATTATGAAGATATGTTGATGAATGATGAGACTTTGGAATAGCTATCCCACGCATTGGCTCGTTGTGATCCATAACAGGTCCTCGAGATATAAATTCGTTATTTTCAAATGTACAGATAACATAAGGTTCTGCCTAGTATAGTTAATAGTTGCACACCTTAAATGGATTTATATACATCTATACTTTTTACTTTTAAATTTCTTGCTTGGATTATTCTTATAATTAATCGACCTTTAGGTGATTCTACAGACAAGGCTGATGGAGACTCTTGTGTATTGCATAAAGTTGAAAGATTTAGTGATGACTTTATGTTTTTTATATTAGTTTTGGATATTTAAAGGTTCGAGTTGATTTACTTGAGTATTTTTTAAACTAGAATTATCATTATTGTAAAAGACTGATTCAGACACTTTAGCACTGTTGCTAGATGATTGTTTTTCAGATTCCTTAAATGCAAAATCGTTAGATGCTTCAGAAGATAACTGAGAATTAGATGATTCATGTATTAATTGATTTGATTTAAATTGATTTATATTACAAATTTTATTGTTGAACTTTGATAAAAAGAATAATGATTTAGTGAATTCTGGCATATTTTTCACATATTATTATGTAATTATCCAAATAGTAGCAATAGCCTTTATTTTGTTCTAAATAACTATTAAAAGTTGATAAAATTAATCATAGAAAATATTAATTTCTAACTATTACCCCCCATTTTATTTATCTTTCCGCGCTAGAAATATAAACAATTAAAAATAATTATAAACATGTTCTATTAACATTATAAAAACCGATTTTTTAATGATCTCGAAATGTTTTTATCCGCTATTTTGTATTTATAAATATTTAAAATAAGTTGTATTAAAATGATAAAAATAATTATTGATAATATTTTTAAATGTAATATATTAATAAAGTAGCTATGTTATATATCATTGTTATTTAAAAAAAAAATTACAAATTAATTTTCGTGTATACATTTTTAACGAATTTTGGTATATATTTGAAATTTTGAATGGGTTATATTAAGGAATATATATGGTTAAGTCTTTATTCTTGCTTTTCCCTTTTTTTTCTATCGTCTATGTTTTGTGTAGTAGGGGAAATGAGCTTCCTGAATTTAAGAATTGTGTATCTGCATGTGTTGCTTTAAATTGTAGAGAAGATGCCCCTAGACAATTTATTCGAGGAAGACTTTCTCTTGTTTTAAGAATAGGAATGTGGGATTGTCAAAGTGAATGTGATTATTCATGTCAAAGAATTGTAACGTTGTATAGAAAAAAGAATGGATTACAAAAAGAGCAATTTTGGGGTAAATGGTATTTTATCAGAATATTAGCCATGCAGGAGCCTGCGAGTGTGGTTTTCTCTATATTAAATGGATACGTTCATTATCTTGGTTTTTGTTGGATAAAATTATTGATTCCTTCTGATTATGTATTTAAAAAGTTTTATATTATATATGCACTTTTAGGATTAAATACATGGTTCTGGAGTGCTGTTTATCATATAAGGGATTTTAAATTTACTGAAAGGGCTGATTATTTTTCTGCAGGAGCACTTACTTTATGGAGTTTTTTTTTTACTCCTCTTAGGATTTTTCGCTTAGATCTTTGCAGAAATTATAACTTTTTTGTTTATTTATGGGCATTTACTTGTATATTTGCTTTCTTGATTCATGTTATATATTTATCTTTTGTGAAATTTAATTACTCATATAATATGGCTGCTAATGTACTTATTGGATTTTCTCAGAATATTTTATGGGTATATTATTCTTTATCTAACTACGGTACTAGGCCTTTTGCTTTATGGCCTATGTATATTGTTTGTGCTATTATGATTGCTATGTGTTTTGAGATTTTTGATTTCCCTCCTATTTTATATTTGTTTGATGCGCATAGTTTATGGCATATGGTATTTCCCTTTATTTTTTAGTTAACTAAATAGAATATAGGCGACTATTCCTATTGTATATTATTGGTATAAATTTTTAATTCTAGATAGTAATTTTGAGTCAAAAAATGTTAAAGGTGTACAAGAGGCTATATTTAGATAACTAATATTATGAATAGTTGTTGAGTTGTAGCTGAAAGATTTTTAATTGTAGATATAATATTTCATGTAATAATTTTTTATGATATCATATATTATATATGTTCAAATATATATATAAGTATTTAGTAAATTAGCTGAGCAACCTTAAATGCAAGCTCATCTGCATCTTTTTTTGTTAATGCTTCTGCATATACTCTAATTGATTTTATGTTAATTTAATTATATAGATATATTTCGTACTTATCTATATTTTCTGTCCCAGATGCTCTAATAAATGCTCTTCCTTCCTTATAATTTGAAACTAAAGCATCGATTTTCTGTTGTATTTTTTTTGGCTTGACAAGTCTGTAATTAGAACCCTATAATTTCTATTAAATATTTTAAATAATGATTATTTTAACATTTACTATTGTTTCATAAAGCTCTTTATTTTTTGTTATAACATTTATCATTTTGCTTGGAAAATCCGTATAAATACTATCCCATTCTTCTATACCCCAATTTTTATATGCAAGGATAACTTCTACTAACAGCATATTGGATAACGAATCGCCTATAGTTTGATTTACTAAATTAATCAGTTCTTTAAGATAGTTTATGGCAGCTAGTTGTATAGGCGATTTTTCTTGATATGATGTTAGAAGGAATTCCATTTTTTTAGAAAAAATAATAGTTCCATGACCATTAGCTTCGAAATATATCCCACAATCATATTGCATTGCAGCATGATGAAGATGTTTTACTCCAGCTAACACACAGTTTACCGGTATTTTCTAATGATATCTTTTTTAGATTCAAACATAAAAAATATGAGTATATTACTAATATTTTTGAAATGAAATTTGTAGAACTTCTATTAGAATAAGCCGTTTGTACTATACCAATATTTACATCAATTGATGCTGTTTTTATGAGCTCTACCATAAATATAGCTATTAATGATGCTATTTTATCTCCATCTAATAATTTAAAATTATTGTCTAGAATAATTTTTATAGATAAAACTAATAAAATAATAAATACCTGAATCTATATAATAATATATAATGCGATCAGCATCTCCATCAAAGCTTAAGCATCGACCTTTTGTATTTGTTTCTATTCCTAATGGTAATTTATGTTGTACTTTAACAAAATCTGCTCCGCACTAAATCTATTAAAAAAAAAGATGTTATTTAATTATCTAAACTTCTCTATTAAGATCGGATGGAATATTCGTATTTTTATTGATTATTTTAACATTTAAAATATTTTTGTTTATTAAATGACAAAGATTTTCTAATTTTAATGCACCGATCCCATTTGCACAATCAACATAAAGGGGTGTTTGACAAATTTGATCTTTCATTAAATATTGATATGCCTTTGAAAGTTTAATATAATATCCAAGTTCCGTTGGTTTTCCACAAGTTTCTGGTGTATTTTTTGTATTAATGCTACGTACAAGATAATGCAATTGCGGTGTAGTTAATAATTCATAATTTGTCCACGATGTTTCGAAACAAGATAATCCATCTACAAGAGAATTTATTAAATTTAATCTCGATTGTCTGAATAATTAATTTATATTTATAAAATATGCTTTTTACCTTGTATCTCCCGCGTAAATAACGTTTGATTTTATCTTAAGATCTATTTTTTGAGAGGAAATCATTTCCTCAATTAGTGAAATTAAAATATCTGTATTTTCAGCATTTGAAATATTGTTAAAATGCTCTTCCCATGATATTTCTAACATTTCTCCATAAGGATCTATAAGTTTTATCCCATTATCTTCTGCTTGATTATGAGATGCCGTTATCATAATTCCAATTGTTTTTCCTTGTAATTTTTTGGATCTTAAAGACGAAAATAGTCCTGATCTAAACATAACTGAGTCCAAAAGTTTATGACTACTTATTATGAATATAAAATAACTATTAATATTATTATTAACTTCATACGAAAGCCTGCTGTTCCATATAAATATAAAATATTTTGAGGTTTAGGATGCTTTTCTGATAGCTTTTTAATAAGATTAATTGTATTTTTTTCTAATTGCATAATTAAATTTTAAAAAAGATCATTTAGACTTATATTTTTAAATGTTATATATATACTAAAAGTATTATAATATTATATTTTAATGTTTTTATTTTGATTCGTGAAAATATTGAATAGTGATATAGTATTTTTATAATTTTTTGAAAAAAAAATATACTAAAAATAATACATTGAATTTAAAATTGGTTTATCTTTTTATTAAAAATGATATGGATAGATATATAGCTTTATATTAATTAAAAATAAAAAGTTTACAAATAAATACTAATAAAGTATTTATTAAAGTATAAATTAATGTATTTATTTTTTTATTTAGGTTTTTGAATAAAAAAAAATATTGTTTTCGTTTTAAATATGGATAATGTATAATAAATTAGATTTAGAAGGTTTATCAGTTGTTAATATTAAAAATATTTTTATTCTCAATGTTTCATATTTATGTTAAATTGAAATAACATAAAATAGTTGAAATTATACGTAAGATATTATTTCAAAAAATGCGATTTCAGTAATAAAGTTTTATTATTACTTTTTTTTTTTGATATTTAAATGATGTAATGTGATTTTTTCGGAATTTCATGTAATTTTATACGATCGATAAGGGATAATCTTCCAATGTCAACCTGTTCAGGGTGTGGAGGTTCTAATCTTGAAGCGGATTCTTCTTCAGGTATTACTTATTGTATTTCCTGTGGAAATGTGATTGATGAAAATGTAATTGTCTCTGAAATTACATTTGGTGAAGCGTCTTCAGGTGCAGCTATAGTTCAAGGATCTTTTGTCGGTGCTGATCAGAGTAATTTTTTTTTTGAAAAAAATAATTTTTTATGAAATATTAGCTCATGCACGTGCTATTGGTCCTTACCGTAAACAGAATTCATTGGAATCTAGGGAACAAACTATAACTAATGGTATTTTTTTTCTGTTTTTAAATATCTTGACTTTTTAGGGCGTCGAAGAATTAACGCATTAGCAGCTGCATTGCATTTGTCAGAGAGACATGCTGAAACGGCTGTTCGTTATTTTACTCTTGCAGTTACACATAATTTTATTCAAGGCCGTCGATCACAATATGTTATTGCATCTTGTTTATATATAGTATGTAGATTAGAAAGGACATCTCATATGCTTATTGATTTTTCCGATATTCTTCAGGTAAAGCTTGAATTGTTGATATTTTTCTAATTGTAAATAAGATTAATGTTTTTACTCTTGGTTCAACATTTCTTAAATTAGTGCAAATTCTTCATATTACTCTTCCATTTGCTGATCCATCTCTTTATATAACGAGATTTGCTGCTCTTTTGGAATTTGGAGCAGAAACTCATAAAGTTGCTACTGATGCCATTAGATTAGTTCAGAGAATGAATAGAGATTGGATGCAGACTGGTAGAAGACCTGCTGGAATATGTGGTGCATGTTGATATAATCTTTGGTTTAGATAACTTGGTTTACTTTTTTTAGGTCTCTTAATAGCTGCACGTATGAATAATTTTCGTCGAAGTGTAGAAGAAATTGTACATATAGTTAAAGTTGGTGATCTTACTGTTCGAAAAAGATTAGAAGAGTTTAAAACAACTGCATCTGGTGATTTAACAGTTCAAGACTTTAGAACTATATGGCTCGAACAAACTCATGATCCGCCTTCATATCTTCAAGGAAGAAAGAAAGAACGAAGGAAAAAAGATATTGAAACTATAGAGCTTTTGAATAGTCATAAGGAGTATGAGACAGAGGCATTAAATACTGTTACAGGGAATCAGTATTCTAGTAAAAAGATTTTACTGCCGTTGAAATTAGTGGATTCAGATGATCTTGTTGCTGAATTAGATGACAATTTTTTGAAGGGTGAGATGGAATCTGTATTACAAGATAGAAATGTTCAGAAAATGTCTATCGCTATTCAAGGTAAATGATTGTAATATTTTTTTGAAAAATATTTATTCTACTAGAATCTAAGAAATCTTCTGATAAATGTTATGAAACTCTTTCTGATATGGACGATGATGAAATTAACCAGATTATTTTGAGTGAGCCTGAGGTTTTGGCAAAAACTCAAGTTTGGATGGAACTAAATAGGGAATATCTTGCTGCTCAAGAAGGTAATATTATATATATTTGTCTATATCTTTATTTTTAGATTATCTAGCGAGACGTTTGAAATTAGAATCTGATCTTAAAGCTGGTATTGGACGTCAGACAAAAAAGGTATAAAATTTATTGTATTGATTTTATTATGATTAAAATTTATATTTAGCGTAAAAAACGTAAACCGAGAGATTCCAATAGTATAAATCTGCCATCTACACCAGTAGAATCTGCAAAAAAAATGTTACAACAACGAACATTTTCTAAGAAAATCAATTATGATGCTTTAAATTATTTATTTGAGGAATAGGTTTTTTCGAATAAATTACATAATTTTGTTTATAAATATTTAGAATGTTTAATTTTGATTTTTTTAAAACAATTTAGAATTTATGTAATTTTTCTATAGTAATATATTCTTGAATTTTTCTTCTATAAATATGAATAAAAAATTATGTATAATACTGGTTCTATTTTAATATGGTGTTAAAGTTTAATCTAATATATTATGTAATGATAAATGTTATTATTGATCAATATACATTAATTAATAATTTAGCTAAAACTGAAATAGTTAATATATAGTTAAAATAATGGGGCTTTTTTATATAATGAATTCGATTAAATTTTTTATTCTAATATGAATATGTAATAATTTATGTACTAAATGTTTATATATACAATAAAATACATAATGATTTTTTTAATATCTAGTATTGCATTACATATTATTTAAAAACTTTGTATATTTTTGATGATAATAATGGCGATATACTTTTTCTTCCGTAATTTGTGCATTTTTTTGCAATCATGATTTCTCTTTCATATTCTATTGTTTCTTTATAATACGATGTTAATAAGTCATTTAATGTTGGAAAATGTTTTTGTATTTCAATTGCTTTCTCTGGGCTTACACCTTTAATTGTTAATAACATTTTAAGAAATAAATCGCCTAAAGTTAAAGATGCTGTTTTTGATAAAAAATCTGAAAATGTACTGTATTCGATAACATATGAGTGTTTCGAATAAGTGGAGTTAATCATTTTTTTTTGTAATGTATAAGTTTGTAAGTTGATATTGTCATTATTGATAATGCATAGATCTTGTGTCTAACATGTCATAAATAAAAAATAGTATGTTATGTTTTTTATACTTTATAAATTTGTGAAATATATCTTGTTAATCTCACTATATATTTGATTGTTTCCATTAGTCCCGAAAGTCTTTTTACAAAAAAACCGTTAATAATTTGAGTGCTTGAAATAGCTGAATGTATGGCTTCAATATTGAAATCTGTGAAATTATAGTTGCAATTTTCGATAATATATATTACATGTTTTAAACATGATTTAGATAGACGAAACTAAATTATATTTTAAAACAAATTGTATAAAGTGGTGATTATACCTTTTGTTCATGAAATCTTCCATCTTTGATACTGTTTGCAAGATCATTTAGTCTTTTTCTTTCTATAATAAAATCTAAAATATATTCTTTTTTAGTTGTATTACATCTTGCAATCCATAAAACATCACCTAATTCTAATGTTCGAAATTCGAAAACTATAGATTCTTTTGTTAAGTAATATTCAATGAATTCTTTATCTTTTTGTGTTTTCATTTCTCTTGTATCTAATAATAATATAATAGAATATGAATTATGTTGAATTGTTGAGATGTTTAATATTGTATCGTGTATTAGTGATTTTGGAATGTCTTTCAATGTTTTTTTTTCCGTTTCTATATTTTGGTCTAGTTCTTTAATCATATGTATTTCATGATAATTTTCTTGAATTTCTTTTTTGTTTTTTTTAAACTCATTGTTTAAGGGAAATTCTTTTTCTATGATTTCATTTGAAAATATTGAGCTAGAGATAGCAGCCGCTACCTCTTTTCCAGAATCAGTAAGATAGTATCTTGTTGGATTTACTGTTTTATATACATATTCTTTTTCTAGAAGAATTTTCATTCCATTCCATAATAAATGTATATTTTTATGTTCGCTTATATCATAGTAATGTCTTGCAATGTTTAATATTTCTTCTTTTGAAACTGCAGTGTCTTCATTAAATTTAAAAAGTGCAACAAGAATTGCAAATGATTTAGATCTATATCCAGGTATGTATGTTTTTGATGTTTGTGTTTTTGTTTTTTGCTGGAAGGATTTTTGAGTTGTTTCAGACTTTGGATGTAATTCTAATTGAGAAAAAAAAGAATCATCTATATTAGCTTCTAAAATTAGTTTATGATAAAAAATATTATAACTGCACCTTGGTGTTGAATATTTAAATCTATATGAGTACGTTGATATTCTTTTAAACGTTCTTCTAAACGCGCAGATATAATATTTCCTATTCCTTTTAATTTTTTTACTTGACTTGGATCTGAAAATGTTATAGGACATGATAATAATGAATTATATGCCTAAATTTTCTTTTAGTTTTTTTTTAAAATATTATTGAAACTAACAGTTTTAAAAACATTATAAGATTTTCGATTCTTTTCTTTTGCTTCCTGCATCCATTCACTTACCCATTGAAGAAAAAGAGGATTTCCACACGATTGCATGGCAATTTTTTTAATATAATTTTTTGATTGAAGTTAACGCGTTAATTATATAAGGGTTAAAAATATTTCGATATTAAATAATAATGAATTTTAACGAAATTTCTTAAACGTATAAAAATTAAATTATATTTTAATGATGTAATTATTGATTAATTTAAATTTCATATATGCTTATATCTATACCTTTATTTTAAATAAATTTTAAAATAAATATTAGGTTTTATTTATTTAAAAAATATAGATTAATATAAAATATAATATAATACTTTTTACTATATAAAAAAATATATAGTAACAATATCGTAGTATAAAATAAATATATATTTACTTATTTATGATCTTTTAAAATTATTATAAACATATATATATATAATATTATGATAATACTATTTCAGTAAATTAAAAATAATTTTTAGTACTAATTTTATTATTATAACAAAATTATATAAACTATTTGTTTTATGTATAAAACAAATGAATATTATATCTTTTTGTCTATTAGAATAAACTTTAGAAAATTCAATTTCAAAATAATCAAATATATATTTACATATATAATCTTATCATTATTTTATCAATTATATTTTTTCATAAAGTCACAAAATATATATAATTATTGATAATTTAATATTTTTATATTTAAAAGTTTTATCTTTTATAATATTAGAAAAAATATATTCTTTTATAACTAACGAATATTTTTATTTTCAATTCTTTTATAATTTTGAAGTATAATAATTATTTATGCAATAGCTATAGATAAATAAAAGTATATATTATTTTTTAATTTAAAAAACATTTAGCTAAAGTAATAGTTCTATAAAAGTATATGACTATCATTTACTTTCAAACTGTTTTCTTTTAGAATATCCTTAAAATTATGCTAAAATTATATTTAGTTATATAATAATCTAATAATATAAGTATATGTTTTTAATAATACCTTACAAAAAAAGGATAAGCGTGAAAGGACATCCTTTTGAGAAATTAAAATATTATTATCACCCATATTAGTCCTATTTAAATTAACAAAAAAATCACCAGATATCACTGATATTATTTCATTTATATTTTTATAACCATTTAAATCAACATCCGAATCATTAGAAACTAAATCATTTTTCCTCAACTTACAATCTATATTATCAGCTAGAAAATGTTCTTGAATAACTTTTTTAAAAAAAGAAAAGTATAGTTTAAAATAACTATCAACTAAAAACTGATCAACTATTTCAACATTATATAAACCTCCATTTATTTTCTTTAATTCCATTACATCCCGAATATCATCAATTCCATGTTCATCTAAATATGTGCTATTCAATAATTGTTCTTCAAGCTTTGAAGCAATGAAATTAAAATTTAATAAAGTAATATTCCAAACTATAGCAGGACATGTAAGAATTGACGAATTGCGCCGTAATAACTAAAAATTTAGCATTGAAAAAGATATAGATAAAGTTACATTTAAATAAACACTACAAAGTCTCTCCCATACTTGCCGATGATGATAAATAGAAGAAGAAGCCTTACGAAGTCTTCTAAGCAAATGTTTAAGACCATCTTTATCATTAGTTTGATCCAAAAGTTTTATAAAATAAAGAGTATATTTTTCGGCATAATAAAAATGCCTCCCAGGACTTTTTAATTAAGCCAAATATATATAAATTCTAAATAAACAAACCGTTCAAAATCAGGACGCCAAATATTAATTACAGATTTCCCGAAAGATTTAATAGAAAAAAGAGTTTCCAATTCATCTTTAGCAGACTGTAATTTAAGTTGGCTTTCAAGAATATTTGCACACTAAATCAATGGTGAATAAATTATAATTAACCATTAAAAATTAAACCCTAAAAACTGGTCTATGATGCCAATGCTTTTTATCAGCAAGTCGTATTCGGTTCAAAATAACCAAACATATTTCAATAACATCATTTTCTGTCAAAAGTTTTTCTAATTCAGAAATATTATCATTATATGCGCTTTCTTGAAGATATGTAATAGCAATCTTTAACTAATAAAAATATTAGAAAAAAAAAAAAGAATAAAATAAAAACATCAATGAGGCCAGCTCTAATATATTTTACAATAGACGATACTAATTTATAATCAGGCTCGATAATAATTACTTGACCAGCAAGAGCGTTTTTCCGAGGTACTAATTTAATTGCACGAACATACTGATCAAGAACTTGCTATAAAAGTTATAATAAATATGATAAAACTAAACAATAATTATACCCTAGGATTACGATTTAATTTCCCCAATGTTTTCCCTAACATATAAAAACATCTACAATTTATTAATTATTAAAACTATACTAAATAATATATATATTTAATCATACCTCCAATCACTAGCCATATTTTTAGAAGCAAAAAAAAAACATTTCATTGCTAATTCAATAATTCGATAATAAGAAATATCATTCGTAAGTTCATGTTTTAACAGCCCATCAGGTCCATCATAAAACCGTGAAAATTTCGAAATAAAAGGCTCCATGTCAAGAGGAGGATGAAGAGATGTATATAGTTGCATTCCAAAATCATAATGTAGATTTGAGAAAAAATGAATAAAATTATCATTTGTAACACTAGCAAAAGAAATAAAAAGACTATAAGCCATCATGTACGCCTTAAGAGATTTCTTAATACAATTTTAACTAGATGTTCAAGCTCACAAAAAAATATCATACTTTTTTTAATTCTGAAATAGTTTTTCTTTCATTTTGTATATATTCAGCACTCCATGTCAGCTCACTATCCGACAACCAGCCAAAAGTTAATCCAAGAGCATGCCATGACGAGATCCTCAATGGATTTAAAGACAAATCAGCCTTTTATTTCAGTATTGTTAAAATAAAAAATAATTACAATACCATCAAATATTTTAATGCCAATTCAAGATCATCAGTACTCCTAATTAAAGTTGTCTTTCCTCTTGCACGAAACATACTAATATGTATTTCTGCTTGTACAAAATTGATATCAGATAAAGATAAAACAGATAAATCTAAAGAAAAAGAAATTAATATACAACTACAAAAAAAAATACAACCATTACGACTATGCTTGATTTGTACAGTATTATTTTTTAATAAACCGTATTGACAAGAAATAATATCATTCAAACGAATATTCTCAAGCAAATAAGCGTCGATAAGTGCAAAATTAAATGAATTAGAAACTAATTTACTTTAAATAAATCAAGAGAAGATATCAGATAATATATACCCTTAGAATTTGGTGAACTTTCCAATACAGTGTAAATCTTATCTAATACATTTTTTATATCAGCTCTAGGAAGTGTAAGTCCTGAACGTCTTCGATTTACAAGAGACAAAATAAACGGCAAAATTTGCTCGGCAGAAAAACAATCAATATCAAAAGGTTCAGTGTAGTGATCAAAAGGATAAAAATTATCTGTCTTATTTCTGTCAATATATTGAACAATATTTTTTAATAAAATACTCCAAATGACAATCCAAATCGACAATGCAAACATTGAATAATCTCCGAAGTAAGAAAAAAAGGACTTGAATTCAAAAGCTCTTTTTGAAGAATTTTCAAAAGAATACCTGATTTATAAATTAAAATAATTCATAATTAAAAATACAAACCATCAGACAAAGAACAATATCCACGTATTCCAAGTTCCTCATGTATAAGACAAAGAAATTTTGTTATGTCCCTATAAAAATTATCGACATCTGTTTTTGTTCTCTAATACAGTTAAACAGAAAAAATAAAAAATAAATAACTTACAGAAAGAATTTCCTTATATAAGCAATATGCAAAACACCAAGATCGAACTTGCATATTATGAAGTTTATTATCAAAAGCTTCATTACTTGAAAATCTAAAAATGCATGAATTATTATCTATAATAGAATCTTCAAAAAAACAAAAAATAAGAAGAAGCCGCAAAATAACCAAGAGCGAAGATAATGACTCTGAAATAACATCGGTGCCCAAAAAACCTAATAAATAAGCTTTATATATATGTATTTTCATAGAAATATACTAAGTATATTATCTTGATCGATTACACATTGCAAAGCATATGAAATCAATTGATATGCCTATATCATCTATTAATTTCAAAATAAAATAAAAAAACACTCAAAAACTGACAGAAAATAAGCGTTTTAAAATAAATATAGTTTTTTGTTGTCCTGTTGCAGAAATCTTAAACAGTGAAGAATCGAAACATAGTACTAGAAAAGAAAGAGCTTTTAAACAACACCACAAGGCATCTCCAAATTGAGATAAATTATGATATGCCTTTTAGAGTCAGCCTATGTTAAAATATCAATTTCATCAAAAAATCATTACATTTCGTAACAAATTCCATAACTGTAATTTAAAATCAATAGGGGCCTTTAACAAAAATTCCTCTATTAAACTAAACTGAAACAATTTTCCAAATTCGGATGATCCTTGTAAGACAGGCTTCAATTTTTCAATAACTAATTCATATTCCATTAATCTCGACGACACAAAAACAGAAGTAAAAAAGTCTACAGTTTTCAATTTTGATATTTCCAAATCAATTCTAGAAAGGGAAATTTCAGAAATAACCTCACTTACTTATAAAAAACTTATTTTTAACATAGAAAGTCATACCAATTTGGAAAATAAATGACAGAAATATCACCAAGATACAACATGTAATCCTTAATATCTTGATATTCTTTTATAACCGATTCATGCAATGCTCCAAAATATTCAAGAATAATAGCATTACAAAATTTATGACTAAAAATTAATACAAAAAATAAACCAAATCATTATAAACAAACCGAAGTAAAAGTTTTACTATATTTTCATTTTTTTCTAAAGTATCGAATGAAATCCCATATGCAAGCATTAAATCAGAAAGAAGTAACTTCCATTGGCATATTCTCTGTCTTTGAAATATTAGGTCGTAGTTTTCAGTTTTTCTAATATTAATATCAAAAAAAGAAAAAAAATATCTAAGATACTCAAAATAATCGCTACGTTCATTTTTAACATAATAATTTAAAAATATTTCTAAAATAGTTTGCCCCCACTCATAAGATCAACAAAAAAGAATACAAATTAATAATATATACCCCCAAAATTTGGAAAATATCTATTCCATTTCGTGTTATCATATCATCATCCGAAAAATTATCAGAAAAAATCTTTTTTCCAAGAATGTCCTTAAAAAAACAAATACACTCCTTTTCCAAATTTATTGCAATTTCAATAATTGCATTATTAAATTTTGAAGACCATTTTTTTTGAAAATAAAAAGTCCCTAAATCCGAATAAGAATAAAACGTAACTCTCTTAAACCACTCTAAAGAAATTTCTTCTAATATATATCTACCAGAATTAATAAATTTTTCAAATTCATCTATAATTTCTAAATCATCATTTTCATTAATATTAACTGAAATATCTAAATGTTTAGAAAGATCTAAATAAAAGACTTTAGGTAAGGATAAAAAATTTCTATAAATATTAAAAAAAATCAATAAATAAGAATAAAAAAAATACTTTTCTTGAATAACATCATTTATAACATCTTCATTTAAAAAGCCAGAATACAAATTTTGTCTAAGCATATCGATTACATCATTTTCAGAAAAAAAAGTTGTAGAAATAGGCCGATTAAATTTTAAATATTCACCAAAAAACATTCCAACTTTAATAAAAATTTCATTCAAAGAATTAACGAAGCAACTATCCTTTTCTTCATGACTTAGACTTACACCATCTTTATTACGTGTTCTTTTACTAGCTCTAAAAGACTAAAAACATTTTATAGATAACTAAAAATGAAATTGCTATCACCTTCACATAATTTTCATCATCCATTATCCTTTTTTTAATATTTTTCGATACACAAACATCATTATCTAATTCAGAATTTGCAGACATCAATACCGAAGTATTATCTTCCTCAAATGATTTCTGAGATGTCTCAGAAAATTCAGAATTATTCTGTAAAGTCACAATAATCTGCGATCCATACATTTGTGCATGATTCGTTTCGGGTAAAGACTCATCATCATGATTATATTTTTCTAAAAATTCTATACGTGAATAAAAGCTACAATTATCTTTTTCATATCTTAAAACAGTCATATAAATTTATTTTAAACAAAAAACAAACCTATTTAAAAGAAAAAATGCCAATTCAGTACTAATAGAATCAACACACCTTTTTGAAATCTTCAATGAAAAAGAGTCATTCCGAAAAAAAAAAATCCTTAGAAATTTCTATTAATATCATATACAAATAACACATATTATACCTTTTTACTGGATTACCAAATTTTCTTTCTTTATAGTTCATTTTTATATTGAGACATGATCCTTGTGATTTATTATTGCAACTATTATGCAAAAACATCATTTCAACCCTTATTAAACTAGTAAAATCATCAATAAAGTGTAGCAGCTACTTTTCGTAAGCAATAAAAAAAAGAAACTATAAATTACAGAATCTAGTTTTATAAGAGATTTATAAACTTCGGGAGATAAAATATTTCCATATAAAACAGAATCAGAAGAACATTTACGATTTATTAACATATCCATCTCGTTATATATAATACTTTCCAATGAAAACCGAAAAATTCTATTCAAACATAATTCTTCAGATATTTCTGAAACCTTTTTCCATAATGCCATATCAGTATGATCATATTTTAAAGCCTATAATCATTAATTTAAAAGAGATAAAAATAGAAAATTATTTCACAATTGAATAATCTTTCAAACAAGTACGTAATGTCATTGATAGATCATTATCTTTAAAATCGCTAGAGACCATAGTATCATAGATAAAAGACCCATGATTTTTATATACGAGATAAATTAAACGCATCATTCTTTCATTTGTAACGTTAGAATATTCCTTATTATAATTTATTATTCTTCTATATGTATAAAAGAAACAAACCTCAGTTAAATCAGGATTTAATATATCTAGATTTAAAAGTTCTTCATACGCTTTAGCTACAGCCGACCAATCTTTTACATGCTGAAATAAAAGAGCTCGTTGATATAATTTCAATCCAGTTTCAATCTATATTTTTCTAAAAAAAAGAAAAAAAAAGCCCAATTTACCTGGACTTCTTTGGTATGATTTTCAATATCAATTTCTGTCTCAGAAGGTACATTAAGTGCCACAAAATTAACCTATTACATTTGAAAAAAGATAACATAGATTAAACTTTTACCATAGATTGTTTTTTTTTAAACTTCTATAAAAATCATATATTATAAACTATGAAATATCAAATAGAATTATTTCTACACTTTTTTATATAAATAATTTTTAAAACTTAAAAACTTAACGATTTCCAGAACCTAAATTTTATAATATAAATTACAATGGCAGAATTTTTAAAAAATATTCCAGAGTATATTACTGTCATTTTTCATATATAAAATTACTAATATATGATAAAGATTTATGGAGTCCGAGTTAGGCGAATCTATAGCCTCTAGAACAGAATCCTTGACAAACTTTAAAGAGCTCGGTCCCCCAAATCTAGTACATCTTATAAAATATCAACCAAAATCAGAAAACAAGAATGTAACTATTTAGCACAAAACCGTTTAAAGGTTTTTTATTAAATGAAATAGATCAGCACATATCATTATGTCTCAGGAGTTGATGCATCATCATCTGCATCTATAGCCGCATATCTAAACGATCTAACATATTCTATGACTAAAGATCAAGTATGGTTTGGGAAAAATCAATCATGGGAAATACATTCAGGGCTTTTCTGGTAACATTTTTTTTTTTTATCCAAGTATTTAAAAAAGTAGCATATATAATGCTTTTTCACGTATTGATATTCGCGTTGAAATGAAAATTCCTGGAGGTATTGAAAGCATTGCTATTGATGAATATGGAAATAGGTACTTTTGTACTTATAACTATAATTTTTGTTAAATATTATTAGAAAAAATATAACACCTGAAATGTGGACTGAAACATTTCTTTGTGAAATTTTACGGTGGCTTCAATTCTCAGATGATTACACATATCAGCTTCCAGGATTTCGTAAACTAAATCCAATAACATCTATAGAATTTGAGGAAAAATTTTTAGATGCTTGTTCTCAATTATTTCTAAAAGGTAATTAAGTATTATTTAACTGATTATATTAATTGGTTATTTTTAAGGCTGGAAATTAGGAAGTAGTCCTGAAATACATATTCCTGATATTGTTAATAATAATCTCACAAATGGTATATTAAAGTATCTTAACATGACTGGACGTTATGCTGTAGGAATTAATCTTTTTGAAAAACTTCGTATTAAAAACTCAGAAATTATACCCTTTTTAGCAAAATTGTACTTCTTAATGGGTAATTATATTAAGAGAATATTATATTACTAAAGTATTTATTAGATGAAGAATTTATTGCTATTGATCTTTTAAACGAAAGTTTAAAACTAAATCCTATTAATTATTCATCTCTTATTATCCAAGTAGAATATCTTATGAAAAAAAATTGCTACAATTTGGCTCTTCAATGTGCTAAGAAAGCTGTTAACAGTGCACCTTCTGAATTTATTACATGGGAAAATCTTGTTCAAGTTTATATAGCACTCGAGGATTATAGAATGGTTAGCTATAAAAAATTGAAAAAGAAATTACTTAAATTATAAAGGCATTATTAACTTTAAATTCGTGTCCAATATTTTCTTATTATGAAAAAGATGGTCATAGAATGCCAGAGCCAATTAAAGCTCATTTTCCAAGTCCTATAAAAATGGATGATTGCGAATTAACTTTAAATGAAATATATAGAAACAATAATACCGTAAAAAATTCAGGCTTAATTTTTCTTACATGTCTAAATATTGTAGATTGATCCAGCATTATTAAGATTACCATCTCTATCACTTAGAGGAACTTTTTCACGTGCATATGACCTTCTTATAAAAATGGTAACAAAAATTGGATGGGATCAACTTTTAAAACTTCGATCATCAGTTTTTATTATGAAAGAATATAAATTGCATAAAGAAAATAACTCCGCTTCGAATCAACATACATCTATTTCTACTTTTAGTGATTATAAAAATAATGATATTGGAGCTAACAAGACTGAAGATTCAAAATTTGATGATAAATCTAGAAATTACAAAAAACCATTAGATACAAAAAGTGGAATTCTAACACAGAAAAAGGAATTCTCAAAAAATTGCATTAATGAAAGAAAATGTAGCGAAAATAAAAAAAATAACGATTTTATGCTCTATGAAAAAAGACTTTGTGAGCGTTGGTTAGATAATCTTTTTATGATTTTATATGAAGTAAATTATCATCTTTTTTCTACTTATCCATATTCTAAGCATGTTTATAGGATTTACGTGTATATACTATATGGAGAGCAGAAGCTTCACATTTTAAATCCCAAAAATTAATCTACAAAAAAACTGCTGCAGAATGGGAAATTTTAGGCAGTCTTGCATGGAGATTACAATATAAAGTATCTGCTACTATTATTTTTATTATCTTAACAATGTTATTAGGAAGAATCATTGGAAGCATTCAGAAATTGCCTTGAACTAAATTTTTCTGTAAAAGCATGGGATAAAAACTTATTATTCTATAAAGAGCAAGAGGATTATGAAAAAGTATTATTAGCTATTGCAAAATTGAATGCATGGAATTGTAGATGGTATTCTGAAGTGATTTACACTTATATGAAAGCTTATTTAAATAACATATTTTCTAGTTTTCTCCTGATTTATTAAAACATTTACGAAGTGTGATTGCATATAATGGTATTACTAAAATTCGTAACATGCTTTCTTCTATAACGATAAATAAGACTTATATTGAACTTATGGATCGTTATCTTATATTTATTGAAAAATTTAAGCTTCTTGGATATTCTGAATAGTTTTTACGTAACTGTGCTTTTTTCAAATACATATTATTTATATAATACTATCTAAATAATTCATGAACTTAAGTTTTAAAATAGGATCTATATTGAAATCGAAAAAATAATTAGAATATTAGTTTCTGAATTAAAACATTTTAAAGAGAAATTTATTTTTATAAGTGAATTTTATATTTATTTTGGACTCTTAAAATTTAATATATTTATTATATAACATATAATTAATTTCCAAATAATCGAAGACCTATTCAATTAAATACATATATTTTTTCACAATATTTAACTGTTTCTAGTATTAATAAATATTGACATTAAATATTTTTCAAAAATTGATAAAACTAAATTTTTTTAAAAAACTACTTTTAATAAAAAAATCCAACATTTAACTTTAAAATCAATATAATCAAAACATAATAATTAAAATCTATTTTTTTCAATATTCAATTTCAATATCTTTAAATCATACATATCATTTGAAATTAATCAAAAAGATTAGTTGCATTAAAAAAATCATGTTAATTCTAAAACTTATAAATATTAAAAACAAAACATACAAAAGATCAACAAAAAACCTTAATCATTCTAAATATCATATCCTGAACTTCAATCATTAAATATACTATTCAGCATATAAAACCAATTTTGAGTTTTGATTTATTGCATCTCGCAAATCATCATCACATCTTATTGAAAATAAATGATTATTTATTTCTTCCTTACATCGTAAAGATTTTATTATAGTACCTAAACGATCTTGAAGCTTTTCCATAAGCTGATTAAATGTAATTTGTCGTGGAACACGAATCGCAATAAGATCATCAGCAAAAAATATTTTTATTTTAATGTAAAAAGAATCAGAACAAATTCCACCATATTGAAAACTATGCTGAGAAGAATTTAAATTTACTTGTGCCTTACTTTCTTTTAAGACTTCTTGAGAAGAAAATGTGTGTATATTTTCATTTTTAGAAATTGATGAACTTTGAAGTGCTTGAGTTAATTTAGAAAAATCAGAATCATATTTTAATTCAGCAGATTTCGTATCAGAATTAAACCCAAGACTCCTTAAAGACATCGGTAAAGAAGACGTGGAATATGATAGCTGATTTTCCGAAACTGATTTCTTGTAACAGGTTGAAGACGAAGATATATTATTACCATCCAAAAAAAAGTCACTGAACTTGGAATTTTGAGATGCTTTACCAAAAGATTCAGTATAAGATGTTTGAATCATTGCTTCAAGAGTATTGCACTCAATATCACCTTCTCTCAAAAAAAAAAAATATGTTACTAGTGAACTCTGTTTAATATAAGAAGGCAATTTACAAAGATCCCTTAAATATGCATCTAAATCAATACATCTTCTTTGAGAAATTTCATCATCAACATAAGATAAAGGGACTGGCATATATGGCAATATACGCCGTTTGCCTGTTCTACCAGCTTCTACTGGAAACTCCTCAAGCAACATAACCTGCAAATTATAAAAATCTTCATAATATCTACATAAACTACGATAACATAAATTTTCCATTTCAGCATGAACAAGATACTGATATCCCTCATTAATATAAACATGCTTAATAACCCGCGCAGAAACGACACAAACTTGTTCATTATTATGATATGGATTAGAGATTAATTTAGTATTATCTAAAGATTTCGTTGAAAAACCAATACTTCCATCATTTTTAAAGTCAGAAATAGTATTATTTTTACTAGAAGGCTTCTCATCGAAATTAAATTTACCAAGAGAAATACTATTATTCTTATATTCAGCAGTCATTTTCTTCCATTCTTCAACTCTTGGAATTGCCATACTATTTACAAGTTCTTGAACATTAGTAACAACTTTCCCAGTAGAAAAATCCCTAATTTCTATAAAAGAGACAGGAATAAGTCCAGGGCCACCCAATCTACCTATTGGCTTAGCTACAAACCATTCATGATTCGATTGAGCAATCACTATAATAGCTTCGCCAGCCTGCGCTTCAAGCTCATCGGGTCTTTCTGCGTGAAAATCATATCGAACAATCCCATATAAAGACCGGCTTTTTGCTGGGACCTGAGTAGAATGATTTTTTTCATCGTTTAATTTTTCAGAACTTTTATCTAAATTATTTTTTTCGCTACGTCCTAAAACCTGAAAATATGAAACAGGAACAAGGCCATGTGCATTAGTAGCAGGATTATATGCTTCATACCAATTTTCATCATTTTCGCTACCTATCAAATAAAAAAAATCACCCTTACAGAATCCAAGCTCAACTGAAGACTGAGGAACATAATCATAAAGAGCCTTAATAACATTTTTCGGAGGTTCAATAGAAATTAATGATTTCGATGAAATGCTAGTTGTTGAGTTTTGAAGATTAGTAGTCTTTTGTGTTTTACGTAGCTTAAAATATTAGTTATTAATAATTAATAATTATAAAATCACCCTAATCATAATCCTTCTTCTAATAAACTACAACTTTCCAGGAATTATTTGAAAATATCTCTTTTACTTTATATAATATTCAGATAGACCAGTAAAACATTAAAATCAAAAATTCATCGACAGATATAATATAAAAATTAAAAAGCATACAAAAAATTAATTATAAAAAAAGTATATTAAATAACCAATATTTTCATAAAAATAAATGCTAGACTAAGAACATTTACAATTTTTATAACCGAAAAATATTAAATATATTTTAACTCATAATTGGCCTTTAATATCAATAACTTTGTCTTTTAATCTAGCCTGTTCAAAATATTCAAAAGCATCTTTAGTATTAATATGTAAAGATTTACTTTTCTCATCTTGTATAAAAATATCTTTACTACTTCGTGCCATCAAAAACTCGAAACATTCTGATTCACTTTCAAATGATAATTCTTGACATAAAAATTTCAAACTTAAACTCGGTCGATATCTTTTATTATTAAAACAATATAATAATTTCAGAAACAAAGCTCACGCTTTAAACATCCTACACGAAGCAATAACCCTTTCTCTTTCAACAAAACAATCCATCAAATAACCTCCCATATTTGGTGCATCCAAATATAATTTAAATAACGAATGATAATTAGACATTACAAGTGCAGCCCTTACATCCAAAGCATGCTTTATGGCTTTATTTTTCTTTTCTTCCTCAGTAAGTTTCAAGAGTACTTCATGAATATCTAATAAACTAAATTAATCAAAAAACATATAAAAAGTAATAAACCCGATTTATTTCGTGTATGTAAAAGATAAAAAATACGATAAGCTAAAAATTCATCAGGATGACCAGGAAGATTATAATTATATAATGAAAAAAGCTATTTATAATTTAATAAACATAAATTATTTTTCCTAAATATACTTGTGTTTGACATTGATTATATTCTCCCAAATCACCCTAAAACATGATATAAATATTTATTTATACCTATACATACAACAAACCTTCTCAAGAGCTATCCGAGCATGAATTTCGTATACCATTACAGTAAAATCATTTTTGATTCTCTGAACAGTAAGATCCTGTCTCAATGATTTAAACTGATCACATATATAAATATAATTATTTTCTTCTTTCCATTTAGCTTTTAAAAATTCTAACGTCTTTTTTAATACAGATAAAGGTCGAACTGTTTCTGGATCAGGAGCTGAAGTAAGACGCAAATATTTCTTTTCTAACTGTTGAGATCTTCCAACTATAGTATGCTCATCCCAATCAATTACATCCTAATAAAATCAGAATAACCAAAAAACATAAAACACATACTAAGCGATTAAAACTTGTGTCAACATTTAATATTTCATCAGAAGATTTAACTGTATTTGTCTTCTCGAATCTTTTAATTCTCTTATTTTTCTGATGTTCATCTTCTGATATTCTAAAAGTATTAAGATCAGACAGTTCAGTTTTTACTCTAAATTCTTTTAATTTAAAATAAATACCTAAGAAAATCCAATTATACTTATTCATTCTATTACTTTGAAGATTTTCCTTAGAATATTTCCTTTGTTTTTTAAGAGTCTTTAATTCAATTTTATCCCAATCAATAGAAAAAACTGTATCATCTTCAAAAGCTTTAGTAATAATCTCTTTAAGTTCCTTTTCTATAGAAGGTCTATCTTTATCAGAACAATTTTCAAAACATCTTCCAACAAATTCTTTCAATGAATCAGGCCATTGGGTTTTTTTTCTTGCTGGGACTTGTGAACTTGATGCTTCCTCTGTTGATACAAAAACATTTCCCGGCTTTAACTTATTTGAAGGTTTTTTTATATTAACAGCAGCATATCCTATAAATTCTAATAAATAAAGTCAATTTAATTTTTTCTAGAACAAATACTCTGTGTTCCATTTAACATAGCAAATATATAATTGTAAAAAAATCATATAAATCTTTCTTAAAAAGTAACTTATATAAAATAATCAACAAAATACTATTTCATGATAAATGCATAATAATACCTTAATATTTTAAAACTTTTAACCTAAAAATTAAACCTATATTTATAAATTCAATCTAAATATAATTTATCAAATCGTAATAAAATACGATTCAAACTAAAAAATATTTTTTAAAATAAATTACATTACAATAGATTAACATATCTAAAACTTTTTACAAACAAGAAACATAATAATCATAGTAGAAAGCAATTTAATAAATTTCTTTCCAAATAGCATCTGACATCTTTGAAATCTTATACATTTCATGAACATCATGAACCCTTATAATATCACAACCCCCTGAAATAGAAGCAGCAACTGCAGTTGCTGTGCCCCAAATTCTATCTTTTGGCATATTATCACCAGTAATAAAACCAGTAAATCTTTTACGACTTGGACCAAGCAACCATGGAAGACCGTTAAAACAATTTTTAGATTTTAATTCATTAAATCTTCTTAATAATTCTATATTTTGATGAAACGTTTTAGAAAATCCTAATCCAGGATCTAAAATAATGTTCCAACGAGGAATGCCAGACTTTTCAGCAGAATTAAGTAGTTCTTCTAATTCTATAGTAATTTGTTCTATAATATCAACACCATAATCAGTTAAGTTGTCCATAGTTAAAAAATTGCCTCTCATATGCATTATACATATTGGAACCTTTAGTCTAGCAACAGTACTAAGCATTTTTGGATCATACCTTCCACCACTTATATCATTAACAAGACTGGCACCAGCCTTAACTGCCTGTTCTGCAACTTCAGAACGAAATGTATCTATACTTATTAAAATATCAGGATATGTTTTCAGAAGATATTTTATAGCAGGAATAACTCGAAAAATCTCTTCTTCTAAAGGTATAATATGCGAACCTGGTCTTGTAGACTGCCCACCAATATCAACTATTGTTGCTCCTGCATTTATAAATTTTTTAACATCTATTAATACAGAATCACATGAATGAATACCTCCATCAAAAAAAGAGTCAGGTGTAAGATTCAAAATAGCCATAATATATGTAGGCACTTTATAAGACCTGAAACTAAAATTCATACTTTTATTTTTATATAAGAATGGCAAAACCGGCTTAATACTGTGATCAACAATTTTCTCAAAATATGAAGCTATAGATAGTCCAGTAACGGGATGAACAAGATCACTTGATATACTATTTTACAATTAGGAAAATAACTATTTTAGTTATATATTACTTACTCAAGAAGGGGTTTTAAAACAAACGAACGCTCGAGTACTCGAGGATGAGGAACAATTAATGATTCAGAATTAATTATTTTTCTTCCATAAAAAACAATGTCCAAATCAATGCACCGTGGACCCTTATCAATAACTTTAACACGTCCAAGCTCTTTTTCAATTAATTGCAATTCAAATAAAAGCTGTTCAGGATGTAAAGAAGTTTGAACCTTTAATTCATTAACATTTTATAGATCAAAAAAGAAAATATTATAAACCTTACATACTGCATTATAGAATGCAGGCTGATCTTTAAAATACATAGGCTTTGATTCATACAACATAGATGTTTTCAAAACCTTTATTCCTTTTGTAGACATTTTTTCTATGGCATCCAATATAAATTTAACTCTATTCCCAAGATTACTACCAAGTGATATATAAATGGCTTCATTATCGATAGATTTCCCAGATTTAATACAGTTATCAGAAGAAAAACAAGAACGAGACCTAACAATTTCAACGCCAGCTGATTTAGCAAAGGCCAAAGCACAAGATTTCTCCACTTTGACTGCTATTTTTTCAATATTATGTGACATACATGAAATCCTTGCTATAGATAACGCAAGAGCCTCTATAGTTTTAAAAGTTGACTCTTCTACATGCTAAATTCATTAGTAAAACCAAAAACATAAAGAATTACAGAACTTTAACAACTTCTTTCAGTAATTTTTCAATATTATATGTATTTATAATAAGATCATCTTTACATTCTAAATTTACAAATGACTTGAACAATATTAAATCAATAATGATGTTTTGTTTATTAACCCTCTCTTCTGGATTTATACCTATGATTGTATAAAGACTTAAATTCCTTATAAAAAATTGATCTTCAACTTTTCTAATACCATCTTTTCTTCTTATAATTTGTAATCCAGTTTCTGCTAACAAATGTCCTTTAGGAGTTTCCACTATGACTTTAACCCAATTCCCTTTGCACTTATCTCCAAGAACAACTTTGGAAATCTTATCAGATAAGTCTACTAGATTTTCAAATTTAGAATTTTCAACTAATTTAAAAACTTCTTTATAAACTGTTGCATAATCTATAGAATAAGATAAATTGTCCATGCTTCCTGACAAAGAAGCATTAATTCCCATACTAAGTGTAAGTACAACCGGTTGTAGCAATCTTTGAGCCCATGAATTTTTTCCTACAATAGATTTCAAAGCTAATGAATGAATATGAATTAAATCTTGATCTTTATTTAATTTAGATAAATGGATTTTTTTTTTAAATATCATCCCTTTCACAAACCTAAAACCATAAATTTGATAAAAAGGAGATATTTTTAAACTTTTTGTTTTAAATATCATTTTTATTTTAAAATCTTTCGAGATCTTAATAATACAACTTTTATAAATATAAAGATTTAATGTTTAAATATGTCTATTCAAGATCGCACAAGAGAATTTCATGCCTGCGCATTAACTCTAAAGAAGTCAAAGGAATCGAGAAAGTTTTATTCTCAATATAAAGAAAATGTACCAAGCATAAATGAATCAAAAAAACATATCAAAAACGATTTTGGAAATATAGCAAATAAAATAGCTAAAGATATTAACAAAACAGGAGAAAAACTACAAAAACTTACACAGTGTAAATAATTTTTATCGTCTATTTTTTGAAAGATTAATAAATTTTAGTAGCTAAAAGAAAAACATTATTTGATGATAAACCTGCAGAGATCTCAGAACTGATTTATATTATAAAGCAGGATATTGAAGACTTGAACTCAGGCATTTCAAAGCTTCGAGAATATCTTAAACAAAAGCCAAAAAATGACAAAAATAAAAACAAAGGAGAGCATGAACATTTTGAAAATGTAATAGCACTTTTGCAAAGTAAACTAGCAAATACAAGTATAATATTCAAGAATGTCCTAGAAATACGGACAAAGGTAGTATTCTATCTCATTAAATTAACATTATCCTAATTACAAGTTTTTAAGAATATAAAAGCAAATAAAAAAAGAAGTGAACAATTTATGGCAACCACAACACATTTAAAAGATCCAGAGAAGGAATCTAAGTCTCCTCTTTATATAGAATATGAGCATAAAAATAATGATACACAATTTATGAAATTTAATTCAGATTGCCTCGTTTTAAATATGGATAATGAAAAATCTAACACTAAAATACTTCCTTATGATTCCTTTCAGCAAATGCAATTGTTAGAAGAACAAAATTCATATACAAGTTCCCGTTCATCAGCAATCCAAAGTATAGAATCTACAATTCATGAATTAGGATCCATTTTTTCTCAACTTGCTCAAATGGTAGCAGAACAACGAGAAACTGTCCAAAGGATTAGTACTAATACAGATGATGTTGTTACCAATATTAGTTCTGCACAGCAAGAACTTTTAAAATATTATCAAAGGATTAGTAGTAATAGGTGGCTTATATTCAAGGCTAGTTTTATTTCATACATTCTCTTAAGCTTACTTGAATATAGATATTTGGAATATTAACTATTTTCTTTTTACTTTTTGTTATTATTAGTTAATTTGTAAAATAGGTTTCAACGTTTATAATTTATATACTTTTTAAAAATGAATATTAATATTATTAAATATCCAAAAGCAGTATTGTTTTTGGGACATAAATACCAATAACCTTAATCTAATATGTTTTCTATTCTAAATTTATTTTATGTTTAAAATATCTATCTTTTTATATACTTTTTTAAACGATTATCAATTATCAAAATATCCTAAATTTATGGAATTGCCAGACATTGGTTCATATTGTTCATATTCTTCTTGCAGAAAATTAGGTTATATTGTTTCTTTAAATTATTATTATCATTAATTTTTATTTAGATTATCTTCCATTTAAATGCTTATATTGCAATAAAGAATTTTGGTCATTTTTTATATTTACTTATTACTAAATTTAATACTTTTAGCAATAATCATAAAAATGAAAAAAATCATGATTGCAAAGAAGCACTCGAAGCTTTTAAATTAAAGAATATAAATATAGTTCCAACATTAAAAAAAAAAAGCTCACCAAAAAATCTTATTGACTATTGGGATAAAAACCTTGACCCTTTGAAACCTAAAAACAATGGTTCTTCAGAGACAAAAAGATCTTTTAAAAACAATATAAAATTTTCTAAATTATGGCATTGGATTTTTAAATGTTCACATAGCTCCCAAAAATCAAAATCAACACACATCACCATTTTAAAATTAAAAAAAGAAGCTAAAGGAGAAACGTCGATACCTCTTTCATCAAGATTGTATATAAAAGTAGAATTTTCATGTTCTAATGCTCATTTTCTATCTCAAAAATTTTTTTATATTTCAAAAGTATTAAAGTAAAAATTAAACTTAAATCTAACTTCAATAGGACTGGTCATGTGGTCGATCATTAGATTATCTTAGTAAGAATATTGGTATCAAAAATGTTAATTCATCAACTAAAAACGAAAATGAGGTAAAGTAATACCTTCTATCAATATATATAAAATAACAAAAACAGAGACTTCATTTAATGCATATAGAATCAGGAAAAATATTAGAACCCTCAAAAATAATTGGTGACTGTATTATAACTGGAGATACAGGTATTTTTATTTTTATAAGCAAATCTTTATTTATTTTATTAGTTGTACTTATGCGTGGAATTAATTATCACAAAAAAATATAATAAATTTACTATGACCTAATACAGATTCCTTCCAAACTGCCTCATGTTAAAATCTTCAATATTAAACATCTAAAGATTATATATTTGTACAAAACCAAAAAGAGTTTAAATACATTTTCAAAATTTCAATTCAAATTTATAAATCAAATAAGAAACTTTATATGAAAACAATTAATTAAAAAACCTGTATGCAAATATAGATAGTTCACTAAAATAACATTTACTATCTTAATCCCCAAAAACGTAAAAGAAAATTATTTTTTTTCATTTCATTTTTAGCTTTATTGACGTCAATTAACCATATCCTACGAAGAGAATTGTCCACTTTTTCTCCAAATAAATTCTTATAAAAACAGATAAATAATACATACCTATTACATCAAGATATAAATATTGATATTGAAAACTTTCTTCAAATGTTTTCTAAATAAATTAATATATATATATATATGTATATATGTGTACAAACTCTAATCATTTTAAGGCTTACTTCACCTTGGGATTTTTCCCCTCTTACATAAAATCGCATAATTATTTGTTCACGACCATCTGGCTCTATTATTCTTTGAGATCTTATTTAAAATAATTAAAAATATTAAAAAGATATTCAATAACTAACGGTATATATGAATTGCGACGAATACTATTTTGTAAAGACCCACTAAACACCTTTATATTATTTCCAAGTAATCTTTTACACTGACTATATTAATTTCTTTAATTAAATTTCCACTAACCTCCTCATTATTTTTTATATATTCAAGAGACATATTTATCGCAGGGGCCTCTACAACAAAAAGATAGCTTCCTAAAGAGTAGCTTGCTAAAGACTTCGAAATTCATATACTTCAACAACAATATTTTTACTTACTAAAACAACAACCCCTACAATAATAACAGATAATTTTAAACTAATTAAAACTACCCGAGTAGCCTTTTCCATAAAATGAAGCTGTCCCCATGACTTTGTTGTATCATCCCTAAAGAATAAAAATATTTTTCCCTTATCTTTTTTTAATATTTGTATTAAATTTAAAAATCGATCAGTATTATATAATCTTATATATCGGAACTGATTTGATATCTGTACTATACCATTCCTACTATTCCAAAGCCCTTTAGTACAAAAATTAAAACTTCTCGAATACATTAATTTATTATTTTAATCGCTATTTAATCTGATTACTAAATGTAGAAATTAATCTAAAATGTATCCGAATAAAAACAGACGAAAGACGATAAATTTATTTCTTTTTAATTATTATTAAATTCTTCCTCTAAAAATAACAAAATAAATTAAATATGACTCATGCATCTAAAGAAGAAAGTCAAAAAATTTTTAAGAATTTAAGAGCTCAAAAATATAATCAGGTAAAAATAATTAAAAATAAAAACCTACATATTAAAAATAAATAAATGAATATTAACTTCAGATTCTTACACTTTTCTAGAACTGTTTTGATTGTGGAGCAAATGGCGCAACATGGGCAGCAACAACTTTTGGAATTTACATTTGTCTAGATTGTAGCTCAATTCATAGAAATTTAGGCGTTCATATATCATTCGTTAGGTAACTTATATTTTATTTTATGAAATAAAACATATTTTTATGATAAATAGATCAACTATTTTAGATTTATGGACATGGGATCAGCTTCGTATAATGAAAGTGGGAGGAAATTTATCTGCATTAGAATACTTTACCAAACATGGAGGAACATCTATTTTAGACTCAAAAGATGTGAAAACAAAATATACTAGCAAAACAGCTATATCATACAAAGATGAATTAAAACAAAGAGCTCTTTTGGATTCTAAATCGTATTAATTTTCTATTTAAAATATAACTTCTAATCTATTTAACAGCAATTCTTCTATTAAAATAGATGATGATGAACATTCATTAATAAGTAATGATGCAGATGATGATTTTTTTACTCAGTGGAATGACCATATGTTTCAAAAATCTACTTTAACATGTGATACAAAAACTTCTTTTTTGGACAAAACAGAGATCAATAATACAACAAAAATATCTAACAATCATAAAGATTCTATGAATTCTAATTTATTAAAAGAAAATAGTATTTTAAACACATCTAAATTAAGATCATATGTTTCTACAAATAAAAGAACGGGAATAACAGGACCAAAACTTACCAAAAAGCTTGGTGCCAAAAAAATAGCAGAAACGTTTGATTTTGAAGAAGCGGAAAAAAATGCAAGAAAAGAAAATAATAGTAATTTAAGCCATACTGTCAAAAAAAATCAAATAGAATTAGAAAAAGATGATTTAAATAACTCCAATAAATCGTTTTCTGAAAATTCAGAATCAGATCCTAAAACCAATAGTTCTGTTAAAGAAACAACAACAGGTTTTCAAAAATTATGTTTTGGACAAACGAAAAGTACACCCAAATCAATTGAAACAAACTTATCTTATAAAGAAAGATCAACAACAGGAAATCCTTGTAATGGTATATTTTCATATATTTATTATTGATGATAGTATTAATTAATTTCAGATGAGATTACATATGCTCGTGATAATTTTTTTGGACAAAAATCTATATCATCGGACAAGTATTATTTATTCTCCAGTTTTTAGATTACATTAATAATTGACCAAAAATAGATATTTCCAGCGGGATTTATATAACCCAGCTATTCAGGAAGAGACCAAATTACGTTTACAAGCATTTAATGGCGCTCAATCTATTTCTTCGGACCAATATTATGGAGAAAATGATACAAGTACTCGGGATTATAAAGGTTTTGAGGAATCCGCTAAAGAGTATATTCAAAAATTTGCAGATACAGCATACAATGACATTGAAAATATCAGGTCATTTCTAAAAAAAACATATTTAAATAACTAATATTTTTTAAGAGAAGTATTAAATCATGGAGCACAAAAACTATCCAATATACTGTATGAATTTGGCTCGAGATATAATTTTTAAGTATTCTAAATTAATAATTTACCATTAATTCACATAAACAATTTATTTAATTAATAAAATTTTAAATACAGAGAAAGTTAATCGTTTACTTTAAGTAATAAAATTTGAAAATATTTTATATATCAAGAAGTTATTCTCGAAATTCATTTATTTTTGTTTTATAACTTATTTCAAAAACATAGGAAGTAATAGATATTTATTTTTTTACTAATAAAATTTAATTGTTTTAATTTAATATATATCTATTTATATATATATAACACTATATATCAATACTTTTAATAGTTTAATAATTATTATATCGCCCATTGTATAAATTCAACTAAAAATATTTCAAGTAGAAAATTTTCCATCTATTGTTTAAAAAAAGTCTATTATCAAAAAATTATGTATAATATAAAATTGAATTATATATGAATTAACATTTTATACTATCAATATTTTATAAAATTAATAATCTCTAAAAAATAAAAATTCAAAAAAAAGAATATAAAATTAACTTTTACTAAAAATTTAAATAATTTTTTCTTTAAAATTCAAAATATTTATATTTGCAAAATAAAAAACCTATTACTTGTTTTCAATAAATATATAGAACCATAATCAAATCATGAATAGTATTAAAAAGATACATAAAAATATAACTTAGAAAAACTTCACTAATCAATATAACAATTATACTATAAGTTCAAAGGCTATATAGCCAATTAATTAAAAATAACATAAAACAAATCATAACTATAATATGACTTATAACTATAAAGTAACATACCAAATAGTGCACTAATAACATTTTTCAAAACCTTTTATTAAACATTTGCATACTTTAGCAGGTATAATATTAATTTTAAACTTAATTTCACTTCAAAATATTTTTTACATTACTGAAATTTCTAAAGTTAATCATTTAAAAATGTTTATGGAAATAAACACAATCCAATATACAGTCTCAAACATATTCACTATCTTTTTCTATATTCATGAAAAAAAAAAGAAGAATGGTCTGCAACATTATTTACCCAGACCTTAAAACTATCTATCAAAATGCCAAAAATTTGCCGATACCACCACCATTGATGTTTCCTCATTTCTAACCTAGAACTCTTCAAATAATCCCTGTAAAACTCAATCATATCATCATCAGTAACTACGCCTTTTTTTTTAATGACATCATTGTAAAACATTTCCATTTTTCTAAAATAAAGAGTATTATTATTTTCCCAAAAAACTTGACTTTTTTTAAAAATATCTTTTCTTCTTTCCTAAAAAAAATTAAAAAATACAAAAAAGACAATATATATCCAATACATGCAATTTAACAGATAATGGAGATGTAATATCATAAGGATATTGTATATATCTAAGATTAGATACTGGATATATCTTACTAACATAAGGAACAAGCTTTGGACCATAAAAACCCCTAAAAATCTTTTTAAGAACTTTCATTATTTAACCCATTATTTTTTTTAAAAGCAAACTATTTCAATATCTATAATAAAACAATTCTATCGAAATTTAACTATATATTTATAATCTAATATATACATATAAAGCATAAAAATTACCAAAAACAAACTGAAATAATTACAATGTTGCTAATCAATCCTTCTTTTGTAAAGCACTTGATAATCTCCAACTAAACATAGCAGCTTGGTCTTTTTCAAATATAATTTCATCAGTGAGATATTCTGGTAAACAATTCAAAAGAAAAGCATCTCGTTCTTGATCAAAAAGAGGAGTATAAGAAAATCGCTCATGTAAATGAGAAGAAGGGTCAGAAAAAAGAGAAAGCTTAAAATGAAGAGCTAGATACATTAATATTCAAAAATAACAATAATAAAACTTACTTCCATTACGGCCTGTCTGCAAACAATCAAAAACAGTCTTTTTAGAATCCGACTTAACATCACGAATAAGCAATCCTGTTAAATCACTATAAAGTTCTTCTTTCAATTGCACCATAGACAACTTAGAGCGTGAAGAAAGTTTCGTATTTAAATATGAAATTTGCGATTTTGCATGATTAAGAGCTTGTTCTGTAGATTTCACTAAAAAAATCAACACAAATAGTCATAGTAAAAATAAATATACAATTTTCAGATATTTTTTCAAACTCTTTCTTTTGTGCTTTTAAATCAACTAGACAAGATGACAATTCGTTCAATCTCTTATCCTTAATGTCCATATCCTTAGTAAGACTATCAATAAGTGCTTGAGAAGCTATTAAAATTAAACACGAAAAAAAGCATTATATAAAAAAAAATAATTTACCCTTAAACCTAGATTCAGCTATTTCTTGATAAGCAAGAAAATTAGACTCAACTTCTGTCTGACGAAGATTTTTAAGACAGTTATATTTTTCCTCAAACTCTTCCATTTTTCGAATTGTCTTGTGACTATTAATTTACTTTAAAATTAAAGAAATAATTACCTCTTCAAGCCTTTTTTCCATATCGATATTTTCGTCATAAATATCTAAAAACTTACGTTTCGAATCATTTTGTCTTATTTGTAATACCTCTTGTTGAACATGTTTTTGACTACCTTTGGAGTTATTTTCCAGAGTAGTACCCTTTTCAAAGCGCTTTTTGCAACTATTTGCTTCTATTGTTTCAGAATATCTTGAAAAAATATTTTCTTTCTCAGATAAGTCAAATTTTCCTATATTTGATATTTTCCGCAATGGAGTTTCTTTATTCGTATGATTTCTTTTTGATTTTAAAGACGATGCCAATTCATCTATGCTATCATCTTGTTCATTAAAACTAAAATCACAGTCAATCGTGTGTTTTCGTTCTTTATTTTTAGATATATTTGTATGTTTTTTACGCATATCAGACTCAAAATATAAACCTTTCTATAGGAAAAAAAAGCATAAACTAACTACACAAACGTAATACCGAAAAACTAAAGAGATCAATTAACAAAACCCCATTATAAATATTACTTATATTTTTATTACAATTTTAAAGTTCTGAATTTGATCGAGTGTCCGCAATCTTTGCAATAAATTAACAATAATCTTTTTTTAAAAAAAAATTACTTTTATAGTTTTATACGATACTTTTTTCCTAAAAATTTTGTTGTTTATAAAGTAAATGAAAAAGAATTGCCGCTTAATATCCTAAAAACATGGTAAATGCAGAAGAACAACAATATCTCAATTTAGTACAACATATTATTAACCATGGGGAAGACCGCCCTGATAGGACAGGAACAGGGACTCTATCTATTTTTGCACCGTCTCCACTAAAGTTTTCCCTTCGAAATAAAACTTTACCACTTTTAACAACCAAACGAGTTTTTATACGTGGAGTAATTGAAGAATTGCTTTGTAAAATATCCAAAATTTGTACATATTTTCTTAATATTATATAGGGTTTATTCGCGGAGAAACAGATTCTTTAAAACTTAAAGAGAAAAATATTCATATATGGGATGCAAATGGATCACGAGAGTACCTTGACTCAATTGGATTGACCAAACGCCAGGAAGGTGATCTTGGCCCCATTTATGGATTTCAATGGAGGCATTTTGGTGCAGAATATATCGATTGCAAAACCAATTATATAGGACAAGGTGTTGATCAATTAGCCAATATTATTCAAAAAATACGAACATCACCATATGATCGCCGACTCATACTTTCAGCATGGAATCCTTCAGGTATACTTTTTTATCAATTCAATATCATTGCTTATTACTATTTAGATTTAGAAAAAATGGCATTGCCTCCGTGCCACATCTTTTGGTAATATTTATATTTAACCTGTATATGGTAACCATGAATCTTACAACTATATATAGTCAATTTTATGTTCATATACCATCGAATAGCCACCGACCTGAACTCTCATGTCAACTATATCAACGTTCTTGTGACATGGGGCTAGGCGTTCCCTTTAATATTGCATCATACGCTTTACTAACATGTATGATTGCACATGTTTGTAGTCTTGATCCAGGTGATTTTATCCATGTCATGGGTGAACACTATTTTTTAAAAAAAAAGCAAATTTTAATTATCTGTAGGTGATTGTCATATTTACAAAAACCACATTGCAGCACTACAGCAACAACTTACACGCTCACCACGACCTTTTCCTACTCTTTCTTTAAATCGTTCAATCACTAACATTGAAGATTTTACATTAGACGATTTTATTATTCAAAACTATCATCCATATGAAACCATAAAAATGAAAATGTCCGTTTGAAAAATATATTGCATTATAACTTTTTCCATTCATCCTACTAGATTTACTTTTAAAAAATAACATGTTAAATTAATAACAACTCATATAATATATAACTAATCTATACATAATTAAGTACTTAAACAATTAACACGTTATAACACCAGCATATTTTTACAAATGCTACCACTGATTCTAGACTTTTACTAAAAGTCGTCCTATATTCATGTACAATACAATGTAACTATAAAAAATTAACGATTAAACAAAAGGATATTTTCAATAGAAAAGTAACAGTTTAAAATCCTTCATTAGCTAGCACATTTAACCTTATTACTAAAGTTCTTAACAAAAACTATATGGATGAACGAAAACCCATCCATTACGGGACTCGAACCCGCAACCTTTCCTTCTGACGCATAGGAGAGGAATGCGCTACCATTGCGCCAAATGGACATATAGTCTATAAATGGCTTTTTTATAGCAAATTAATGTATCAAAAGTTAATTTTTGTTAATTATCAATTATCTTTCCTATAAGCACCATGCCTCTCAAAGCACTAAACTTTAATATTATACGAGAATGTTCGACATCAAAAGCAAGAGCAGGTCTTCTTACATTGCCTCATGGGAATGTTGAGACGCCCGTATTTATGCCGGTTGGTAAATATCATTCACTTAAAATATTTTTGATAACTTTGCAGCTACACAAGTTAAATATTCCACCATTTATATATTTAGCTAAGCTTTGTAGGCAACATTAAAAGGTATAACATCTAAACAATTAGAACGTCTTGGCTGTCGTCTTATACTCAACAATACATACCATCTTGGTCTTCGTCCAGGACAATTTATTCTTGATGCAATTGGCGGAGCTCACATATTTCAGCAATGGCCTCATAATTTATTGACAGATAGTGGAGGGTATTATCGATTTCTAAATCCTAATACTCAACTAATGCTAATAAGCTTTCAAATGATTTCACTTCTAAAGTTATCTCGCGTTACTGAAGAAGGCGTTGAATTCCATAGTCCTTATGATGGATCTCTTATGCTTCTTACGCCAGAGCATTCCATCTCATTACAAAATAGTATCGGTTCCGATATTATGATGCAATTAGATGACGTTGTCCATTCCCTTGCCCCTTTGGAAAGAATTGAAGAAGCAATGTGGAGAAGTATACGCTGGCTTGATCGCTGCATCGCAGCAAACAAGAATCCGGAAAAACAGAGTCTTTATGCAATTATTCAAGGAGGACTTAATGAAAAATTAAGAACAATATGTTGTCTAGAGATGATAAAAAGAGAAACACCTGGAATAGCTATAGGTGGACTAAGTGGAGGAGAAGAAAAATCCAAAACATTTAAAATAGTTTCTGTTTGTACAGATTTGTTACCTTCGAATAAACCAAGATATCTCATGGGTGTTGTAAAAAACAACCTAGAAAAAAATATCAATTAATTTATTTAGGGGTATACAGAAGATATCGTCGTTAGTGTTGCGTTAGGAATTGACCAATTTGATTGTGTATATCCTACACGAACAGCAGTAAGTATTAAATATCTGCTTTTTCTTTTTTAATCTTCTAGCGTTTTGGTAATGCCCTTACACCATATGGTGTTTTGAATCTTCGTAATCAACGTTTTTCGAAGGATTATAATCCTATCGACAAAGATTGCAAATGCCCTTGCTGTAAACCAGGGGAATGGGGAATAACAAGAACGTATATTCATCATATAGTATGTAAAGAGACAGGTAAAATATCACTATTATTATATTTTCATCCAATGAAGTTAGTTGCTGCACATTTATTAACAATTCACAATATTCATTATCAATTAAACCTAATGAAAGAAATAAGAAATGCAATTATTCATGACAAATTTCCTGTCTTTGTCAAAAAAACATTTGATCAGTTATATTCCGAAAAAAATTATCCCAAATGGGCTGTCGAGTCTTTAAATACTGTGAATATAAATCTTCTAGAATAAATTATAGATTCCCCTAAAATTTCAAAGTCATAAATTATAACTCAAAATGATCAACTATCAAAAATAATTATATTAGAAAAAAATTTTAACTATATACAAGCTTCAGATATAACAATAACATATCTATATACTTTATTAACAAACAATTCAGCTTCTTCGTCCATAGCCATCTCCAACTCCTTTGCGAGTTCTTCAGCACTACCCTTTTTTCGTAAATGATCTAAAATAAACTTGATCAGATCATCTTCTTGAACACCAACATATTCGACAATCTTTTTTGTAATAAATGGTTGAATTTTTTCCTCAATAATAGACTAATGTTATATTAATAATATCTCAACTATAAAAACAAAATAACTTACTTCAGTTAATCGGTCCCATTTAATAGACCAACTCCATAACCCCTCTTTTTCAGAGGGAACGGATGCAACAATTTCTTTAATTCTCCTAATTTTAGATTCATCATCCTCAGCAGCTTCGGTATCATCATATTCTAGAGGCAATAATACAGGTTTTTTGTTTCCAGTATAATGATCATCATCATCTTCAAGAAGTTTTTCAACTTCTGAAACAACTCTTTTTGGAACATCTGTTTGTTTCTTCGCAGAACCAAGAGTAAGTCTAATAGGACCAATTCCTGAATCTTTACTAATTCCTGATTCAGCATGTTTATATTCTGCAGCCTGCTTTTTGGAAAGAAAATCAACGTTTGTACTAGCTTTGGATTTTTCTACTTCTTCACGTTCTTCTAAAGCTCGATCACGTGCATCCATTTCCATTTCTCTAGTACGAAATATTGCTCTATGTCGCAACCACGATGATCTATCTTTATAATATTCTTCTACACCTGCTTCAGCTTCTAAATCATCATTCCACTCAGCTAATCGACGAGACATAATTTCCCTATCTCTAGCCTCACGAAACGCTTCTTCTTTATCTCTATTCATTTCCCGCTCTAACGCAGATGTTCGTGATTTTTCTCTATTTAACCATCTTTTTTCTCTCTAAAACATATAAAAATTAAATTATAAAATAAAATAATATTACCTCTTGAAATGCAGCTTCCAGCTCTTTCTGTTTTCTATTTCTTCTTTCTTTCTCTATTTCTTCACATGTTCTTGTATCATCTAGTTCATCTTCATGACTCTGAACATAACCGTTACTTTCCTTTGATACAAATGTTATTGATTTTTGATAATCTTTCGACATCTGACCATAAAGGTCGTCAGAATAATTTGGAGGTTGAATATTATTATTTCTTGCTCTTTGACTAATGGAATTATTTGATTGAGAAGCAAATTTAGAGGAAACAAACAATCCAGACATTCTTTCGAGCTCTAATCTTCTCCTTTCCGTCTCTTCCTCCCTTTTTAACTTCTCATGTTCTCTTCTTTCAGATCTTTCTCTAAAGGAAGATATTTCACGAGCAACAGCCTCACGGTGCTCTACAGGTATATCTTCTAGTTCATCATCTACATTAAGTGTTACAGTAACCACCTTAGATGTATCTTTGCTTTCAGAAGCTTGTAAATCCCTAAAGCTATCTTCAGAAGATGTTTTTTTTGGATCTCGTTTATTAGGATCTTTAAAATCTTCAAGAACTTTAGTAAGATTGCTCTTAGCTTGCATAATAAGACTTCGATCTCGTTGCTAGAATAAATTAATAACAACTTATTAAAAATAATATATACTGGATTCTTGTTCTCCCTTGTCTCATTCCATTCATCTAAATATTCACGAGTTTTTTGATCAACTACCACCTTGCAAATCAACAAACAATATGATAAAAAAAATAATATAATTACCATAATTTTAGAACCTTCTCCATCTCCTTTAAGAGGAGGAATAACAAGATTTTCTAAAGCTATAATAGCCCTCTGTACATGTTCAGGATCATCATATTCTGCAAATCCAAAATTCCGAAGAGAGCCAGTCGCATTACTAGCTCTTTTCCATTCTTTCAACTTCGCAACAGACTCAAAAGCATTAATTTTAATCTTTTTTTTTTTCAAAAAAAATACTTTCAATATTTTATCAATCCAAAAGTCATCCAAATAATCAGGAATAGAACAAATAAATAACGTTCTAAGTTGTTGTTCTACAGTAGGTGGCTGTAAAAGACTCGGAGTATCACGAACAGCAGCAGTTCTCGATACAAGTACAGGAGCAGATGTGATTACAGCAGCCTGAGGCTTCATTTGATTAACATTTGTTCCAAAATGAATAACCGGTGCATTAAAGTCTATTTTCGATATATTTGTTGGAAGCCCATATCCTACAGACTGAGACTGTACAGCATTAGGAACATAACCAGGCGGCGCTTGCAAATTCTGCTGATAAGTCTGATATCCTTGATATCCATAGAGAGGATCTAAAAATTATAATTACATTTGCAATTCATCTATATATAATAAAGTTTACTTGTTCCATAAGGTCCTTGCGGTGGACAATACATAGTTTAATAAATATCACACTTAAGTATCCACAAAGAACTTCTTAATTGTCGTCAATACAATATTTTTTTTTATAGATTTTTCAAAATCATAAATTCAAGAGCTTAAATTCGATTTCCTTTTAATAAAAAAAATCCATAAAAAAACAGAAAAATATAATTTAAGAGCAAAATATTCCTCTGCAAAACAAATGGGATATGAAGATTATCAATCATTTTTCTCAAAATCTTTTAAATTACAAAGTTTCAAATTTTCTACAAGAAAAATTTATATTATGGAGAACAAAAATCTTAATAGGAAAATATCAAGGAAAAAAAATAAAACATCTATCTACAATTCCATTTAAATGCAGCAAAGAAACAAAAGATAAAAGCATATTATTTCCAGAGAAAGAAGTAAATGAATCATTTTATAATAATCACAATTCAAAAACCATTGAACCTATTTCATCATTAAAAAAAACATCCAGGCAATCATCAGCTTTCTTCAAGCCTCTTAATTCTTTAAAAGATAGCCATGATTTAAAAAATAAATATCAGAAATTGCCTATTTATAATCGAGCAGCATCTCGGGAAGTAAGAAATCAAGATATTGTTTCTTCATGGAGATCTTTAGATATTCTTCTGAAACAAAACAATGTACGACGTGATGAAAGAATGGGAAGGTTTTATGAGAAACCTACGAGAAAAAGAAACCGTTTACGCAGCGAACGCCATAGAAAACGTTTCAGAGCTAGTATACGTCGTTTGGTTTCTATTGTGAAAGAAATGAAACATAAAGGAATATAGACTTCAAAAACACTTAATTATATTCCTAAATAACATAATAATATATATTTGAAACACCACGAAACATTAAGATATGATATTTAACAACTTTAAGAACAAATTTCATTTATTTTTCAAGCATTTTCGATTTTTTAACATTAAAATGATATATAAAATTACATAAACATTTTTAAATTAAAAAAACAGTTATTAAACATACATCCTCAAACTCCGAAAAATATAATATAACACTGTAAAAGCATTTATCTAGCTCGTAAATCTTATTACTAACATATAGGTTCTATAAAATATCCAGGAATATCATTTATATAATTGAAAAGTATCTATTTTTTTGTATAACTTAATCTACAAAAAAACAGTGATATCTTACTGTAATTTAAAATTTCTACTTAGCATTTTCTTAAATATTTTTTACTTATTTAAATAATAAAGAAATTGAATAAAAACATATAACATTGATAAATCTATCAAATAATTATCATCTTATGTTAAAATATTGTTTTCACCTAAATTTAGAAGTTTATAATTAAAAATAGAAATATTAAATACAATAAATAATAATAATTATAGTCTACGTAAATCCTTTATTAAAGAGTTACGAAAATATAAGAAATTATTATAAATCACATAATAAATCAATAAAACAAATTTTAGATCCTAAATAAAAATAAAAATATATAAAATAATAGAATTTCAAAAAAAAATAGACCAAAAATGAAATAAAATACAAGTCAATAATATTTATAACTAATTATAAAAAAATACTTAATAAATTCATTAAAATTTATATAAAAGTTTATAAAAAATTGTAACAAATCCAAATAAAAACTACTATATAAAAATAAAATGCATGTATATCAAAAAGATATTTACTTGCTTTTATAAATATCCAATGAATCAAAAGTTTTAATTAGCTATACTTAAGAATTTTACAAATACTAGAAATGTTACACAAATAAACTTAAAATTATGTTTTACAATAATATATAGCAGCCTTTTTATATTTTTTGAATACCATTATTTATTTATATGTTATTAACGCATCAAAATACATTTTTACTATAATTCTCGCTTTTAAAATTCTATTTCTAATTTTCTAAAAACCCAAATATCTATTCTGTAAAATTCACACCCATCTTTCATACAGGCACATTCATAAGCGCAATCTAAAAATTTGCAATAAAGGTGATCTTAGAAGTTTTAAAATACAAATTTTTATTTAGAAGCATTAATAATAAAATATTTTTCTAGCCTTAAAAAACATAAAGTTCATATAAAGTTCGAAAATATAAACTAACTATTATGCCTCGATTTTCTAGAAGAAGTATATTAATTATAGGAATCTTATTCCATGTTATTTATCTTCGATCTATCTTTGATATCTATTTTACATCTCCATTAGTCCATGGGATGCAACAGTTCAAAGTTGAAAATCATATTCCAGCAAAGCGACTTTTTCTTATAGTTGGTTTGTTAGGTTTTTCATAATTTTCATACATAATATTATATAGGAGATGGTCTAAGAGCAGATAAATTATTCGAATCATATTTAAATCCGGAAACAAATATATATGAAACATACGCACCATTTTTACAATCAATTGTACTTAATAAAGGTTGTTTCGGAATATCTCATACTCGTGTTCCAACAGAATCTAGACCTGGACATGTCGCTATTATAGCAGGTTTCTATGAAGATGTAAGCGCAGTTACTAAAGGTATCAAAAATATGCATACTCTTATGAAGATTCTAATATGCTACACATAGGCTGGAAAACAAATCCTGTTAATTTTGACTCCGTTTTTAATCAATCCCAACATACATGGTCCTTCGGTTCACCAGATATTTTACCTATGTTTGCGTACGGTGCATCTGATATTTCAAGAGTTGAAACATTTATGTATGAAAAAGAAATGGAAGATTTTTCTAAAGGTCTTTTATTACTTACAACATATATCTATGCTTACAATGATTAAAGATTCTACTATTTTAGATACATGGGTTTTTGATAAAGTAATAGAATTATTTGAAAATGCTACTTCGAATTCAGCTATAAAGGAGGCACTATCGCAAGATAAAATAATTTTTTTTCTTCATTTACTTGGACTAGATACTACTGGACATTCATATCGTCCATATTCAAAAGAATACCTAAATAATATAAAAGTAGTGGATTCTGGAGTCAAAAAAATCGTGGAATTTATAGAGAATTATTACAATGACGGAAAAACAGCATGGATATTTACTTCTGATCATGGGATGAGTGATTTAGGAACACATGGAGATGGTCATCCAGATAATACTCGCACTCCTTTAATTGCCTGGGGCTCAGGGATAAATCCTCCAGATAAACTAAATGTTTCAGGCCACGATGAATTTTCTAAAAACTGGATCATTAGTTCTGTTAAACGTATGGATGTTCTTCAAGCAGACATTGCACCACTTATGGTATTTATTTAGTTTCATAAAAATTACAATAAAATGAGCAGGCTTATCTTGTTGGGCTAAATTTTCCTATGAACTCTGTTGGTCAACTACCTTTAGACTATTTATCATGCTCTCTTGATATTAAATCTCAGGTAGCTTTTACTAATGCACTAGAAGTAGCAGAACAATATAAAATAAAACATGGTAAAATTAAAACAATTCTACAAATTTGTATTTAATAAAATTTTAGAATATAAATCCTTAACAAAAATTGCGTTTAAACCATTTAAACACTTGAATAACAAAACACATAATTTAGATACTTATAAAAATCATATCAAGACTCTTATTGATGACCATAAATACAATGAAGCAATCAAAATTTGTAAAGAAATGATAAAAATATGCTTAGAAGGCTTACAATATCTACAAACGTATATTAAATTTGAAATTGATCACTAATTTCATTATTTTTTAGATACGATTCTCTATTTTTACGTTCAATTATTACATTGGGATATCTTGGATGGATAGTATTTATGTTTATTCAACTTATCAATATCTATATTCCAAAAGATACATATCAACCTAAAAGAACTATCTTTTCATCTTTATTTTTTTCATTTATTTTAATTGGTCTATTTATTATACTATACATAGAAAAATCGCCATTATTTTACTATGCATATATCATATTTCCTATTTTTTTTTGGGAACATATTTTTACTAACAGAAAAAATATTTACAAATGTTATGTACTTTTTTTCAAAAATATAAAAAAAACATACAAAAATACAATATTTTTTGTAAAATCGATGCTATATATCACCCTTTTGGAAACTATAGTAGGAGTATACTATATAATTTTACAATATTAACAACATCAGGTTATTGGATATTCTCAAAGGAAGGTTTTTACAGCATACTTCATATTAGTTTCATTTTGGCCTTTGACTCATGGAATTAAATTTATTCGAGATAATAAAATATTAATTTCTTTATGGATGTTAAATTCTTTTATAACCAGTACATTTACTTTATTTGATACAGTAAAAAAAGAAAGATTATCTTTAATGTATTCATTTTTTTAAAAAATAAGACTTTAATTATTTTAGTTTAATTGGAGGTTTTATTATGTTTCTATTTGGGACTATATATTTGATCTTTGGAGACTTATTATTAAAAAAATATAAAACTATGGTTAAAATGCCTCAAACTATCATCAGTCTTCAGGTATATATATATACATATATATATCAAATTATGTTAATGCCATTTTATAGCTAGGCTTGCTTATTCTTTCAATAGTAGTAACACATTTAAGCGTACTATCATTACAAGCTAAAAAAGGCCTACCATTTGGAAATCAGGTGGTCGGATGGCTAGTTTTAGGTATAAAAATCCCACATAAATTTTATTTAATATCTTATTAACTAAAGTCTTTTCTTTAATAATTCCATTTATAACGCTAATGAAGAAAAAGAACTATTATATTCATAATCTCGTTATAATTTTCTTAATGTTCTCACCTTCTTTTGTTATTCTCTCTGTTTCATATGAAAATATTTTCTATGTGTGTTTTTTTAGCACTTTGGCATTATGGGTTCAGATTGAGTATAAAATTAGACTGAAAATCGCACCTCGCGACAGAAATAGGGGATTGGAAAAGAATCAAGAACTTCTGTTTCACGAAAATCTAAGAACAGCATTATTTTATCTTTTTTTTATACAAGAGGCATTTTTTGGAACAGGAAACATTGCATCTATATCGTCTTTTACATTAGATTCAATTTATAGGTTAATCCCTATATTTAATCCGTTTTCTCAAGCAGCACTTTTACTATTTAAACTCTTAATTCCTTTTATAATTATATCAGCTAACTTAGGAATTCTTAACCAGAAATTAGGAATCCCTCCATCAACATTATTTATGATAGTCTTAAGTATATCAGATATTTTAACATTAAATTTTTTCTATCTTGTCAAAAATGAAGGAAGCTGGCTTGAGATAGGCTCTAGTATTTCTGCTTTTTGTATCGCAAATCTCCAAATATTATATGTAATTATTCTTGAAAAGGCATCAGACTTCCTAGTCGGAGATTCATACATTCCTATTGAAGAAATTTATTAGTCAAAAGGCAATCAATATAGCTATAGCAATTTTTAATTTAAATCAAGAATTATAATATTTCAAATAGAAATCATGAATAGACATTATAACATAGAATCCAACAGAAACTATTCAACGAAAGAATCTATATACATTTCTTAGAGAAATATATATTCCCAAAAAAAAACATTAATGTTTAATCACAAATCAATATTAATTGGACAAAATCATTCTAACGAATTCTACAGAAAATTCAATTATAAACGCAAATTATTTAATAGGACTTACCTCCATAATTTACAACACCATCCTTAGTATTAACATCCTTTAACAACTCATTGACTTCATCATCCGACAACTTCTCACCAAGATTCGTCAATACTAATTAAATTAGAAAAATCTAAAAATAAAAGATACTATTTATACTATATTTAAGCTCCCCAACACCTATAAATCCCGTAGAATCTTTATCAAATACTTGAAATCCACGAATAAAATCAGCGTGGTCGCTTACTGGGCGAAATCCGTTTGGCCTATTCAAAATACGAAGAAAGGTATCAAAAGTAACTATGAACGAATTTATATAAGAAAAACAAAGAAAAAAAATACCTTCATCCAAAATAGACTCTTCAATCTCTGAAACTTCTGATAACGTGGGGTTCTGACCAACTGCCCTTAAGAGATCCCCAATACATTCTTTCGAAACAGTACCTTTCCCATACTTGTCAAACAATGAAAATGCCTCTTTATAAGCAACATTTGATGAATCCTTTAAAAGTAAGCAACTATTCAAATATTCTTAATTTTTTACCATTTTTTTAAATAATATTCATCTCTGGCACGAAAACAAAAACAATATTTATTGCTATAGCAACAAAAAATCCAGATGATAGACTTTACATATATTGAACCTCAAGAACTTTGCTTAAAACTTAAAAATACAGAAAATAAAGCAAAGGATATAATCATTGTAGATGTAAGAGAAGATGATTTTATTGGTGGACATATTAAAGGCGCATTACATATCCCCTCGTACAAACTATCATCACATATTTTAAATCTTGTTGAAGAAACAAAAAAGGCAAAAGAAATTATATTTTACTGTTCCTTTTCTCAACAGAGGTTCTATTTATTTGTATAAAACAAACAATAATATTTATAAAATGTAGAGGACCAGCAGGAGCAAGATTATTCTTAGTAGAACAACAAAAAATACATAATATAAAAGGCATACAAGAAAAAACGATTTTTCCAGTACCTTATTATTATTTCTACGAAAAATCTTACCATTATTTAGAAAGTATATGTCCTCCGAGGCGGTTTCGTTGAATGGCAGAAGAAATATGGTAATGATGAAAAATTAACAGATAAATATAATAAAGAATTATGGGAAAAAAAATTCTGGATATAATTCGTATAATAGCCCAAAAAATATTCTAAAACACTTACAAAAATCGAAAACGACAAAATAAATAAGTAAAAAAGAAAATGAAATAACTAAAACCTGCTCAACACATATCAATTGACAGTCCTAATCAACAAATTTGCATTTACCCTTTTCTCCCTAGAGTATGTTTCAGATATTTAATCAATATTTACTCCACTACACTTTCTAAACCCTCACTAATCATATTATTATTACAGCTATCAATTACATTTGATCCATGATAGCTCCAATCTTGAAACTTCCGCTGAATTGTTTCCGATAAATGTGAATCATCAGCAACAGAATCAATAGGAGTTTCATTTGTAAACTCTTGATCAAAATTGCTTGTATCAGCAACATTTTCCACATTCGGTTTAAAAGGAGGCTGTATCTTTTTTGCATATAATTTTTTCCAATCAATACTTGAAAAAAAAGGATGAGATTTAATTTCTGCCGCACCCAAATTCCCCAATCTCTTTTCAGGATTACGTGTTAAGAGTCCAGCCAATAAGCTTCTTGCTTCCTTGTCAATATCATCTGGAAACCGCAAAGGATCTTGCAAGATTCTACGATACATTTCATTTGTATTTTCATTATAAAATGGAGGAAGCCCAGTAAGCATTTCATATAAAAGAACACCCAATGTCCACCAATCTACTGCCTTAGTGTATCCTTGGCCCAATAAAAGCTCGGGTGCCAAATATTCTGGAGTACCACAAAATGCTTAAAAAATTTAGCATTATTCAACCGAAATATATAAAAATACTATTTGTTTTTTCGGATTCAGCGATATTTAATTTACATAAACCAAAATCACATAAAGCAATGTGACCTATGTAATCTAATAAAATATTTTCGGGCTTTAAATCACTAAAAAATATTGAATTTCAATATATAAAATAATAATTTCTTACCGATAAATCACATTAAAACTATGTAAACATTCCAATGCGCAAAGTAGTTCAGCAGCATAAAACCTAGAACGCTCAAGATCAAAGCGTCCTTCACGCTGAAGATGATAAAAGAGCTCGCCACCATTAACAAAAGCTAAAACCAAATATAGTTTTTCAGGCGACTGAAATGAAAATTTTAAAGGAACAATAAAAGGATTGTTGATCTGAGCAAGAACTGTACGTTCAGCCAAAGTATGATTTACCTCTGATCGCGAAACAATATGCGCCTTTCTAATCGTTTTAAGAGCATATATACATGATGTATCCTAAGCAAGAATTAAAGGAAATCATTGAAAATAAAAAATTCACAATTTTTCGAACTTGCATTACCTTTTCAAAAATCAATAAATCATTATATTAAATAATAAACATACTTTCCCAAATGATCCTCTACCTACAACCTTAAGTAATTTAAACGAATCTATTGTAATAGGAGAACTCTAGCAAAATATTACAAAAAAATAATACTAATATTCCAGCAAAAGATCAAACCTTATTTGACTTGTAAGAAATTTGTAACCGTATTTGCCCAGTTCCACCATGCATAGACAGCCACTCATCCTTAAATGGCTATTTTAAAAGAGAATAAGAATGAAAAAAAAAACAGAAGAATAAACCTACAATTTCAGAAAAATTAGGAATAAATTTTATTCCGCCCAAATATATATGATTCCCGGAACCATGTCCTTTTTGTATTTGACCTAAACGTAAATAACACTGAATAGAAAGCTGGGAAGGCTTCAAAACATCACTACGAAATTAAATATTAAACACATGGAAAAGTTTCAATTATATAGATTTAACTCTTACAAATTTACTTTATATTCCCATCGAGGATGACATATCGTACTAGATCCATCCAAAGCGTCAACCAAAACTTGATTCTTATCAAATTCAAGAACAAGATATGGAAAAAATAAAGAACGGTCCTGCGATCCTTTTTTCTCATTAACTGTATAATGTCTTTCTGCAGAAGATGATTCCGGTGAAGAAATACCAGGAGGAAGACTTAAGTTTACTGCTTCCACAACTGTTACAGAAAGAATCCCAGGTCTAACTACATATTCTTCATCCTGCAAAGGCTTCTGCGCAATCGTATTATCTGAGTTCATAGATCCTAATGATTCTCGATTAGATGAAATTCCCTGAGTTGAATTTCTAAATTCTACCACAAAAATTATTAATCACTATATTATATAATCATAATTCTTAACCTCTTACTTTTTGACAGCTTCCAAGACATCTATTTATTGATACAAGCTCTTTTCCATGTATTTATAAAAGCCAAAATTTGTCCCGAGATCGTACAAACTTAAGTCACGAGCAAAAAAATTAAAATATATTATTATAAAAAATACAAAAACATTAAAACACAACCAAACATTTCATTATAAAGCACCATCTTTCCGAAGCACAGTAGAAGAAGTCCATGGTTCATCAGTAAGAGATGTAAGCCCCGATTTAGGCTCACAACTTTTACGACCAGATTGTGGACCATGTTTTGGGAATTTACCCGCTCTTATCATTTTTAGAATCTCAATACAAGTATTAGGATCAAGATCTTCCTTTTTTCTTAATTAGTAGATACAAAAAAATCAATATAATACATACATAATAATTATCGCCGACAGTAAAAAGAGGAGCATTAACACATGCCTTTAAAAATTAAAAAAAAAAAACAAATAAATAAAAATAACGCTTGCCCCTGCACATTCCATTTCCATAAGTGTAAATTTGCCGTCAGATGTAGTACCGCCAGGTGAAACTCCTAAATAATCTTGTACAGCTTTTAGAATTTGATCTGATCCGCAAAGCTGACATGGTGTTGTTGTACAAACCTGCACTAAAGTTCCTACGGGTTGACGATTATACTAGAAACATGAATATTTTTAAATAAATCGATATAATATACCATTGTATAAAAGGTTGCTATTTCGTAAACACGCATTTTTGGAATATTTAAAAGCTTCGCAACATAATCCATAATACTTGAAATATTTTAAAAACTAATCAAAAGAAAAAATTCTTACCTAATACTAGTATAGCCTAATTGACGTTGTCCTAAATCAAGAAGCGGCATAACAGCAGCTTTTTTCCTAATAAATTCATCAATATAAACAAATAAATATAAATAGATAGAACCATTCACTAGGATATCTATTAATTATTTCCTTGGAACGCTTCAAATTCTCTGGAGTAAATTCGAATGGGATATCCTAAAGGTATAATATTAATTTAGCCAAAAAATCAGCAGTTTTAAGAATCTTGTTCATACAGGATTATTCTCTGGAGTATTTATATGATCTTTGAAAAATTTAAATCAAACTATCTAATTCCTAACACGTCTTACTTACTAAAAGATATACGACTTTGTATAATATTATTATGAAAAAAACAAGATCTTGGTTTATATAAAAGATATCTCATGCAGCTTTTCAAAACATTCTTATTAGGAGAAAGAGAGCGAGATGAATTTAAAGTAACATCTTTTGTAAGAAAAAATCGTTTTATCATTTTTTATATGTTTCAAGTTCCAAACCTCGTCGACTATTAAAAACTCAATCAAAATCAAAATATTATTTGTTCATTCAAAGACCTTATTATATTATTTTAAAACTTAAAATATTTTATATCTTACTATTCAATTTTGTTTTTTTTATTAAAATAAATATATTAATTTTATATTTAAAAAAAAACGAACATTTAGTATTCATACAATAAGACTAAAAATAAATAAAGTATAATATCATTAAGAAATATAGAAATAACATATTAATTATATGGCTTTTATTGGGAATCCGAATAGGTTAAATTAATTTATTATCAAAACTATAAGCTTTTGAAAAAAATATTTTTTTAAAATTATCTTTTTAGAAGTCATTTAAATTTTCTATAGATTTAATCATTTTTCTAAGGAACAGATAATATTTAAAATCAAGGCATGCCCTTAAATAAATATCATTGTGATATTTGTGCTCTGGATATTTCTCGAATTACACATATTCGGTGCGCAAAATGTAATGACTTTGACCTTTGTATACCATGTTTTGCATCAGGTTCTGAAATAGGCACTCATAAATCTGATCATTCGTACAGAGTTATTGAGCAGCCTTCATTTCCTATTTTCGATAAAGACTGGGGAGCCGATGAAGAATTAATGCTTATAGAAGGTCTTGACAGCTATGGACTTGGCAATTGGCAGGATGTCGCTGATTATCTCGGAAATGGAAGGTCCAAAGAAGAATGCGAAAAGCATTATCATGATATATATATATCTAGTCCTTCTTTTCCCTACGCGGTATTTTTTTATTAATTTCTAAACAAAATGTAACTTTCTATAAGAAACGTTTACCCTTTGATATTGATCGTGAAGAATTTCAAAAACGTAGAAAAGAAAGAATTGGAAAATTTTCTACAACAGACAGACTTGTTCCTCCACAAAAACAAAAGCCGGTAGTTTCTACTCCATCTTGTCATGAAATACAAGGATATATGCCGGGTCGACTTGAATTTGAGACAGAATATGAAAATGATGCAGAACTTACAATCAAAGACATAAATTTTGACGAAGATATTTCAGAAAATGCAGAAGATGTTATAGAATTAAAATTAACAATATTGGATATATATAATTCTAAATTGGATAAACGTGCAGAAAGAAAGAAAGTCATATTTGAGCATGGGCTTTTAGATTATAGGAAAAAATTAGCTAATGAAAAGAAAAGAACTAAAGATGAAAGAGAACTTATTAATAAAACCAAAGCCTTTGCTAGGTTACAAAATTCTAGAGATTATGATGCATTTGTGGAAGGGTTATTAAGTAAATATCCTTTTAAAGTTACCAAAAACTTTTTTTATAAAATATAGATGAATTAAAAATTCGAAGAAAAATTGCAGAACTGCAAAAATGGAGACAAAACGGCTTTACTACACTAGAACAGGGTCAGAAATATGAACGCGATAGATCCCAGAAGGTAACAAAATACATTATTTTAATATTTAAATTTAATTTAAATCAGCAACTAACAATGAAAAATCCACTATCTTTAATGGCTTCTGATCGATATATTTCACGTCATACAAAAAACTTAACAGGGAAGCTTCCGCAATCTGTTTCTCAAGAGGAATACATTTCTTTTAATCAAACAAAAGATTCCATTTCCAAACCTTTAAGAAAACCAATCATCTCTAATATATCATCAGCATCAGGGCTGCATCTACTTACACTTGCAGAACAAACACTTTGTAATCAGCTACACATTTTACCGAAACCATATCTTGTTATTAAAGATATTATTTTCCGAAAACTCATAAAAACAGGATGGCAGTTAAAAAAAAGACAAGCTCGTGAGTTGATAAAAATCGATATAAGTAAAACTTCAAGAATTGTGGATTTTATGATTAGTCAAGGATGGATTAAAAATAAAGATTCTACATAGAGAAATACATGATATTTGTTTTTTGTATATATCATTCATAAATCTAATATCTTATACCATTTGCGTATATTTTTAATAATATTTTTGATTTAAGCTCTTCATCTGGAACAAATATTTTATATTTTAATATATAATTCCAAATGTATATTTATCTAATATGAAAGAAGTTTCTCTCAAGGATTTTAACAGTTACTTTTGCATATGTGGTGAATATTCTTTATCCATTTCTACTGATCTCAAAAACCTTCCAAAAAGACAATACGATAATGCTTTAATAGTTAACAAAACAAAACATACTTTTCGAATAACATTTATAAAGCAACCAGAACCATTAATATTAGAAAGGTAAAATAACTATCATAAAAAAATCTTTACATACATTTATAACATAATTTTTTTTACAGAGAAAATGGTTATGAAAAACGCTGGATGTATACTTGTCGTAGATGTGAGCTATGGTTAGCCTACGAATTACAAGGCGTAGAAACAGCCAAGAATGTATAAACCTTATTTACTAAAGGACACTACTTAATTAATATTTAGTATTTATACATAATATCCAAGGCTTTAATATCAGAGCCTTTTGCAATTTCCTAAATACTAAATATTTAAATACAAAACACATCAACAAAAAATTCTATTAATCAAACATTATTTTTAAAGACATTTAAATAACATTTTAAGAATTTCTTGATAATATAATCTATTTTTTCCTTTTTTATAAATCATTATATAAAAAAAAGATATTTGATTTAATAAAAAGAAGTATTTCTAAACAAAAAAAAATCATGATCTACAAAATAATTTCATAAGCTATACGTATTTTTATTTCCTTGAAATTTGCGTTGGACTGCTTTTCTCGGAAACTCTTACGATAGGAACCTTTGCAACTTCACCTTAAGACTATTAAAGTTGTACTTTTTTAAAAAATAAAAAAAAAACAAACTATATTCAAACAATCTTAACACAGTATTCCTAAAGATTCAAAAATAATATGGTAAGAACTTTGATATGGAATTAAAAAAAAACTATCAACTATTTTACATTAAAGAAAAAGTTTTAATATGAAAATGATAAATTTTGAAACAATTATCTTCTTATTGAATATAAATAGGTTACGTAAGCGTACTTTACTTTTGATTATAGTTTTTCTTAAATTCTATTAACTCTTATTTGAACAAGTATTAATTTTTTTTATAGGGTCGTGTTAGAACTAAAACTGTTAAACGTGCTTCACGAGTAATTATTGAAAAAGTAGAGATAGGAATTTTGGGTATAGCTTTTAACGGCTTTAGTATTATCCTCGGCTAACTCGTGATTTTCATACAAATAAGAAAGTTTGTGATGAAGTAGCTATTATCGCTTCAAAAAAATTAAGAAATAAAATTGCGGGATATACAACACATTTGATGAAAAGAATACAAAAAGGGCCAGTCTGTGGGATTAGTTTCAAACTTCAAGAAGAGGAAAGAGAAAGAAAAGATCAATATGTTCCAGAGATATCTGCTCTTAGTACGAATGTTACAGCACTTGAAGTAGATATTGACACTAAGGTGACATTTTTATACTTAATTTATTGAACTGCTTTTTACTTTATAAAGAATATGTTAAAGGCAATAGGCTATGATTCCGTTGCGGTCACTGTAAATACATCACTAGCAGGTGCAGTTGAACAACAAACATTTAGAAACCAAAGGCGTCCTTAAATTTAAACAGAAAGGAAAAAATATATGCAAAATTTATTTATATAAACATATTGTCTTTTTACATTCTGAATTTCCATTATCTATATTTCGAATAATCAGCTAGCCAATTATATAAAGCATCAAACCTATTATCATTTATATTTTTTAATTCAATATGCACCTACATCATCCAGTAATTCCCTTCCACGTTTTTTAACATCTAATGCTCGTAAACGTAAACTTTCTTCTCGCTGAATAAGTTTTTCAGCATGTACATCAATCATATTTTGTACTTCAAATAGAAGCTCCTCTTTTCGCCTAATTTTATCAGTTTTATCATAAAGCAATTGAAAGATAGCACTTCCGCAGCAAAATAACTTTTTCAATTAATTGAAAACCTCTTTTCGATATTTCTAAGCCTTTATCTTCCCATTCTTTGATAGTTAACATAGCATAAGCTCTTTCTTGTTCAGAAAAATCATCAGGAAGTGATGGCGGAGGAAATTTATCTCCTTTAGGATATACTGAGAGTGAAATATAAGATTCCTCAGCTAATGATGGAGGATCCTTCTGAGAAGCTTGAATATCAGAAGAGCTATCATCTGCAGTTACGTCTAACGATACATGATTGCAAGACTCTTCCTGTACAATTTCTTCATTTTTTTGTAAACAATAAGATTCATCAACAGAAACTTCCGATGCTTCTTTATTGTTAATTTCCTCTTTCTCATCATACAATTGATTATGATCCACATGTTTCTCTTCTATATCTATCTTAATATATGTCTTATATAGAGAAATGACAATTAACCACGTAATTCCTGTTCTAAAGATAAAATTTCGTCTTTTTTATTAGATATATCCTTTTCCTTAACTTCAATATTAACATCTTTAGTTGTGAAAACAGCGTCTCTTTTCCATTCAGTTTGCTGGATTGATGAAAGAACATCAGCTTGTTTTTCGTCACAAACTGTATGCGCCTGCTTCTCAAAAGAATCTGTAGAATCTAATGATTTTTCATCTGATAAACTTTGTATACTTGTTTCTGACCCATTTATACTCGTATCTACAAATTTATCACTATGATCATCTAATACTATAGAAAGTTCATTTTGGCATATAGAAGAGCCGACATTCGAAGTACCAGAAGGGTCTTTAAATACATCATTTGTTTCTGATTCATCCAAATCCACTATAGAAGTTTTTGCCATAGTCAAAGATGTTCCATACCTTCCCAAATAAGATTTACGCGGAAACCGAGGGAAATATGAGGGAATACTAGAAGAATTCTGTTGAGCGCGCACTGGCTCTATACGTGTTGTATCATTAGATCTTCTTGGCATCTTAATCTTTTATTGTTCGATATCGGTCAGATCCTTGTATTAAAAATCTATAGCATGGAAACCGATATAAATACTGAATGGGTTGAAGAGTTTATCTACGCAAAAAAGAGGTGCGTTATTTTAGGATTAGCTAAATATTAAGTTTTTTTCTAGGGGAACTTTAATAAGTGAACGAAAATTTGCAGATCCTCCAGGTTATATTTCAGATGAAGGAATTCAAACAGTATTATCACCACAATTCAATAAACAATGACGTCTTATGAAGCTTTAGAAAGCATTGAAATCTTCTTTACCTACACTCTCTACAGAAAAAACAGAACTATTAAAGATAAAAAAAGCATGGGAAGTAGCTTTGGCACCAGCCAAAATGTAAGAATTCAAAGTTTATGAGAAAATAATTAAATATATTTCTTTTTTTCAGGTTACCTATGTCTATTATAATGGCATACATGGCATTTTTTTCTAATAATATGATTAAAATCTTATATAATTTTAGTCAGGAAATAGTCTCCAAATATTTTCTTTAATTATGACATTTATGCTTTTTTGGAATCCTATAAAGAGTATCTCGAATATAAACAAAGTCTTTGTTCATTTAGAATCACCTAAAACACATTCTAAACTTTTTCTTCCCAAATTATTATTCGTGCTTATTCAACTGGTTACAATTGCTCTTGGATTGATAAAAATGCAATGGATGGGGTAATTGCATTTGTTTTTCACAAAAATATATCTAATATCTAGATTGCTACCAATTACCAGAAGCGATTGGCTCGCTTGGGAACACGAAAGAAATGTATTCATTATTTTTATTTTCATTACTAATTTTCATAGCATCTCGAATATTCTGTATTTTCATATAACTAAAACATTATCAATCTATACATAGAAAACACCAAACATGCACCTTTTCAACATATTACTTTATATTTTATTATATACAAAATTTATTAATATATTTACTATTCAAGTAAATATTACAACCTAAAAAATCATCTTATTTCATAATATAAACATAATTAACACAATAACCAAAACTTCATTTAGCTATCTTCCATTTAAAACATTTCTATCCTTTTATTAATTAAAACCTCGTAATTATTTTTAGCAAGTTCTACATAAAATCTATCAAAAATATATTAAAATAGTTATTTTTAATATATTGTTTTTAAATATCAAAAATCAAAATAAATAATTCTTTGTACAAAATTTAAAATATAAAGATATATATATTACTTTATAAAATATGTTCTTATTACAAAAAATATATTTTATTTTTTAGAATACAATTACTTATTTTAAAACTTCAATCTACACAATTCATAAGTACTTACTAAAAAACACAATATTCAATTCCACAAATAAATAGCTCTATCTAAACCATAAAACAGTCTTTAAACCAACATTTTATATAAAAAAGACAAACTAGAAAATTTTCGAAATTTATTAATCTTTTTATTAAAAAATTTTAAACAAATATTATAAAAAAACTAAATAAAAATTCGTATTTAATATATTACTAATAGCTATTAATATATTATGATATGATTTAATTCATTTTTAGTCGATTATCTAATCTACAAATTCCTCGAGATATGAATTTTAACGTAGAAAATATTAGTTTAAATTATAAAAAATCTTAACCGTAAAAAATAGCAATTTATTAAACAGAAAAATATATAAATTTGAAGACAAAAGACATATATATTGAAGATGAACCGCGATAAAAAACTTTTTATAAAAGTAAAGTGATTTTTATAAATTTTAGAAATGAACATAAACATTTTTTGTAGGAAAAAGTTCAAGAATTAAGATTAGAACTGTCAGATGAGAAAAAAGATAAAAAGCATACGAGAAAAAAGATGGTTCTAAAGAAAATTATAGCAAATATGACGATGTCAAACGATATGTCGTCCTTATTCCCAGATATTATTCAATGTATGGATATCCCAGTTCTCGAAATAAAAAAAATGTGTTTTTTATTCTTGATTAACTATTCAAAGTATTTTTTACATACTATATATAGCTATATTTTAATTAAATGTAGATTAAAACCAAATATGGCACTACAAGCTCTTCCTATTTTAATTAAAGTAAAATCTTAAAATATCTATATTTTTTTTTAAATCTCTATAGGATCTTAATGACAAAAATCCTTTAATTCGTTCGCTGGCTTTAAGAACAATGTCTTATATTAATATTAAAGAATTCACAAATTCCATCATTATACCATTATATCAATTATTGTCTGATTCTGACCCATATGTCAGAAAAACTGCAGCAATATGTGTTGCAAAACTCTATTGTATAAATAAAAGTATTGTTGAAGAAAATAATCTCATAAACGAGCTTAAAAAAAAGCTTCATGACACTAATTCAATTGTAAGAAAACTGACATTGTAATTAAACCATTCTTATAAAATCAAAGGTTGTTTCTAGTTCTTTATTATCATTAAGTCAAATTTCCGAGCATTCAGATTCTATAAAGTTAGATATTTCAACATCATATGCAAACAAATTGGCAAATATGCTTGATGGATGCGCAGAGTATAATAATTTTGATTTTATATCTCTACTTATAATTTTAGATGGAATCAAATTTACATTCTTGAAGCTTTAATAAATTATATACCTCAGGAAGAAAATGATGCAGAAATCCTTGCAGAAAAAATTACACCTCGCTTACAACATTCTAATACGTGTATTATTTTCACAACAATAAAAATTATATTATATTTAATGAACTACATGCATAATGAAAACACCATTAAAGTTTTATCTCGGAAATTATTTTCTTCTTTAAGTATCTTTATCTATTTAATTTTTAAATTTATCCATTTTAGTTATTCTTCTTTCAAAAGATTATGAGATAGAATATATTACCCTTAAAAATGTACAAATAATACTTCAGAAAATACCAAACATATTTGAAAATAATATTGATATTTTTTTCTGCAAATATAACGATCCATTATACATTAAGTTAGCAAAACTTGAAATAATTACAAAGATAGCAAATAAAGAAAACATAGACAGTATTATTTCAGAACTTAAAGAGTATTAGAATTGCTTTCTTAACGATATAAACTAACATCTAGCAGTTATACTGCTGAAATAGATAAAAACTTTGTTAAAAAATCTATTCAATCTGTTGGCATTCTTGCAATTAAATTTGAAAGTATAACAGAAAGATGCATCAACATTTTATTAGCTCTTATTGAAACAAAAATACCATATATAATTCAGGAATCTATATTGGTAATAAAAAATATATTTCGAAAATATCCTAATAAATATGAATCAATAATTTCAATAATATGCAGTAATTTAAACAACTTTAATGATCCAGAAGCAAAAGCAGCAGTGATATGGATAATAGGACAATATTCAAATATGATTGAAAATTCACATCAACTTTTAAATAATTTTTTTTCTACATTTTCGGATGAAACTCTTGAAGTTCAATTTGCGCTTTTAACAGCCTCCGCAAAGTTATATATTCAACAATCACATGATAATCAAAATTTTATCTTATCTTTATTAAAAAAAGTTATAGAAGATACCGGCAATCCAGACCTTCGAGATCGTGCCTATATGTATTGGAAATTATTATTAGGAGATAATTATACGGCTAAAAAAATTATTATGGAAAATATTCCATCTATTACACTTCCTTTACAAAATTTTGATCAGAAAACTCTTGATGAACTATGTCTTAATTTGGGCTCTTTATCTAATATTTACTATAAAACTCCATCACAGCTAATAGCCGGCTCCAAAGTTAAAGAAATACAAAGTAGTAAAGTTTTACGTAATCGTTTTAATCTAAAAAAATCCTTAAATCAATAAAAATTATTTAACAATACTTCTAATTCTTATTATAAATTATTATATAATCTTTAAGCCATTATTCAAATTTATATTATAATTCATATATTTATGTATTATTAAATCACAAAAAATGTAAAATCTAATAAAACTAAGACAGTTATAATTAAAAAATTGTCAATATTTTAACAAAATTCTTACTAGACATTAGAAATATTTTAAAATTATAATCAAACACTGAATCAGTAATATAATACATAAAAGAAACCATATAGAATTAATTTTTAAATATTCTGACGAGATTTCATTTTAAAAATATTTATCAAGTTTCGTGTAGATGCATCATGGTTGGTCACATATTCGTTACTAAGAAGCTCTTGATAAATGTCTAATTAAATTAGATATAGTCTTCAGAAACATTATTTTACTCTTAGCAAGCGCTTTCCCTAACTCCACTCCAAATTGATCAAAACTATTGATATTCCATATTGCTCCCTATATATAAATAAATATTTATATATATTTTTTTAAAAATTACCTCAATAAATGTCAAATGTTCATAATAAACAATAAGAGCACCAAGAGTTCTCGGTGTAACTTTTTTAAGCAGTATAGATGTTGTTGGTCTATTACCCGTAAATGTTTTATGAGGAATCAATTCCAAATTTGTTTCGTTTTCTTCTACTTGGCTGGATGTTTTTCCTAACATAAGAGCTTCTGATTGAGCAAAAAAGTTTGATGCAAGAAGTCTAATATTGTTAATAATATATATATATAGATAAATTATCTTAAACAATTGATGTTTATTTTCCTCAATAGAGTTATGAGATTCTATTGCCATAATAAAATCCTAATAATTTTAATATATTGTAATATTATAATAATAATAAACAAACAGCAGGAATAAGTATAGTTCCTTGATGGACCAACTGGAAGAATGAATGTTGAGAATTCGTAGCAGGTTCGCCAAACAAAATCTAAAACAATTAGATAAAATTATTTATTTTTAGAGAACTTAACAACTCCAGTAGAATATTGAACTTGTTTACCAGTACGATCAATAGACTTTCCATTAGACTCCATAGAAAGTTGTTGCAAATATCTTGGAAACATTTGTAAATATTGATCTTAAATGTAAGAAGAATTATATTAGTATGAAAAATACACACCAAAAGGAGAAACAAGACGTGTCTGTGCCCCAAAAAAATTAGAATACCATACAGATAAAAGACCTCCAATTATAGGAATATTATCTTCAATTGGGGTGTCGGAAAAATGATTATCCATAGCATGTGCCCCTTCAAGAAACTGCCAAAAATTATCAAAACCAATATATAAAATAACAGAAAGTCCAATAGAAGACCATACTGAATATCGTCCACCAACCTAATTACTATAAATATTTTATAAATCTAACATAATAAATACCCAGTCAAAAAACTCAAACATATTCTTGGAATCAATACCAAAAGCAGTAACTTCTTTCACATTTGTAGACAATGCAACAAAATGTTTGGAAATATGCTCTTCCTAATGTTACATTAAATGGAATCAATGTATTGAAATACACTAACAGATCTAGATGTCTTCAGAAACCATTTTTTAGCAGTTTCAGCATTTGCAATAGTTTCTAAAGTAGTAAAAGTCTTTCATTAGAAAATAACTATATCAAGAACTAAGAAAATACTTTTGATGCTATTAAAAACAAAGTTGTTTCAGGATCACAAAGCCTTAAAGCTTCTGATATATGAGTTCCATCAATATTACTAACGTAATATACTTGAAGGTTTCTCAAAGCATACGGTTTAAGTGCTTCAGTAACCATAGAGGGTCCTTTTAAAATATCAATACTGCTACAAAATAATAATAAAGAACATCAATTTACCAAGATCAGACCCGCCAATACCTATATTAACTATTGTTTTAATAGATTTCCCAGTATAACCCTTCCATTCACCAGATCTAACTTTTTCAGAAAACTCCTGCATACGCTCTAAAACAGAGTAAACATCACTAGAAACATCTTTCCCATCTATTTCCATTTTTTTTTTTGAAGTGTTACGAAGAGCAATATGATAAACCGATCTTAAATAAATCAAACATAAATTACAATTTTTTTTAAAAAAACCTATTCTCAGTAAAATTAACATGATCACCAGAAAACATCCTATCTCTAAGTCCCTCTACATTTGCTTCTTTTGCTAATTGGACAAGCAATTTAAATGATTCGTCATCAATTATGTTCTTAGAAAAATCAAATAAAATATAATCATCAGAAGAACAACAAAACTCCTTAGAAAACTTTTGAAATCTATCTTTATCCGATTCAAAAAGGTCTTTAATTACAAGTTTTTTTCCTTTTTCATCATAATATTTCTTCAATAAATTCCATGAATTCCTAATAATAACTCAATTTACTAAATAAAATAAAAAAAAGCCTACATTTCATTCATCTTTAAAAAAATTATCAAAACAATTATTTAATAGATTTTCAATTTATTATTTTAAGATAATATTTTACTAAAGATTTAAATATTATTAATAAATATCCGTTAATAATACTGAAATAAAAGAAAAACAAAATATTATCAAATATATAACGCTATCAATATTATATTAAAAATACGTTGTTCTATATTTTTCATATATTTTGTACATAAAAATCTTTATACATTTAACATTTTTGAAAACTAAATATTTAACCAATCTTTATTAAAATAATTTTTAAAAATATATTAGAAAACAATATTTATTATTTTTTTAAAATATAAACCTATTACAAATGAAAGATCTAGCTAAAGAAACTTTTGAGCATATATCCTGTAACATTATAAAATTATATATAAGAACAAACATTTATCTTTAAATATACAATTGTTATATAAACATATCTTATAATATTTTTATATTAATTCTAATATATAAAAACTAAAAATGAAATTAAATACATTATTATAAAAGTCAAATTTTATATCATAAGTTTAAAGGTTGATAAAAAATATTTTATACTAAATTTAGCATTTGTTGATAACTTTATATAATTAATTATTAATGAATGACTCTTTTTAAAGAGAATATTTATGAAAATATATTTATTATTTCAATAACATAAATAACAGAAAACTATTTTCAAAACAATTTCAGCCATGGACTTTATTTGATTTGATTCTTTCAGAAAAAAATCATTGATATTTATTAAAAAATATATTTTAACAGTTCTGTTAAAACAATTTCGATTTAATTAAAAAATACAATTTAAGTAAATATTAAAGAAACAGAAAAATGGGATCAGAATGTTATTATGAACTTCTAAGAAGATCCCGCTTAATAGCACTTCCACAACCCATTGGAAAAAGAACAGCAGAAAAATATTATCCAACGCATCAGATCATAAGATCTCCTTCCAGTTCTCATTTTAGAGGAAACTGGGGTCTTAAGCGTGATTTGCCTCAAGTGAAAAGCTCATATATTTCTATTGATTCACTCGATACATTAGAACATCAAACACCTTTTGAAAGCGGCAACAGTGAATTTAATTTTCTTGAACGCTGGAAGGAAATGAGAATACATTTGTATACCACGAAGACAAGAAAGGATGACACAAAAGATATAAAAAGTTATGAAAAAATGCATATGATACCTATTTCACCTTTTATAAAACTCAGAAGTACTACAAAAAATTCTTTACATAAAAATATATCAGAAATGTCTCTTAAAGAATTTAAGAATTATATTAAAAAATTGAAAACAAAAAAGCAATGTTTTATAGATTTTATAGAACAAAAACAACAAGAAGAATCATTTAAAGGCAAACAGATAGGAGAATCACCACTTTTTGAATCATTAGGAATACAAAAAACACATCTTTTAATAAACGAATATATTAAAAAATTCTTAAATATTCCAGAAAATAATCAAAAAATTCGGAGAACTCTTCCAAATTCAGGATTAGATTATCGTCCTTATGGCTATCTTTCACCCGTTATAGAATCTAATAATTCAAGAAAAAAACTATTACCAGCACGCATATTATCTATAAAACCAAATGATAGGAAGGTTCTTTTTGGCGGAATAGTTGCACATGTTCTAGGAAAAACTGAAATACCCAATTCTATCAATGAAATGAAAGAAATCCGTGAAAGTGTCGTTAATGTAACACCTAAATTTGCACAAATATCACCGGAAGGAAAACTAGAAGTTTATGTGAAATTTACAGATAGTACTAAAAGTCCCCAGCTAATTCAACACAAGAAATTTCAAAAAAGAGAGTTGTATTATGGAAAACATTTTTAATAATATCAATTATTTAATAATGTAATATATATAGACATATTCAAAATAAGCCTAGTTTTAAAAATGATAGAAAGTTAATATTTTTAATGTTTTTAAATAATTTGAATAGTTGCTTCTAAAAACAAATACAATACTTAAAAGAATTCAAAATATGTTTTAATATTCTCTAAAAATATAGCCATAAAACTTTTCATACAAAGAATATCCCTTTAGATGAATTCATTATGCATGTATGTATACAATATATATATATCCCTTGTTTGTCCAGTATTTTATAATAATATTCCATTTAATATTAAAAAATTATGCATCTCGACAATTTTATAAAAATATTAAATATCTTTAATCCAAACCAATGTCATAAAAACTAGAATTATTTTTAAATATCCTACATGAATCAAAAGATAACATAAAATCATTTATTTCTAATGAGCGTATCTGATTCTTAATATCTTTCACATCAATATTTTTCTTATTCAAGTTATTATTTGATGCAATAAATTCACGAACAGGAAACATTACAGATTCGCGACACAACTCTTTTATATCAGAAACAGAAAATCCTTCTGTTTTCGAAATGAGAAAGTCAAAACTAAAACCAGTTTCCAACTTAACATCTGAAAGAAACTAAATATAATTAAAAAATATCATAAAAAAACAAGAGCAAACAAATTTTAAAACTTTTTCTCGTTGAAAAGCATCAGGAGGAGGAATATAAAATCTTTTTGGCATTCTTCTAAGAATTGCCTCATCTATATCATTAGGACGGTTAGTTGCACCAATGATTATAACTCTAGAGTTCTCATCAGTAGAAAACCCATCCCACATACTATTTACGAAATAAACAAGATGAAATTATGTTTTATCCTACCTCATAAATTCAGCTTTAATCATAGACATTACTTCATGTTCCATCTTTTGTCTTTTTCCCAAAAAAGAATCAACTTCATCAACAAAAATAATTGTTGGCTCAAGCTTCTTAGCCAAAGAAAAAAGAGCAGCAACCAATTTATTTGACTCACCAAACCATTTATCTGTAAGAGTAGAAATATGTAAATTAATAAACGTTGCATTAGAATGATACGCTAAAGCTTTAACAATCAATGTTTTTCCACAACCTAAAACCAATTAGTATACATATATTATTATCTATTAAAGATGCCTGGAGGCCCATAAAGAAGAACACCTTTTGAAAGACCCTGAAGGATTTTGGAAGATACAAAAAGCTCTGGGTAATGAAGAGGTAAAATAATGGTTTCTTTAAACGCAGAAATAACATCTTCAAGACCACAAATCACTATATACGGTTAATTAATGTATATAAAAAATATTATTTACTATCAAAAGTTATATTGATATCTTTATTTAAAACAACTTCTGTCATAATCACTCTTTCATACTCATTCAAATCTAACTTTTTATCAAATAAACCATATTCTTTTCGAAATCTAAGGATAATTTTATTGCTTTTCTCCTTTATTCGTGCTTTATGTTCTCCAAATGGATCCATACTTTTAATAATCCATTTAAAAAAATAATAAAATGCAACATTAGAAACCAACAAGATTCCTGCAGAAAGGAAATAACGTCTAGAAAAAGAGAAATCTCGCATATATTTATTTTTCTAATTGAAATATGCCTTTAAATCTGAATATTAAATGTTTCTCAATTATACAGATCAATCAGTCAGAAATAAATAATTTTATTAATCGAGTATAAAAATTAAAATATATTAATATTCACTAAAAATCTCAACAATAAATCTCTAGAAAAAAACACCAAAATTTCGTTATTTTAGCACAACTAAAAATTTAAAAACAATTTCTAGATTTTTAAGATTAATTTTTAAAACTCTTTAATTCCATTCTCTTTGCAATTAGTTCATTTAATTGAGAAAAAAAAAAGACTTATATAAGCCCTACACTAAATCCAACAATATCATACCTTATAAAAACATATACTGTAAAAATAAATCTAAATTCTAATAACGCCATAGAAATAGATAATTACAAATATATTAAAAATATAACTCCAGATATCCAAAGCCCACATAATTCAAGATAACCATTTGCCAGTAGGTGCAACAAACCCTTCAATAGACTCATAATGTTTTGAATCAGGAAACTTTTCTACTACATTAGATTTCATTGTCAGAGATCTTTCAACAATAGGAAACGACATATTAGAAATTCCAATATCAAATATAGAAGAATGAGTTTTTTCCAGAACATGAGAATGCACAGATGTTTTTATGGAAGATAAATTATCTTGATTTAAATTCGAGTCAACCGTATTTACAGACACATTAACACCATTAGTATCAACAGATGATTCCAGAGGCTCCGAAGATTCCTCCAAAAGACAAATGTTCATGTCATCTGAATTTCTTAACCAAAGAGGTTCAGAACTTAATTGTGCAGCAAAGAAAGCCGATCTTTTGAAGCAGCTTGTAGAACAAAAACGTAATAATGATCGCTGATCATAAATCTTACGTTTACTATACATAATCTTATAAGGTGCTTTATTATCCTATATCCTTATTAGTTTTATTAATTTAACTTTACCATTTTTACTCTTGGTGGATTATGACATAACGGATACCCACAAAATTTCTCCAAATTACGCTCTAATAATACATTTTCATAATCTTGAGGCCTCAACTTTGATCCTAAGGAACACAATGTTTGAGGATCTACCGGTCGTAGTAATAAAGACATAATTTGAAGCTCAATCATAATTTTTTGGAAGTTAGATCGATCGATCTACCGGCTTCTCTAAACAAAGAAAAAGTAATGAAACTTAATAACATGCAATGCCAAGCTTTGTATGACTATACTTCAGAATATCCAGAAGATTTAAAATTCAATGCAGGTCAGGTCATTGATATTTTAGGTGTAGAAAATACAGATTGGTATATTGGTCAATACATAGATGCAACTGGTTATCGCAGTATAGGAATATTTCCAAAGAATTATGTACAATTATCAGAAGAAACAGAAGGAAATGAGATAAATATGAAAGATATTGTAAATAATACAGAAGATATAAGCAAAAATAATAAAGATGAGCATACAAAATCAGATAGAGGAGAGAAATCAGATACATTATCTTCAAAAGAATCTGAAAGTAAAAAGAGTGTTAAGAAGTCTTTTCGGGAAATTTTAGACTCATTTAATACACCTAAAGAGGAAGATATCCCAAGTACAACTAATAGACATTCATATATTCAAAAACCTAGAATGTGTTTATCAAACATATATATTAATAATACGAGACAGACAGAGACACATAATACAGAAAATTTGCAAAAAGATATTTCATCTAATGTCCCCGAACAAAATATTCTTCAGTTAGGATCTCTTAAAAATCGGATTTTAGCTCTTAAAAATATAAAATTTGATAATCAAGAATCACTTGAAGCAAATGCGTCTAATAATAATTTAACATTAGAACCTATTCTTGAGGAAAATACGAAAAAACATAATATTGCACCTAAAAACATATCTAGTGAAATATCATCAAATTCATCTCATTCTTTTAAGCCAAATAAAAATGCTCCATCTCATGAACCAAGAGATCCAAAGCAGGAGAAAAATGAAAAAGATAATCTCATAAATGATGAAAAGAAAACATCAGAAACCATATCAAGTAAAAACAATGATTCTTCTATAGAAGAAGAACTTGCTCGTCGTGCTGCTATTCGTGAGCGTATGGCAAAAATGTCTTATGCAGGTATGAATATGCATATGGTTTTAGGAATATCCAAGCAAGAGTCTACATATACGGGACCTAAATCTTCACCAAAAAGAACATCTTTCAGTCATAATGAAGATAAATCTCAAATAACAACACCTGTTTTTTCTGTTCCAATCGTTCCATCTTCACCTACAAAACAACCAAATAGAAACTATCAGCTAGATAATTTTTCTAAATCTGATATTCAAAATACGAATAAAGAAATTACTATTCAAAATAATTCTTCGGAATTTGTAAAACATTCTCTTTCACATCTTCATTTGTCAACACCTCTAAAATATCATGATACTGTTAGCGTTTCTGAAAACGATATTTCTTTAAAAGATGACAATGAAGATTTAGGTATGTGATTAATCAAATTCCATTTACATTAATATGTATTAGAAAAATCTGCAATATATTATACCCCTGTTCCAATTGTGGAACCATTTTCAGTCTTTCTTTCTAAAAATTCAAAAAATAATTCACCGATTTTAAGCAATAAAACTATATCACCAATTCTTATTGGGCAATCTCCAGAAAATTTCGAACCATCAAAATTGCCACAAAGACCGTTAAAAGATCCACCATCCATACCTGAACACCCATATTCTACACATTCATCAGAACTATTTAATAACATAGATCTCTCTACACAAAAACAATCTACACCTTGCAGACCGGCAAAGCCTCTTTTTATTTCAAAATCGTCTCTAACATCCAAATGTACCTCTCCTATTCTATCTCAACATGATAATAGACTTTCTCATACTTCTAATATATCTTCAGAATTAGGATTCATTTCAGAAGAAGCATCAAAGAGCCAATTATCATGCTCCGATTTCAAAGATAAGTTAGAATATACATATATTCTTGAAGAGAAACAATTTTGTATTGATGAAGACAAATTAGAGGAAAACAAAAATTCAAGGAATGATGTTTACAGAAATGATATTTCGAGTAGCGTTGTTTATGAAAAGAATGCTAATGATGATATAAGCCCTATTTCTTTAACCAGTTCATATGTTATTCAAAATATTGCAGATAATAATAAAGTCAAAAAAGATATTAACAATAATATGTTTGCTCAAACTGACGAAAGACCCGCCTCTAATTTACAATACAGATATTCAAAATACCCAGGTTCTCCGCTTCAACAAAATTATTCAGAAGAATATTTTTCTTTTTGCTCTCCTGCATCTGATATATCAGAAACCGATAAAAAATCTAATAAATATCAAGTTTCAGCAGAAAAGCCATATATTCATAATCAATTATCAATAAATCAATTAAGAGGAGCTCATTACTTAATAGATCAGCGTAATATCAACTATGATCCTTTTAATCAAGTAGAATATATTGCACACAACATTGATTTAGAAAAAGACACATTATGGTGGACACTTCCTAATGCACTTCCTTCCATATTTCAAAATAGAAAAGATATATTACTAAAATTTTTTGAGTCATCACATCTTTTAAAAGATGGAAATACTATAATTACAAAAGAAATTCGCATTCTTTTTCATGATTATAGTGAAACACATATTTTAGTAACATTTAACAAAAAAAATCCTGAAAATGCAAACTTAAAACAAATTCATCAGCCTTCTCCAATAAAACCAAATCAAAACCAACTAGAAATTGCATATGAAAAGTTTGGCACTCAAATTGCTAATTTAGCGAGTTTACATTTTGGAATAACCGTCGGTGATGGTAGTCCTTTTGCTTTCGTACAGGATATTATTAGTAATATTCCAGATGCATTACCATCTACTGGTGTAAGAGCATACGGTGCACTGATTTATCGAAACAGAGCAAATGCATCTACAGAACAAAGAGATGAAATTAAAACAGGAGATATTGTTTCATTCCGGAATGCGAAATTTCAAGGCCATAAAGGAAGTTTATATACAAAATACAATATAAGTGTTGGAAATCCGGATCACGCTGCTGTAATCATGGAATGGGATGGAACTAAACGAAAAATTAAAGTATGGGAACAGGGACGAATCTCAAAAAAAGTTATTCAATCAAGTTTCAAAATAGGTGATCTTAAAAGTGGAGAAATTTGCATTTGGAGAGTTATGTCAAAATCATGGGTTAGCTGGGATTCTTAGATGTTGTTATATCTGCTTTATTGTTTTATTATGCTATTTCTTAGATTTTCTAAAAAAATTCTAGATATTTATGATTAATTGAATTTCGCGTTCTTGAAATAGAATCGCTGTTATATTTAATTTTAATAGAATATATATCATTTCGTATTATCATTAATTTTTACGCGTTTTCTAAATAAAATTATTGTTTAGCCTCGCTTTTCCCTTATGGGTGTTATCAAAAAGACAATTAGAGTCAGAGCAGTTTTATTATACTAAATTTTACTTAGAAATAAGCAGGAAGGCAATAAAAAAGATTACCCAACAAAAGGAGATAGGTAGAATTTTATCTTGAAACTTATAAAGCTTACTTTTTTTAGAGTTTCTATACATTATGTATATTCCTTTAATTATAAAAACCTAATAACACTTAATATTAGACAGGAACACTTGAAAATGGAAAAAAAATAGACTCTTCCTATGATAAAGGCAAGCCTTTTTCTACAATTATAGGGACAGGGGTATACTATATGTTTTTCTATATATCAATATTCTTAAATATATAGCAAGTAATCCGTGGCTGGGATGGTATATTTTCAAAGATCATTTTAAATAATACAAATTAATGTTTATTGAAGAAGCCATTCTTCAAATGAGTATTGGTGAAGTTGCCGAACTTACAATTACAGGGGACTATGCATATGGACAAGTAGGATATCCAGGGTAAGAAACAATTTTTTTAAAAAAGTTTACATATTATAGTATAATACCTCCAAATGCAACTTTGATATTGTAAGAAATATTCTTCATACTTTTAATTCTTAACAAGACAAGTGAAATTAAATTACTAGAAATAAATGGAAAATCTTGATTTATACAATTAAAATCAAAATTGCTTTAAACAAAAAATTTAATAATTTAATGCTTACAACGTAAATGACTTTAAAGTTAGTTTCATTATCATATAAAAATATATTTTTAAATACTAATTCCAAAAACAAATCCTATTAAATCCAAAGTATTCACAAAAACTATGTAATAATTATAACATTTAAAATAAATTGATATTTATAAATACAATACTACTAAATAACCACTTCACACATACGATTCTTGTGGGAAAAGAATTAACTTAAACCATTGATTTTAATCATAATATCCTTTAGCTTTTTAACTTTAAAAACTTCAACGTAAAGTGTTTCTTATTAAACATAAAATCTTTGACAATAAACCAACTTCTATATTTTCAATTCAACCCAATAACTCTATATTTTCACTAAATCTTGAATAAAATATATTCGAAAAAAAAATATTATCAATTTAATTAATATCAACGATTATTTAGATCTATTTCTCAAACTAACTCTTTTTATAGAAGATTTCACATTTTTATCATTCATAGGCAAAACACTACGGCGTTTAGAAGGTTTTTCGATATTTGAAATTGTTTGTGATACACTCCTTTTCTTTGGATTCTCCTTATTATGTTTCGTGAGCGTTTTAGTAATTATTTTATCAGCAATTATATCATCTTTGCGAGAATCGATTACTTGATGCTGTAGATTCTTGATATTAGTAAGATCCTTAAAATTAGATTGCGCCTTAGATTGCTCTAGTTTTTCATTTAAGAATCTACTTCTGGTCATTCTCGTGCACTCTTTCAAGGAACTTAATTTTATTTCTTTAGAAATAGGAATAATAGAATTATCAATTAATTTCTTTCCACTAGCTTCTTCAGATGGCTTCATTTGCCCAGCTGATCCAATTATATTATTATTATTTCCATCGCCAGCTTTTCTAGAATTTCGTGTTATTCTATACTTATTATGACACAAATTTTCATGAAAAATCACAGCCTCACAACTCTCAGATTTAGATTTATCATTAATAGCTTTAATGGCCTTTTCTCTTATTCTACTTGATACGCGAATCGGCTTTAATTCTCGTGTTTTTTTGGAAGATTTCTCTATAATAAAACCTTGTTTAGATTTTCCAGGAACAATGGATCCAGCGGATCCTTTTATTGGACTACTAGAACTACCCCCAACACATTGTTCCTGCAATAATTCAACTGATATTCCTTCATAAGTTGTATCGCATTTAATCTTAACAAAAGATGAATTTGTATCTGTAGACTGAAAACATTTATCCGCTTGAGAAATATTAGAATCCAATTCTAAAACTTCAATTGTTTCGAAGCTTGTATTATTTTTCTCAATAGATAAAAAATCAGTATCTAATTTACTTGATACTTTATCAGAAAAAGAATGATTTAATATTTTTTTTGTCTCGAAATCCTCAAAAAAATTCGTCACTTTCTTGGTATCACCTAAATCTTTATATTCTTCATATGTTAAAGAACAAATATCATCTTTAATTAAATGGGTATTTTTATAAGATACATCTTTATCTTCCTTAACATCAATATAACGATTCCGTAGATCTAATGAATTATTTAATAATTTCATAAAATCAGCAGTCTCTGGTTGTTGATTACAAACATGTATATCGGTGAAATTATTATTTCCGATATCATTTGATTTTATTGAACAAATGTTTTTATTCATAATGTTAAATTTTTTATGATTACGAAAAAAATGTTCAGTCATAAATACATCTTGATTATCATAATTTCGTGTAGATTTCTCGTCATCAATTGATTGAAATTCTGGTATATCTTTCTGAATCGATTGATTTATTTCCATATGTTCCTCTTTAAAAACAGGACATTTCGATAACTCGGAAAAGTTGTCATTAGATTTAAAACTAAATTCATTACTTATTGATTCTTGAATATTTCCTGTTAATGATTCTAAACCAATTGTAGAACTGGATAATTTAGCGAAATTAAACAATTCACCATCCATAACTTCGGTATTAAAATTCATCATAAATTGATCCATAAACGAAATTTTAGAATCATTCATATCTTCTTTATTATTTATAGAAAATTCTTGCATATTATCTGTATTATTCACCAAAGAACTCTTGTAACTCGTATTATCTATAATATTCTCTAAAAAACCTGTATTATTTTTAGTTGATTCACTTGCATCAACATGTAAATTTTCTAAACAAGACGAATCTTCTTGACTATTTAATGAAGTAAAATCATTGAATCGAACCTTTTTCTCAATTGCTGAATCAAAAGAAATGTCAGTAACACAAAAACTTTCATTTTTATCAGTATAATCAATACAAGAATCATAAAACCCGTTGACTCCAGAATTAAATCTGACTAAACCATCCTTCAAAAAGAAATCATTTTCTTGTGAAGAATTTGTAGAAGACTTTAATTTGAAATCATATATTAATTTATTTGAAGATTTCGTGCTAATATCCGGAGAACAATACAGCTTCATTTTTTTTCCAGGAGCAGTAAGAACCCACTTTCCAGGTGAACACATTTTATCAATGTCTTTTAAACTATTTGCAGAAGAACACGGATTTAAACAACTTACATTAGCTATCGATAAATTATTTTTTAGAATATTCTTAGTAACAGACGAAACGGGCGACTGATAAAGCTTTTGTTTTTTGCCATTATATGTAGCTACCCATTTTCCAGGAGAAAATGTTTTAAATTCCGGGTATATAATCTCAAGTTTATTGTTAGAACATAGATTATTTTCATGATGCCTTTTTTTTTTACCAGAATTAAGGAGAGAAGCACCACAGATTACATTATTTTTTAAAGATATGCCATATTTCGAAGCTTCTAATAGTTCTAAATTATTTTCTTTAAAATTATTATCTGAAGAACATAATGGCACCCATCCTAAAAGTTTTTTCTCAGAATCATCTAAAATTTCCAAAAATTCCAATGGAGTTGTTGGTAAATTAATCTTTTCTTGTTTTTCACTCACAAATTCCACTTTATTAATGTAAGCGGATAATGGAAGAGAAGGATCAGATATTGAATGTCTAGACCGCAAATTTGTAAGGGCTGGATTATTCAAAACTTTAGAAGCTATAAAAGGCGGAAAACTTGGTCTCTTTTTGTACACATGTCTTTTTGTTTTAATATCCCTGAGTTGGCGAGGCAAATCACGCGTATCAACATAATACTTTTTAACTAAATGTAGAACAGGTGAACCAAATTTCAACGGCGAAGGCTGAGCATCTGGAAAAATGCTAAAAGACTTCTCTTTTGGAGGACTAACAATTACATCCTCTTCTAATTTAAACCCCCGAGAATTATAAAAATTATTGCAGATACCAGATGTACTTATTTTCTTCTCTGGAAGAATTTTTGACAAAGAAATCACTGGATGCAATAAAATCCCATCATCCTGCTCAGATTCTGTTCGTTTTATCTTCAAAGAACTATTCAGATCTATGGCATCTAACAGTTTAAGTGTTCTAATAGTTCCAATATTTTTAATCTTACCATTTTCTTTCTCAGAAAACATATTTTTTTTTTCAACTAATAAAGAATCTAGAGACACATCAGATCCTTTGGATTCAAAATATCTATTTAGTATTAAATCATCCATAGATTTGTCGATAGCAGGAGAAACTATTAAATAATTAAAACTTTTATAATTCCATTTTATAATATACCATTTATTTTAATATTAGATGCAGGAGATAAATCCGGCATTTGAAAATCTTGATCAAGAATAGAATTTTTAGCAGGACTAAATACTTTATTTTTTATAGAATCGTTATGATTAAAATTCTCTTTTTTTATAATCTCGATGTTTTTTTCAGAAAAAGGTAAAGAAGTATCATATTTATCTTTAGAAGTAAAATCTTTAGGACCAAGAACGAATATATCATTAGAAATAATTTGTTTTTCAGGAGAATTTTCTATAGATGAAGCCAGTATCTTTAAATTTTTAACGTCACCTAGAGGAGATTCCTTACTTCTTAACCCAGAGTCCACTACATCAAGTATCTTAGATTTTACTATATTATTTTTTGGAGTTTTAATTTTTATGGATACATGTTCATTAACCAAATTTTCCTTAAGAATAGGCTGCAACGGTTTTTCATTCATAAGATATGTATCAAAAACATCCTTGAAATTATAAATAATATTTAAAATTTCAAAACTACATACCTTATCATTTGCAAAAAGAAAAGATGACTGTTTTATTGATTTAATAGGAGTATAAGTTTTTAATTCAGGAGTCTTTATAAGTTAGTACAATTTCTTGGAAACAATACATTTATCCTACATGTATTACTACTTGATTGTCTTTTTTTTCATTTGTTGGATATTCCCATCGAAATTTATGACCAGAAAGACTAATAATATCACCCGTATTTAATCGAAACTTTTTATTTTCAGAAATATCTAGTTCATTGTTATTAACAAAAGTGCCATTGACACTCAAATTCTCTAAAAATGCCTAGTTCAAAAATAAGATTTTTTTAATATAAATACAAAAAATTCACATTTCCATTATCATCAATTTCAAGACGAGCATGTTGACGAGAAATAACTTCATCATATAATCTGACATCACATGACAAATGTCTTGACACAATTAATTTTATCTTTTTTTGTAATAAAAATTTACCTTCCAAAAGTATTTAATCTTTTCGTAATCGGAAAATGTGCATACTCCTCTTCAGTACCTTTTCTAAGAACATAAAGAGTACCAAACAGACAAGCCATCTAAACGATAACTTCGAAAAGACCCCGATAAATTCTTTGTTATTTAAAATCTATTATTGATATTTTTATCAAAATAATCGAAAAAAAAAACAATGTTTTTTATCACATGATTTTTACAAATGAACCGAATAAAAAAATAAAAAAAACATATTTTTAAAGATCTATAAAAACTTTAGATAGCTTTGCATATAAAAATTACAGATTAAAAACATAAATTATACATGCAAAATATTTAGTTATATATCTTATTAAAAAAGAATATTCAGTATGAAATATTCTTAATAAAAATCCTAAATAACTAAAATTATTCTATAAATTCTGGATCTAAAATCATTTCTTTATCTACATCTAAAAATATTCTAGTTTTTAATGTAGAAGGCAGATACTAAAATAATTAACTAAAATCATTTAACAATACCCATACTTCTTGTTTTACTTTTCCATCCTTATAAAGATGATTATATTTATAGCCTACTCCATATCCAAGTTCACTCATTAATTTTGTAGGGCAATTCCGAATATGCCTATGAATATTAGATATAAATAATTATTAAAACAATTACAATGGAATTTCGGCAGAGAAAGCACCATCTTCTGTTTTAAGAACATGTTTAACATTATTCAAAGCTAAATAGATCCTATTAGATTTCTTCGCTTCTGCCAAATAAATTGCAGCATGAGCTTATAAAAATTAGAATGATAATAATAATAATGATAATAATAACCTAAAAAAATATCGGCCTCTGGCATTCCTACAGACTGGACAGCCTGATAAGCTGATATTGCCAGAATAAGAGCATTATTATCAGACTATTCTATTTAGACTAAGTAAATCCCTGTTTTATAAAGCTTACAGTCCCGATATCTTCTGAAGCAATGCGAATCTAAAAAAGGCTAAGAAAAATAAAATTACATAGGAAAATACCATTCTACGTGCTATATACAGAGGGTCCTCGCCCCCAAGAAGCATTCTTCCAAGATAATATAACGCTGCATTAGCATCAGAACCGCGAATACTTTTATGAAATGCTAATAATAATCAATATGAAAAAATAAATCATACTAAAATACCAGATATGGTATCATAATGAGAATCGCCAACACGATCATAGACAAAAGAAGTCCTTTTCAAAATATTTCTTACACTTTCTTTTGTAATGATATCATTCTCTTTGGTTTCAAAATTTAATATTATTTCTAATGTGTTTAATGCAATGCGAGCTTAAAATATTATTAAAGTAATAAAAGTAATGCATGTTACCATCACCATCAGACAAATTCGCTAAATATTCTATAACACTATCATCGATATTAATTATATTTTCAGAAGATGATTTAATTATTGATATAGCATTTTTCAAAATTTCAAAAACATGCATGGAAGAAAGCTTGTGTAAAACAAATACCCTACATCTAGAAAGTAAGGCGTTGTTTATCTTGAAACTAGGATTTCTAATAAAATATTTAAAATCAAAAATTTATTCAAAAGAATAGCTCACTCGGTAGTGGCACCAATTCTTTATAAGTAAACATTTGTACAAAAAATATTTAAATACTCACAATATAACTATCCCCTCTTCTATATAATGCAAAAAGACATTTTGTTGCATCTAATATTAATTATTATAAATATTAAAGAAAATATACAACCTTATTAAATTGTTGAATCTCATCTATAAATATAATTGTTTTACGTCCTGTCAAAGATAACATTTTTTTTGCATCGTCAAAAGCCCTTTTCACATCGCATATAGTGCTAGATGTAGCAGAAAATTCTTTGAATTGATTATTTGTGGTTTTTGAAATGATCTAAACTAACTAAACTTAATATATATATATACTTTCAAAATACTCTTGCTAATGTAGTCTTCCCTACTCCAGATGCTAAAAAAATAAGTCTTTTTTTCTGAAAAAAAATAGAAGTTGCATGCCTCCCCATAATATAAAAGAAGGGAATTTATCATTTTCAATTAATTTTCTAAGTAAACCATACTTTCCAATTAAATCTTCCTGGCCTACAAAATCATCAAGTGTTTGAGGTCGAACTCTTTCCGAAAGGGGAGAATAAAATTCAAAATTGCTATTATTTTTACTTTTTTTTAAATAAGAAGCTTCCTTGGAAGATAATTCATTTTCATTTTGTACCCCCCTTTTAGATAAAGACGGACAAGACAAAATATTCTCAGAATATCTATGATTTTTATTGCAGGGAAAAGACTTATTCAGAAAATTTTCGTTAAATAATTTTTGCTGAATTGAACCTAAAGAAAGAGACTTTAAGTTTTAGCATGTCTTTTATAAAATATAATATTTAGAACACATATTTCTTTTCATGACTATCGCATCCCCTATCCAAATGGGTATTTATTAAGTCAATATTAACATCTTTTCCACATATAGGGCATAAAACATATTTTTTTGTCATTTTTATAGTCTAAAATGCTTATCACGTGATTTTTTTAAAAAGAATTAATGTTTTAAAGTGAATTTATAAAAAAATATAAAAATATCAACAAAAAACCAAATTTATAAGGAAACTTATTATTAAAAAATAGTCTTTTTTATTATTGAATAAACAGAATTTTAAAGTTATTTAAATATTTATTTAAGAATATAATATTATTAAATTATCAATTTTTACAATTTTAATTACATATAAAGCATTTGAAATGAATTCAAGAGATATAATTTATGAATTTAAGATATTTACTTTTGCATTCTCTACATAGATAATATATTTATTTAGTAAAAATCAAAAAAATAAATAAGTGTTAAATATAATCAAAATTATAAAATACAGAAATTATATAGTAATATTCAAACTAGCAATTATAATGAATAATAATATAATTAAAAAAAAATAAATATTGAAAAATGCATTTATTTTAAACAAAAATATTTAAATTTTTAAACATAAAAAATAATAGTAAATATATTTTAATATTTGCAATATATTATCGTAATTAATATTCAAATTTAATTATATGTTTCTTTATAGTAGTTAAATATTTACATAAAATGTAATTATTTAAAATATTAAGTTTAAATAAATTGCTATAGTAAATCTATTCTAAATATTCAAAAATACATTTTGTTTTTTTTCAAGGATAAATAAATGAATAACCTAATTTTCCTAAAAAAATTTAAAACGAAATACAATAAATTAAATAAAAAAGGTATAAATATCTGAAAATATAATTTAATACATATGCTAATGTTTTATCTGCTTTTATTAAATCCTAGAACAATTATTAAAAATATTATTTAAAATAATAATAATACAATTCCTGTAAACATTTCAATGTAGGACTAAAAAATAACCCTATTTCCATACATTTTGATTTTTTTATTAAAATTATAAGACAAAATAAAGCCCAGGGGCATTATCTTAAATTTAAATGGAAAAAATTATTAATAAAAAATATTGTATCTTTCAATTTGATAAAAACAAAATATAAATTTCTATATATGTTTCAATATTTATAATATTTTTTAAGCGTTTTAAAGACCAATTAATTTTAAAATAAAAATTAAATATGTCAGTAATTTTAAAGAATTGCAATACTACTTAAGAAAAATATATCAATATATAATATTTTTAGTAATACTTAAATTTTGATAAAGTAAGTTTAAATCAAATAATTTATATATTTATTTAACATTAATATATTTTGATTAACTATTTAAAAATTAACATTACAGATATAAAAAACATTTTTTTTAAAATATATAAAATTTTAAATATAAATAATAAAATTAATAGTTTATTTTATTTACTCTATAGACTTTTAAATACCAAAAATAAACAAATTATTGATTTGTACAAAATATAATGCTTTAATAATATAAATTTTTTGTAATTTACTTTAAACTATTTTCATCAAAATCTAATAAGATTTTTAATAAACTTAAATATCTTAAAAATTCACCTATGTATCTAATATTAATTCAAAAATTTAGATTTTTTTATATAATTAAGATAAAGATATAAATAATATTAGTATAATACTAGTATAATACTAGATAAAAACTAATATATTTCTATTGCTCAAAGACTACTTTCCCAAAAAAATAACCATTAATACTTTAAAAATTACATATCCAAGAGACATTACTTATAAACTTTAACCAAATTATTATTTTTAAAGTAATATAAACAAACTTTAATTTTTATTAAAGAATTTATCTAAATTTCTAAAGAAATGAAAATTTAAATTCTAATTATTTTTACATATCGAATATTTTCAGGATATTTTAAAATACAAAAACAATAACTCTATTCAAAATATATCTATATATTTAAATAATTTAAAATCTTTATGTATCATAATAAAGAATTATATATATATATATGTAAATATATTTAATATTTTATCAAATAAAATTCTAATTAAATTTCTTTAAAAATAAAATAGAAAGTAAATTTATAAAGATTAAACATTATGTTTAAATAAATTCGAATTACAATATACATGATATATACTGTCAAGCAAAAATCATAGTTTTAAATACTTTATAGAAATAAACAGTATACTTTATAAAAATAAATAATATATTCTATATACAAACAATCCATACTTTTGAAAACTAAATATACCAAAATCCAAAAAAAATGCATTATAATAACAAAAATAATTTTGATCTATAAAACCAAGTATAAAAATAATATTAGTAAAGATTTTAGTTTTTACGGAATTTCATAATTAGAAACTTCTAAGCATTCAAAATAATATATATAAAAATCAGCCCGAATTTTAATTTCCAATTATATAATAATTATTATTTTTTTCACAAATGAATATTCCTGTATAGAATTGCATATATTAACTTTAATAATCCCATTACTTTGAAAAAAAAGTATCATGCTTTTGATTGATGTCCGATGTTACAAAAGTAGCTGGTAATATAGAAACAAAAATAGGTCGAGATGGAATAGGAAACCATAAGTGTCTTGCAGTATAATATACATTCAATTTCTCATTAGTAATTTTATCCTTAATAACAACTGCTGATGCCACATGATTCAATACTGTAGTAATAATAAGCCTAATTAAGTGCTGATGAGGATATATTCTATTTTTAATTCCCCTATTAAAATTTTGATGATATTTTAGTGGAGCAGAAATATATCTTAAATTAGATACCGAAAGATTACTTTCAGATGCAGAATTAGAAATAGTCGTTTCTCGTGACTGAAAAAAATTTGTAGATGAACTAGAACTTTCTGGTACGCTGTCTCCATTATTTTGAGAAAAAAGTGAAATATTTCCTTGACTTTGATTTATGGAATTAATCATTTTTAATTTATCTAAAGACTGACATCTTAAATCAATTTCAGAACTATTAACAGAAAATCTCTGAGAAACATATCTATTCATAAAAAAACTACTGAGACTGCTAACAGAAGAACAAACAGAAAGATATGTATTTTTTGGAACTAAAAATTTGCCAATTAAAATATCTTTTTGTGCGCGCCTTACAAGAAAGAGTGGATTTGGGTCAAAAGGAACTTCTTTTTCCGAAATACGATATTGATTAACAATTACCCATAAAATAGTATTAGTGCATATAATCCATGTAGATAATAATGAAACTAAAAGATGAATAGGTATATCTACTTTTAAAATTTTCGAAAAACTTTGACTTTTTTGATTTTCTATATTAATGTCATTATTATCTGAAAAATCAAATAGACTAGCATGAAACATTGTAGAATCAATAGATAATTCACTTTCTGATCTATAAGTTAATAACCATTGAACATAATCAGAACCATTCGAATATGTTTCAGGATCATTAGTTCGTTTAACTAAAAGTCTTGAAATAACCTTTACAAATTCATTCTTAGCTTTTAAAGCATTGGAATCATAAGAATGAGATTTCTCTAACGATTTATGAATAGTACAAGTAAGGCGTAATATATGTTCATAATCAGATTCATAAGAACCAAAAAAAATAGAAATTAATGCTCTAATAACAATATTATCAATGAAACCTTTTAAATCTACAGAATCTGATGTATTTTGACTTAAAGCAACCAGTGTTTCAGATGCAATGCATGAATAATAATATCCTCCAATATTTGTACGACAAGGAGAAAATGCTTGAGACAAACAAAAATTACTTGCTTTAGAAAAACGCGAATGGCGGCCAAAACTATCCATATTGTTTAGATCCTTCGAATCCTTAAATATATGAGACCAATTTCGACGTAAAGCAGCATCCCAAGATAACACAGATTCACCTATTGACAAAAATTGACTCCCCATAAATGGCTCTAACGATAATATAATTGAAAGACATGTATACGGTTTAACCACATCAATCCAAATAATTCCTGAATGAGGGGTTTTAGAAACAGCGGTTAAAAGATATTGTATAGGATTTCGATTAAAATCCCTAATTCTTTTCCAAGGAGGTAGAAAATATATAGCTGGGGATGAAGGATATGATGGATATGAATAGTAAAGTCTCGGACGATAATAAAATCTAAAAACATTAATATTAAAAAGAAAAAATTGTTTATAAAACACTTACACATAAAGCGAAAATATAAACATTGAAGAAATCAATATAATTATCCATGGTGAAACTATTATTGAAATCACCTTGGTTGACACATTATAAACATCATCGGATAACATCAATGTCAACCAGAAAGTCAGATATAAATCTCGCTTCAATTTCAAAAATTTCTAGTATTTTTAATTCTAAATTCTCGAAATACAAAATTATCACTATTTAGCTTCTCCTCCTTACTATATATATAAACCTCATCTAATTTTTTTTTGATTTATAGAACTCTATTTACCAATTGTAAATATATCCTAAGTTCAACTAAATTAGGGTTAGGACTACAAAGTTAACAAAATTATCATTTAATATCCATTAAGATTTATAAATATATATAATAAAATAAATTTATTGATATATCAACAAGTATAAACCAGTAATAAAACGAATAAATTATGATAAAAATATATAAGTAAATTGTGTTATATTTAGCTTTTTAATTTAGATTATTTTAAAAATGTTTATATAAAATTTTAAATAAAAGTCTTAGTAAAATAAAAATAAAAATAAAAATAAAAATAAATCAAATGAATTTTCTAGAAACCAATAAACATATAATTATACTTAAAATTGAATTATATATTTATTATTTATTTATTATCAAATACTTATTTTTATCGTTATCTTCGAATCCGGAACAAAGTTTCCTAATTTCTTAATAATTATAAAAATGCAAAAGTTTTATGAAAATGCCCATTTTTTTTTCTTGACTCTCAAGGGATATGAGGGCTTTTATATTTCCAACTTTTTTATTAATAACACAGGTCTTTTCAAGGGGTTTAGAGGTTTCAGGTTAGTTTTATTTTTGTTATATATTCTTTATATTTATTATTTTAGAATTCATTAAAGATTCAGCTGTCCCAGAAAATGAAAGATACATAAAGTTTTACAGAGAGTTGTTAGATAATCCTGCGAAAGAATTAGAAAATCCAATAACTGATAAAGAGAAAAATACTCTTGAGCTGATTAGAAAGGTTCATTCTTCATTATCCATTGAAAAACATTTTGAAAATCAGGATGGTATAAAATTGATGAATTTGAAAGATACTAAAGAATATAGATGTAATAAATGAGCCTATTCTTGGAGAATTAACAAATCATTTTAAACGCGATTTTTCTATTGATGAATGCATTAATTTAACATCAATTTGCTGTAATGTTCTTAATACTGCTGAGAATAAGAACAAAGAAACATTAAAAGGAATATGCTCCAATAAAGAAAAATTTTGCACTAATCTATTAAAATATTTTAATATAATTTGCACACAAGTAAAAGATGAACAAGAAAAAATTGTTGATTTTACAAAAGAAATTTGCCTCAAGGAGTGTCAGAGATGTAATGATCTTGAGGAAAAATGCAATGGTATTCTAAATAATACATGTATAAAAGTGAGAGAAGAGTGCAAAAAATTTAACAATGAAACAAAAGCACCGGAGAAACCTGAAACACCTAATAATCCTAAAAAAGAAGATAAGCCTAAAAAGGATGAGCCTAAGAAAGAAGACGATCCTAAGAAAGAAGACGAGCCTAAGAAAGAAGACGAGCCTAAAAAAGAAGACGATCCTAAGAAAGAAGACGAGCCTAAGAAAGAAGACGAGCCTAAGAAAGAAGATGATTCTAAAACAGATGATATAAGTGAATCATACCTAACGGAATATGAAGCAATTACATCATTTGAAACTGTACCTGTAACGGAATATACAGGCACTGGTACTATAATTGCTCATGTAACAACAACAACTCTTGAGGTTCCAGAGACATCTACTATCCTAGAAACGCAAATAGAAACAGTTACACGTTGTAATTGCAGATGTCGTTATTCTACATGTACACAAACGATAATTAATGATTGTCCTACACCAAAACCGACAGAAGAACCAGCAGGGGAGCCAGCAGGGGAGCCAGCAGAACCAACAGAAGAACCAGCAAAAGAACCGGTAGAAGAACCAACAGAAGAACCAGCAAAAGAACCGGTAGAAGAACCAGTAGAAGAACCAGCAAAAGAACCGGTAGAAGAACCAGCAAAAGAACCGGTAGAAGAACCAATAGAAGAACCAGCAAAAGAACCGGTAGAAAAACCAATAGAAGAACCAGCAAAGGAACCGGTGGGAGAGCCAACATCTGAATCAATAACGAAGACAAGTATAACTGAAGGATGTGTAATTTCGAAAACACTAACGCTAACGATAGAGCCAACAAATAAATCAGGCGAACGCAACAAGGGTAGTGGAACAAAAATTGAAAGGCTTTATAATAATAAAATGATTTTTACGATTGTAGGAATGATAACAGGAATATGGATAGTTGTTTAATAGTGAATGTTTCTTATATTTCGGAATGTTAGAAATGTAGAAAATCATGTGGCAGCATGTAAAAAATAAATATTTTTTATTTGTATTTGATTAAATTAATATTTGTAAAAAAGTAATTTATTTTATATATTAAATATTCATAAACAAATTCTATTCATAATCTTAATGGAAAAATGATTTTAAATTGATAGTTTCTAAAAATGGAAATAACTTTTTAAGTTAATTTGATATAAGAAACTACATTACTTGAAAACCTAATTTCTAAAATAAATCTTTTTAAAAAAAGACTAATTAAAATAGGTAAGTATTAATGATTAAAAGAATTGTATTTTTTATTTATTGTTTTGTGATTTAATAGAAATAAGATTTCTATAATAGGTTTTTTAAAGGAAAAAATAGAATATTTTATAATATGAAATTATTATATATTTTTTAAAATAGATATTTTTATTTTTATTTATACAAAGTAATTTTTCTCAAGAACATTTTAGATGGTTAGAAATTTATTTTTAACCATTCTATAGATTTTAGAGTGAATAATTTGGATAAGAATCGATAAGGAATAAATTTTACATTTTCAAAAGAATTTTTATTAATAAAGATAACATCAGAAAATAATATCGATAAAGACCTTTAAATTTAACAGTAATTGAAATTATGTTTTTTTTTTCAAAAAAACAAAACATCTAATTATTTAATTATCTAACTCTTGGAAAAAGATTACCCTTAGGTATAATTTTTTCAAAAAAATTTGTATATTAATAAAGAAAACAAACAGAATTTAGAACATCTGACGTCATTAGTAAAAAGAAATATTTAAGATTAATTATATTTTGTAATAATCAATTTAAGCCTACAGTTCTATTGTGATTTAATTTACAAAAAAATAAATACAAAAAATTATTAAAAACAATTATATTTTAATATATTAAGCGTGCTTTAAGATAGGGTTTAGAAAAAGCCGAAATTAAAATATTAGATAAATTTATAGTTGAGGATCAAAAAATGAAAAATTACACTAAATTACAAGAAATATGGTTGATTATTTAAATAATTATATTGTAAAAGTATTGTTGAAAAAGTAATAAAAAAGTTTAAAAAATATAATAATAATTTTTTAATTAAGGAATAGAAGTGATAATTTTAATAAATGCAGAAGTCGAATAAAATTATTTAATAAAATATAATAAAAATAAGGAATATTTGTATAAGAATAAAATAGGTCAAAAAAAACAAAGAAAAAATTAATAAGTTTAATATGAAAATGTAATTCTTTTGGGATAAAACTTTACCTTAAAATATTATCAAAAAAAAAAACAAGTATCTATAAATGGAAAAAGTTACAGAAGTTATTTATTAAGAATGTCTAAAATTAAGATCCATATGTTTTTATCTACAAATAATCTTTAAAAGTATATTATTAGATGCGAGCAAAATACAAAAATAGTATATTGTAAAAGAGGATTAATGATAAATAACCAATATTTCAAAAGAAAATAAATATAGATGATTATAATTTAAATCGAAGCATGGATAAAAGTTACTAAAAAATTGATAATCCATAATTTAAAAAATAAAAATTGTGTTATTTACTTTATCTATTCAAAAAAAAGGATATACAAAACAGTTAAAAGCATTCTTATATATATTTTAAAAATATATTATAATTATTAAAAAAATGTAGAAAACCTATAGTATTTTTTACTATCAAAAAAGTATTTTTATTAATTTTATGAGGTTGGTGTAAATTTAAGGTCATAGTATGCTAAATTTCTTGAAAAAAGATTTCTCCCAAGAAAATTAAAAAGGTATATAGAAATGATTTATGTTTTTTGAAAAGCGTATTATGATAAATTTTTACTAGATAGTAAAATTGTAAAAAAGAAAGATAAAAGTGGGGAGGTTTGTTTAAAATTTAAAATCAAGAGCGATCAGTTGTGAAGAATATTGAAGAATACATTAGTCTATGTTTTAAAAGGCAATTCAAATAAGAATAGAAGCTAATGTAATTATTCATAAAACGAATGCAATATGAACGAAAAAACTCAAAGAATACTACAATTGATAAATTATATATAAACAATAATGATAACAAAAATAATGTAATTATGAAGAAAAGCTAACAAAGGAATATTTCTCAAATGAATCAATATATGATATCAGCAAAAGAATTTTAAAAGAAAAATAAGGGATAGAGAATCAGACAAAAGGGTTTAAAAATTAAGTAAAATAGAAAAAAAAGATATAAAAATGCTACTTTAATTTTATTCATTTATGAAATAATAAAAAAAATTGATAAAGAAAAATAGTAATAATAAATATTATCGATTTTATCACAATATCAAGTGACATGCACTTATGAAATATGAAATAATTATCATAAAGACTTAATAGATAAGACAAAACGTATATATTTTTTATTTTTATAATAATTATCAATGAAATGAAACAAAGAAGAAAAGAACGAGAAAGATAAAGACAGTATTTTAAGGACAGTGATTGATATTTATAATGATTTTTAAGGAAGAAGCCTAAATTATTTTTTTAGTATTTTTTTCTATGAATAAAATTGATAAAATTTCTTAAATCGATAAAACTAAAAATGTATTCAAATTTATCTAATATTTTAAAACTCAATGCATATGATATGTTTTTTCATACAATATATATAATTATATTAATAGAATTATTGAGTTTAATAAGTAGTTATATTTTAAATTATTTTAATTTTTGATTTTTTTAGATTCAGCTTATGGAAGACAAAATATACCATTAAGGTCTAAAGAGGCTGAAATGAATTCAGTAAATTCATCGTTTGAATATCTTGTTGATGAGGAAAGTATTTATGCTTTGATTCTAAAAACAAATTATAATAATGAAGCCAAATGCAAAGAAGAGCTAGAAAAATATTGTGAAGAATTAAAAGAAGTAGATCTAAATTTAGAGAGTGTTGATAATAGGGTTAAAGAGATTTGTAATGATAGAGGAAAACTAGAAAAAAAATGTCAGGATCTAAAAACTGAGTTTACGAAAAAGTTAAAGAAAATAGAAGATAAAGCTAAACAATTAATAGATGATCCTAAAGATGAGGATTGCGAAGAATATGAAGCAGAATGTTTATTTTTAGATCAAAGCAGTCCTTTACTTTCGTATTATTGTAATAAAATGACTAATGAATGTTATAAAAAGAAACGCCAAAAAGTAGCAGATGAAATTCTTTTTAGAGCTCTTAAAGGGACAGTTAATGATACAGATAAATGTAAAGAAAGAATAAAAGAAGTTTGTCCAATATTGAGCAAAGAAAGTGACGAGTTAATGTTGTTATGTCTTTATCCTGATAGTACATGTAAAAAGCTTGAAAAAAAAATTGACTATTTTTGCAATTTTTTAAGAACAGAATTGAATAATAATGAATTAGAGGAGAAATGTCATGAAAGGCTTGGAGACTGCTATTTTTATGGTGAAAATTGTAACAAAACGAAATGCGATGAAGTTAAGAAGCAATGTGAAGAAAAAGGAATTACATTCAAAATTCCAGGATCAGATTTTATTCCGATTAAGCCAAAAGTAACATTGTTAGAGGAGATTGGACTGGAAGAAGTTTTTAAAAGAGCAAAAGATAAAGGAATTATTGTTGGAAGATCAGGAGAAAAGAAGTTGGAAGATATGCTATTATTGTTAAGTAAAGATGAAAAGAATAAGAACAAAAAATGCGCTAAAGCGTTAAGTGTATGCAGTACTTCTGACTATTTAGCTAGTGAGTTGAAGACTTTATGTGAAGATAGTGAAAAAGAAAGTAAATGCGAAAACTTAATGAATGTAACAATTAGATGTTCAAATTTCAGATCAAAGCTTTACACAAACAAATTGTCACCATATTCTAATAATAAGGATGCGGAAACTATTTTACGTCATTTGCTTCCTAGATCACTTACTGAAGAAGAATGTATAATGTTTGAATCAGAATGTTTTTATTTAGAAAATATATGCTCAGAAATACTTAAAAAAACGTGCAAGAATCTAAGAGCAGCATGTTATAGAAAGGGGCAAGAAGCAATACTGTATGAATTGTCTAAAGATCAGTTGCGTGGAAAGTTTAATTTAAAATCCGAGAATAAAAGCGTTAAAGAATGTCAAAAAGAAGTCTTAAAGAATTGTAGAAAACTTAAAGAAAATAAAGAACAGATTTCAAGATGCATTAAACCAAAACAAGTATGTCTTGAGTTTAGTGAGGATATTTCAACTCGATCGAAAGGATTAAAACGAAATTTGGATATGATACGGGATTCTTTTACAAAAAAAGAGTGCGTTGAATTAAAAAAAAGCTGTGAAGATCTTGAAAAGGATTCAAGTCTAAATTATTGGAACTGTATTACATTGAATATACGGTGTAAATATTCAGAAGTTGTAGAAGAATTGAAGAATAGATTTCTAAAAGAAAAAAAAGATACATTAAAAAACCAAGAGAATTGTGAAAGAGCTTTGAAAGAAAAATGTGATGGAATGTTTAAAAAGGAAACAAATCTATTTAGAATTTCATGTGTTTTACAGAAAGAAACATGTCAATCTATTGCAAAAGGCATGGAAAGCCACTGTCATTTACTTAAAGAGAATATAGAAAACCAGAATATTCTGGATGAAAAAAGTGGAAAAGGAAATGAAACATTACTTGAAAGAATATGTTTATTATGGAGTCCATATTGTGATCAACTTATGGAAAATTGTCCAGACCTATTGAAAAAGGAAAGTAATGGGAATGATGGGGTTTGTTTAAAACTTAAAGAAAAATGCAAACCATTCCGGGAAAAGGAGCACTTAGACGATGAATTGACTTATAAATTAAAGGGCAATTTAGGGGATAATGCTAAATGCAAAGTAGCGTTAGAAAACTATTGTGTTCAATGGAAAACAGGAACGAATGATACTTTAAAAAGTCTATGTAATACTAATAAAAATATGAATGTTGAGAATGAAATTTGTAAAAGATTACTGGAAAAAATAGCGGAAAAATGTTCAACTTTGAAGACGAATCTAGAAAAAGCGGAAAAAGAATTACAAGAGAAAGAAAAAGAATATGAAAAAGTAAAAAAAGAGACAAAGGAAGCTATGGAAAAGAGTGGCATATTCTTATCAAGACCTAAAGAAAGTCTGGATCAACAAAGTATACAGGCAAATGCAGTGAACAGCAGTGTACTTTTGTCGTCTATTTTGCCGGAAAATTATTTAAACAAACTATCAAACGCCAAAACAAAACTTAGAGTTATTCAAAAATCATATGTAGACACAGAAACTTCGGAAGTAGAAAAAGAAGGGTTTAATGCAGTGGTGAGAATATTGGAATTGTATTTAGAATTCAAAGAGGAATGCAAAGTCTTGCAATTGGATTGTGACTTTAAGAAGGATTGCCCGGAATCTGAAGAAGTTTGTAAAAAAATAGAGAAACTATGTGAACTGAAGCCATTAGAAATTAAACCTTCTAATGCAACAATAATGACAACAACAATAGAAGGATCACTTTGTAATGTAACAATGGCAACAGAACCAGGGAAAACGACGGAAAAAACAATAACAATAATAAAGACTATGAATGAAACAGCAACAAAACAGCGCAGTACAATAACACTTACAAGAACAAAGATTATAGGAGAAGGGAATTTTACGTCACTTTGTGATATCAATATACAGGAAACAAATGTATCATTTTATACAAGTACATTGACAAGTACACTGACAAGTACACTAACAAGTACACTAACAAGTACACTGACAAGTACACTGATAAGCACATCTATAATAACATCGACAGTGAGATTGACGTCGATACAAAAATGTAAACCTACAAAATCTATGATAGATTCGACTAAAGAAACACAAAAAGAGGAAGAGAAAGAGGAAAAAGTGAAGCTGAATGAGGGGATGAAAATGAGAGTTCCAGAAATAGTAAAAATAATATTATTGGGAGTGATGGTTATAGGAATGTTATAAAATGAATAAAAAAAGCCATTATAATGAAAGTCTGCATATATCCATTATTTGTATATAGGATAAGAGATTTAAAAAAATAATATATAAATTTTTAATGAATAATGAATTGAAAATTAGGGTTCGAATATTTTACCCCACAAATTTACCCCCTAGTTTTTCCTTATTGGGTAAAATTAAGCTTATCCTAAAAGAATTAGCAAACCTATACTTATCGTCTAAAATGATTTCATGATCTATTTTTCACTCACCCACTTATATGCCACTCAGGGACAAGCGATGGGTAGAGGAAGTCGCCCAGAAAGAGGCGGCGATGGCACAGCCGGTTAAGAGGCAAGCAGCAGGACAAGCAGCAGGAAATGATGAGATTAAGGAGGAACAGGTTTTGGGTTTAATTGTGAA